CTTGAGCAATCTGTGGGTTCAGGGCTTTGAGCAACATGAGCACCTTCACTTGCTCACCCATCACCCCGGGCGGAACAGTAGACGCCTTTGTCTTAAAGTTGGCAAGGAACAGGGACAAAGTAGGGAACTGAGACTGTTTCAACTCCATCAGTTCAGCTACAGGACCTTGGGATGGCTTCCGATAAGCGGCTATAAGAATGTTGGCAGCATTATCAAATGTCTCTCTCTCCCCTTGTGGAACGGATAATAGTAAATTGGCAGCTTGTCCTTTCAAGGACGCCATAAGATGCCTTATAGAACGTTGAGGATACAAAACCCTCAACTGAGCTATAAAAAGTACCACAGGTTGTGGATCTACATCCGAACCAAAGAATAACGGTGCGTTGGCAACCAGCGGGGTTTCAACATTAGCCATGATCCAATTCCAGCAGGCGCGTATCTTAAGTGTCGCCAAATATAATGAAGTACCTTAATATGGAGTTAATATAACTGGGTAAAGGACTGCAGGTGTCGCCAAATATAATGAAGTATTTTGGATCCAGACACACAAGTAATATAGTTATATAACTAATAGGATAAGATAGATATCAATCAGAAGGATAATATAGACACCCAAGGATTTAAGATGGGAATAATTGGATGAACTTTAATGAATGAGTACAACTACTATATGTACCAGTTGTGATTAGGTGAGTGCGTATATTGTATGGAACTGAGTGTTTGTTAACTGTCACTATGGGAAGTGGTTCGATTGAGTATAATACCAATAATCTATTATACCAATATCCGATGTGAGATGATCTAGATGTAGTAGTCCATACTACAACGAGCGCGAGTTAGTGAGTAAGATCACTACAGGAGGAGGGTAGCTCCGACAATTTTTTAGTATAAAATCCTCGGTTTGTTGTCAACTTTTATCAAAAAAGACACCTTAGCCAAGTGGTTACGGCGATTGACTAGAAATCAATTCCCTTCGGGGGCGCAGGTTCGAATCCTGCAGGTGTCGAATCTTTTATTATTATTATTATTTACCCTTTGGAATGATTCCAGGGTCCTCCAAATCCCAAAACGCCACTCCTCACACCGCAATGGAGGAGGACTCAGACCGAGACGAGTCATCCGGCATGCTGCTTGACAAGCTGACGGCTGAGGCACCTACACATCCAGACGCATTAGTCGCTTCGACTACCAACGAGCCACCAACACCTACGACCAAGGAAGTTGTTGACCCACCAGAACAGAAGGCTACCTTCAAGCCCCTCTCTCTCCGTAGAAGACGTGATGAGCCAGCCACTCCCCCCCATGCGGGAGTGCCCAACACGGTGTCACCCATCAACCCAATCAAGAAAGCACCCAAGAAGACTCGCGTTCACCCCCCAGCATCGATACCAACCCCATCTTCCCTCCCAACAACAAAAAAAACATAATCAACAAAAAAAAACAGGAAAACGAAACTAAAATAGGACTAACCATTCCCGACTCTTCAATTACGCCCATTTATTTGCAATATAATAAACCTCCACATTAAATAGTCTAAAAAAAAAAAAAATCCCAAAACGGGACTTTAACAATTGGAAGTAATTTACAAAAAACTGTTGAGCAACTGGCCCTCCCAGGTTGAAATTAATAATAAAAAAAACAAAATCGAGAGTGTCGTTTTCAAACAATACCAACTCCATTGTTAATCAAAAGATCATAATAAGTTGTAATCAACATACATACATACATATATATATATATATATATATATTAATATAACAATAAACACAACCATGAACAGCTATTATCAGATGAGAATATTAAAGAGAGGTGTCTTTCTATTCAATACTTATAACAGAAACACTCCAACAACTACTCCTCTCTTAAGATTCAATATCAACAACAACAACAACAACTCATACAACTCTTACAACTCTTACAACTCAATCAATCAACATATAAGATCATTCTCCTTCACTCAACAACATAACCAACAGCAACAACAACAACCTAGTTTGAAGGACTTGCTCAATGTCAAACCACGAGACTCTTTAATAACATTGATCAATACATTGGAGATACCAGATATCAATGAGGAGAGAGAACGATTGATCGAAACACACTCGCAGGAGAAGAGACAGATTGAACAGATGCACCAGGAGATGATACCCAGCGTCAAGAGTCCTCGCGAGATTGAGTATGAAGTGGCCGATCTCAGACTGACCGACCCCACCGGTGAGCTACAGCAACCGGTGAAGGACAGTGGCCCCATGGAGATCTTAGAGCCAGACACAAAGGCAGGCGAGATCGAGTCGGGCTCGGGCACCAAGTTCAAGGGCGGCCTCTCCGACAGTGGACTGCCACACGGCGCAGGCGAGTACGAGACGGCGCGAGGAGACATATACCTGGGCGAGTTTCAAAATGGCAAGAAGGAGGGCGCCGGCAGATACATGTGGAGGACCGGCAACTATTACGACGGCTTCTGGAAGGCCGACAAGCGATGCGGACTGGGCAAGTATCAGGACGCGTCCGGTGCCTGGTTCGAGGGCATCTGGGACAACGACCTGCAGCACGGCCCTGGCGTGATGATCTTTGGCAAGACAGACATCCGTGGCGAGTGGGAGCATGGCGAGCTGGTGCGCGGCCACGAGGTGCACCAGGACACAGGCATCGAGTACTTTGGTCAGTTCAAGAATGGCAAATGGAATGGCGTCGGCAAGCTGTCCTACAAGGACGGCACCATCTTTGAGGGCCTCTTCAAGGCGGGTGTGCGACACGGCCAAGGCCGACTCATCTCGCGCGATCAGATGTTTGAGTCACAGTGGATCAATGGCGCGCCAAGCGGCAAGGCCAAGCTCACCTCACAGGACTTCACGTGCGAGGGCGAGATCAACAATGGCGAGATCAACAATGGCACACTCAAGATTGCAGGCCGTGGCGTGTACGTCGGCGGAATCAGGAACTTTGCGCCGCACGGCTACGGCGAGGAGTGTCTGCAGGACGGATGCTACTATCAGGGCCAGTTTGTCGATGGCAAGCGTCATGGAATGGGCACACACAAGTGGAGCGACGGCACCGTGTACCGCGGCACATGGGTCGACGACTACCGCGTTGGCTGGGGCCAAATGATCTTCCCCAACGGCAAGGGTTGGGAGGGCGAGTTCAACGAGCATTTGGCCACCACGACGACAGAGGACGGCCATGCCAGCTCGATTGGATTAGTCGACAATGGACAAATCAAGCAGATCGACTTGAACAACATCGATGACAATTCACAACCATAGATAAGGGGTGCGCATAATCGAGCGTCAAGATATCTTGCTCGTTGTGTCCACTGTTGGTCCTATGGAGTAACACTAAAACATCCAAATATAGTATACTATGATTGATTGGAATTATTCCATTAATTCAATCATCCAAGTTTGTTAGATGGTCCTGCATGCCTGCGTGGCGTAGGATTGATTTATTCATTCGTTTACTCATCGTCCTCCTCCTCTTCGTCATCACTGAGACCCTCAAGCAATGATTGAAGAAGTTTGGATGATTGTTCGGTTGGTAGGGCTGACTCTTCTTCGTTCTCTTCTTCGTCATCCTCCTCATCTTGCTCATCCTCAGCGGCGGATCTGGCGCCAGTCTTATTGATGATAATTCCATCCTCAAACTGGTTTGATGATGATGTTGTCTCTGTATCCTCCTCCTTGTTCTCAACATCATCCTTGTGTTGCATGATGTCCTCCAATATCTTCTCTATTCTGTCCAGTGTGATTGTTCTGATGGCCTTGGTCAGGTCTGCCTTTGGATGTGACAGGGACAGGAGTTGTGGATTTTTAGTGAGGTATGTCACCAATGATTGTGGTGGCTGTAATGAAGTTGAAGCAATCTTCACCTTCAATCTCAAGTCATCCCTTGTGATTGTGAACAACTTTGTTGCCTTCTCATACAAAATCCTTGACCTAATGATTGATTGATCGATTGATTAGTATGAGGTGATTGGAATAATTCCAGTGATTGGGATACTATACCTTAGATATGCGATGGCTGAGGTGGGTGGAGTGAGATCGGATGATGCCATGAACTTGGTGATCAGAAGTGGAATGATTCCATTTGATTGTGAGACGTAGTGTGGCGAGGTAGTGTTGCTAAAGTCAAACTCGTTGAGGATTGTGGTGAGCTTGCCAAGGAAGCGAGTGTGGCCTAGCAATGACATGACCACCGTGTAATCAGTGTCGAATGATCGCTTGGCATCCACTGCACTCAGCGCCAATGTAATCTTCAGTACCTCTCTTGCCAACGATACGAATCCAGTCTCATAGTCCTTATTCTCCCTCTGCTCAATGTTTGGCAGGACCACCATTCTCAAGTACTTGGCCAAGCTTCCATATGCCTGCTCCACTCTGTAAGTAAGTTATTGTGTGTTAGTATGTTCCATTCCATTCCATTCCATTCCAATCCATTCCAATCCATTCCAATCCAATCTATGATCAGTTACATTTTGGCGTCGTTATAGTTGATACTGGACAGTAGTTTGGCGATAACATCGATATACTTTAGGCTGTCCGACTGGAGTGATTGAGTCAGTCAACGAATGGGATTGGAGTCATGTCATACATTGCCATATCTATCTTACCTTGGTTGATGTTGTTGAGATGACGATGATCTTGTTCAATTGTTCCAAGACGTTGGACTTGCTTGGTATGAAATGGTTGCGCACGATTGCCATTGATGAGTCGGTTGGGACGGCCTGCAGTGCTGATTGTTTATCTATATAATCCATCATACTTGGTAAGTATATTTGATTGATTGATCAATTGATTGAATGAGTGTATGTATACATACATAGGATATCGATTGATGCGTCGTGTGTCTTCTCTTGGAGCATTGATGTGATTGATTCCTCACCACCGATGCATTGACTTCTGATTATGTGATTGATGCTCTTGACCAACTTGTATGGACGCTCCTTCTCCTGTTGCTCAGTAGTGTCATCATCACCGTTGACAATCTGATCGGCATCGGCTTGATCTGACGAATCGGCATCATCATTGTGACTGTTATCCTTGCTGACGGTGGTCTCGATGACGTTGAGTGCATTCTTGACCAAGTGAAAGAACTTGTCCCAGGCGGCCAACTTGAACAACAACTCCTTTATCTCTAGATTCTTGACCTGTTGCACTGACTCGATATAAAAGCTACGTAGACGATCACTTCTAACACGAGCATTACTCGGGCATGTTGCAATAAAAGTGCTCGCCATCGTATTAATGAATCTCGTTGCCAATGTAAGTTGGAATGTTGCCTTCTTCTTTATAATCTTTTTCTCTGTTGGTTCATCATGTTCTTGTTCTTGTTGTATTTGTTCTTGTTCATCTTCAATCTTCATCTTTACATCCTCTTTATCATTTGTTGATGTTGTTGTTGTTGTTGTTGTAGTTCTCTTTCTCTTCATTGTTGAAGGCTTTGTCTCCTTCTTGACTTGTGATAACTTCTTTGTCGTTGTAGCTTTGTTCATCATTATATATATGTATATTATCTCTCTCTCTCGCTCTATCAAACATTCATTCAAAGACTCAATTTGATTGTTTCGTTCGGTTTTTCAAAGATGAAGACTAAAACATACCCTCACAGACATACCCTCGCATTAATTTTTGACTTCAAATTTGAACATTTCAAGTTCATTCATCCATATTCACTTCACATTTGGAATAATGGATACAATACCTATTACAACTATTCATAAAATATGTATATTGTTAAAGAATGATGCTAGTTATATTGATATAGTATGTTTAGGTCTAACATCTAAACTTTATTTCATAGAGATACATAATTTATTGAATATTAGATTTAATAAGATACCTTTGAATATAAGAGATTTATCAAATAATATATTATCTGCAGAGTCTGTTGCTGCTGGTATTGGTAATGGTACTAGCCAGGTGACTACATCTATGTATCATAATCAACACAAGGATGCCAAGTACCCTTCTACATTGACAACAATAATATTTGGTCCAAAGTACAATCAATGGATCTTTGATCGAACACCTCCACAGTCAGTGACATCGTTGACATTCGATTGCTCCTATGAACGAACGATCAATTATGGGGACCTTCCGGGATCACTCAAGTACTTGAAGCTCCCCTCATACTCTGAAGAAGTGTCATCCGGCAGGTTACCGCCAGGTCTCACCACCTTGATCCTTGGTGGTGAGTACTTCCATGAGCTCAGGCCCGGCACCCTGCCACAGTCGATCACATCACTCTCACTTGGCGATGCAAGTGTAAAGGGTATTAAGCCAGGCGTTCTCCCCTCCTCGCTTACTGAGCTCAAGTTGAGCAAGTTCAATGCGAATATCAAGCCTGGAGTGGTGCCGACGGGCCTGCTCACAATGACATTTTCATCGTATTCCTCGTTCAATGAGGAGCTCCCTCCAAGGGTGCTGCCACCGACACTCCAACTCTTGAGTCTGCCCCTAAAATATGATCAACCATTTTGCATTGGCTCACTTCCAGAGTCACTCACTACGCTTATCATTCAGAGAGATGAAAAATGGGACAACATATACAGTCATGCATTTGAACCAGGTGTATTACCTGCATCACTCAAGACATTCGAGCTACCAAAGTTCAGCAAGATCGTGGATTCATCACCATTCCCCGCCTTGTATCTCTCAACAGTTCAGTGCAGGAAAATACCCCAAGTCATTGACCAATCTAGATCTTAAACAGAGGTCATTCTACACCGAGTTGGATAAAGAGGATAGAAAGTACGAGCGAGAGAATGAGAATGATGAGTATGGTGGATATGATCGTCGTCGCAAAGTTGTCAAAGACGATGAAGATGATGATGACGACGATGACGATGACGAGAAATATGATAGCAAAGATAACCCACCTCCATTGCCAAGCTCGATCAAGACGTTGGTCTTCAATGGATACCTTCAGAATGGTTACATTCCAAACTCTGTCGAGAAATTGTTATTGAGGACGTGCAATTATAGATTTGAATCTGGTCACTTCCCTCAATCAATCAAGACGCTCGAATTAGGTGTCTGCCTCCGCCAACCAAGATTTCTTGAGTTATCTCTCCCTCGTTCGTTCACTAAGCTCGTTCTTGGCAACTCCTACTCAGAACCCATCACGCCTGGTATCCTACCCGACTCAATCACTCATTTAGAGATTGGCAAAAAGTACACATCTGGCTATGAGAAGGATGCATTGCCAGCGTCACTCACCTGTCTGAAGCTTGCTGGTGCACAGAAGAGTGGAATCTTCCTCCCACCAAAGAAGTTATTATACCTGGCCATAACCTCTCTTCCTCAGATCCATCGTGTCAAGGGCGGGGTGGACCATCTCTCTGTGACCAATGCCAGTCTGACGACCAAGGACTCGACGGCTGCGCCACTCCTGACACCAATAAGGACACTTTCAATCCGGGCTACTGGTACTGCATTCAAAAATCGATCACAGTTCCTCAAGACTATATTCAGAATTGTGCCCAATGTTGATTGCTATGACATTGCAGTTGTCAACAAGGCTGAAGATGTGTGGAGTACACAACTTCGCAAATTGGATCAGTGGCGATCAATCATTGTCACGGACCATCATACCATTCAATACTTCAACAATGCACCTGTGGAGCGTGTTACTTACTTGGAGGAATTGGTCAAACAATTGAGCAAGGAGAATGAGACACTAAAGACTGAGAACGAAGAGATGCGGGCACAACTAGATTCACTGAGGTCATCATCGTCAAAGAAACCAGCAAGGTCTACAATCCCAGCTCCATCATTGATCAAGATCAAAGTCGAGGATAATCCATCAGATGAAGCCACGACCACCACAACGACTACAACTACCACAACCGCTGCAGTCAAGAGAGAACCTCTGTCCAACAAAAGAAGAAGGAAATGAATAAATGATTGAGTGATGAATGGGTAGCGAGTGGATACCGTCCAACTCGCGAATTTAATAATAAAAATAATAATTAATAATTAATAATAATTAATTAAAGGTTGATGTTGGCGTTGATGTGGGCATCAATCAAGTTGCAACGACCCAAGTTGATATCGATATCAATGTTGGCATCAATGTGAATACCTGGGAAACAGGGGTTCCAGCAAGCAGTCGACGATGATCCCTGAGATGAACCACCAGCTGATGAGCTAGAGAAGGAGGCACCAGACTTGGCCAACGATGAGGATGGGTTCATGTTCTTAAGAGTAGCTATATATTTTTGATTGATTGGAGGATTGTTAGGAATAATATTATTAGGATGTTGGAATTTGAGTTTGAAAGACTTACCAAGGATAGTCATTTTTGGAATTAGTTTGTTTAGTTGATTAGATTATTAGATTTGATTTGATGATATTATAATGATTCAGAACCAGAGTATTTATAATGGATGGATGTGGATGGAGTTGAGTCCAACAGTTGAATGGATTATATTATATTTAAGAGATATTAGGAGTATTGGTGTTTGAAGTTATAAATAATTGTCATTAACGACATCATCATTCTAATAAGATTATAAAATAGTGATCATGTGAAGAGACACTTCACCTTTTAAAGTCAATATATCACTACACATATTGGCAACAACCTCATCTACTTACTTAAATCTTTGAACTGAATGCGTGATGTGATTGACAACCACTAACTGAACTGATCACATGAGTGACGTTGAGAGTCTGAGCGAGGGGGAGTCGGAGTGAGTGTGTGGTTGACATCATCCAATCCTCCCACACCCACACTAATAATGATCAATCAGTTGATTGAGTGAGGGGTCAGATTATTCCAACCTCTGGATTGAGGATTAATTCCAAGTGATACCATATTAATGTATTATACATCAATCAATCAATAAATCTATCCATTTATTTATGACCAGTAGGTCTGAGGAAGTTGGGTGTTGTTGAAGAGCTCGAGGAGGTGGAGGAGGAGACTGGCATAGATTTAAGTGTGCTTGGTAAGGGCTTTGGAGGGAGTAATGATGGTCGAGGTGGTAGTGTCCCAGTTGTTTGGTTCGATATAGGTGTGACAGATGATGCTGAAGATGTTGATGATACAGTGTTATCACTTGGAGCGGACAACTTTAGAATACTTGGTGACTTGAGATGTGGAGGTTTGATTGGAACTGTTGGTGGCATACTAGGTGATCCGCCACTTGGTGAAGATGCCTGAGATGATGATCCGCTAACTGGTGATAATGTGACTGGTGTCTTGGGTGGCGTCACAGAGGATGGTGATGGCGCTGATGATGTACTGGTGTCTGGTCTGATCAATGGCAGTGGCTTGGTGAAGCTCAATGCTGGCTTCAATGGAGGCTTGGCTGGAAGTGGCTTTGATGGTGGTGTCATGGGAGGCTTGGCAGTCGAGCCAGTTGTTGGTGTCATGGGTGGTAGTGTGGCAACACTGCCAGCTGCGAGACCAGACACTCCAGATGGTGCCATTGGCGAATTAACAATCACAGGTGATGATGATGATCGTTCGATTGGTTTGCGAATCGATTGTGGAACTGCGCTGAGAGGTGCTGTTGCTCCTGGTGCTGGGGACGCCGGCCTCTGCATCATTGGTCTTGGGGCAACACTGATTGGTGATTGTGCGCCTGGTGCTGGTGATGCAGGTCTCTGCATCATTGGTCTTGGAGCAACACTGATTGGGGCCTGTTGGCCTGGTGCAGGGGATGATGGTCTTTGCATGATTGGCCTTGGGGCTGGATTGGATGGCGCGGCAGCCGCAGCGGGTGTTGGTGCGGCGGCAAAAGGACTAGAGGCAGCAGGGGTTGACGATGATGGGATAGGAACAACATACTTGAGATTCTGCTCCTTGATGGCCATTAGACGCTGTGATATCTGGGCAAAGGTTGGTCTTGATTGTGGCTCCTTGTGCCAGCAGTCTTGGATGAGTGATGCGAATGCGGCAGGGGCAGCGGCTGGGATGGTCGGACGCATGCCCTCACAAATTGCATCCTCAAGCTGGGAAATGAACTGGGATCGGGCCACTGGATACTCATCGAATGGCAGCATACCAGTGAGTATCTCCCAGAGGATAATGCCAAAGCTGTAGACGTCTGCCTTCTCTGTGTACTCTTGGCCACGCATGATCTCTGGAGCCAGCCAGATCGGGTTGGACAACTTGTCGCGACCGAGTGCTGAGGTGACCACAGCACGCGACTCACCAAAGTCCGATACCTTGCATACAACATCCGCGCGGTCTGACAGATCGCCCAGCATCAAGATGTTTGGTGACTTGAGGTCGCGATGACAGATCTTTGGCGTGAACTCGTGGAGATATTGGATGGCGCCAGCAATATTGAGCGCGATCTTGATGCGGATAGACCATACGGCCTGTGGCTGCTTGCGCAAGAAGTCATGCAGGTTGCCATTGGGTATGTACTCCATCACGAGACAGCATGGATCCAGACAGCAGGCCTTGAGAGTGACGATCGACTTTTGATTGAGTGTGTTTGAAAGCCAAACCTCGCGAGTGAACTCGCGGAACACGTTCTCTACATTCTCGCCACCCTCGAGCACCAGCTGTTTGATGGCCACGAGCTGGCCGCGTAGACGGCCCTTGAACACCGTTCCAAAGCCACCCTCGCCAATCTTCTCAATGATCTCCAGCTCTTTGTACTGGATGGTGAAGTTGGCGCCCAGATCCGTGAGTAGCAGCTCAGGCACCAAGGTCTCGAGCTTAACCATCTTCTCCTCGCCAGTAATGGGCGATCGACACAACACCTCGGTGCGCTTGCCAATGATCGCTCGCTGGCAGTCGTCGTAGGGATACATCGTTCGCAGGTCGTTTGGTCGGTTGGCTGCGGCCGACGACATTGATGGGCTGCCACCGCCAACAAAGGATTTGGTATGCTTGGACATCTTGTTCTTGTTGTAGAGCGACAGGAACTTGGGCGTGCCATTCTTCTTGTATCGCTTGTTGGGCTTGAGTGTGCCGCCAGGTGAGATCGAGTCGGCTTCAATGTCCTCGCCATCGGCCTCCGAGTCGAATGAGGTGGACAGCGGGCTGGTGGACAGGCCCTCGCGGCTACTATTCAAGTTGGTCTGTGATAGTTGATGAGTGAGCTGTTGTTGGAGCTGGGGCTGGATCAGCTCGCCCAGTGACTCGGATGAGCTGTTGTTGGACGAGCCGTGTGCACGGGATGGCAGTCCGGCGGCCATACCATTGACGCTACGACAGTTGCTGCAGCTACACACAACGAGCAACTGATAGCTGAGCTTGTACCATCCGTCGAGCAGCACCTCGGCTGTCTCCATTATGAATCGAAGTATGGTGGCGGCTGACTTGCCCCATGCGCGAATGGACACTTGATTGGCATGCGCCTCGATCAGCGATGTGGCTTGCTCACGTTCAACCAACAGACCATGTTTCCAGAACTCCTTCACTGTGGTGAAGTGCATGATACGGATCATCAACTTGGAGAACATACCCACGGGGAAGAACTCGAACTGGTACACACGCTCCAGCACTGTGGACTCGCGTTTCAACTCATCCATTGTGCGCTCTAGTGCGCTTGGACGCTCCTCGCTAAGTAGGACGGGGACCAGATGTTTGGCGCCAACCTTGGCAATGAGTGTCGTCTGATGTGATGGCGAGGATGCGGGCAGGCCAATGGCGCCACCGGTGGAGGACGAAGGAATGCCCTTGAACGATGATGTTGGTGACCTGTTGAATGAACTGAGGCTGGCCTTTGACCCGGATGGCGAGGGGCTAGGCGTGACTGGCGCCGAGGCCGACACTGGAGATGGACTGGAGAAAGTTGAGCGCAACTTTGAAATGCCGCCAGTGGACGCACCAGTGGTGATTGGTCCGCCAACACGCTGCGCAGAGCTCTTGCTCGGGATGGGCGTGGTGTTGATGAACTTGGGATCGGGCAGCGGATGCACGATCTCAAAGCGCTGGAGTATGGCCAAGAGCACATGATGGAGATGGTGTGGGAAGTCTGGTGCCTTCCAGATCTGATGCAAGTTGGATTGCTCCAGCACACCGGCCTGGACAAAGTTTGGCTTGCTTGTGATCAGCGTGGCCAGGAGACGCGTGAGCCAGGGCGGGTCGATAAAAACGAACGCGTCCAGGCCCGACTTGTCGTCATCAAAGTACACGATGATGCCCAGCTCCTTGAGGAAGTGCGAGGCTTTGGGTACCTGGTCGGCCGTGATACCACATTGCTCGGCCATCGCCAGGAACTCGTGCTTGGTGATGATGGGAGGGTTGTTCATCTCGCGTTCATTGACAATGAGTGACTCGAGCTGTGTGAATGACTGTGGATGACTCTGTCCGAGCTTCTTCTCTGCGCGTCCGACCTTGACCAGCAGCGCCTGGAGCTTGTTGATGTTCTTGGACGTCTTGCAGCTGACGGCCAGGAAGCCCTTGATCGAGGGGAAGGCCGCACAGAACTTTGAGTCGATCTCAGCCTGGATGCGCTCCTCCTGGCCCGAGGTCAACTCGTCGAGATGCGTGCCCACGAGGACAACCTGCGCGTCGCCGCCCCAGGCCTCGATACATTGCAGCCAGTATGATACACGTGCGTCGTCCTGCTGTTGGAGGAAGGTAACCATGTTGAAAACGACAACAAAGAGGGAGCGCGACGAGATGAAGAATTGATGCGTGGAGTAATAAACCTCCTGGCCGGCAAAGTCCCACAAGTTGAATGTAACGGGTGGCGATGAGGCGTCGTCCTGGGACGAGGCGCTGGGACGCCATACCTCCATGTCAATGCCATCAGTGGACAAGTTCATCGTCGTGTTGAGTGGATTGATTCCAAACTGTGAGTCGGCATCTGATGATGCTTGCTTCTTCTTGGAGCTGAGGCCCAGGCCCAGACCCTTGCGAAGGATCTGGGTGACGGCCACGGGCGCCACATCCTTCTTGAGACACTTGGCGATCGATGTCTTGCCCACATTCTCCTGGCCCACGAGCATAAGCTTCATGCGCATGCAGGGTGTGTCGCGAATGATCTGACCGCGCAGACGACTGAACAGCGCGATCAACTGGTCCTCCACGAGAACATCGTCGTACTTGGCCTCGGTGGCAAAGGGGTTGCCCGCCACACACATCGACTTGAGACGCAGACGCGACATCTGCCACGGGAGCTCTGTGAGCTGGTTGTACGAGATGTCCAGCACGGACAGGCTAGCCAGACGACTGATCTGGGGCGGGAGGCTCTTGATCCTGTTCTGGCTGATGTTGAGATCAGTCAGCGACGCGATGTTGCCAATCTCGAGTGGAAGACATGAGATGTTGGAGTCGGACAGGTCGAGACGCACGACACGCGTGGCCCACGCTTCGATGATCTTTTGCTTTACCGGGTGGAAGCATGGCGCGCCATTGATCGAGAATGAGCCTGCCTGGAGCGACTTGAGGCTGGCAAACATGGCTGAGGGCAGGCGACTAAAGAAGTTTCGTTGCATCATCAATGTTCGCAGACCTGTGAGAAGCGTGAATGTGTCGTCGGGGATGGACTCGATCACATTGAAACTGATGTCCAGATGCTCGAGTTTGGCCAACTGCTGGATGCCCGTGGGCAGCACTGATAGGTCATTGTGCGCAACGTTCAGACGACGAAGCTCGCGCAGTTCGCCAATCTCATTGGGTAGCGCAGTCAGCTGGTTGGACGACAGATCCAGCACATGGAGGCGCCCCAGCTCCTTGAACAACGTGGTGGGCACGGTCGTGATGCAGTTGGAGTCCAGGTACAACTCGGTGATGTCACTCAATCTCTTGTTGTCAAGGTGCGCGTTCAACACCTTGTTGATGTAGGACAGTGTGATCTCGGGCACGTTCAAATGTCCGAGGTCCAGCAGTGTCTTGGGGTGGGCTGCCGGAGCGGCCTTTTGTATCAACTCGCGACGTTTTCTTGAGTCCTGTCGGGCGGTGATCTGTGCAGCCTTGACCTTGGCGCGCTCTTCATAGTCGCCTGGCATCGCGGCAAAGATCAGACATGAGAGCTGGGTCGTGTGGCTGGCCAGCCAGACGTCCAGCAACTCGGTCACTGCGGCCATGGACAAGGCCTTGTCCTCGAGACTGAGAGTCTGCAGTGTGTGTGAGTGGCGCACCAGACGTGCCAAATGTGTGACCGATGTGATCGCATTGCCATTCAAACTGACGATGGACAGTGATGGATGTGAGATGATGCCGTCCACGAGGCTGGCCACGCCGGCGTTGTTGATCTGGCACTCATTGAGATCGAGTTGCGACAATGATTGATTGAAGCGCAACGCATCACCAATGGCCACGGTCATTGACGGGGTGAGCGAGTTTTGAGACAGGTCCAGATTGGTGATCGATCGACTGGCCACGAGGAAGCCCACCAACAGATTGATCAACTTCTCGCTCATGGTGTTGGGCGCGAAACTGAGATGTGTGATGAAGCTTGTCGAGGACAACTGAGCAAACACTTGTGCTTTGTCGCCGGTCTTTAGCAATGACTTGCTAAGTTCGAACTTTGATCGCTGCCCACTCAAGATGGACCTCATTATCGTTTGAATGTCCTTTGCGCCATCATCCTCATCGCTGTCCTCCTGCTGCTGTTGTTGCTGGCCCTGAGTCAAAGCCGAAGTAGCCTCCTTCTTTGTAGCCTGTGTGAACTTTTGCATCCACTCTCCCTTGTCCTTCTCTGACGCTGCCATATATAGCATGGAGACCTCCCTATTCTTGATTTGGAATCCCTTGCGATACTCTTTGTTGTTGGGGGGGAGGAAGGGTCAGTGAGTGAGTGGAATTATTCCAGATGATCGTCCATCAATGAATGATACATACCAAAGCCAAGCTCGGAATCATCGACCTGGATGTTGGACACCTTCTCCATCTTTTTGAGGAGGTGTAGACAGCCTTCGTAGGCTATTAGATTTATATTGGAATGAGGTGGGACGTCATCCACCTTCTCAGTGAATAGTATAATGTCGGAGAATAAGAATGTATGATAGGTAGTTCGTTGATTATTGTACTGTTCAGTGAGGCTACCCTCCTTCAAGAACCTACGACCCTTTACAAAGTCCGCGCTCTATGATGTTGAGTGTGTTGTGTGAGTTTGAGTTTGCTCTTTGAGTTTGAGATTGAGTTTGATTGATTAACATACATTAAACAAACCTATTGTAGTTGACTTAATAGAGTTGGATATCGATATGACCTTGTTGATGTTGTTCGAGTCTAGTACTACCTCTTTGATGATGGTGCCAAACTGATCGTAGAGCTTCATGTATGATCGTGCGAGTTCTGGTGATGTTGTCGATGCCTTGCCCTGCTGGGATGATGATGACAATGTATCAGCCAATTGTTTGATACTGCCATTGAATCGTGCCATCCAGTGCACTGGTAACACCAACAGTGATGGCAGGCTGTAGTAGGCATAGTCGGTGGTGTGGCGCGAGGGGTTGGACGCATTGAGTCCGGTGCGGCGCAGGTTGGACAGGCCGGCCTTGAGCGTCGTAGCAACTTCGTAGTTGACACCAAATATCTCGGACAACAATACAGGCTTCATCACACCAGAGTTTGGCAAGTCCACTATTGGAGCCAGTTTGAATCCATGCTCCGACTGCATCTTCTGCTCAGCATTCTTTACAAAATGATCGAAGCGAGTGTTATTGAACGACAATGAACAAAGTGCAGCGATACTATAATTGTACAACAATGCATATTGTTTGTATTTCTTCATGTGTACCATCTAAACATTGTTTGACTGATTGTTAGTGTTTGTGTGTTGGGGGTGAGGGTTGGGGCGAGGCCGAGGCTGGAATGATTCCTCCCCCACACCCCACTCGATCAATCAATGATTTCGATTACTTACATATTGAGTTAGGATAGATAGTAGATTGGAATGAAGGGATGATGATGAGTGGAGACACTTTTGGAGGTCGTCCACGAGTGAGCTGGCGATGCTGTGGATGGAGTCCACCTCGAGGAAGACTCTGCGCAACTCGTCATGTGTAATCACCTGCTCATTCTTCTTGAGAGGCTGGTAAAAGATATCAAGCATCGCCTTGATGCTGTCGGCATAGGCTGTAGTATATTGTACCAGTTGCTGGACGACCTTCTTAGAGTCATCAGATGTTGGGATTGATGCCGCCGCGGCTGATGTGGCTTGGGCTGAAGCAGAGGTGGAAGATGAAGTTGAGGATGGAGTAGATGAGATATTGGATGATGTTGTTGATGTGTTGTTGTCGTCCTTGGCATGCTGTTTGCTGTTGTTGTTTGAATGGGATGGAGGCGAGGAGTTGGATGGACTGGGCGTGGCATGCTTGACCGGCGACACTGAAGTCGTGGCCGAATGGCCATTCGTGGCAAATGATGCACCAGCATGGCCACTTGGCGATGATGAGTGGCCAACTGATGATGTTGACGAGTTGTTTCCAACAACGCCCTGTGACACTGATATTGTCGATGATGATACTGTTGTTGGGGTGGCCGATGTGGGGGCAGGCGTGGCAACATTCTGTTGCCAAAAGTCCAACACCTTCTTATGATTCTCAACATTATTGCCAGGTGGCTTGTCGGATGCGGTCGTGGTCGTCGAAGAAGATGTCAAAGGAGTTGAGATACTCGATATTGTTTGGACCATCTTACTGCCCATCTTTGAGAATATACTTGAGCCACTATCCTTATCACCCTTATCATGCTTGTCACTCTTATCATGCTTCTCTTGTAACTTCTCCTCCTTCCTCTCCAACTTTTCACGTTCCTTCTCTCTATCACGCTCCTTATCACGCTCCTTGTCAATCTCTTTTCTTATCTCCTTTGCCTTCTTATCTCTCTCCTTCTTGCTCTTGCCATCCTTGAACTTGTCCTTATCCTTTATCTTGTCCTTCTTGTCCATCATTGATGATTAAATGTAAATGTAAATGTAAATGATTATTGATTGATTGATTGAATGAATGATGTTGGATGGCTGATTGATGTTGGATGTTGGCTGGATATGTGTCGATCGATCGATTGGTTGATTAGTCCTCCTCACGCCAAACCTTACAACGGTATCCTTTTATGGGTGAGTGTGTGTGTTGTGTTGAGTGTGTGAGAATAAGTCGTTCGTCTTTCGTCTTGTGTGTTGATGGTGTGGTATGTGGTGTGGGGGTGTTATTTATCTGTTGGTAATGTTACAAAGCAACAAGACACAATGAATGAATGACAAGTATTGTTCTGTCTGAATATATATATCTCTAATGTAGACTGGGTAAATTACTATTATTGTTATTATTATTATTATTACTTTGATATGATATTACATGTAACTGGTGAACTGGGCTGTGTTTGTCAGAGGTCTGACTTGTCTTTGATTGTGATTGATTGTGATAGTTTGGTGTCTTAGTGGTCTTGGTATTGGTTGTTGTTGTTGGAAGGTTGTTCTGTTTTGTGTCGTGAGTGTGTGTTTGATGAGTGGATGGATGGACCTGTTTGAAAAGGACCAACCTCGAGTTTTCTGATCACCTCCTATGTTGATGATGATGATGTATGGTAGTAGTAATAGTATTAAGATAACCCACGCACATGTACACACACAATAGTCAATGCAGTATTAAATGAATAGGATGTTGATGATGTCGAAGTGTGGAAGTAAATCACTCAATCATAGAACAAACAAACATGGTGCAGGACCCTAAAAGTAAACAAATCACAAAATATCCGAGAGCTATCGCGTCCGGTATTAAACACACCAAAGTGAGAGAATATGACTTGCTGATGGATTGGATTGTTCGCGGATGAAAGAATGATGACTTTCAGGAGGGCACTATGTGGGTGAAACACATGCATCACCCATCCGGGTTACAAAGACCACACACTGAGTGCCTTTGCTCCATCCATCTAGCGAAAGTTCGTCATCACGTGTTGGGCTTTCCCACACTACGGTGATCGCCTCGGATAGGCCCATCAAACAAATCGCCAAAACATTCAAAAGTTGTTTGATGGTGCCATGTAGTGACTTGATGCGGCTTGTGGACATCCAATCCCATTCAACGAACTGAACTGGTTGTTTGTTGTCTGTCGTTTGGGGTACCAGACAGATAATAATAATAATATTATTATTATTGATGATGGATAATAAAGTTTGTGTATATTGCCGTTGATGATTAGACCCCTCTTTGGTCTTAATGGGGGACTGACTGGAGGACACTCAACCAACCACAGTGCGCACTGAGTAGTAGATATCTTTGGCAATCTATCTATCTTGGAGATGGATGGGATAATGTAACTCTTTGATTGGGGATTACTTAATTAATTTAGATCTTACTCTATCACCTTGGCATGTTGGGCGATATCGATCGAACCCAACGATGTTGTTGTTGTGTAATTGTTGATGAAGGTCATCAACACACAACCTAGTCTAGCCTCGTAGTCATCATTTTAAAGGAAAGCAAAGGAGGTGAATGTGATTTGCGAGCGAGTCCTTGCTCTCTGCCCTTGAAGTGAATGAGTCGTCACTTCGTCCTTGATGTGGATGCAGTGTTGTTGTTGTCCTCTGTGTCCTCAGTTGCATTGTACTTTTGTTGTTGAGTGTGTGTAGATGTCATTCATTCATTCATTGATTGAGTTGATTAGCAAGCTCATACACATGTCAATGTTCGCGAACATCTTGACATACCTTCTTTATGACCCATTCCAAGTTGTTATATCCCTTGTTGATTAGATAATCAATGTCTCTTGGATCAGTCTCATACTTGTGTCCTTCAAAGTGCTTCATGTAATGTGTGTGTTCAGGTGTATATGGTAAGAAATAGGGAACCATCCATCACCAACATCATCCATTATCATACCTCTCTAGTGAATGTCCAGTAATAGTTTTGAGACTGTTTTGGTAATCTTGTATTGATTGATCTTACAATAGTCCTGTACAATGACAATGACTTATAGTTTATCTGATTGCTTAAACACATGTCTTTATCTTTATCTTATCTTTAAAAAGTTATTATGTGTATGTGTATTTCAACAACAATCAAATAAAGAAGTTCAAGAGAAGTGTTCTCGTCCCAGGGGTCGAGTTCTGTTGTGTTGAGTGCTCACTCATTTGTTGTTCACTTTGCTCAAACACAAACAAATAATAATACTTCCAACGAGTTATCGCTCATACTCTCTTCAATGTCTTTGGTTGAATGAATGACCTAAGATAAAGAATGGACATTGAAGAGCGATGGGTGATAGAAAGAATCTAGAAATAATAATATACAAATTCAAATTAATTATTAAAAAGCACTATGAAAGAAGACTACTTTATACTGACAGATATCTAGATCGGAATTCGAAACAAACACTGCAATGCCCCATCTCTCACTCACAGTTGATCGAATCAAAATCATCAACACACGCAGCAATCCATCAATATCCAATCAAATTGCAGCTTCAACACTCATGAACCTGTTTGCGCGGACCGCCAATGTCAAATCCAAACCGTTGCACAAGCCTTAATCATTGTCCGCCCATCAAACGACTATGGTGGCCCATCGATGATAATCATCAGAGCAAAGGCCGATGATCAGGGAACGTCCTTTAACTCAAACATCCACTTTGAATTTAAGTATCCTCGCGCTGTTGGTGGGGGGTTGCATAGGGTGATCATAGCCATAGTTGGTCCAACAACTACTTGAATATGGTCTATGAATGGGGGAAGGCCATCATCGATGGACAATATCTAATTAACAGTCTGTCTGTCAGTCCCCAAGTCTGTAACATCAATGATGTCTTGATCGGATTGTCACATGACACCACTTAATCTTCAAACCAATCCAACTACCCATCATAGTTAGATATACATACTTAGACACATATATACAGATACAATGTTATCTACATCAGGAAATAGTATAAACTCTCAACAACAGCAGCAGAGCGGGAGAGCAGACTTGGATTCTTCATCTTCATCATCAGAGACAACGAGAAGCGAGAGGTTCTATGGAAGTAGCGATGAGGTCAAGTTCACAGTACCACTTCCAAATGCACTGCTACAATACCCAATGGTGTCCAAAGTGTGGAGCGCAATGATTCCCAAATTTCCAGACTCTATCAAAGATCGAATACATATATCAACACTGGTATTCAGGGCCAAGCAAGAGCCCATCCACTCGCCATTCATAGACGCCTCAATGGAGTCAATCAAGATGGCATCATCTGTACATAATAACACAAACAATAACGTCCAAGTGATATCAGGTAAGTTATAATTATTATATTATCTGAAATCACGTGATTGGTATAGTGATCACGTGATTGATCACGTGACATATCTGATTCTCATACAAATTTATTACCGTTATTTCCAGAGGGCGATTATGAAAGATATAACAACCTGATATCACAAAGAAGAATAAGGATTATTATATTGGTGGCTATACTGATGCAGGCATGCATGTCTGCATTGAATTATATCAAGTATGGCAACTATATGTTCCGAAGAGATGTTATAATGACTTCACAATTGGTCGTCACTGTGATCAGTGCCGCCATCCTATTCCGCTTCCCACTCACATCATCACGTGTGACAGTACTATACCTCCAATTCATTCTACTTTGTAATCCACTTCAACGTCTAGTATGGGCGGATACTGTAAGTTCAACCAACCTTTTTTGATAAAGTGGTGGGGGTCTGGGCTTAGGCTGGAATGATTCCAGCCTTCACCCCAACCCCTTTTCAATCATATTCAAACTCAAACTAACATGATATCCACTCGATCAATCAATAATTAGTTCCCTCCATATGAACCATCATATCAAATCATGCTTTGGATCAACTTCTCGGTGCCCACGGCCAAGTTTTGGAGGGCAAGTGTGACTGGATTGGTTGGCATCATGTCTGTGATCATCATACGTATACTTCAACAATATGACACAGTGTTTAGGATACTCTGGCTACAATTGGGAACATACTTGCTGTATCACATCGTCGTTGGATTTGGCTCACGTCTCTCTGAGGTGGTAAATCGGGCACTTTATGTCGAGTTGCTCTACCTCTCGCCACTCCAGCCAGCACACAAGACCTACGCCTGTGTCGAGAGATATTGTCGGGCGCGCAGTCATTGGCTCACACAACGATTCAAGGATGCAGAGATTGAGAAACGTTTCCTCGCATTCTACGGACAGGAGTCGTTTGTTGAGGTGGGTCTATTGCTGTCCACAGTCATCTCCTCAGCCTACTACATCTTCCAAGACATGTATTACAGCAAGTCTGGTATGCTGGTAATGTTCCTGGTACTGCGATTCGTCCTTGTCATCCCCGGCTTTGTGATGCTGTTCTACCTATCGATTATGCGCAAGACCAACCCGATCAAAGCTGACCTGCTGTCGCTCATTATCTTCACACTGATCATTCTGGCGCAGTATGCAATGTTTGATCAAGTAGTGTCGTGGGAGGGCAGTCTCTTCTACTTTGGCGCAATGATGCGTGTCCTCACACTGGCCTCCAATCAACTGTTCCTCGTGCACACACTTTACATCATACCAATCAGCTATGCCATCATCCCGCTGTCCGTCGTGCTCTACGGCTCGCAGAACAACAACTACATCTTCTTCTTTGTCGTACTCACTGTGGTCGTGATCGTCTTCACGCTGATACGAGAGAAGAACCAAAGACTACGCTTCCTTGTCCAACAATATGGTGCCGAGGCACTGGTCGACAAGGTGGCCATGGCGAACAAGACCAGCATCCATGTTCAAATGGAAATGGATGGTGCAGACATACAACTTGTTGTCAGCAACTCAAATGACAATGGTGATGGTGATGCAGTGGGCATCGAATTATCAAACATGGAACGTGACAGACCCAGGTCTCATCATCATCACTTGCACTCAATTGCCATTGATCATATTGTATCCAACAACAATGACCAGTCGACAGCAAATGATGAAGGATCAACAACTACCAACATCCAAGGTCTAGGAGTAGTGTCCCCAGCCAAGAGTCCAAGACGCAACCTTCTAGACTATTCACAAGATTCATTCAATGTATCACAACAGCAATGAAACGTGCATATTCATTCATCCAATGAGTACATCAACTGATTGATTGATGGAATGAGTGGGGTAGGGCAAGGTCAGGTTCATTGTTAAACATGTCTGGTTTTATGATGACGACAGTTGATTGGAATGATGATGAAGCGATTGAAACTATTGAGAGCTAGGATGTGATCGTCGTCCAATTGTCTACAATTGAGCTTGATGCTTGTGTTTTTGTTCACAGGATATGTTGCAATCTCTGACAAGTGTACCATGTTCTCCCAATGTTGAATCACATTGATTACTTGATAAACTTGTTCCAATCTAATACATGTACCATGATCACCATCACCATAACCATCAAAGAGGATTGAGAAAGTGAATGACATCATCTTGAATGTCAATGAGTTGAGCAAAGTATCATGGAGTGGAAGTAGTGAGGTTGGAAAGATTGATTTGAACTGCTTCAGCGGTACTTCGTCAAGGGGTAGGGTCAAATGGAGTAGACCAGATGGCAGGGCGCCATGTGGTATTGGTGATCTGAATGGCAAACCAAACTCTAACGAGGTCACTGATGATGGGATTGTTCCAATAACAAGTGGATCACTGAATCGATCGCCTAGGATGAGTGTTGTTAGACCAGTGGGAAGTGTGCCAGGCGATATTGGACCATGAAAGCTACCACCAAGATCTAGATACTTTATCCCGGCAGGCAAGTGTTCAAGCTGATGATCACTCATACCACCAAGTGTGAGTGATGTGAGACCTGAGGGTAGAGTATTCAGGCTACCCGAGAACGGAGAACCAATCTTGAGTGAGGTGACACCAGAGGGAATGAATCCATCATATTGCCATATATATGTTTCAAACGACAGGGTCGTGAGGCTACTGGGCAGATCACCAGGATTAATTATCAGAGTGAAGTATTCACCAAAGATCATCGTTCTCAAGCCATCAGGATAGCACGTGGGCATAACTGCATAGATTGTGTTAGGCTTGACTGGTCGATTGCCTGCAAACTCAAGTGTTGTGAGGCTCGAGGGCAGGTCATCTGATTGTAACGGCTGTTTGAATGACGCGCCGAATGCCAGATAGGTGATTGATGCTGGCAAACAATGTGGCTGCAATGGTTTGTCGAACTTTGAGAGCGGTACAAACTTGAGAGTTGTGATGCCCAGGGACAGCATACCCGGTATGATGGGCTGATTGAACTCCATGCCAAATATTAGAGAGGTAAGTCCAGGAGGGAGGACACCAGGTTCGATAGGTTGATTGAACACTCTTCCAAATGTGAGAGTAGTCAACGATGCAGGCAGGCAACCAATTGGTATCGGTTGATTGTACAACATATCATATTTAAGTGATCGCAATTGTGATGAAAGGATACCAGGTGTTGAACCATCATAGCCATCAATAACATATGGATAGTTGTTGTAAATGTTGATCATTCCAATTGATCGATTGATTGAATCAACTACATTGTTCACACTATTGAACAATGACTTTGATGTTAGTGATAGACATAACCTATCAACATCATCACATAATAACTCTTGTATAATCTTCCTAATCAATATTATTGGTAATGTTTCTAATGACATCATTCATTCATTCATTCAATCTTTATCTCTATCTCTTCATCTTTGTACAGAATTTGAAGTAATATTGACAAATGCAATGTCAAGAGACTCTTTTTCAAAACATGGTCCAAGACTCGAATTCTTCTCATTCTACTTCAAGACAAAGACAAAGAAATAGAAATGGGTAAATCATCAAAGGATAAGAGAGATATATATTATAGAAAGGCAAAGGAAGAGGGATGGAGAGCAAGGTCTGCATTCAAACTTTTACAGATAGACGATGATTACTCGATATTCGAAGGCGTGAAGAAGGTCGTGGATCTCTGTGCTGCACCAGGCAGTTGGAGCCAGGTACTCAGTCGTCGCATATACAAAGAGGGCAACGACCCCGATGTCAAGATAGTTGCCGTCGACATCCAAGAGATGGCACCTCTACGAGGTGTACTTCAAATCAAAGGTGATATCACCAAGCTCACGACGGTCCACCAGATCATCTCTCACTTTGATGGACACCTTGCTGACCTCGTGGTGTCTGATGGTGCCCCTGATGGTATGTACAACATGATCATGATCTGACATTCAATCTCAATCACACTGACACTGACAACAACAACAACATAGTTACTGGACTACATGACATTGACTTTTATGGACAAGCTCAATTGATTGTGTCGGCATTCAATATAACGACACATGTACTGCGACCAGGTGGCACGTTTGTCGCAAAGATGTTCAAGGGCAATGATATGACATTGATGTACAATCAGATGAAGATATTCTTTGGTCGAGTCAGCTTTGTCAAACCAACGAGCAGCAGAGACTCATCACTCGAGTCGTTCATTCTTTGTCAAGACTATCAGCCACCACAGCACTACGTACCGACAATGATCGATCCAATGCAAGACAATCATCGAACCACACAGCAACAACAAGAGCATCGCAGCGCCGATGAGCAAGAGCAAGTCAAGCTAAACGATTGTTACATCAGATTTGTTGCATGTGGAGACCTAAGTGGACTCCAAGATCTTCGCTCCGTGGCAGCCACAGGCTCAACATCATCCTCATAGCGTGTAGACTAGCCATGGCTAGTCCTCTTCTTTACTTTAGTAAGCTTGGCTGGTCAGTCTCTGTATGTTGACAGCAATCCTGGTCATGACCTAGGTCTGAACATTTTTGAAGGATTGACCTTCTCAGCTTGGGCACTATCATGCTGCTCCAAAAACAATGTTAACTTGTCCAGAGTTATCTCAGGGCACTCAATCACGCAGCCATTCTAGTCATGTGATTAAATATGAAGGAATCGCGAACCATTCAATCATTCATTCAAAGATGTAGCTTGTATTTGTTATAACAATGAATCCTAATTAGGAAACACAATGTGTGAGGGAACTCAAAAGTACGAAACGACAAGCAAAAGACACCAAAAGTTGCAAAGAACTGATCGAGATGTGTGGCGTGGAAGGGTTTGAAGGATCGACTTGTGGGCCAAGGTTGGGGTTGGTGGTAGTCAGGGAACTGAAGGGATGGGTGCCAACAACAACATTACAGTGAATGTGTATTCATTCAATCAATCATTGATTCATTCATTATACATAGAGATAATACTACTCTTATTATTAATAATATTATTATTATGATGTTCAGTAGTAACAAACAAAGACAACAACAACAATCACCTGCTGTTATGATTGGAGAATGCTCAAGTCTTGAATCTATCTTGTTGGCATTGGAGGAGTTGTTATTAAATAATAATGAATTGGATGATGATGTTGATGGTGCATCTTCATTAGTATCAAGTTCAAGCAATAGTAAAGCTCAACGTAAACGGCGTAATGAGAAGAGATTCATTGCCAACTTTAGTCATCTGATGCAACAGTTGATTGAATACAAGGCACATAGATCAATGGTTCAGATATTCCATCTTCGATTCATACACACTGGACATCAAATCAGTTGTAGACGCATGGCTCTCTTGATCTCGGTCATCAGCGAGTTTTTGAAAGCTGTGAATGGCAATGGAAATGGTAGCAGCTCCACCGAGCATGGTGCAGACTTCTTTCTCTCGATTGCAGACCCACAGACAGCTGCTGTATACGACTCCCAGCTAACAGTGCCAGAGATCCAGGTGGTGGCCACTGGTGGACCTGGTGGCCGATCAAGTGGCAGCAGTAGTAGTACCAGTAGCAGTAGCACATCGACTCCATCCCCGCGCTCTCCATCTCCCCTGCACCTCTCGACCAGCGCCAACAACTCCCATCAATCGTCACACTCTAATGGCCAACCACATTCACCTCGTGACCATGGTGGCGGCGCGGATATTTTAATGGCGCGACAACTCCATGACTACTTGATCACACGCTACACTGATCCGGACAACTCGCTGGTTGGATGCCAGCTAAATCAAGCCTACAACGAATCGTTGATCAACTTCCAACTGCAAAACACATATAGCAATCACTACTTGCTGGGCTTGATCAAGTCGTGGGCCGGGCTCAAGGACGATGCCATGGCGCGCCAAGTACGCTCAATGGCCACCACCATCGCCAACACCGAGTTCAAACGATCCGAGCTCGTACTAGTCGATGTATCATCACCGCTTGGAGGTGGTGGTATTGACATGTTGAAGCTTCAACAACACCGTAACATCAGTAACAACAATGCCAACAACAATAACTATGATGGAAGTACTATGTCCAATGGTGACACTTATAGATTCGCAAGGTTCGAGGAGGAAGGACCTGGCCGCATGTGTAGGATACATCTCTCGCCGACTGAGAGCTCATCGATGCTGGCCACAGCCAGTATGGACCAGGTGTACAAGGTGACACCTGATATCATGGACCAGATTCGTCTTGACAACTGGATCGACCTGGTACACGACCCCTGGCATCCCTTCCACCTGGCGCTCAACACCAGACAGAATGAGATAATCGACAACCATCTCGTGGCGCGGGTAAGTCATCATACTACACTCCATTGCCCAATCAATCAATCACTCACCATCATCCAATCAACTAGGGTATCGATGCACTTGTGATCAAACGTTGCCACTCGAATGAGAATACTTTGATGGACAAGAGTGGCCTGCGGCAGTGCAGGGACGAGCTGGTGGCATTGCTGAAGGGTCTGGACACACAGTCACCAGTGACTCCAATGCTCGCAGAGATTGTTAGATATGTGAGGGAGGAGGCATCTACCTTGCTGGACACTGCCCGTCGCACATTCTGTTATCTTCCTTTGGCCAACTCGATGGAGGCATCCATCAAGGACGTCAATGTGGACCAGGCCATCAAACTGCGCTCCAAGATCAAGGAGATGTTGGAGTTGGTCGAGCGCAATCTAAAGAGGATGCAACAGGAGGAGGCCGACGTGCTGGATGGCACGGCCAAGGACAGGATCACTCAATGGTGGCTCAAGCTGATTCGCGATGCAGTTGAGACCTTCCTCACGCTTTATGGCTTTGACCTACATGCCGTGCCACAGGACTACTTGATCAAGCCTCCCCAGAACATGCAAGCCGTAAAGGCCAACCTTGACCTCTTGCACGTTCTTCTGGCCACACCGCAACAACAACAACAACAAGATCCAAGCGTGTCCCACCTGACCCGCGAGTTCCTCAAGGTCGTGGACCATCTAGTGGACATCGTCTATCCAGCCGTGGACAAGTTTGTTCACGACAGCAGGTCAGTGGTCCTGGATGTGTTTGGAGTAAGATTGGACGAGTCCTCGCAACCATCACAGCAACAGCAACAACAACATGGATGTAAAGAGATGGATAGAATAGTCAAGGATATTGAATATCTAATTGAGATGAAGAGGTTGGAGAAGATGTGTCCAGTGGATACAACGGCACTTCAATCATCGGTCAAGACCGTCAACTCGGACATTGTAACAATACGTGGATTGGCCATCAATCGACTACACCGTCTAGAGAATGAGATGAGAACAGTAGTCGAACAATGGAGTCACCTTCTACTAAGAGTTGCTACACCGCCACCCTCTTCCTCCTCCTCTTCCTCCTCTTCCTCCTCCTCCTCATCATCATCAACAACCACAAACAATCAACAACAGACTCCAAGTAAGAACCAACATCATCAAGTATTACATCTTCAACTTCAACATCCAAAGCATTCCAATGTGATCAGTGGACAGAGATCACCTAAATAGTATTTGTATATTTGTTGTTTCGTCATAAACACCTTTGGATTGTTGTCCTCTGCACAGTGCCAGTAACATGCTCTGTGGTAGAGGTCGCGACCTTCCATCTTACCCTTACCTTCCTTACCTACTTTGACTCTAGACTACAGTGTTGTGTCGCGAGGTATGGTTCTAAGAATTTGAGTTTTGAGATATTTGACTCAATTTTGAAAAGATTGATAGTGAAGAAGCCTCAAAATGAAGCTTGTTTTGAGATTGATTGATTAATCATCATCCTTTTAACGGTCTTTAAGATAGAGATACAGATGGCTGAACAAAATAAGAAACAACAATCAACATTGGACAGCTTCTTAATCAATAAATCATCACCAACTTCATCATCATCATCAACAGCACGTTCATCATCAACATCAACATTGAACAACAAACAAAGATAAAGATAATAATAATAAGAGGACAACACTATCAGCAGATCTATTGTTATTTGATGATGATATAGATAATGAAGATAAACAGAAACAAAAGAAGATGAAACAATCAAACAACAATGATTCAGGTGATCATTACTCAACAACAAACAACGGTAGTCACAAGAATGGTACATCGACAACAAGTACTACAGGATTGAAGGGTTCAGGTGGTCTATTCGATGATGTTGATATATTCGATACATTGGCAAACAACTCTCAGACACAGATATACGAGATGGACGATGAAGAGTACATCAAGGCAACACAAAAGTCATCGATATCACTGATACCAGAGAGAGACGATGAGAAATACAAGGACGTGTGGAACTCAGAGTACGTTAAGTTGCCATGCTCAAAGAACAATGTCTACCGATCGCTTGACTCCAACGACAGTCGGTATCTGAGCAAATGGTATTTGATCAATACGATTCTAATGGAGCCCATCAAGAACCCCGAGGAGCTCGAGGCTGCTATCAAGGCCATCAACCCACGCTGTGCCTGGGACTTCCAAGGCCTGTTGGACTTCTTTGAGACGGAGCTCACCGAGACAGAGGTCAGTGAGTTCTTCACAAAGACCCTGCCCCTCATTGTACATCGCGCTCTTCAGCTGCCTGAGCTGTGTCCTCGTCCCATCCCCCTGCTCGATCAATCAGTGGACAAGGAGATCATCCTGTCCCAGCGCCAGATCTCATCGCTCCTGGCCAACGCATTCCTCTGCACATTCCCACGTCAAGGCAGTGGAACTGGACGTTACAGCCGCTTCCCCTCTGCCAACTTCCACTCACTCTACTCTGCTCCCTGCACTCCATCACGTGCCGCCAAGCTCAAATGTATTCTAAACTATTTCAAACGAGTTGCATCAGATAGTATGTTCAATCAATCAATCATGCAATCAATCAACATCGTGCTAACAATGACACACATACAACAGAGCTATCTGGTTGTGTATCCTTTCACAGACAGGTCATTGGAGAGAATGAGATACCAGATTGGGAGAAGAGTGAATGTCTCCTTCACGAACTTGTTATATTCAAGGAAGGAACAATCGAGGACAATGGTGCCGACTACCTTCAGGTGGACTTTGCCAACAAGATGATTGGAGGTGGTGCTTTGGGTCATGTAAGTACACACACGTCTTGTCTATTGCCACCTCATCCAGATCAACTAACTAACTGGTCTATCGCTCTCTCCACCTATAGGGATGTGTACAAGAGGAAATTAGATTTATGATCAATCCAGAACTGATCGTATCGAGATTGTTCACTGCACAGATGACAGACAATGAGGCTGTGCTCATTGTAGGTACGGAGAGGTTCTCCAACTACACTGGCTATGGAGATACATTCACCTTCTCTGGCAATCACATCGACTCAACTCCCAAGGACAGCCAAAACAGAATCATGACGTCAGTAGTGGCAATCGACGCCATCAAGCTCATGGGTGATCCATTCCAACAGTACTCTCCAAACTATTTCGATCGGTATGTTACCAATCTCGTTTGATTGATTGCCAGACGCTAACATACTACTTTAGTGAGTTGATGAAGTCATACTGTGGATTCTTGGACAGGTACTCAAAGACGATCCCGTCTCCAGTGGGCACAGGTAACTGGGGATGCGGTGTGTTTGGTGGCGACAAGCATCTAAAGAGTCTGGTGCAATGGATGTCTACGTCACAATGTGGAAGAAGCATGGCCTACTTCTCATATGGCGATGAGACCTTTTTCAACGAACTCACCAACATTGTCGGCATCCTCCAACAGAGCAAGGCAACAGTTGGAGAGATATACAAGTCCCTGTGGCACTAWTTACAAGTTGGTCAAGGAGACCAAGTCCCAAATGCCCCTGTTCAAGTATCTGGAAGCACACTTTGGCTAAAGATGGGTCACCATCATCGGCCATTCGCCAGTCAGCCAGCATGTGAACATCCATTCCTATCACCCGCCATATCCCCTTACCTTATCAACAGCCAGCCAACCAACATGTTGTAATAATAACAATTGGATCACACTCATCATGGATGGATGGATGGGATGTGATCAATCAAATTGAACAATGGGTCCATCTACTTTGTTACATTGATATAGTTTAGTTTGTTGAGTTGAGGATAATAGGTGTGTACATTGAGTTTAGTCGTCGAATGGACTGTTGCTCTTCTTGATAAGCTTGGACTGCTCCACATCCTTCTTGACCATGTTTATCACTTTGACCGATTGGTAGAGGATGTGTCCAAAGTACATGGCCGTGCATGGCACGATCCAGAAGAGATAGGGTAGTCCGGCCACCATGATCAGTCCAGTGCTGAATATGAGCGAGGACAGCTCAACCTTGGCCACATAACTGTTGTATGATTGAGATGTCGAGATGAACTTGTCGTAGGACATGTTCCTATAGTAGTGCAGACTGGCCACCATTGCACAGGCCACTCCAGAGTTGCGCATTCCTATCTGACGGACCCATTGTGGCTGCTTTCGCAGCAGTGCAAACGCTGTGAATGCGCCACCAACAGCGAATACCAACAAGCCAACGAATCCAACAGGGCTCTCATACACCTCTTGGACACGGCCAAGTAGTTGACTCTTCTCAACGAGAAAGTCGTTGTCTATAGACGGTGGAAAGGTGTTAGTTGTGTAGGTGGCAAGGGTCAAGCCAAGGATCATTCTTTCATTCATACCAAAGGGTCTTTGTTGTCCTGGATTGAGGATCTTCTTGAGTTGGAGTATCTTTTGTTTGGTCTCCTCTGACACCTTTTGGCCATTGAACACTGTGAGGTTGACCAATAGACTGAGCTCAAGTGCCAAGGTGGTGGAGGGCTGGTATCTCAGCACCATCTGATCGCTTTCAGAACCAGGCTCTGGTGCCTCAAAGTATGAATCGACACGCTCACATATGGTCTCGACCACGCCCCTTTGAGACAGTATCTGACGTCCTGCACGGAAGCCAGAGATCTGATACAACAACAGTATACCCTCATCAGTCAACTGGCCAGCCTTGAAGTCATTGATGATCTCGTCCAACTCGCCGTTGTTTATCCATAGTCCAATGGGTGGCGCCCACCAATCTTGATTGATGATTGATTGATGTATGTTAGCAAGACTAAGTCATGATGCTGTTGTTGATGATACACTTACAGTAGCTTAACATCTTCCTAAAGTATCTGTATTTGGACTGCTTGTCAGTCCTGTTGCGGTCTTCATCTGATTGTGATAGTACCAATGAACCAAGTGCGGCCAATGATATAGCCAAACCAATTGAGAAGAGGATGGCATTGGAGAATGTCCTGCCCTCACCAGTCAGCCTCCAATCAATCTTGTCCTGGGGAGGTGGTCGTTGTGGAGGTGGACCTTGTATAACGAATGTAGTATGTTGTTCTTCTGTCTTTGGTTGATCCTTTGACGATGATGATGATGATGATGATGATTGTGATGAGTACTTGAGTACACCTAAATGTCGATTGTCAGAACTTAGTAGGAAGTTACTGTTGTTGTTGGCTACAGTGAACATTGAAGTTGGACTGATGTTCAGTCCCTTTGCCAGGGGAACAACATTGAATTGAGATACCAAGTGACGATGCTTGGGCATCAACTTCAACAGTTGTCTCTGCTTGTCACCATATCTAACAATACTACGATTCCATAATGTTGATAACATTGTTGTTATTTAATGTTATATGTATATCTGAAAGAGAATGATGAGGTGGTAAATGATGGGTTGATCAGTCAGTGCACTTCACCAAAATTGCAATTTGATCACATTCCAACCCAACAAACACATAAATGACTAGCAATTCCTCCACAACAACCAACAACCAACAATACTTACAACAACTAACAATGCCAGCCTGTTTATTTCTTATATTAGCCTGGATGAACTGAGGTGGCCAAGGGATTGAAGGAATTTGTAGCTTTTATCTGCGCTGTCGGATCCTGCTTGAAGCGAGAGGAAAACAAAGTGCTTGGTCCATTTGGTCAGCATTGTCCTGCAGCCACCACCAGGAGGACGGAGAGTGAAGCAGAACAGAGACTCGGAGAGCGCTCGGATAACAAGGCCATACATCGCCACGTTTGAAAGGTGGCGAGCCATGCGAATAAAAGTCAATGCAGTATCCTGTGCTGACATGCGTTGGTTGCCTCTAAATGACTCGCTGATGGTGAGCTGCGTGACCAAATGTGGAGGGAATCGTGATCGTCTCAATGTGCGTAATATGTCTGGAATTTTGTAGCCCATATGTCCAATGATATTCAATGATTGTAGCGTTGGTGGAATCATCGCTTCCGCGAGAGGAGCGCTGAGGTAGCCGATGGTCAGCGTTTTGAGCAACGGAGGAAGACATCCTGGATGACTGCAATCGAGTTGCCCATGGGAGTAGAGCTCGACCATCTCAGACGAGGAGGCGTTGGCAATGACTGAGATATTGAACGAGCATATGGACAACGATGTCAGTGTTGGAGGGATAGAGCCCGGGTACATCCCTTCGCTCATTAAGTAAATAGTCAACTTCTTAAGAGTGGGCGTGATTGTCCCAGGAGGGATATCTTCGCGATCACGACTGCTGACAATCGTGAGGTCGGTCAATGATGGCGGAAGAAGACCCGGTCGCAGTTTGAGCGACGCAATGGAGAGCGTGATTAATGACGGCGGGAGCGACCCAGGAACGAGGTTGTCTTCATGGATGTAGGTGTCGCTCAGGTTGAGCAAGGTCAACGATGATGGAAGTGCACCAGGTGGTAGCAGTTGGTTGAATGGCCCCCATATGTGGAGGGTCCTCAGAGCAGCGGGGAGGATAGATCCCCCATCGCCATCGTCCAAGCGTTGGTCGAAGGGAGCACCAATCTCCAAGTGCGTCAGAGATCGTGGCAAAGATCCCTTGAGGAATGGTTGGTTTGAATCCTCGAGCAGAATTGAGGTGACGGTGTCTGATATAGACAGTGGCAGTATCTGCCTGTCTTCGCATGACAGCCTTATGCCATTATGGCCATTGTTGGTCGGTGCTTTTTTGATCGTCAAACGTGTCGCTAAGGTGGATTAGAGGAGGGCATCGCGGTGACTGAAAAGACTCTTTGTCGAAAGCACAAAGCAAATAACATCTAGTGGATCATCTGTAAGAAAAGAGATGATATGTTGGCACAACAGTATAGGTAATGGAGTATTCATTGTTGATTGTTATTGGTTGATTGTTATTTGTTGTTAAATCAAAATTAGCGGGGGTGTCATCACTAAGACTAAAGAGAGTTTAGATCGGACTTGCGTGCATCCTCTGGCCTAACACGTTATCAGTGCCAAATGTGGAAACAGTATGTATGTCGTAAGCATGAATGAATAACTTTGTCAATCAATTGATTGACTGGATTCTTTTATTGGTCACGCGCGTGGAGTCCCATACCATTTAGTCAGAGTCGGACTCTTCTGAATCAGATTCGCTTTCCTCACTCTCTTCACTCTCCTCACTCTCATCATCATCTTTATCACTATCCGATGTAACTGCTACTGCTGCCAGTGACACGCCTACCTCATCATCGAAAGCCTCCTCTTCATCCTCCTCATCAAACTCAGCCTTGAAGTACTCGTTGAGCTGCTTGAATGATATCTCATCATCAGTTTGAAGAAACTTGGTGACATTGACATAAGAGTACATGTAAGATGGTGCACCAGCGGATGTCTCCAGAAGTCCAACACAAAGTGCCAATTGTCTTGTTGAACCATCGAGGAAGCGGAAGTCAAATGCATGTCCTTGGATGTTGATGCGGAAGTTGGTGAGGTGGACATTGGAGTTGATCAAAGATTGGAGGTAGGCCTTGGCACCTTGTGGTGACACACTGAAGCTGATCTTGACATCTTGGATGCTCTGAGGGATGACACGCTCACCATGCTTGGCAGCTTCATTCTTTGGAGACACATCAACGCGGATCTTCAATGCCCTAATCGATGCACCAAGTGCAATGTACTGGTGTTGTGACCTGAGACTTGCGATAACAAGTCTGGTCAGACCTTGGGGCAGGACCACCTGGTCAACAGGCTGTTTGAAACCTTGGCCAATACTAATCATACGAAGTGACTCTGGCAAGACACCAGCCTCAAGTGGCTGATTGTAAGTCTCACCCAACTTGAGAGAGACCAATGACGATGGCAACACACCAGGTTTGATGAGAGTATTGAAGTCCATTCCAAACTTGATAGAGGTGATTGACGATGGCAACACTGGAATATCCTGATTGAACTCATCACCAAACTCAAGGTATCTGAGAGTCGATGGAAGGACACCACCCTCAGCGAGGGACTGATTGAAACTCAAGGCCAGACTCAATCTTTGGAGACCCTCTGGTAGTGTTCCACTCTTGATTGGATGATTATAGTTGATGCCCATGTCTAAATGGGTGAGCGAAGTTGGGAGCACACCAACATCCAATGGCTTGCTGAACATCTGTCCAAAGGTGAGTGACTTGAGTGAAGTTGGCAACATTCCTGGGACGATTGATTGATTAAATTGATCACCCATACGAAGAGTGGTCAAAGCTGGCAACTTGGACAGGATCAAATCACCCTCTGGTGAAGTATCTCCCTTCTTCCTCAAAGGTTGGTAGTTGCCAAGTTTGAGTGATGTGATGCTCGATGGAAGATTGGTTGGTGGCTGCATGTAGAACTGTCCATAAGTGATATGCTGGAGGCCCTCTGGCAGATTACCAGCCTCAAATGCTTGGTTAAAGTTGTAACCAAGAGTTAACTCCTTGAGAGTCTCTGGCAAGACCTTGGATGAAAGTGGCTTGTCAAACTTCTCACCGAATGTGAGCTTGACCAAGTTGGAAGGCAACGAACCGACGGCCAAATGTTGGTTAAAGGCTGCGCCAAACTCCAAAGCGGTCACGGACTGTGGAAGCATTCCTGGCTGCAAGGGTCTGTTGAACATAAATCCATACTTTAACTCCTGCAAGGTTGAAGGGTAGCTGTCTGCCTTGACTGCCTCGTTGATGGCTTTGCCCATCTCCAATCTGGTGAGAGTGGCTGGAAGGACGACTGGTGCAACGGACATTGTTTGATCATCAAGCTTCCAGGTTGATAGTGGTGATGGTGATGTCTTGCCCTTGCTGGCATCCTCATGTCTTTCAACAATTGATAACCAACGTCTCCAATTGTACAACTGACCATAATGTTCCTTACATGTCAATGCGAATGACAACACATCAATAGCATCCGACAGATGGTCGACAATAAGTATAACAGAGGATTGAGTTAATTTATCCATTATTAATGTATATAAGTATGTAAGTGTATTACTATCACTATTTTGAAAATGATTTAGTGTTGGGATATTGATGGATACATCATGAAGAGGTCTGGACAGACCTCCACATCATTATCATCCAACTCCTTCGTGGACCTCATAATAAAGTTGATATTTTATCACTTGGCTTGCCTGATAATGGGCAACGAATATGTAAACGGACGGGTAAGATGGTTCGATGTAACCCTTGAGTTGACCTTGGATGATGTGGTGGGATCGATCGAATCCCCTTGACATCTCACTCGCATCCTTATTTAGACCATGTTTGCAAAGTGCTGATCACATGATCTGATCGCGTGACATCCTTACCCCTGATCAGCTGACAGCAAGCCAATGTCACGTGATATACCCTTTTGTATGGGGAAGTGAAGAAGCCTGACCTGATGTAGGTATGAGGTAAAGTAAGAAGAAAAGTACAATGTGAAAGGGTTTATTGGTACCACTTGTTGATCTGGGTGACGATGTTGTTGGTGTCAGAGCCAGTGATGAAAGCAACCTGCTTCTTGACGGTTGGGAAGTTCTTGAAGACCATGAAGGATGGGAACACACCGACACCGGCAAAGAATGGGTGGTTGGAGTACAGCTCACTTGGGATGATCACCTGGCAGAACACTCCATTTGGATAGTTGTTTGGCAGACCATTCAACCAGACCTTGATGTTCTCACAACCAGCACATCCATCATAACCGAAGTAGAAAACGAGCTAAAGGATTGAGGGAGAAGTGTTAGGTTGGTTGATTGATTGATTGATCGATCAGGGAGAAAGGGAATGGGTGAGGGACATACGATTTGGTTGACGTCTGCGTTGGCGAGACCGTTGTTGACCTCCTCAGACGAACTGATCGTTTGCCAGTTGTTGAGGTAGATGGAAGAAACTGCGTTGGTCATAGTCATTTTTGATTATGTATGTATATGTTGTGTAATGTTAACAGTAGTATTACTAGATTGTGTATTATTATTTGTTGGTTATGTGATTGAATGATTGTAAAGTGCACAAATCCCCTTTTTAAGTTGATTGATTGATGAGGTAGGTGCGAAAGTGATAATCACACACATACAAACTATACCAAGCATTCCATCATAAATCGCCAAAGACCAAAGAGGTGATTGGGCGCCCGATCTTGTTCATTTACCATAACTGCCGGCAGCTTGGCGTGTCATTCATAGCTGCTGTGTCAACAACAACTACAATGAATGTATGATTTGTGAAGTGTACATGCACATAAATGTGATGAAAGTTCTCCTCGCCCAACAAATATCAACAACTGACTGGCACCCACATGTAGCCCACCCCCCACTCTTGAAAATCGTCGTCGTTTTTGATCAGAACCGTGTGCACAGAAGTGGGGGCGGGCGATCACTTCAACCTCATGTGCCTGGAGAGTTACTAAACTTAGGCTGTGGACATGATCATGGAAGCACCTCCTTCCTCCAAGTGCAATGACGATCAAGATCCTTCGCAATCAGTGCCCGTACGTCAATTGGAGAAATGATAAATGTGCTCATCAGATTATAGACATGGGGAGCTGTCAGCTGATCAGTAGCCCATTGACAAGTGTTGAGGGATGGTTGATGTGTATGAATTGTGTTGTTGTGACCATACTTGAGAGGACACACTTGGTCTTGTGAGTTGTCTGACGCCCAGTCCCAGAGGACCAGTCCGTTTTGCCCCTTCCTCAAGTGTTCCAGTGACGATCTATTGGCCCTCATTGTCTCAATCTACGTGTGTAGATTGATTGCCCATAAGGAGATTGAGTTTGGGAAGGCCTTGTAAGTTGCACCTCTCTATTTGGTTGGAGGCGAATGAACAAAGACGTTCGTACCTTCCTACCTGGTTCCAATCATTTGGTCCACACCAACACAAACGGTGCCCACGTGAGTGACACTTGCGCGGGTCTCGAGATGCTGGAGTTGCAATGAATTAGACACTAACACCAGGGTAGGGATCAACCATTCGCTTCATTGATTGATTGATTGATTGATTAATTTGTAGCAGGTTGTGTGTGTGAATAATGAGGTGATGGCGATGATGGCGCTTGGACCGAGCAATCGAAGAAGGAGGGAGCGAGCGAGTGTTATGTTGTTGGGCTTGCTTGTTGGGATGTGGACATTGATTTTCTTGGGATAATTAAGAAAGAAGTATCTTTATTGGTATTGTTGAAGGAATAAGAAGAAGGAGGGAATGGGCCTTGTCGCGACTGCAAGGGTGAGTGAGTAAATGTGATGCTTTGCGATGGATGATTGATTGATTTGGATTGGGCTTTGATTGGTTTTGTTTGATGTGTGTGGCGGGGAGTGAGTGTGATTGGGGTTTGATTGATTGATTGGATGATGGTTGATTTGAATGAATGAACACGCAGTTGTACTAGAGGAACATAGATGGATTTACATAATTTACATAAAGAATATGTGTGGATGGATGGAGATGTGAGGGAATAACTTGTGACATATGGCTGGCTAAAGGTTGACACTTGGCAATTGTTCCAAGGAGTAGCCTTTGGATGATGGTGATGGATGAGTGGATGATGGTAATGTTGTTGTTGCCGGTTGGTTGGTAATGGATTGGATGAATGAATGATTGATTGCGGGATAATGTCGGTATCTCTGGATAATGTCGTTGTTTAACGCGTTGTACTGGACTCTTGGAAACATGTTTGGACTGGACTAGAGGCAGTCCATGGAGTAGTGCGCGCATGCAAAGAGGCAGGCAGGACTAGGGCAATGTGCCAATTGTGAGTCATGATTGAATGGACTGCGGATGGATGGACTGCGGATGGTGCATGGTCTGTGGATGGTGCATGGACTGCGGGAGCATCTGGGGCAGCATGGGCGGCTGCTGTGGCTGCTGTTGATGGTGGCTGTGCAGATGATGCATGGCGTGTGGCAATTGCATGGCGTGCGGGTGGTGGCAGGCCGTGCGAGAGATGCATTGGCTGCGGCACGTAGTGCACTTGCTTGGGTGGTGGCGATAATGGCGATTGTTGTTGATGATGTGAATGATGTATTTGTTGTTGTTGATGGTGATGATGTTGTTGTATTTGTTGTTGTTGATGTTGTTGATGCTGTTGTTGTTGTTGTTGCTGTTGTTGCTGTTGTTGTTGTTGTTGTAGTTGTTGGGCGGCGGCAGCGGCAGCCGAGGTGGACTCTCGGTAGTCCTTCATCTTTTGCTCGTATATCTTTTTCTCCTCGTCGGATCTCTTCTGGTAGACATCCTTCTGCTCCGGGGAGATTGTGTGCCAGCGCTTTCCAAGAAGTGAGCCAATCTCTGTGAATGACGCTTCGGGATTCTCCTGCTTAACAATAGGTCTAAACTCCTGGCAGAATATGATATATGGTGACAAGTACCTGCGTGGCTTCTAAGTATTCGCGAAGTAGTAGCATGGCACGGTAACAAGATAGTTAATATTTGTTGGTTGACGATTGATCAATCAAAGGTCAATGCATGCTGCTTGACTAACCTACATTTTTGTCTTTGGCCATGTCTAACTGATTGTTGAGATTGGTTGATTTCTTGATTGATTGATTGAATGAATGAGTGAGTGAAGATAGATTGCTGATTGCTTGGCTTAGTTTGTTGGCTGGACTGTGTGAGACTGATGATTGTTGGCTCTTTGGCTTGTGAGTATTGAGGACAAGGACAGAGCAGGGCAAGGGCAAGGGCTAGGTCAAGGTTCAAGTTCAAAGGCAGGGCAGAGCAGACAGGTCAAAGGACAACAATGGTCAAAGGTCAAAGAGATTGCAAGAACAGCAAGACAGAACAGAATAGAACAGAGTGGACGGAGACAGAGGGCAAGCTGAGATGTTTGGTTGGTAGATTGAGTTGAGTGGAAGTGTCTGTTTGTTTAATGATGAGTGCGTGCGTGCGCAGAAAGACAAACTAACAACAGCAGGTGCGCGTGTCCGGCTGGGTAGCCAATGATATGCTTGAGGGAGGGTGGGGTGCTGAGCTGCGGACAGCAGGCCTAACTGTTCATACTCATTGATGGATGCGTGCATGAGGGGAGTAGTGTCTCTTGCTTTTTAAATTAAAAAATATATTTAAATAAGGTAAAATCATTACCACATCACATAACCCCCACAAATTCTAATGATCGCCGCATGCGTGTTCCTTCCTTTACCCCCCAATAACCCAAACAAGAAGTGTTGTGAGTGTTGACGTGAAGGCACGTACGCAACCCTCTTTGGGCAATCATAAACACACATCACAAAAGGTTTTGTTTGATTATTGTTGTTTGTGTTGTATGGGTGGTTCCCAATGACCGTTACTCAAGAATTTGAATATTTGAATTGCTGTTACACAACAAAGGGTTTTGTTTGATTATTGGATTAAAGCGTGATTGTGTGTGTGTGAGAAAAGATAGAGATAGATAATCTTAACGTGAACAATGAAGAAAGAGTGTGTTGTCGTCTTTCCTAGATAGTGGTTGTTTGTGTTTGTGTTGACAACTCCAACATATTATTATTATTGTTGAGTAATGATTATTATTTCTTTGTTGGGTTGTCGAATCAAAGGATTGCGGTCCATGGAGTGATTTGTGGTTAATAAAAGGATTTAGAAAAGTAGATGTCGACATCAAAAAAAAGGGAAAACAAATAAAATCAAATATATCATCGATGAATGACGACTTTAGCTATCACTTGATTACTCTCACTCAATCATTCAATCGTCCAATCACCCAATCACTCATTCAGACCCACACTCACCACTAAGACTAGACATCAACAGATATTTTTAGTTGTTATACACATACACACACACAATTCTCTCTCTCTATCTATTATCTGTACCACACACTTACACACACACTACTACATCGACAGTTGTGCAGTGAACCGAACTACCACCCACCAAATACCAACACCAACATCCATCGATCACTCATCCTCCCTCCCCTCCAATTGGATAAAGAAACACGCCACACACTGCCAATCTTTCATTCAACCACCAATAGACAGAACAGAATTGCCCGCCAACAACAAACCAAGCTAAGCCAACACCAAGCCAAGCAAAGCGCACGAGCGCTATAATTACACATTCTCTACTCTCTTGATCATTTGATTGATTGAGTGAGAGTTCATCATCATCGATACAATCAATACATCAAACATATTAGTAGTAGTAATAGTAGTAGTAGTTCTTAGCCACACTCACTAACAACAGCAACAATATTATCCCCGCTGACAGTTGTCGGGTGATTATCGATCGAACAGCTGTACTTCTTGTAAATCATCATCAGCCATTTAAGACACACTATCTCTATCTATCTATCTATCTATCTCTTCAGCAGCCTGTCTTTCAATCAACTCCATTCAATCATTCACGCACTCACTCATTCATTCATTCAACTCCAACATCAATCAAACAATCATTCAATCAAACATTAATAATAGTATAATACTACATAATAATCGAGGATGAATTCATCAAGATTGCCACCTCCAACATTGATATCGACTAGTTCGTTGTCATCGTTGTTGCCACCAACGTCACCACCACCAAAGTTGCCAATGTCGACATCGGCGGCTAATCATTTGCATCTGCATGGCTCAAAGGATTCATCAATGTCAACACCACTCAATATGTCCACTGGCTCACTGTCGTCGACGACGTCGGGCTCGACAGGCCACGAGGAGAAGCTGGAGAAGCTCAAGGACATCACCGTCAAGACCATCGACAACATCATTCTAAAGATCGCAGAGATGAAGCGCGAGAAGCAGTTCCTGCAGTCGTTCCAGGACGTCATGAGGATATCAGAGTCATTGGTGGAGATTGAGAAGATGTTGGATAGCGTCGACTTGGACAGCTCATCCACCTCTTCCTCCTCCTCATCCAGTCCTGGCACAAGCACGCCTCCACTTCCAGCTCAAGGTGGTGCCACACCCGAGCGAATCGACTCTGCCACCGAGCTCATCAAGATCATCCACACGAGGACCAATCAAACCAAGCGCGGATCAAAGAGTATGTAGTATCCACGATCACCTCGCTTGCTCTGGCGTCCATTGTCTCACATTCACTCACTCACTCAATCAATCAACAGTGCAGAGATCAGTTAGTAGCGTGGACTCTTTGCATGCTGTGTTGCAGCTGTGCTTGGATAACATTAAGATCAAGATGCTGTCGCTAAAGGTTCATATACCATTGGAGACATCAATCCAGGCGGCCATCAAGAATGGTGAGATCATAAGGAACATCAGGAATCAATTGAATGCCATCAGAACTATCACGTTGCCAGACTCTGTCTCACTGATCGATGGTGAGAAGCTGTTGCTAAAGGTGGAGGCACGCTATCACTTCTATGACAATGTTCACGATCAACAAAAGGAACAACAACAACAGCAGTCTTCGTCTTCGTCGTCGTCACATCATCATCATCAGACGACTCATACACTGCCGCCATCACCATCCAAAGAGAAGGATCTGTCATCATCAGCCACATCATCAATCTCAACCAACGAGGAAGAGTACGTCACTGGCACATGCTACATCACCAACTTCCAACTCATATTCAATGGACTACATCAAGGCGCACACTTTAGAGTAAGTCACCTGGGCCCAGAGGTGGGTGTGGAATGATTCCAGGCCACTCACTGACCCGATCAATCAATCAAACAGAAATCATTTAGTATTCACTCAGTTGGCAAGATTGTAAAGACTGGAAAGAAGAAGTCAGCTGGCGAGTTCACTTATAGACTGAACTTCTTGTGCAAGGACTGCCACACATTCTCATTCTCCTTTGACAGGAACAACAATAACTTGAAGAACGTTAGACATTGTGTCAATAATATATTGAGCGAGCCATTGTTCTGCTTCACGCACAAGAACGAGTCGACGCTGCGACCCGACCAGCACAACCTCGGCTGGAATATCTACGATGTGCGCTCCGAGTACGCGCGCATGGGCGTGCCCTCACCCGACTGGAAGATAAGCCAGTTCAACAACGGCTACTTCCTGTGCGACACGTACCCCTCGCTACTGGTCGTGCCCGCCAGCGTCCCCGACGAGCAGCTCAAGGCCGCCGCGCAGTTCCGATCTAAGGGAAGGATACCCGCGCTCTCATACTGCCACTGGAGCAACAGGACGTCCATCACGCGATGCAGCCAGCCCCTAGTGGGCATCGGTAGCAACCGCAGCCGCGATGACGAGCAGCTGCTGAACGCCATCCGTCTTACGGCGTCCACGTACGGCGGTACGCCAAACGACAAGACGCTGTACATTATCGATGCGCGACCCTACGCCAACGCCGTGGGCAACCGTGCCAAGGGCGCCGGCTGGGAGATCATGACCAACTATGCCAACTGCGAGATTGAGTTCATGGGCATTGCCAACATCCATGCGATGCGCCACTCACTGCTTAAGCTGCGCGAGGGTGTCGAGTCCAGTGTCAACAAGGAGGACACATGGTACGCCACGCTCGAGTCGTCCGGCTGGTTCAACCACCTCAAGCTGATACTGGCTGGCGCGGTGCGCGTAGCCAAGCTCATCCACATCAACCATTCCAATGTGCTGGTGCATTGCTCGGACGGCTGGGACCGCACGAGCCAACTGGTGTCGCTTGCCGAGATCCTGCTCGACCCATACTTCCGCACGATTCGCGGCTTCCAAATGCTGATCGAGAAGGAGTGGCTATCCTTTGGTCACAAGTTTGCCCAGCGCTGTGGTCAGGTCCAGGGCAAGGATGAGGACGAGCGTTCGCCCGTCTTTATCCAGTTCCTCGAGGCCGTCTACCAGATCATCAATCAGTTCCCCAACAAGTTTGAGTTCAACGCACACTTCCTGCGCACGATTTACACGCACGCCTACAGTGGCCGCTACGGCAACTTCCTCTACAACTGCGAGAAGGAGCGCATCCAGCACTACCCCTACGCCAAGACCCTGAGTCTCTGGTTCGAGATCGACCAACACATCAGCAGCTACATGAACCCGCTCTATCAGGCCGGCTCCATCGGCAGCGGCAGCAGCAGCGTCGACGAGAAGGACGTACTCTTCCCCGATTGTTCAATCAAGAAGATGAAGCTTTGGCGCCAGATCTACTTCCCACTGGCCGACACCGATATCTATGAGGTCGAGGAGCGATTCATACGCCAGGCATTCGAGAAGCAGTTGGAGGAGCGCGCTCAAGAGTTCGCCACCAAGTATCCCTTGTTGCCAATCCGTCTGCACACTGCGTCCGTTTCCAATCCACGTCGTCCAACTCTTACACTGTCTCAGCAGCAACTTAACTATCCAGTAGTGGCATCAGTTGTGTCTGGCACCACTTCAGCTGCAGCGGCAGCTGTCGACGAACAACCCATCACTGGTGAGAACCATGGCAAGTCAGCGAGTGGCGAGGACAAGGACAAGAAGAAGTTCTACACACTTGGACGCAACATCTTTAAGAGGAAGGATGGTAATGGTACCATCTCGCCAAAGAAATAAATAATCAATATGTTGTAACCAGTAAGTTACCGGTAAGGGTAGGGTAAGGGTAGGGTAGGGTAAAAGGACGAGCCAACGATGAAGTTGCACACATGCGAGTGCGTGATGGTTGGTTGGACAATCATGGGTTTAGCTTTATTGGCCTTTGGTTTTTGGTTTGGCGTGTCGTGGCGTGGCGTGCGATGGCTCTGGCGTTGGCTAGTTGGCTGGGACAACCTCGACAACATCTGTGGTGGCGACGGGAGCAGAGTCGTTGGCAGCGAGTGTGACCAGGTTGGCAACGGAATCCTTGTCGGTGAAGGAACCCTCACGAGAGTGGTTGGTGGAGGCGTTGGTGACGGACGAGTTGGAGGACACCTCGTCGCTCAGGCTCATCGAACTAAAGTCGGTGTGAAGCCCATTGGACAAGGCCGTCTGCTTGGTCGCCGGCTCCTGCTGCTTGATGCGGTTGTCGCGCTCCAACCAGTACTCGCCGTTGAACTTCCACAAATAGCCAAACTTGGCGTCGTCCACCTTCTTGAAGTAGGACGGCGTCCACACCTTGCCCAGACGGACGCGCTCGCGTCTCTTCTCGCGCTCGCGCTCCTCGATGGCGCGCTTTTCCTTGCTGGACTTCTTGTTGTCGAGGTGCTGGAGGGCGCGTCGATCGCCACGGATTCGCGAGTCGGTCACGGGCAGGATCTTCTCGTACTCGGGCGTCAGGTCGTTGAGCGACTGGACAAACGCGCCCATCTTCCACTTGTTGTCCTTCTCCATGGGGTCGGCCTCGGCGCGCCAGATGGGGTACTCCTCGACCTTGGTCACGCCGTCGTCTGCCAACTTGGCCACGTCGATGAACTCGCTCCATATGCCTGTGATGATGTAGCGCTTCTTGCCATTCTGGTCCAGTACCTCACCAGACACCTTCTTGGTGACACTATCAAACCAACCAGCCTTCTGGAAATTCAACACTGCCTTCTCTCCAGTTGTATTATTAACAATAGTCATCTGACCATGATGTTCTACCCATATCTTTCCGAATATAATGTTGTGGCAGCATGATCTAAGATGTATTATTGGACATAGTTAGTCTTAGATCTTAGATCTTAGATATATCTTATATCTGATCATCAAGATATGTATGTGAGTGGATACATACGATGGTACTTTCCATGAGAAATGATCATTGTATTGATGAAGATGAAGATGGTTGTTACCCAAGCTGAATATGTCTACTGAGTTGCCCCAGAACTTTGTGGTGATGTGTGACTCTTGTTGGAGAGTGAATCTGTCACTGGAGGTCTCAGCAATGCCAATAGGTGGATGATGGCTGACTTGCTCGCACACCGTTCTATATTTGCCATCCTTTGGTACGTACTCATACGTCTCACCAAGCACAGGATTGAATGGTTTGGCTATAATGATGGTCCAAAGAATTTATGTAAGTCAGCTGACTTTTGATTGATCACGTGACCACTGATCACGTGACACATTGATGATCACGTGACACACTTTAAAATGACTACTTACCAGTTCTAACGTATGAGCTAAAGAGTGCAATATTGAAGGCAGCGACGTGGACCATGCGGTCCAATGAGTTCTCGAGTTCACAGGCCTTCTCGATGAGGTTGATGAATCTGAGGGGCTCGCATTGGGATTGCAACACCGTCAGTGGCTCGAAAAAGTATACTGGAAGCGACACTAACGACATGGTATCCTTGCCGATCAATCCCTTCATCTTGCTCAACACGCTGGACGTGTCACCCTGCTCTTGCTCGTCCTCCTTGTCGAAATCCTCGTTGTCCAGGTTCACGTCCTCGTCGGGTGATGTGGTGGCGTCTATCTGAGTGTTTTCATTCTTTGTTGGTACAGTGTTGTTGGTAGTTGGTGTAGTTGGTGTAGTAGTGGTTGGTGCAGTAGTAGCAGTAGTAGCCATGGTAGTGGATGTGGCTATGGTTGGTTGATTGGCAACAGTGTCCTCTTTTTTGGTGTTGAATATATCCTTAATGAAAGACATCTTTAAGTTTAAGATTTATCATTAGTAAGTACTCTTAATCTTGGATTGATTATAGTTTATATTGTGTTGTTATTGATTGATTGAAGTGATTGAAGTGATGTTTTTGAATGAAGTGGAGAATTGCCAACTGTTGGGAATTTAAATGTTGGATTGTGATTGAATGTTCAACATAAATACAATGCATGAATGAATGAATGTAAGAGTGTGTGTGTGTGTTTGAATATGATTGATTGGAGTGTGAAAGATAGATAGATCAACAAAGAACAGTGTGTGTCGTGTGTGTTTGATTGTTCACACTTATTGATTGATTGGTGTGAACATGTGTGTGTGTGTGACCACGCAGACATCAATCAATTAACTACAATTGCACACACTAACAGAAATAATAATTATTATATATATATATATATATATTACAACAAAAGATAATAAATATTTATATAAAAATAAATAAATAAAGAAGTAGAACTATACTTACTTTTATAAGATTGGTCTTCGAAAGGGTAATATCACTTAATGAACAAAAATAGAATTACTATATGTTGTGATGATGTATGATTGGTATGTAGGTTGTACAAAGTAGAATGAAGTTTCCTTGATGGACGCGAGTTGAATGAAAGATGGTGACTGGTCTGGATTGTTGGATTGTTGGTTGGATGGATGGATGATGGAGGGCCGGAGTCGAAAGGTGGTTGTGAACTCGTGGCACTTGATCTATTTCTCTCTCTATGTCTGTGTTATTAATAAGTTAGTTAGTTATCTGTTGTGTTGGTTTGTTGTTGGTAGGTAGCGATTGTGATTTGTTTTGGTGTGTTGTATTGTGAACTTTTGTTGGGCTCTCTTGAATGGCTGATTGTCACGATCAATGTGGCTTGGCGGGGAGTTGACACTATCTCATACACACACAATTCATGTCCGGACAGGACCCAGAAGAACGTTCATGCTCACTCACTCATTCACACACATATCCAAACACCCGGTGTAAAGATATTTAAACTAATTTTATATTTATAACGAGTACTTTTGATCACACTTTTGACTACTTAGAACCTCAGTGTGAATGATCACTGTTAGGGTTGTGTTGTTCAAAAAAAAAACAAAAAGTGCACTAATCAGATTTCTTTTTATCGCCCCATCATGCCCAAAAAAGGATCCTGAAATCTCAGGCTGCACTTGATGAGCCCACAACCAGTCTTGTGGTCTTCGTTTGTTTGTTCAATGAACACAACTCTCGCACCTGACTCCACAGGTGATGCGATGAGTTTGGTTACCAGTGTGTGTGTGTGTGTGTCTGGAAGGATGGATGGGCGAATGGGATGGGACCATCAGCATAGCTATCCATCGATCGATCAAGGCCCACATACGGGTTAAGCCTTGCCACAACTCAACCATCCTTCCAACCCTGATGGCAACATCCAACATCCACAATCTACCGAATGTAATCGAGTCACGTGACCTGGCTTGTGTGTTTGAATATTGTAGTTATATATTTAGACTGAGGCCAAGTTATCGCTGTCCTTTCATCTTCTTTGACTTCTTCTTCTTGAAGCTGCCATCGTCCTCCTCGTCAAAGGCTACCTCATCGTTGAGCTCTTGTTCCTTTAGCTGTTGTTGTAGTTTCTCCTCCTTCAGTCTCTTCTTCTCTTGTTTGGCGGCCTCTGCACGCAGCAGATCCTCGACCATTCGCATGTCCTTGGCGGATCTCAATCCCAACTCCTTCATAACCAGCTTCTTTCTCTTTTCTTGTTCTGATTCGGCTGTTGTTGTAGCAGTCGTCGTGGTCGTTGACTTTGTCTTCTTTGATGATCCTGTTGCACTGTTGTTGATGGGCAGTGTACTTGATGGTGCATTGGACTCGCCATTCAACATGAGGTCGTTCTCGTCTTGATCCTGTGCATCATCTTCATCCTCTCCATCCTCATCTTCGTCCTCGTCCTGGTCTTCATCCTCGTCTTCTTGGTCGTCGTCGTCCTCATCCTCGTCCTGTTCCTCCTCATTCTCTTCGGCAGCATTGTCGTCTTCGTCATTGTTCTCCATGTCCTCTTCGTCGATATCCATATTATCATCATCAAGACCCAGCTCAGACTTGAGTTTCGCCTTCTCCTCTTTGGACAATGGAACCATCTTGACAGTGATCGATCTGGCTTCAGTGACCTCGCTGATGATCTTTCCAGCGCGCACCGTCATCTTCTTCATCAACAACTGGCCCACCTCCTTATCAAACATATCCGAAGGGAACACCAAGGACACCTGCACCCTGAGGCCATGTTTCAAGAACTCGCTCAGTCTCTTCCTCTTCATCTTGAGGTCTGCAGGTTGGATCGTTGGGGATATCTAAATGTGGAAAGGGACATGGTTAGTTGTTATAAGGGGACGAGGGAGTGAGCTGTTGACGGGAGTCCACATACATATATGATCTTCTCCTTGCTCTTCTCCTTGCTCTTGATCTTGACCTTGTCCTCAAAGGTTCGGATGTACTTGGACAGATCCAGGATCTTGACGATGCCTTGTTGGTTGTCCTTGGGCGCGCTGACCAGGAGGAGGTCCAGACTTTGGTTCTGGGCCAAGCGCAGTGCGTTCATACCAGACATGTTGGTCTCGATCAACTTGTTCTCCGCGCCAATCACCTTGAGATTGTTCATGTGTGTCAGGTCGTTGTTGTACCTCAGCGTCTTCATGTTGAGCTGGCGACACGCCCGCACCACACGGATCTTGAGCTCTCTCTCGGGATTGCGATACTTTCCAAACACCTTGAGCTTGGGGCCCGTGTCCTTGGCCGCCTCGGCCGCCGCCTCCTCAGCCTGCGCCTCCTCCTCGGCCATTTCCAACTCTGCCTCATAGGTGGTCAGGTCCAGCTCCAAGTCCTCATCCAAGTCCTCCTTGTCCAGATCCAGATGATCGTCGATGTGTGCCAGGTCGGGGTCGAGTTCCAGGTCCTCGTCCAGACCACCAACGGTCTTTCGCTTGACGGCTACCTCTGGCTCGTCGTCCTCGCCCTCGCGTCTCTTCTCCTTCATGATGGCCTTGTATCCACCGCTCTCCCTCTTAGGACGCTTGGCTCTCATCCTCTCCTTCTTGCTGCCACGCTCCTTCCACTCGTCGTCGCCGGCATCTTCCTCGACCTCCTCGCGCTCCTCCTCCTCCTTCTTCTTGGCGGCCTTCTTGGCGGCGTTGCTGCTCGTCTGGCGTCTCATATACTCCTTCCTGAGCTCCTCGACATCCTTTGTCGGAATCTTGTCGCCCGACGCGTCCTCGACGTCGGGGTCGATCACCGCATCATCATCCTCGGCCTCGTCCGGATCATCAATGATCACCTCGTCCTGGCCCCTATTCTTCGTCTGATATTTGTTTCCAGTCTGCTGCTGATGGTGGTGCTGGTGCTGGGGTTGTCTTCCTTGATGCTGGTGTTGTTGTTGTTGCTTGCCAGGTTGATATTGATTGTTGTTGAATGATATGTTGCCGCCGCCACCTTGGTTCCTCTGTGTATGTGTTTGAATGATATTCTGTATCTTTGGACCAGTGTTGATGTTGTTGTTGTTGTTGTAGTTGTTGCCGCCGTTGTTATTGTTGTTGTTCTTTAGAGTGTCGTGCAACATATTCTGGCTGTTGACAAAGTTATTGGCTTCAACATTCAACCTCCTCAAATGCTTGAGGAATGTCTGTTCAGGCTGTTTGCCAATGGGTATGCTTGAATGTGTCTGTGCCATATGTGTCGTCTGTGTAGTCTGTGTTGTAGTCTGCTGCGGGCCAGCAGTGCCAGTACCAGTACCACTGCCAGGGACGGGTGGCGTCTTGTTCTGCAGTGGCGATGGGAACTGCTTGGGATTGAAAGGGAATGTGGACTTGTTGTTGTTTGTGTTTATAAAGTTGATGTTCTTGAATAGGTTGCCCGCCTGTGACTGGCCATGTGGCGGGGGTGGCGGCCTGAAGAACGGGCTATTAGTTGGCGATGTATTGACGCCCTGGGGAGGTGAGCCTGGTCCTGTGCCTGAGCCTGGTCCTGGTTTGTTCATGTTACTAATGACACCTGCGAAGCTAGATGACGATGATGGTGGTGGAGATGATGGTGATGGTGATGTTGTTGATGGTCCATTGTTGTTGCCTCTGTTGATAAAGATGTTGCTGTTGTTGTTGTTGTTGTTTGATGTTGAGATCTTTGAGAATGGAGTTGCTTTGGGATCTTGTAAGAATGATATTCTTGGCTTGGGTGGGACATTGCTGGCACCTCCAACTCCTCCACCAACACCAACTCCAGCTCCACTAGTAGCAGCAGGATTTGGATTGTTTCCAAACAATGGAGGCTTTGGTATTGTCTGCTGAAGTTGTTGCTTTATATTATTATTATTGTTATTGAAGATCTTTGGAGCATTATTGTTTAAGAACTGTGGCCTGTTATTATTGTTGTTGTTATTGTTGTTGTTGTTGCCGCCACTATTATTATTGTTGTTGTTGTTGTTGTTTGATGTTGTATATGATGCTGCTGATGTTGATGTTACATTATGTTGGCTATTATGACTATGAGGAGTGATCGCATAGCCATTGTTCAAATGCAATGATGCACTTGATGATAGATGTGCATATCTTGTTATATGATTATTACTACTTCTGCAACAATGTAACATTGTTTTATCTGTTAGTATCTAATATATATATATCATGTAGTATTATATTTATATATATATGTGTATGTATAACAATGTCAATGATTGTTGTTGTCTTGTTCATCATCACGTGGATCAAAGGAAGCTGACTCGCTTTCGTTCGTTTTACAAAGTGAAATTGTTTGTTTGTCGGGCTTGTTTTGAAGGTTTTGATACAGAATTAAAGTTTTTCGACTTTCAACCATTCTTCAATCAACTTCACATTTTCATTCATTCATTCATTTACTCATTCACTCAATCATTGTATATATATATAAACAAACAAATAGATAATAGATAAGATAGATAAGATAGATAATGTATAATGGTATTGGATTGAGAACACCTCGTGGATCAGGTACAAATGGATATGTACAGAGGAATTTATCATTCAAGAATGTTAAGCCAAAGATAAATGATTCATTCAAACCAATGAATGATGATGATCTAATGCAAAAGCCAATAAGGAGAGCTAATGTCGATATTATACAACATAATGAGAAGCGTCAGATACAATTGGCTGTGGAGGAATGGGCCGTCTCCAATGAGTTGTACGACAAGGGCTACACAGAGGACGAGATCGAGCATCTAAAATCAAAGAAGAAGAAGGAGATTGAGGAGCAGCGTGCTGCCAATCAATTGGCCGACCCATATCAGCAACAACAACAGCTATCAGTGGAGGACATGCGCAGTCGTTTCGATCTCAAGGAGACCCATCAAGCACAGCATGTCAAGGATGCAGAGAACACACGTTTCCAGAATGCATTGCGTCTGCCCGCTGGATACGTGCCGGGCGGATCGATGAACCCAAAGGTGCAGGCTGCCGTCGAACAGGGCAAGCGCGAGCGTAGGGAAGCCTGGGAGCGCAAGCAGAAGGAGCGTGACATGGAGATGCAGAGGGAGAAAGAGATCAAGAAGTTTCATCAAGAGTACAACAAGAAGAAAAGACGTGGTAGTGACAAGAGGAGGCATCACTCAGACTCCTCATCCTCGAGTGATAGCGACAGCAGTGACAGCAGCGACAGCAGTGATAGTGACAGCAGCAGTGAGGACGATCGCAAGTCAAAGAATAAGAACAAGCATAAGGATAAGAAGAGGAGAGCGTCGAAGGAGGCACCCGAGCCGTCAATCAAAAAGGAGGTGGTGAGGGATAGCAAGCCAGCACCTCCTACTCCTCCACAGGCATCAGACTCTCGACCAACTTCAATGGACGAAGCATCACCGCCAAGATCGCGTGCTGCTCACAGAGATGAGGATGACGATGCATCAACGCCAAGGTCACGTGTCGCCAACAGAGATGACGATGAATCACCTCCAAGGTCGCGTGCCACCAACAGAGATGATGACGACACACCACCAAGAGGTGGAAGAAGAAGTAGTAGATCACCATCACCACCGCCTAAACAACAACCACAAGTAAAAGGTGGAGAATACCAGCACGAGCAAGGACACAGACATGAGCAAGGACAATGGAGACAACAACAACAACTCAAAAGTTACAAAGATGTCAAGATCACCATCAAGATCAAGATCAAGATCAAGATCACCTCCACGACGAAATGATAGAGACAGGCGGTCATACTCAAGATCACCTCCAAGAAGATATAGACGCGATAGTCACAGTCGATCACCACCACGCAATCGCTCACCACCACGAAACCGATCGCCGCCACGCAATCGCTCACCGCCGCGCAACAGATCACCACCACGCAATCGCTCTCCACCAAGAGGCCGGTCGCCTCCACCTCGCAACAGATCCCCGCCACGCAACAGATCACCTCCACGCAATCGCTCTCCACCAAGAGGACGGTCGCCACCGCCTCGCAACAGATCCCCGCCAAGGGGTCGTTCGCCTCCTCCTCGCAACAGATCACCTCCACGCAACCGCTCTCCACCAAGAGGCCGGTCGCCACCCAGGGGTCGATCGCCACCACCTGGCAACAGAGCATTGCCAAGAGGACGCACACCATCGCCTCCGCCTCGCAACAGATCACCTCCCCCTCGCAGCCCGAGCCGGTCGCCTCCACGCAACCGCTCACCTCAGCCCCGTTCCAGACGTCCAGTGTCCTCTTCGCGCTCTCCCTCTCGCTCTCGTTCCAGGACGCCACCAGGATACAGAAGATAATAAAGGTATATCTTTATTCAATCAATCAATCAATCAATCGATCAATACACCTCTTCCTCTTCTTGGAAGGGATGATTCAGCATTCGCATCGAGTTCTCGTACTTTCTTGAGAGAAGGACATTGTAGATTGAGACGACGTGGCCCTTCTTTCCGAGGCGACCACAACGTCCAGCCATGTGAAGGTATGATGCTGGTGTCAGGGTGATGTTGAGGATGAAGACATGGTCCACGTCACTGATGTCCACGCCTCTGATTGAATTCTCTTTGCCTATATACATCACTGACTCTTTGTCCATCTCGCTGATCTTGTCTATTACTGGCACGCCTTCGTCGCCGTCCACGCCAGCTGCATGATCACCCTTGTTGTTCCTTTGATTGGGATGCTGTTGTGGCTTGCTTTGTAGCTTGTCTCGTCGCTCACGTTGCACGCTCTTCACTTTCTTGTTGGCATACTGTTGGGTCTCGCGGCGCATTGCGTCGGCCATGAGCTCGTCGTCGATGGCGCCAATGTTAAACTCGTTAAAGTCCATGAAGTCTGTCATCGCCTTGGCGTTGATGCCTCGCTCGCGCAGCTCATCAATCACCTTTGCAATTGCTGCCATCGTTGGGCATCACAGCAATTGCACGACGCGGTTGCAACGTGCGCCACTTGCTCACAATGGCATTCATCATGCCTTGTTCAGACTGCACGGGCACGAATGAGTGAGTGAGATGTGCTGGCACGCGCGGATCATTCATCTTGCGACTGATGATCGTGATGTACTCGCGGTCCTCATTGACCCAGTCGTTGCCATCGATGTACAGCCTGTTCCGCAGTGTCAGTGTGGCCGACGAGAAGATTGATTGGAAAGGGCGACGCTTGTGCTTATACTGGCTGGCCGGCTTTGACTTGTTTTGGATCAGGTCCAGCACGTGTTTGTCGGTCAGCACGCCAGCCTCGCCATCGCCACCCACGGGTGTCTGCACATCCTGCTTCTTGCCCGCAGCCGTTAACTCGATTCCTTGTTGCGAGAGCTCATAGATGAGCGATACACCAATGGGACGATGCGCCTTGCGATTGAGCTTCTCCTTGTATGTTGCATTTCGTGACAATGCCTGTAGTAGCGCGTCGGCCTCGTCGTAGACGAGCATGCGCAGCGCGTCAATCGCCAGACGTTGCTCCATGATCATTTCATAGATGAGGTTAGGCGTGCCAACAATGATGTCTGGCTGTATCTCGCTCATTTGCTGCTCCAGCAGCATCTTTGACGGGCCAGACACGGCGATGACCACGCTGGGCTTGTGTGTGACGTGTGCGGACAGTCGTCGGAACCATTCTCCAAACTGCCAGACCAACTCGCGGTTGGGTGTGACGACGAGGTATCGCGGGTAACTCGTGCGTTCGGAGCCCGCCATTTGTTTGGGACGGGCCACCAGACGACCCTTTGTGATGTAGTCATTGACTATTCCACACATCAACATGAAGCTCTTTCCTGTGCCAGTGTCATCCACTATAAACATATCCTTGCCAGCGATAAGATGTGGCAGTGTCTTACTCTGTATCTCTGTCGGTTGATCAATACCCATTGATTTGAGTGCTCTTTCAATCTCTGGATGTAATACTCCAAATGATGATGTTGATGACGATGATGATGTAGAAGTTGTAGTTGTTGATGTTGTAGTTGATGTTGATGTGTAGGTCATTCGGCTGTTGTTGTCCCAATGTGTCCATAATCTTGGTATATTGATTGAGTTGTTGTTGTTGATTATCCATGATTGAGATGATGTTGGACGTGATGACAATGTGTCATTCATAACACATTTGTCAATGTTGTTGCTGTTGTTTGTTCTTGAGATAATTGATGATGAAGGCAATGACAATGAAGTAGTACCTCGTCCAACTCTACTACATTGACTTCGAAGTAGATGTAACATTTCTCTATATCTCTCTTTATCTCTTCATTCAATGAAACCCTGGAAAACGAATGAAAGTTGTCTCGTTCGTCTTTGTTTTGTTGAAACACAATTTAAACGATTTACAACATCCCAATCAATAAAACAATCTCAATCAATTATACTATCACTATGACTATTACCATTACTTAACAGGTAAGTTGTAATAGTAACTAACAACAATCAATTGATGTCAGTATTGAAGTGGAGGGGTTGGATGAGAGCAGTCAGTCTAACATGGGCATGACCAAGAATTCAAACACAACTTGGCACACACAAGGTTGCATTGACCACATCTTCACTTTGATCTAAAATCTTTGAAAATTCCTTCAGTTGAGAAGGTGTCTATTATTAGTTGTTGGAATCATGGAGATAAATGAATGGAATGAATGAATGGATGGATGATTATACATCATTATTCAATCATTAATAACTTATACATATACTACTACTAAATACAATATGGGAAATACACCTGCCAAGACATCAAATAATACACCTCGTTTAACACCTGAACAACAACAACAATATGATTGGGATGTACAGAGATATAATGCCAAAAGGTTATGGGTATCAACTCTGCCAAGGAACTATGCCGTAGACCAATGCAAGACCAATGATCCAACTGAAGTCTTCTCTCCAAAGAGACCAAACACACATACATTCTCCAATGTCCAAGTCCCATCCAGTATGTATTCATTCAATGAATGACCTCAATCACAGACTAACTAATTGATGTCAATCATAGTGTTCTCAAAGGGATTCACTAAACAAGAGGATATGACAGAGTATTATGATAATCTGGAGTTGATACAGAATAAGGTCAAGATAGTGGCGGCTCAGTTACTTAATTCAAAGTATTGTGTTGTATACTCTGGAGCAGGGATATCAACAAGTGCCGATTTACCAGACTTTAGAGGACCAGAGGGATGCTGGACCAAGCAAGATAAAGGTATCCGTGATGATGGAAAGAAGACTCCATCACTAACAGAGATTGTACCAACCTTTGCTCATATGGCCATCGCCAAGTTATGTGAGTTGGACATGATCAAGTGCGTGATCACGACCAATATGGACAATCTACATCTTAGATCGGGTGTTCCACATAGTAAGATAGTGGAGATGCATGGTAATTCATTCAAGGAGAGATGTACAGTGTGCCAGAGATTCGAATACAAGACCACTGAAGTGTATAATACCCAAATGACAAAGTGTTCAGCTGTTGGATGTACTGGACTTATGGTGGACTCTATCATTGACTTTGCCATGCCCATCAACGACGAAGATTGGCAACAATCCAAAGAGCATTCCGAACGTGTAAGTAATTTCCAAGTCGATCACGTGATCGACACAAGTCACGTGATCACCTGGCACGTGATCGACTGTCACGTGATCATATATATTGACCAAACTCAACTCAATCAAACCATCACAGAGCGACTTGTCCATCGTATTGGGAACATCAATGAGAGTACTGCCGAGCTGTTTGTTGCCAGAGTTGGGTCCACTAAAGAATGGTGGCAATTTGGTCATTTGTAACTTACAGATCACACCTTATGATGACAATGCAACTAGATTGTTCTGTACGACTGACGAGTTCATGTACTTCTTGATGAAGGAGTTGAACATCGAAGTGCCAATGGCCACTCCCAAGGGTGAGCCCATCAGACAACGCGATTATCCCGTCCAACCCAAGCCGTACTGGAAGACCAGTGATCAACTCGACCCTGCAAGCTATGATATCCCATTCCGATTCCTCTTCTAAGTACAGTGTACATTGTACAGTTACAATACAATACATCATATTTATAATCTTTATTTCGAATGAACTGCCAGCCATACGGTCGGTGACTCGGTGTGAACTACTCTGTGGCGACGACCTTTTGCGATCATGAGGTTGTCGCCGACTGATAGATGGACTGCATGTGCGGGGTCCTCATCGTCGTCCAATGCTAATATCGCACTGCCGCTTACAACCATCACCCATTCATCCCAATCTTGATCGTACCAGAAGCCAGGCGGGCTGCATTGTCCATAAGACACTATACGTTCTACTCTTGCTCCTGTTGGGAAGTTGAACATCGGCTCAAAGTGTTCGACACTCTTGTCCTCTGGCAAGTCTGCCGCTATATTATTCTTTGTCGACGTCATCTCCTTATCTAATTCTATCTCTCTTGAATTATTTCAATGTCACATGACAAACTGATCACCTGACTTGTGATCACGTGATCAATGTCAGTCACGTGATTGTTTGGAATTAATTTCACTCCATTGTCCATGGACCAGATTTCCTTCCTAGTGCAATATGGCATCGTTTATTGATGATTCATGGTTGTGTCTCGAGTCGAGTAACTCTTCGTCATCAAGGTTGGGCTCATTCTCATTCTCCTCTTTGGTAGCAGGTTCGTCCACAAGTTGCTCGGCTGGATTATCCATGCCAGCCGTAGAGTATGGCGAATCCAATGACTTGCTAAGAGGCTCTTGCATATCCATATACTTGAGAATGATCAATAACACAAAGGAGAGCACTGCGCAGAGTACTAGGAACCACAAAGGAAGAGTATAACTGTTGGTTCGACGCTTGATCAATCCAAGCAGGGGTGGGAACAGGAAGATGTTCAGGTTGTAGCTGGTACAGATGATACCGTAGGCTGTGCCCACGATTGAGATGTCCACTAACAGTGGCACACACGACATAAGAGTGGTGTTGAGCAGGGCGAAGCCCAGTCCAATGATGATGATCCATGGCAATGGGAACACATCGGTGACATTAAGTAGCGTGATTCCAATGCCCAGCAGAGTGCAGGCAAACATCATCACCTGGATCTTCCTGCCGCGCACGCGCTGGATGAAGTAGCCCGTGAGCATCGGAACGAATCCATTGATGATGGCCTCGGCGGACATGATTCGGGCGGCCGTAGTCTCGTCAAAGCCAAATTTGAACTCGAGCAGGTCCGTTCCAATGATGGCCAAACCAAACATGCAGTAGTATGATATGAAACAGATGACACTTAGCAACCAGAATCTCTTGTTTAACTTTGTTGCCATGTCCTTGACCTCCATCAACTTTGTCAAGAACTCGCCCACCTTTGATGTTGGCTCTGGTGTATGTCCAGTCATCTCTTCAGCACTGATCACTGATATTGCCGGTGATCCCTCATCCACATCCTTCTCCTCAGTATTCATAGAGTTGACACTATTAATCTTTGTCAATGCTACCATACTAGATGTCCTATCTATTTGATCTGTGTTTGATTGTGTCAGTGCGTGGGTGTGGGGTTGGGGCTGGAACTATTCCAGCCTCAATCAATCAAATGTTTATACATACCTGTCCATCTTAACTTCTCTCTATACTTTACTAATAATAAGTTCAAACCGAACTCAACAATGAATACAATGGCCACGAACCAGATGGCTATCTTGAATCCAAAGCTGGACTCGATCACTGGCAATAACAACAATGCAGCTAAATGTTGTAGACGTGAGATGTATGAGTGATCAGTGATCCAAGTTCTCAATAACATAAACATACTTAAATTGCCCCAATAGAACCAACATGCTAAGAATCCAACACATATTGGCACCTCGCTAGGTGCGTAGAATAATGGCTAATGTTTGATTGAGTGAGTATGATTGATTGATTGACAAGTGATGTTGTTTGGTACACTTACAATCATTGTAGAGGCACATGCCAATAGGGTCTCGCCACCCATTCCAAGAAGGAAACGTCCTGCCAATATACCGCCATAGTTTGGCAATACCAGTGCAGTGAGCACTGATGACAACATGGAAACTCCACAAAATATAACGCTTACGAATCCTGTACCCATAATATCAATGAGTACTCCTCCAAGTATAATCATAAACAGATTAGGTAGTGAATATATCGAGAACAGATATCCATACTGAACATCGCTAATATGTAATATATCGTCTGTGATTGGTGTGTGTGTGTGTGAGTGTGAGTGTGAGTGTGTGTGGTTGAGTTTGAATGATTGATTGATTGGTCATCATTCCAGTTTTCTTTGATTGATTGATTGATTGGATGATTGAACATACAATATGACCTGGAGAGTGCAACAGGTGTTGAGTAGGCAAGTTGTAAACCATAGCCTAGATTGGCAATCAAGAACATCACCAAACATTTCTTTAGTGTGTTCTTTGATATCTTTGGTAAAGATGGCATCTTGATCAATGTACCCATATTTGGTATCTATATATTCTATATATTCTATTATTATTATATTATTATCTATTTATCTATATATTATTATTGCTACTATGTCTACAAGGTCATGATTTCTTTTCTGATTGATTGATTGTGTGATTGATTGATTATGTGTATGTATGTATTACTAGTGATTGATTGATGAGTGGGAGACAGTGTCGTCTTTTCATTACCATCTTTGAGGTACTACCGTAAGAATTACATTTGCACTTGCACATCAACTGGGTGGGAATGGGGAGGGCATACCGGCCCATTACTCGGTGCGAACCGATCACTGAGTGCAAGCCCTGGGTAAAAGTCTCCCCAAAGCCACACACCTCATGAATAAAGGTCGTCAAGTAGGTCTTCAGGTCGAAAACGATGAAGTGTGTGCGTGTTTTAGTTTTTTGTTTGTCATCACTGTCCTGATTTGGAATCTGTGGTCTTTGATCAGTTCATGTCCATCCATGTATTGTTCTACATCCAGCCTATGTTGAGGACATGTTGGCGTTGCTTGGTAACATATACTACCATAAGAATAGAAGGTTATTTGTACAAGTACATGTACATAATGTTATTATTATTTGTATATATTATATGTTCTTGTTTTTGTTGGATTTATTAATATTAACATTATATGATAAATGCTGATTGAATGAATCCAACAAAAGTATTGTCGATGGTGATGATGGATGTGATGTGAAGTGTTGGGCCTATCAGTACATGAAGTGAACTATCTCGATACTGGCTGCTGCCTTTGCAACAACAAAGGGGTATTTGATATTATGATTTGATTATTATGATGTTATTGTTATTGTTGCTGTTGTTGTTGCTGCTTGCTGCTGCTGTATTATCATGACATGAAATGAATTTACTCAGTCTTGTTGAAGAGATGAGCCAAGGTCTTGGTTCTCTTGGTCTTCATGTATGGGTAGATGACATCCTGATGATCGTGATGTGGCTCCAATGCGCACTTCAATCCGTAGAAAGTGGCAAACATAGCAGCGTAGTTAATGAACTTTGAGGTTGGGTCGTTGGTGAATGGGTTGAAGAACTCTGTTTTGTTGATCAATATGTTCGATCGAATATTGATTGATTGATTGTTGATTGAGTGATGTTAGTTACATTATCATCATCATCAAACTTGAATGTCTCATCATTGTTGTTGTTCTTCAATATATCCTCGCTCGACTTGTGTGTTGAACAATGTCAAGGTTGATGATCATTCTGTTTCCTCATTGATGTGAATGAATGAATCACCTGTATATCTGTTGCTGTTGCTGCTGTTGTTGTTTCTACGCTGCTGATGATTGATGTGATGCGAATGAATGAATGAATGATTGAGACATACCGATGACTCTTGAGGCGTTTGATGGGATTGTGCGGGCTCCCTGCATGACGGGTGGGACCTCAGAGACAAAGATCTGCTTGAAAGCAATGACGAATCTAGCACTCATTCTATATTATTATATTTGATAGTCTACGAATCAATCAGTTAGTATCAATCTTGATCACATGTTGTGTGTTTGTTGATAATCATCAATAACATCATCATCATCATCGTCGTCATCAACAATTATCAATCGCAACATCTGTATATATCTTCATATGTATGTTATATATGAATATGTGATATTTACACTTTAAGTTATATAAGTATGGTTAAGGTTATGAATGAAGACGTGACTTTGTTGCCAATTAATGAGTGAGAGATAGTAGGAGTTGATGAAAAACCCAAAAATCACACACTAATTCAGAAAGCATCATGGTGAACTCTGCTCATTATCGTGTTTCGCAAACAACCACACACACGCAATAATTACAAATTGCCCGGGCTTTTATTTTCAACTGTGAAATAGTATGTAATTGGAATAGTTCCAAAGATAAAATTTATATGTATTTATATATATATGAAATTGAATAATCACTTGATTGAGTGATTGAGTCATTGATTGAATTTTCTCGACAAATCTAGACATCTGGTCCTCCAAAGTCATTTGTGTATCTAGAATCAATGATGATGTTGTTATCCAATTTTTGATGATAGTAATGGATGGGCTTGACCTCTATCTCCTCGGTCATGTTGTGGTATTCCTGATCCACTTTAGTTGTTAAACAGATATTATCTTGTTTTTGATAGAGTGATTCTTGGGTTTCCAAATCATTGTTTGAGGGTTGGCAGAATACAATCCAAGGTAGAAAGAGAAGAGTGCACACCATATTGATCCACCAACCCAAAGCCAATATAAGACGGAAGGATTGAATTTTTGATCGGCGGGATCATTGTCTGTCCAAAAGTAGCAATATTGACTCCTTTCATAACTTGATTGACAGTTTATAGCTTCCAAATGAGCAAAGTGTTTGATTGAGGGGAAATAGACAGTGGGAAACAACGTCAACAAAGTACCAAATGTCCACCAAACCTTTAACGGTCTATCAAAGCTATGGGCCAACTCTGATTCTCCAAATTTCACAACTATCAACGCTATAAGTAATAGGAACCAGTTGACCATACAGAGTGACATGGCCACCAGTGTTGGTGTAAATGTATATTTAAGTTCATTATAAGGTATGAATTCCTCCTTTGATAATTAATTAATAAATACATATGTATTGATTAAATCAAGTTAAGAAATAGGTGGGAGTAGTATAAGTATTATGAAAAGTATCAAAAGATTGTGGTATTTAATTCATTGAGAACCTACATTGTCATTATTTGTTATATATACTCCATACCATCCATAATAACCAGTATAGTATGTTGGACTCCATGGAGTTTCATACCAAGGAAGGAAAAATGTTACAATTAAGAAAGCAAAATTATTAATTATAGTGACCAAAAGAAAATTATAATTGGGTTTCTTCACTTCTATTAGTATTATTTTTATTATTATTATAATTATTATTAAGTATGATTATAATTATTAGTATAAATATATATATATATTGATTAATTATTTAATTTGCAAGTGAATGGTTGTTGATAGACGATCTAGTAGTTATCTACAAGGATACTAATGTGTTGGATTGTATTATTTATTGATTGAGTTTTTTACAAGTTTGGATTAATAGAGAAAGTCAATCAGTGATAGATATCTGTCCTCTCTTTTTTTGTCCAAGTAAAACTAGTTAGTCTATAGATTATCAATGATGAAGTTGTTCATCATATTTTGATGGTGAAGGAGATGACTGGTCTCTAGCTTTCTAATCATTTTAGGGTCATCTTCATATTCTCCAGGATTTAAGATGAAGGATCATTCTCAATGGTCGCGTTGAATGTGTTGGTGCCATCAGTGGGGAGGTTGGCCACAAGGTTGGAGTAGGTGAACGTCGTGTATCTCGGGCGACATCTACGACCTGTCCTTCGATCCGGCCACACCGGCACTCCTCGAGGCCATCGTGTTGTTTGAGGATTATCCACGTTGCGATGATTGACGGTGTGCTCATGGGCCCGGGGTCGTCACGGCTTCAGGCTCGCCCATCACCAGGACTCAGCGTCAAGGTCGGCTTGCTTGCTGACAACTTTTATTCTTGATTAATCACGCCAAATTTAGTGCCATGCTCGTAGACCACTTTGACTGATTAGGGCCTGCTGGATGCCTCCCAACGTTGTGCCGAATGGAGTTGTTGACTGGGCCCTACCAGTGAACGGACCATCCACATTGATTGGGCAATCTGTCTGCGCTTGAGCCCTGAGACCAAGATGTTTGTATCTCGCTTGGGTTGAGGTTCTGCAACATTGTGATCGACTCCTCTACGATTGATGCAGCAAGCTCGCGGTCCTTCATTGTTGTTGAGGTATGGGTCGGTGGAGTTGGGGTAGGGAGTGGCGACCAGGCCGATCGCGTACTTAAGGTCGAGGATGCGAGTGACCGACTCGTCGATACGCGACTCGGGAACGACTCCTTCCTGCACGAGCTGCAGGAGGATGGTCAGGAACGAAAAGTCGTCGGGCACCATCGACATGTCAAAGCCGGCGTTGAGCGCATCTCAATGTCCTGCCACGTAAAAGGCCAACTGGCCAGCCACACTGGGGGTAGCAAGCGGACCGCACGCCCTCCTGGACCAACAGCTCATGATCCACCGCAACTTCCCTGCCATCGTTTGCTGCTGCCGTCGACACCGGTGAGTCCTTCGCCAAGATCAACACGGGCGAGGTGTGCCCATGCATATGGTCCCAAATCTGTAACTGAAGCAGCACCATTATCGAGGCGACGTAGGGGTCTCACTAACAACTAACCCATTCACAATCAATGATTGATTGAGTGATTGGATGAAGTGATGGACAGAGTGATCATGTGATGGAGAGATTGAATGAGTGAACATACATGAGGGAGCATGGTACCCATGTAGATGTAGTTGGCACCGTGAACAAAGTCCATTCCTTAGATCATTGGGACGATGTTTGACTGATCTTGAGGGCATGGTCAGAGCTTCTATCCAGTTGGTAGCATTCATTTAGAGGATCACATTGTTGATCACAACATTGGCCGTTGGTGTGTTGAGATAAAATTGATTGATATATATAACTGATTGATTGATTGATTAATTGATCAAATGAATTGATACAACTAACAACTCAAACTTTTATCACGAAACTTCACTCAATCAATCAACTTCACACTTAATTAATAAAAGCCCGGGCTTATATTCTAGTCAACTAGGTAGTTTTGGAATAGATCCAATCATTACTATTTATTAATTAATTGGTGTCTGAAATCATTATATCATATTTGGGAATGGAGTAACAGAGTGATTGAGTAAATAACTACATCTCTAGACATCCTCAATTGGGTGTACTGCATTATCATTGATGTTGGTATCCAATTGTAGATTACTGTGAAGGAGAGGACTCATCTCAATCTCCTCAGTCAAGTTGTGGTACTCCTCATCGACTCCTGTAGTTAAACAGATCGGATCTTCATTTTGATTGAGTGATTCTTGGGTTGGATCCATATTATTGTTAGAGTGCTGGGGATGGCGTTTGAGATAAAACCATCGTAGAACAGTTCTGAGTGCACCAATTACCGAACCAGCCACCCATAGCCAATATAATTCGGTAGGAGCGAATGGATGATTGGCAGGATCATTGTCTGTCCAAAAGAAGCAATATTGACTCTTTTCATAGCTTGATTGACAGTTTGTGTGTGGATAACTCATCGCCGCTGGCTTTGCAACATTCCGCAGCTGGCGCTGCTTCATTTCATACTTCAAGATTCTTCTCTTTATAGTTTTATATACTTCAAAGTAATTAAAAAAGGTATCTGTATCAACAATTGTAGTAGAAATAAAGTTTTAAAGTTCAAAATAATAATAATAATTAATCCTAAATTGAGGAGGTAATTTTCCTAATTCTACTACAATTCTACTTTCAGTACCTGTCACCGCCATAGCAGTGAGCACGATGGAAAAAGAGTATCTGTCTAATCAATGTAGAATTATAGTAGAATAGAGTTTAGAAGTTCAAAATAATAGAATTAAATTAATCCTAATTAAAGAAGGTCATTTTTGTAATTCTACTATTATTCTACTTTCGATACCTGTTAGCGCTGTAACAGTTTGCACGCACAAGAGAGTTACCAGGAGAGTACTCAGCACGTTGGTCAGCACGTACTTCCGATAGTTCACACACTGATCACCAAAAGTGATGGGTTGGGGAAGTGTTTGCCTTGGTTGGGGAATATATTTATTATCCACCCCTTCCTCTTCCTCTTCCTCTCCCTCTTCCTCTTCCTCTCCCTCTTCCTCTTCCTCTCCCTCTTCCTCTTCCTCTCCCTCTTCCTCCTCCAGCGGGAGCTTGTGCAGGACCTTGAGCTTGAGCTTGAACTTGAGCTTGAGCTTGAGCAGGAGCTTGAGCTTGAGCTTGAGCTTGCAATGGATGGGGTGGTGCATTGGGATGGCGAGCCCTAATGTGTCTGCAGCGAGCACATTTGTCTGCAACACTCATTCCTGTTCCTACACCAGGTTCGACCCAGCCAATGCAGAAGCAACCAGTGCATGCAGGAGCTGGAGCAAAAAGTTGGGCTGCTTGAACCAATGGCGCGAGTGGATTTAACCATTGGCCGAGGTGGTTTCCTTGATGTTGTTGTTGCTCATGCTGTTGCTCATGTTGATGCTCATGTTGTTGCTCATGTTGATGCTCATGTTGTTGCTCATGTTGATGCTCATGTTGTTGAGCCTGTTGTTGAGCCTGTTGGTGCTCATGTTGTTGAGCCTGTTGTTGCTCATGTTGTTGCTCATGTTGATGCTCATGTTGGTGCTCATGTTGTTGCTCCTGGTGTTGAGCCTGTTGGTGCTCATGTTGTTGCTCATGTTGTTGAGCCTGTTCTCTACTTCTCAACCAGGCCAGTACAGTTCTTATAGCTGGTCCGCTGAGCTCACTTGGTATCCTCACGTAGGGCTCATTGTTGTTGTTGTTGTTGTTGTTGTCATCCAATCTCTGACGCTTATCATTTGATTTGGAGCCCACCAAGGTGTTCGCAGAGCCATAGAAAACTCTGGGAGGCACCCGAATGGTCACCTCCCTGAGTCTGAAGGAATTGGTCATAGACATCGGGATGAAGTCGCTTTAGGTAGTTCATGATCTCTTGGAGATGTTTCGTGTTAGTATTCTTTACACTATAGCATCCCTCTGAAGAATTGAATGAAGACATTGCGCCGATGTTGTTTGTACTTACGATCTTGAGTTGGGGCGGTGAGTACCTCTTGAAGAACCTCATCAAATGGAAGACCATTTGATGCAAGTAGGTTGAGTTCGGCCAATCGTGATGACCTCATGACGAGAGACACGAGAGCTGCGCGCTGAGCAAGAGTGCCATTCTGATAGGCAGGTAATGCTCGAAGAGCACCGAAGACGAGTTCGTTCATGTATGTAAAGAGAATTATGTACAAATGGTTGGAATAGAGTAGAGTGAGGATATAATAATGTGAGGGATAGTGGTTGTAGTGATGTTTAAGTGAGAATTATGAAAGGTCTGAGCATTGTGAGTGTGGTGAAGATTATCAGCGCGCCAAAATTGGTAAATAAATTAATTATATCTAATTAAACAATTTATCTCTAACAGATATAACATGTCATTATTCAAAGAGTACTATTGGGACGAGAACACGGAGTTCAGAGAGCGTCACAAAGCATACATCAAACAAAAGGTAAGATGTGAATGCGGCTTCGAAGTCGGTCGCACCAATCTCAATCGACACAAGCAAGGCTACATCCACAAGCAGTTGATGGCAAACAAATAGGTTCAAAGTGATATAAATTAACATCTCAGTGTTAATATATAGAATGAGTAGATCAACAAGAGACATTGGCGGCAGACTGAAGAAGACGGGCGTGACTGAGATCAAGCTCACTGGCAACTACACCAAAGCAGACATCGAACGAATCGCGCAGCGAGACAGCAACACGCTCCAACGATACGGCGCCAACGCAAGGATAGAGGTCGTGCTCGACTACGGCAACCATCAGTATCGATCGGGCAAGTTCACCAAGGTAGGCGAGCCGATCATCATGTTTGATCCTCACGAGTATGATGGTGCGCCGATCGCCGAGCCTGACACATTCAAATCGTTCTACATCTACGTACATCAAGCAAAGGGCAAGGCAGGCGGCTGCGACGGTAAATGGAATAACTGCCTTTACCATTGCCTCCACGATGCCTACCCAGACCAGGTGACAGAGCACTACGGCAAGCCATCACAGCTCAAGAAGGACCTAAAACTCAATGTCGATCAGAAGGTCTCGATCAAGCGGATCCCAGAACTCGAGGACAGACTCAACATCAGAATCAACGTCAAAGGTGATCATTGCTATGCCTCTGCCTCGAGAGCAACCAGAGAGGTCAACCTGATACTAACAAATGGTCATTACAAACTAGACAAGGAAGGCACCTATGCAGGCAAGGGCATCAGATACACGCGATACAACGAGAGGGACGTCTACATCAAGCCAATCGTATTCAAGTATCTCAAGGGCGATCGGGTCCAGCTCTACGATGACGACGAGTACAGCACCATCACATTGCAACAGTTTATCGACAAGAAAAGGCGCAAGTACCAAGACAAGTGCGAGTACATCCGTATCCTCTCGGGCATGACCCTGGAGGAGACATTGGACTCGTTCAAGGCCGACGCTGACATGCTCAAGGAACACACTAACGGCGTCATCGACATGTACACAACTGGACAGAACATCAACAAAGCAGCGATCAAACTGTTCCTCTCGTACAACAAGACTGTCAAACCAGAGCCTATCGGTCAGATGGAGAGTGGATAAAGAAGTCAGCCTATGGCCCATTGATGATGGCAATTCAACATATAGGAGCTCTCTACAAGTATGACGTCGCTAGGATGTATGCCTCCATCTTGAGGAGCAGTGGCTTCATGATCCCAATCAAGTGCGGCGAGTTCCAGCATCTGACCGACGAGGAGCTCAGCGCAATGAGAACCATTCCATTCGGTATCTATCGCGCAACGATCAATGGTACTCATGGCGCCTTCAAGCACAACAAGAACGATTACTACACTCACTATGACCTCATCTTTGCCAAGGAGCTAGGACTGACATTCAATCTCAAGACTGGCAGCAAGGCCAATGCGCTCATATACGACAGCAGCTGCAGGAAGTTTGGCTCCGATCTATTTGGCAAGTACATCGATCAGGTTCTCGGCTGGATAGATGCTTGTGAACCCAAATCTAGACTAGAGGAGTTATGCAAGTGTCTCTATCAACGTCTCTGGGGCGCTCTCTCCAAGCGCAACAAGACCAAGCAATGCGCCAACATGGAGTGCGACGCAGAGGTGATAGAGACCAGCGATGGACAGAGAACGATCAAGCACATTGATATCAACCTGGACGAGGACTACTCAATCGATCGCATCACTCCAACAGCCAATGGAAGCGCGATGATCAAATCAGCATGCAACACCGACATGTTCGACACGCCATTCGCTCGCATCATGCCATTCATCATCTCTCGTGGTCGCAAGATGATTGGAACGATAATAAAGGACGACATTGACTGCATCAAGCGCGTGCACACCGATGGATTCGTCTCGACCAAGCCATGGACTGGCAAGCGGCTCAAGCGATCATTGGAATACCCCAAGTTGGGCAAGGAGTGTGGCGACCTGCGATATGAGGGCTATTGTCCCGATGTCATTGTCAAGAACATGACCAAGCCAGTAGGAGAGTTTGAAATATGGGCTAATATATATAATGGCAGCAACGACGAAACCGACTGAAGAACTTCTCGACGATGTAATATCATTGGAGTCTGACAATGAGTCGTTCGATGATCCTGACGACATAGACTCTGATGACGAGGACAAGGGTCCTTATGTCTTTCGGTACCTGAACAAGAAGGACCCAGCAAAAGCATTGAGACAGTTGAAGCGATTGTATAACTGTGTATTGGTTGATCATCGAGAAGAACTGGCGACATTGCAGAAGGAGAGGAACCAATACAAGGATAAACTTAACAATATTATTGTCGAGCTGTTTGCCATCTACAAGAAATATGGCTTGTCACCAACATTATAATCTCTACATCCATCATTATGGACGTACAGACAATAGACAGTAGGGGCAACAACAACAACAACAACAACAAGAAGACATACATGCAACAATACTACGAGGAGTACAAAGTAAAGTAAGGACGACATTGACTGCATCAAGCGTGTGCAAACCGATGGATTCGTCTCGACCAAGCCATGGACAGAGAAGACAGGCAAGAAATCACTTGATTACCCAAGTTGGGCAAGGAGTGTGGCGACCTCAGATACGAGGGCTACTGTCCCAATGCCATCGTCAACAACATGCTCAAGCCAGTTGGGGAGTTTAAAATATAGATTACTGGATATGGAAGAGCTGATCAGACGATATGGGAGGGACCCAATGGCAATCGGACACTATCCCGGATATCAAACATATTCTGAAAGGAGTGAAGGATCCAGGCTACAATGCAACCGTGGTTGAGAGGAACAGACAGAAGCACCTCATTGACAAATTCCGTATTACTCAGAGGGCAATTGATTATATGAACGCTCTGGACAGACAATTCGATTATCTCAAACAAACAATAGCCAAGATTAATAATCGGTTGGAAGATATATCACCATTCCATCTGAATACGAAACTATTGTCTATCACCGGTGATTGAACCAATAAATAGGTTAATGTCCGAGCTAACTGACAAAGATTTCTTAGAATGTGATCTAAGCCGACCATAGTAATATAATCTGTACTTCCATTATTATGGACGTACAGACTATCGACAACAACAACAACAACAATAACAACCACAAGTCATACATGCAACGTTACTACGAGGTGTTCAAAGAGGAGATCAAGGCCTACAACACCGAGAGGATACCATACGCTGTCTGCGGCAAGTTGATCTCGCGGCACTTGATGAGGAAGCACGAGAGGAGGGTGCACAGTGATTGATCTTTATTATAGTTTGAAATCGTCGGCAGCAGGATAGCTCTTGTTGGCATACTTGCCATCCATCACCTTGGCCGTCAGTCTTTGCTTCCCACCGACAGTATTCAAGTGTAGCGTCGATCGATAGTAGTGTTTGACTTTAGGTACGTGGAATAGACAGACAAGACCATCTCTTACTTGGCTACTATTGATTGATTGACACTCTTGAATGATGTGCTCTATGATGTTCGCCTCGGAAATGCCTTTATCAATAACATAGTCATTTCCTGTCTGAAATAGATATGTCCTCCTTTGACCTTTGACACTGTGATCATTGATTGGAGTGTATGTGTTAGTGTATGTTGTCTCTCTCTCTACATGATGTCGGACTATAATACAAACCAGAATCGAATGTCATAGGTCACATTCTCAGGGTCATAGCCAACAACCTCACCAGGCCACCAGCTCTTATAATCGTCGCCTTCTTCGTTGGTCATTGCCGTTACCATCTGATTCAACTTGAAGGCAGTTGGGCGTGGTGGATGAGACAAGTCGTCAGGCTCCAGGCCAAATGTAGATCGGAAGGCAACGTCGGCCATGTAGTTGTTGATATGGCCCTTGATGTGTTTGTTGTAGTTGTCCTCATAGAACTTCCTCGAGTGGCTCACATAGCTGGCAAGTGCTACTCCATCCTTTCGATAGATCTCAATGAGCTTGGTCATGATCATATCCCTGGTCACCTGTTGCTTGCATATCTGTCCAGGTCGTCTCTGTTTGTTGGATGCCTTAATGGCTGTGTTGTTGGAACCATGCTTGGCTGTAAGGTTTGGGTTAACAATTAGTCCACAATGGTCGCAGAGCATTGAATGAATAGTGATAGTACTAACACATGGCTTACCTTCAGATGCAATGTTACACAACATCATTAAGCAGCCGTACAGCTCCATATATTCGCCAGAATGATGTATGAAGATGTGAAGATAAGAGGTAGGTTCAATGTTGTAAATATTGATTAGCAATCTGCCAAACCTCTCACACAACACTCTCCATTGATAGGACTTGATGACAATGGTGTGATCGAGTAGCAAGATAACCAACTTGTATATCATCTCCCAGAGTCTAACTACATTGGCCTTTTTGTTGTTGTTGTTGATGATAGTATTAGTTAATGCACTCAATCAATCACTCACTTGGAGCCTGACGATTGTCTTACTCTCTCAGTTTCATCTTCAATGAGATCTGTGAGTCCATCTTCCCTCCTGACCATGACTGCAAGCAATTGGAGACATTGATGAAAGGTAGGCTTGGCTTGACTGAATCGATACTGTGCAGGCATTGGTACTGATTTGCCACGTCTCGTCCAAACAGTACCCTCTGGCTTCATCTTTAGGTTGCATCGCTTGAGCAAGACGCTCTCGATTGTCCTCATTGAGTTGGACAGGACATTGTCGACCTCGACCAAGGCGCCAGAGTGATTGCCCACATCCAAGGCGGTGCGCATGCTGTCGATCGACAGGGAGTGTCTCTCTATCTCATCATCGTCGACCTCATTGTCCTGGATATCTTCCTCATCACTGCTGGTCATGGAAAAATTGTCATCATCATTGTTCTCGTTGTCCTGGTCAACATAATCGTCGTCATCTTCGTACTCGTCAACATAATCATCGTCCTCATCATCGTGTTCCTCGTCCAGATCCTGATGGTCAACATTGTCTAATGCCATGGACCTACTGTCCACAAGATACTTGATGAAGAGCTTGAATAACTTCTTGATCGAGCCTGGTATCATGAGGTCTGGTATGTACTGATCAAGCTCAAAGGCAACACCATAGATTGGACGATGTGCGAATCCTTGGCGCTGTACTGCCTTCTTCTCTTGACTGCTAACTTGGCCCTCAGTCAAATCTAGATACTTTGTCTTTGACCATATCTCTCTTGTAGAAGTCTATGCCAGAACCAACATATCCAACAGTCCTCCTAGTGCACATGCACCTGTAGCACTTTATGATGCTGTTGCCACTGAATATGTCATACATCCCGAGCAACTTTACACAACAACTAAGATCGTTGGTTGTGACGAAACGGATGTTGTATTTGTATTGCCTTCCGTCTCTTTCAGATCTGAACCAAACCTATGACATGAATGTGTAAGTGTCAGTATGATTGATTGATTGATTGATTGATTGTACACTGGATATACAACAACTAACGGAACTTACAAGGTATGGCTTTGGCAGAGTGCTGAGCAATGTAGTCACTGGTGCAAGGTCGTGGATAAGGTCATTCAGTGATATGGACAGTATGGCCTCGCCAAACGGACGCTTGGCCTCGGCAGCAGTTTTACCTGAGATGGCTGATAATGTTGTCAGTTCTTGAAACTTCCTGCCACAGTCTTTCTTGGTCATCATACTCCCCTCCCCATTTCACCTTCCCTCACAATCACCACAATCACTTTCCTTCACCATCTCCAACTTTCACTCACCCCCAAATCAGAACTTTCACACCACTTTCCAAGTTGACCAAACATGAATCTCGCTTGCAAAAGCAAGTGAACGATAGATGCTTATTCTATTGATAGATTTAATGAAAAGGAGGTCCAAACTGTTGGTCTCTCAAGCCATAATTTGAGGGTAAAGGAGTGGACTGGTCTCTGTCTTTTGCAACAATTTAATGTCTTGGTCATATTCATCACAAGGAGTTATGTTGATACTGCTGTCTTGATTTGAATCTAGAGTTGATTTGGTTTCAACATCAAGGTTTGATGGTGGACGATTGACACCATACCAAGGTACAAAGCTAAAGATCACTGTTAATATAGCACCAGACATCCACACCCAATAGCCAGCAGATGGTCTGAAACGATGAAGTGAAGGATCACTCTCTATCCAGAAGTAGCAATATGTATTCTTGACCATACTTGATTCACAATGTAAAGCCTCTTGATGTCCAAAATATCGGAATGTGGCTGCGAAATACAGTGTCGGGAACACAGTGACCAATGTACCAAGTATCCAAAATACTTTCAAAGTCCTATCAAACTTGTCAACATTCTCTGGATGTCTGTTTTCAATCAGAGCCAATACATTAAATAATGTAAACCAGATTATAACAGATATTGACATTGCCAATAATGTTGGTAGGAAGGTATTCCTTAGTGCTCCATATGGTATGAGTTCATTCTTCATTCATTGATTCAATCAAATAAAGTGTTGGAAGTGATTAGATACTTTTGAAAATGATTGATTGACAATTGATACATACATTATAATCTAGATAAACACCTTGCCACCCATAATAAGATGGATTCTTATATGAGTTATGATACCATGATAGATAGAATGGTGCAGCCAAGCAAACTAGATAACCGAAGATCACTTTACAATGAAAGCCATATAACCATTTACTAGTCTTCTCCATCTGTTATTATTATTATATATATATATACATTAAACTATATCAATCACATTTGATTAAGATACAAGTCTCTCTTACATGAACAAAAACTTGTTCTCAACTTCAACTTCTCCATCAAACATTCGCATTACAAAGTGACACATCTCAAAATGGATTGATCAAATTCTTGCAAAAGCAAGAGGTCCAAACCATTCATTCACTCCTTCAATAATGTATTTTATTTAGTTAGATAAGGTTGATGTCAATTGAGAGTTGTCCGATGGCAATGGTGAATTGACCGGGTTCAATGGTGGGTCGGTTGTCTTGTCCAATGAATGAGAAGTCCAGTGGAGCGAGGATGAATTGGACATTGATGGAATCGCCTGGGTTGAGATCAACCTTGTCGACACCGCGCAACATTCGGATCTCTGGTGTGACCGATGCGTACAGATCACTCAAGAACAACAGCACAGTGTCCTTGCCACTCATCTTGCCAGTGTTGGTAACGGTGACATTGATCGCCACGTACTGGCCAATGGTCGCGTTGAATGTGTTGGTGCCATCAGTGGTGAGGTTGGCCACCAGGTTGGAGTAAGTGAATGATGTGTAGCTCAGTCCAGTGCCAAAGTCAAACAGTGGATCGTGGAAGCCGTACAATGAGTACTTGTAGTAGTAGGGCGAGATGTCGCCCGTGGTGGCTGGGTACGTGATGGGCAGACGACCCGAGGGGTTGACATCACCAAAGATGATGTCGGCGATGGGCTTGCCAGCCTGTGGACCGGGCAAGTATCCCATGAGTACTCCGTCAATCTTGGCAACGAGTGAAGGTGGCAGCACACGTGGACGAGCCTCAAACAACACGAGAATGACTGGCACGTTGACGTTGGACACGATGGCCTCGAGCAGGGCCAGGGAGGCCGGGTCGATGGACAGGTCGTAGATGTCGCCCGGGGTCTCGGCTTCAGGCTGCTCGCCCATGACCACGACCACGGCGTCGGCTTGCTTGGCAGCGGCGACGGCAGCGTCGATCATTCCTTGATTTATCACTCCAAACTGAGTGCCTTGCTCGTAGACCACTTTGGCCGATGTTTGATTGAGGGCTTGCTGGATGCCTCCCAACACAGTGGTACCGTATGGCACCTCTGCGTTGTTGACTGGACCCTGCCAGTGAACTGACCATCCACCGCATTGATTGGGCAAGCTGTCTGCGCTTGGGCCAGTGACCAAGATGTTTTGGATCTCGCTTGGGTTGAGTGGCAGCGCCTCATTGAGGTTCTGCAGCAATGTGATCGACTCCTCGACGATTGATGCAGCGAGCTCGCGGTCCTCAAGCTGGCCAATTGTGTTGAGGTATGGGTTGGAGGGGTCGGGGTAGGGCTCGTCGAACAGACCGATCGCGTACTTGAGGTTGAGGATGCGAGTGACCGACTCGTCGATTCGCGACTCGGGAACGACACCGTCCTGCACGAGCTGGAAGAGGATGGTTGGGAACGAGAAGTCGTCCGGCACCATTGACATGTCGATACCGGCGTTGAGGGCGTAGATGATGGCTTCGGCCATGCTCGAGGTCAAATGGTGGAACTCGACCAGCTTCTCAATGTCCTGCCAGTCGGTGACGATCAGGCCGTCAAAGGCCAGCTCGCCACGCAACACACCGTTGACGTACTTCTCGCTGGCGTGCATAGGCACACCGTTGACCTCGCCCGAGTTGATCATGGCGGATGATGCGCCAGCGTCGACGGCAGCGGCAAACGAAGGCAGGAAGTAGCGACGGAGCATGCGCTCTGGGATCCAGGCGGGTGTGCGGTCCTTGCCGTTGACAGGGTCAGAGTAGCCCAGATAGTGCTTCATGCATGAGGCGACGTATGGTGTGAGAACTCTGCCAGTGAATGGGTTCTGGCCGCCTTGGAAACCGGTGACTGACGCAGCGCCCATTATCGAGGCGACATAAGGGTCTTCGCCAAAAGTCTCATAGGTCCTGCTCCACAATGGCTGAACTCCAACACCAAGCACAGGTGCAAAGATCCAGTGGAATCCAACAGCAGACGAGTCCTTTGCTGAGACAGCATTGGCCTTGCTCGCCAATGATGGGKTTGAAAGTTGCTGCCAATCCAGTGTTCTAAAAGTGATAGATTGATTGATTATGTGTCAGTTAGTGAGTGATGGAATCATTCCAACATGTATGATTGAGCGATCGAGTGAGTGATTGTTGCAAGATGGAATGATTGATTGAGTGATGGAATCGTTCCAACATGTATTGATGGGGTGATGTGATTGATTGAGTGTTTGGATGAAATTGACGGAGTGATCATGTGATGATGGAGTGATTGAATGAGTGAACTTACATGTGGGAACATGGTACCCATGTGGATGTAGTTGGCACCGTGAACACTGTCCATTCCGTAGATCATTGGGACTTTGCTTGGACTGTTCTTGAGGGTGTAGTTCTGAATGATGGTCAGGGCCTCAATCCAGTTGGTGGCATTCATATAGTGGATCTCATTGTTGATCACACCGTTGGCCGTTGGTGAGTTGAGGAATGAGCCAATCTTGTACTGATTGGTCACCTGGTCCAAGTAGGTCTGGTTGATCGTGGCCGTGTTGTGCTCCAACAATATGTTGATGTCGATCTGGGTCATCTGACCGATCTTCTCGAGCAACGACATTGAGTTCAGGATGCCGCTGACAAACTGGTCGCGCTCCGCTATGAAGGCCTTCTGCTCGTCGGTGAGGTGGGCGCGTGCTGTGCGGCGATGCTCGTTGATGTCCAGCTTGACCTGGCGGAGTGGCAAAGGTATGGTAGTATGTTTGATTGATTGATGTTCATATGAATCACCGTCCACATCGACCTTGAAGCGTTTGGCTTCATTAGTCAATGCAAGCAATGACACAACAATCAATGCGTAAAAGATATACTTCATCATGTATTATGTGTATATATATGTATGATTGATTGATTGATTGAATAAATGATTGAATGATGTGGACGACAATATGCTTGTAGTTTATCAATGCACATCACCTTAATACCAATCAAGGTACTGTTGTTGGGCTATCTGCATATCTTTGCATCGTTCAATTAAGATATTTGATTGTGAGTGTGAATTTGAATGATGTGATTGATCACCCAGTGTGTGGGTTGGGCATGGTAATGGGCTCCAATCATTAGATAGATACTTTCCAACGAGTTGGAGTTGGAACACACTTACATAGACTCTGTCTATCGAATAAGTCATTTTATTGATCACCTGTCACCAACATTTTATCTCAAATTGATTGATTGAAATGAAAAGATACAAAATTGCATAATATTATGCAAACAAATAGATAATAAATAAGTTATTTATTCTTACCCATTTGGATAAGATATTGACAATTAAAACTATGAGCATCCTGACTCCAACTCAAGTTGAACAATAATGATTGCCCAGGGATGATCAATTATTTGAATGGAGTGCGCGTGTGTGGTGGTTGAGTTTGGGGTAAACATTGATTGCAAGAGTGTGTGATCAATGCAAGATAGTTTGTGTGGGCCAGGTCCAAAGAAGCATCTTTTTGAGACCTGAGCATTATTGTGATACTATTACACAAGTATGTGTATCCAAACATAACTTTACGTTCATATATATATAATACACAATATTCATTCAAACAAACATTCAATCACAATCAATCATTCAATCAATCAATCAAACTTATAATGGATAATAATAATAACCAGATTAAAGAATTAGAACAATGGTTTATACCTTATGATGAGTTAAGATTGGGTGATGTATTAAGTAGATCAACATTTGGTACAGTGTATAAGGGTGTAGTTCGTGGTCAGAATGTAGCAATCAAAAGATATCCTATTAAGTCGGTCGATCATAACGTCGATGAACAAACAATAGTGGATGGATTCTTGCGTGAAGCACACATGCTGAGTCAAGTACGATGTCCAAACATCCTATTGTTCATGGGATATAGTCGCAACACAGATAGTCTATTCATCATCACCGAGTTGATGACCAGTGGCAGCGTGCGAGACGTTGTGCGTCGCGACCCACGAGCAATCGACGTTCACCGCGCACTTGCCATCGCACGCGACATTGCTGTGGCGCTTAGCTGGATGCACACACAGACCACGCCGCTACTGCACCTTAACATCAAACCGGCAAACATCTTGGTGAATCGCGACCTCACCGCGGCCAAGATATCATCGTTCCGCACCAGCAAGCAAAAGCCAGTGGACGTGGCGTCGGACGGCCTGCTGACGGGCCAGGCCGGATCGATACCATACATGGCGCCAGAGATGCTACTCAATCAGCGATACAACGAGAAGTGCGATGTATACTCTTGGGCCATCACACTATGGGAGATGGCAACGGGCAAGGAGGCCTTTGGAGGCATGTTCAACACACTGCCCGAGATGCACGCCGCTGTCGCGGGTAAGGGAGTGCGACCTCCACTACTGGAATGGTTCCCATTCAGTCTCAAAGACTTGTTATCATCGTGTTGGGCACACGACCCATCGCAACGACCCAGCTTCAGACAGATCATTGATGAGCACAGACTGGAACAAGTGATGGTCGATCACGTACTGCATCACGATGTCATCGCTCGACAGTTTTGGTCCAACAACTTCTTGGGCCGACGCGATGTGTCTTGGGACACCTTCCTCCACACATTCTCTATATACTTCCATTTTAGTGTGCGCGATCCCTCGCCTGCCATCACGCAGCTCATCCACTGTCTGAAGCTGGTCATGGTGCCAGGCGTCACTCTGGACACTTTGAACGCTCACTCGCCACAGGAGCGTGTGAGCATCGAGCAGTTTGGTCGGTTTGTCGCTTGGTTTGGACCCCTGGCCGTTGGAAAGGGCTCAGTGATCTTGGAGCGAATGTGGAATACCTGTTGTTGGACTGATGGGTTCCAGGGCGACATGGCGACGGGCGAGGCCATCAATGCCAAACTGCTACACACACCAGGAAACTACTTGATCAGATTCAGTACCAGTGCATTGGGACACTTTGCCGTATCATATATTAATAAGAACAAACAGGTCAATCATGTAAAGGTGGAGTACGCCTTTGACAAAGGATTCCAGTTCTCTGATGAACGCGTGTTCCACCCATCACTGGCCAAACTTGTTGCCACCAAGAAGTCAATGTTCAAATATCCAATCATTGAATCAAACTTTAACATCATCAAGAACACATCATATCTGCAACAAAGTAATGGTCCGGCAGTTTATTGTGATGTTCCAATTCACAAGAAAATATAATTAATTAATAATAATATTTATTTATTTATCTATTGTAATATACCTCAAGATTTGATTAAGTGATGAAGGAATGGATCGATCAAAAATGGAATTGTTTGTTCCAGTTAGGACTGGAAGTATGATGATGTGATTCTCAAATTGGGTCATTATCATATGTCCAATCAAGAGTCGGATTATTGATTCCATAATATCTTTGTCGACTGCCATATATTCATCAATGTGTACAATGAGGACCATTGGAGATTCTGATGTAAGATTGAAAGTGTCCTTAATGTATGTGCACACTTTGTACAGATCAAATAGAGTAGGATTTCCTTGGAGAACTGACGAGGTTTGGCTAAGAGGTATTCCAAAGAAGAAGTGAGAGGCAAATCTTATACCAAAGAGTTGAGGTGTTATGAGATGTTTGTCATTGATCACTGAGTCGCCTGTTGAAAAGTTGATGCATGTATCCAACGTGTTTGATAGAGGGATAAGATTCTGATATCAGATCTTTTGCTAGAGCTTTGCTCTTATAGGCTAGCCTGGACTGATCTGTGTCAATAGGATCAGTGAGTGAACTTGGTTGCCTTGTGATTGGACACTTCTTCAAGGTCATGATACTCGATGCCCCTCTTTTGGCCAACCTGCTTCGTTAATGGATTGTTCAAGAGTCGATCACACATATCTATGATACTTAGGTTGCCATCAAGGGATACCTGACGCACTGAATGAAGCAAATTGGACATTTGTCTAAGGTCGACTTGGGCTCGTTTGAATGGATCATGGTCACCATCAAACAGATATTTTATCTGGACATCATCCTCATAGTCCATCCAACATTGTACCACGCCTGCCCATTTCCTCCACCAGAGACCACAAGGACATCATAAAAAGGTTTGGTCTTTATCTTGTTGAAATAGTTGTCAATGTTCTTTTTGAATGATGCCTTGATATCCTTAATATTATTCTCCCTTCCTACAAAGGGAATTGTTAAGTCAAAGTCCTCCTCTTCGTCCACATCAATGATACATCTAGAGTCTGGGTACATTTCATACATAGGGTCGAGGATGTTCTTGATAGCTTAGATATGAATGTTAGTATTAAATGATAATGTAAGTTAGTAAGTACATACTCTTTGTTGGTTGAGGAAGAACAACATGGTGCTCTTCGCAGCCACCTGGGTTTATATTATCTTTGTTCAGTGTCATCATTAACAGTGATATATATCTTCGAAGGTTTGTCTTGGTAAGAAAATCTGATTTCATTATTTATGTTAATTATTTATCATCTAAGGATATTATTAAATATTTAATAATAATAAATAAAGTGATTAATAATTTAAAGTAACGTTATGCTTCAGCTCAAACAAGTATCTTTTTCTTTCGTTTTTTAATCCCCAGAACAACAATTAAAATCAACTTGCAGTTCTGTTTGAGATTCATTAACTCTAACACCAAAGGTATGTAACATTTAATAATAGATTGATAGATAAGAATGATGAATGATATGAATGAATGATTGTTTGAATGATGAACTATACTGGGAATCTCACTGAACCAAAGATGAGCGATAAAACTTAACTTGATCGTTATAACTGAACCAAACAATCATTCATTCATTCATCCATTCCTTGTCTTGAACATCAACCTCAACATCATATCATCATACTAACATTCATCTACCTCTACATATATATATTACAGTTTATTGAAAGATGACAATTGCTTTACACCAATGTAACCAACTGAATAAAGTCCTTCGTTCATCACTAATATCGTCGTGCTTGATAGTCTGTACAGTTTGAAGTTATCCTTGCCTCGTTTGAGTTCAATTATTGTCACTATGTTTGGTAGTGCTTTGAGACTGTTGGTTGTAATACCTTTGCGGAATGACATCTGTCTTACTCCACTTGGTATCACATTATCCACTCGATCACATAATCCACTGAATGTTACACATGTCGTCGAGGCAGGTAGTGAACCTGCCTTGAGTCGTCTGTTGAATGACTCGCCAAATGTAACATTGGTCACTCCTTCAGGTATGGCTCCAGGTGACAATGACCTGTTGAACGCATTGCCAAAGGTCACGCTGGTGAGTGAGTCGGGCAGGAATGAGTGTCCAGCCTCAGACGAAGTTGGTGTCGCAGCATTGATGCTCTGTTGAAGACGACGAATGAGCTTGCACTTGGGTGGCTTGTAGTGTATGGCTCCATTGAACTTATTGCCAAAGGTCAGTTCGGTTACCGAAGGTGGGATGGACCCGACTGAGAGACGGGCGTTGAACTCATAGCCAAGGTGTAGACGAGTGAGTGACGGTTTGAGACAGCCTGGTGTCAGTTCGATCGGCGTGGACTTTTCACAGATATGTAGTTGAGTGATTGATGATGGAAGGTCGTGAATTGAGTCGATCCAGTGAGCCACCCTCAGTGATGTGAGTGACGATGGCAACAATGAGCCACCAATGCTTTGCTTAAAGTCTGACCCGAGGTGGAGAGTATGTACACTGTCTGGAATGGATCCGCCTTCCAATGGTTGATCAAAGTCAGTACCCAAGTCAAGCTCGCGTAGTCCTTGTGGCAGGGTTCCAGACTTTATCGGTTGATTGAATGATTGACCCAAGTTCAAAGTGATCAGTGACGACGGCAGACTTGCATGCTGCCCGAGGGGCATGTTGAAGCGACCGAATGTAAGATGCTCCACACTCGATGGAAGTATACCAGGTGTCAAGGGTTGGCTGAATGTGCCCAGTAGTTTGAGTTGGCGCACAGAGTTGGGTATCGAGCCAACGAGGAATGGTTGATGATAGAGCGTGCCAAATGAGAGATGTGTGACCGAGGCTGGGATAGATCCAGGGAGTATTATCTGATTGAACAAGTATCCCAGTTTAACATGTGTTATTGACTCTGGGATGAGACCGATGGTTATCTGTTTCCTGAACTCTGTTCCAAAGTAGAGACGTGTGATGTGTTGTTGACCATGATTGGACGGGGGCAGTAGCGTGGTGATTGACTGGCCATGAGACAGACGGGACACGTCATCGGCATCGATACAATGATCAAAGTGATACTTGTGGAATGGGTCACTCTTGGTGATTACAAACAGTTGTTGATCATGTTTGTTTAGTATTGATCTTCGTGCGATTGAGTTGAAAGACTTTAGATTCTTATTGTTTGGCTTATTATCGAATTGATGTAAAGTTGGTAGATGTAGAGCATTCAGTGACAATATATAATCACGTCTATCATACCATCGCTTTGATACCAACATCAAACATATCCTATCAACATTCGAATCGATCAAAGATACAATATGTTTCAACAAATAATCTGACATTAGATATATTGATGACGTTGTTGTTGTTGATGATTCCATTATTGATGTATGTGAGTGTGATTATTTATATATATGATTGGTCGATTGGTTGATATGAATGTTACTATGATTGAATGTTAAGGAATGAAAGGATGGGATGATTGAACCAAATGATTGATATTTTTGGAATCAAAGTTCAATTGTTGGGGGAAAGGGGGGGAGTTTGGTCGATCCAACTTCTGATCAGAACTAACAAATATGATTTTGGGGCCTCAAGACTCTCACCCAATCACCAAAGTGTGTATCTACACAATTCGGTAACAATAATGTTTTAGATCATGAACTTTAAAAGACTTAAAAAAGTGATACAAATAAGAGATTCAAGAAACAGAAAAGTGATATAAATGGAGTTTCCCTCATTTCAAATCGCTTGGGGAAAATAATTTAATCATTGACTTTTCACTCATTCTTTCATTTACTCATTCAATCATTTAAATATATATAAATAATGAATCATATTCACATTAAAACAGATGTTACCCATCGGAACTGTATGGTGTGATGACTCTTGATGAGTTCCAGACAACGGTTGGGAGTATAAATACTTTGATCACGTCACAAGGTGTCAGTAAAACTTGGAGGCGTTCGGGCATTGCCTCTTTAATATTCTTTATCCTCTTCTGGGTCGTAGTCATCACGACCAAAGGATCAAAACCTTGGTGGATAATCCTCTTAGCACTATTCACCATATCCTTCATCCTCTTTCTCTCGCTTACATCCCACCGCCGCATGAAGAGAGGCCAATTGCTCGACCTGGCCATCAGCACAGCCAACGGCGAGTATTCCGCACGTGGTATCACCTTTACCAAGTACTACAAGCCCTCACATCGCAGGTATCATGGACCCAGAGTGTACATCAAAGTGGAGTTCCCCGCAGTCGTCGGTGTCATGCCCCCGGCGATATGCAGACCGTCTTCATACCTCAAGAAGGAATCCCAATGGTCTCGATGCAGCCATATCAAGCTTACATGTACAGCCACAGATGAACTTCCAGCCGGGTGCACCATACCTGCAACCTGGACAGTACGAACAACAACAAATGCAACAACAACAGCAGCAGCCACAGTACCAGATTCAGCAACCAAACGAAACTAACATTAACCTTGGCATTGATGAGAAGATAAGTCTTCTCAAGTAAATATTAAATTATGTAATTATCTCTATCTCTAGTTTGTTGATGATAGATGAGTTTGAGTTGGGTATCGAGTCAACTAATCGTTGATCATCAGTGAGCCAAAAGAGAGATCAGTGACCGAGGATTTGTCGATCCAACAATGATCAGTCCTTCTCAACTGGTACTAGGATAGGGGATCACTGAGATTGACAGGTTTGTTCATTGATCATACACAATTCTGTGATTCTTTAACTTGACACGTTGTCCGCCTTCGCTTGTTTCTTCAAGAAACATGTATTTTCGTTTTTAACACTTTGATCTGGCATCCAAGTGAGGGAAATTGATCAAACGATTATTCTCTAAATAGTCTGAATTCAGACTATTGTATGAATGCAACTTCTATAATAATAATAATAATAATGACAACTAATCATATACATATTAAACCAGATGAAAACAATGGTCTATTGTATGATACATGTTACCCATCGGAACTGAATGGTGTAATGACCATTGAAGAGCTGCAGGGTACAGTCAATAATATAAATAGTTTAATCAAGTCCCAAGAAAACGGTGGTACTTTGATATGTACAGGTCTTCTCTCTGTAGTCTTCTTTATCAGCCTTGCTATCACAACGGCCTTCACCGATAGATCTGGGCCTTGGTGGAAAATATTCCTAGGCCTATTCACCATAACGTTCATCATCGCGATAATCCTAAAGGCCAACTGGTACTCTAAAAGAACCAAATTGATCGAGGAGGGTATCATGGAGGCCAACAAGCAGTATGCCGCCCGTCACATCACTTTCTCCAAGTACATCAAGGTCTCACACCATAAGAACAAGCGCGATAGAATACATATTAAAGTCGAGTTCCCAGTGCCAGTCGTCGGCGTCGCCCCCGTCTTTGCCCCCATCGTCCAGACCGTGATCATTCCACAGAATGGAATAGAAATGGACAGATTCCTACCACAGCATGCTTACATGGTGCCTCAACCAATGATGAACTTCCTGCCGCAGGCTGGACCAGGGCAATATGAACAACTTCCACAACAACTGCCGCCACAACAACTGCCACAACAAGAGCAACCACAGTACCAGATACAACTAACAATCGATCCCAACAACAATGACGTTGGTAGTGAAGAGAAGATTAGTCTTCTCAAGTAAATATATTATTTAAGTAATCTCTAGTTTGCTTTATTATTATTATCTATCTCAAGGAATGATGGATGGATGGATGATTCGTTGTCGGTAATGTGTATGTACTCTAGGTTGGGTTGTCTTTCAAGAAAGAGAGGATGCTACTTGATTGTTGTGATCACTCAATCAGACAGAATACTGTGATTCATGCCATGTATGAACGCGAAGGTCAATCAATCACATGATGTTGAACGAACGAGAACTGTCTATGATGATGTGTCCTCCCTCATTCGATTGATACACCTGACGATGATATGATCCCTGGGCTTGCCTCTCCTCTGACCTGCCCTCGCAAACTCATCACACTGGATGAGCACATCGAGGACGACAACGACTACGACCGACAACGACGAGAGGGCGACTGACTGGTCGACGTCGCCTTATAGTTGCTGCGTAGTAGGTTGAACTTGATTGAACGGGTTCTCTGGTGCCTTGAGCCATTGCTTCCACAACAATTGCTTGATCTGCGTGAAGCGCAGCGAAGGGTTCTCCTTCCTGAGCAAAGACAGGTTCTTGGTCTCGTACTCCTCGTAGGCGGCCTTCATTCTCTTTTCTGGATGATCGTCGTTGGCATTGCTTCCCGACAGCACCTTGATGGCTTCGCCCACACCTCTTGCCTCCAACATGTTGTCGCCCTCGCGCATTCTCTGCTCGCGGAATACGTGATTAATGTTCTCTTGCAGGTCGAACGTGTCCTCATCATCGTCGTCGCCAGCTGCCGTGGACGAGGTTGACGTGGTCGAGGTGGTCGAGGTGCGCAACTGTCCTTGTTGTTGCTGTTGCAGTTGTTGCTGCTTCTCTCTCTCGCGTTGCTCACGCTCCTTTTGTTGTTCAATCTCGAAGCGAGTCAACTTCTTGGTCTCCACGCCCTTGCCGTACTTTTGCTTCAGCTCGGTCTCCTCGCTGTCTAGCAATAACTTGTTCTCTGCCTTTCTCTTTGCCTCTTGTGCCTTCTTCTCCTCCAACTCCTTTGCCTTCTTCTGTTTGGCCAACATCTTTGCATCTGTCTCTTGCCACTCTGCATCCTCCTTCTCACGTTGTTTCTTCTCATTATCATTCTTCTTGACCTCTGCCTTCTTTGCTCTTGCCTCCTCAGCCTTTGAGTTTATACCAAACTTCTTTCCTCCGCCCATCTTATTATTAATATTATTATTATTGTTGTAATAAGTAATAAGGTATAGTTTATCTCTATCTTTATCTCTATCTCTATCTCTTTTGGGATTGAGTGATTTGAGTGAATGTGGTGTGAAAAGTGGGAATCCTTGAAAGTTGTTCAAAGTTCTCATTCTTCTCAATTTCATTCAAAGTGAAGATAATTGTGAGAATGACGTCTATTTACAAGTTGTCTTGTTCCAACTCATTGGTTCATTAATTGATCAACTCAAGTATATAGTTATAAGTAGTAGTAATAATAGTTAATAATTAACACAGCAATAACAATCATAATAATAATAGTAATATAGTAATAAAAATGATGGAAGAAAGACCAATTGTAATGGAGGCACCACTGGTAATTGAAGGCCAGAAGGTTAGGATGATAGCATTTCCAAGTGAGACACCTCCAGATGCACAGCCAATAATACAAAGAACACTTGATGTACTCAAGCCAAAGACAGCCTTTGTCCTAGACCATGTCCTATCACCATCAGAGTGCAAGTAAGTACCCCTATTCCATTCAATCAATCTATCAATCACTGACACCTCACTCATTCAATCAGATATATAATTGACAAGGGAGAAGAGATTGGCTTTGATAACTTAAAGTTCTATAAGACACAGTATAGAGGCAATGTTAGGATCATGGTATCAAGCCATTCATTGAGTGCAACAGTGTTTGAGAGGATAAAGCAGTATTTGCCAGACAACTTGAACATCTCTCTAAAGTATGACTCGATCAATGGAAAGTGGAAGTTGCACGAGGTCAATGAGATGTGGCGTCTGTGCAAGTATAACCTGGGTGGCGCATTCGCCCCGCATTTGGACGGCAACTTTGTACGCGACAGTGACAACCGATCATACCTCACCTTTATGATATACCTTAGCGAGGGCATCGATGGCGGCGCCACAAGATTCTTGGAGCAACACTCACACAAGGTGGTGGCATCCGTGCAGCCCAAGGTTGGCTCAGTCCTGGTGTTCCAGCATGACATGTGGCATGATGGSGAGACAGTAAACGCTGGCCTAAAGTACATCATGCGAACTGATGTGATGTATAGACGTGTGGACACGACGCGAACTGCACAGGAACAACTCAACGAACAAAAGGCACGCCATTTAATCAAGGAGGCCGAATCCCTGGAATATACCAACCCATCAGGGGCTGTATCATTGCTGAAACAAGCGTACAAGATCTATCCACCTATCGAGTATGAATGATTGAATGATCGAATGGATGAATGAATAAATGTAACATGATGCTTTAATCCTTTGCGAGACTGCTCGCCTAATGATTGTTTGTTTGAATGAACTAGTATGTGACTGCATTGCTGTCTCCCTTTCCAACCTTGACCTTGCAATCGATGCATTTGCCAGTCTCGCCATGAGGGTCGCCACATGCATCGACGAGGTAGAGGTGTCCAGATGAGCACTTCTTCCAGTTCTTGCCCCAGTACCCGACCAAGCTGATGATGGACGCCTTGGTCTTGACCTCGTCCACATCCTTCATTTGTAAGTTGGATATATTGTTTGTAGCGCAGTAGGTTGACGATGGGCATGGAGCACATTGGACATGTGCGCCATTGTATCGAGCTGGAGCTAGCCCTAAAGTGCGCGTCCATGTTGTCCTTGGCGAACACGTGTCCACACTTGAGTTCGATGAATGTGTCTGTCTCGGGGAAGCTGGCCAACTTCTGCATTGATATTGGTTCATAGTATGATGGATCGCACTTGCGACATTTCTTTGGGCATACCTCGCCGCACACTCCAATACACAGGTGTCCACAAGGCAATAGCTTTGTACACCTCACATCGCAAGGTGTTACCGTACAAGGTTCAGAACACCTGTTTGTACACTTTCCATGTTGACAATCTCTGGCGCATGGTAGTTGGCAAGGTTTGCCTGGATTGGCGGATGTGTTAGGCATGCTGGTCCATTGATTGATTGATGGAAGGAAGGTGTAGTTACATTTTGTTGAACAAATATGGTCGCATGGTCCATGACTACAACTGAGAAGACATTGATGTGCACATAGTTGGGAAGGACTGTTGTTGAGTACTTTATGTCCACAAATCAATGTTGACATCTTTGGCTGTTTTGTTGTAGTAGTAGTTGTTGAAGGTATTAAGGTTGGTCTTGGTCTAATATTAGTTGTTGATGGTTGTGTTGTAGTCGTTGTCTTGGACCCAAAGAATCGGCTAAAACTAAATGTCATTTAGTTATAATTGTATCTTGTTGTTGATGTTTGTAATATATATATATATATATATCTTTGTTGTTGAGATTGATTGTCTGGTTATGAGCTGGGCAATGAACCTAGGTCAAACAGTCACATGTATCCAGTGCCAATGAGTGAGTGTGTGCCAGATCTAATGATTGTTATTGCCAATAGCTATCCACACATCTAGATGGACGAGCTTGAGTTGACCCATAATCATTCCACTCACTCAATCATTCCTGTTTGAGGCCTTCAATGTTATTAGCTTCCTGATGATATGACCAATAGTACGATTCATCTCGATCACATTGTCATTGGCCATCTTATCCGTTGAAGGTGGAATCCTAAAGTCTGTTGGAGGCCATCTATTAATAGATAGTATATTAACCAATGATGGGTATCTATCCAAACATTGTAACAATGCTATAATATGTTGAATGGAGGCAGGTGAGTTGTCTTGTCAAATGAGTTTGCAGACCACTTTGAGTTGATCAACTTACAATCGAGTGTATCCATCCATTGTTGCTTGATCTCCTCCCAGATGATGTAGGCACTTTGATCGGGTGGCGGTAATTCGATGCTTTGGTAAAATGCTGTCAACTCTTCCGCTGCCTTTGTGAGGTGGTCTAGATGCTCGCTGGTTTGGAAGTCATCTTGATTAAGATGTCTGAGTATGGCGAATGACAGAGTCATTAGACTGATCGTCAGTACTTGACGAAGTTTCAGCGCATCGCCAATCATCTGAGCAATATTAGCTGTGATGGTCTCGATTGCCTCTGTAATAGCAATGAACAGCGCCAAGAATATGCCCTTGTTCCCCAGGTGTATGGGGTCGCTCCAACACGACATGTAATACTGCATGATCGTACATGTGTGCGGGAGGAAAGTGTCGCACACTGATTCGGTCGTGATACCATAGCTCCTCAATGTACCTAGGAATGACGAGGCTGAGGCCGAGGACTCTTGAACGTCCATTGCCAGCATGGCCATCGATGGCAGGTATGTAGTGAAGTATTGTGCCAACACATTGATGCCCTGTTGGTTCTCGAATATGTCGTATGCATGCTCATTCATCATACATGCACTGGCATTGATGTAGTTGGATATTCCCGGTAGCAGGTAGGCGATAAAGAATCCATACTCCTTGCCATGGGAGTAGAAGTACTCGATGATGGGTTGCAGGGATATGGACAGACACTCCTCCATGGACTCGGCCTCTTCTGCCAAGAACTGACCAACTTGTCTCAATGTCATAATGGCCACTTTGGAAGGCTCGGTACGAGGGGCATGGTCGGCCACCGATCGAAGGAAGTCAATCATGACAATATTGGTCTCGATGAGCACACTACGCAGGAGTTGGAATGAGTCGGTGGTCATCATCAAGGTGGTCTCCTCAGAGTCGTATTGCTGCACCATGTATGTGATGACGTTCTCCATGATTGAGTAGCATGCGATGAGCATGTTGGTTCTGTCTTGCGTGATTGTCGCGTTGACTGGATGTGCCATGAGAATGGACTGAACCTCTGTTCTAACAGCTTGACATATTAGAGCGAATAGACGTTCGCTTGAGATTGGAGTGGATAATGACTGTGTTGATGATGATGTCGCGCTAGTGACCCACTTGTTGCCAAACAACTCGAGTAGGATTGAGGACAGGATGATGACCTGATGTCGCTGCTCTTCAGGCATCTGGTCGCCAGGCCGACTTGTCAGACAGAGCGCTATGCCCTCGCGTATATTGGCCGCAGATTGAATCAGTTGTTGGCTTTGATTGTTTGGATGCGTGGGGAATCCGTCAAACTGGAAGATTGAGATCAGGACTGGGAGAGTGGAGAAGCGACTGTCATCTGATCGTTCGAGGAATATGAGTGATGTCGGTCCAAGCATTGAGATGAATCGTTTGAATTGACATTGCGCTTCATTATGCTCTTGGAAACAGAAGAACAAGAGTTTGAGCACGAGGATACCTTGATCAAACAGTGCCGCCAAAGACTCAGTGGTATGAGTGTTGTTGCGTCCCATTAAAGTCATTGTTGTCTTTGATTGATCTGGTGATGTATGCTTTGTGTTACTGGCTTGATGCAGTGTACCCAATAGACTGGCCAGACATTGTAAGTTGGGCTCGGCTTGGATGATCTGACTCATCATCTGGTATGAGCTTGACCCTGACTTCTTGTTGCCAGCGTCACCTGACCCTCCCATCTCCCTTAGAGTTGACTCAAATGTCATCATAGAGTACATGAAGGTCAATGAGTCCTGTATGAATGACTCGCTGATCTCTCCCCTTCATTGATTGATTGATTGGTTGAATGAGTGAGTGAGTGGAATGGTTCCCAGGACAACACTGATTGATCAAACATACCTTTGACTGAGGGCATGAAGTAGGTTCTTGACTAACTGTGGGAGCAATGTATGTTGTGAGATTCGGAAGATTAGTGTAGACTCGAGTAGGTCATGACTGATTCCAGTGATGTCAAGAGATGTGAATGTGACAAGGAGATTGACTGCCATGTATGGGTAGGAGATGGACTCCACACCAGGTAGGTTAGGCGTCTGTATCAATCTATTTAGGAATGGTAAGCCCAATGAATCGTAGACTCTAGTCAATGTTAGACCATCATCCAACTTTACAATCTTCTTTGCCAATACCATTCCAACGAATCTCTCTTCATCTGAACTACTTGACAGCATTCTTAAGCATGACTTTAAAGTCTTGTCCATATGAGATTGAGTGTTGTCTGGTGACATATATGAGTTCATTGATAATGGACTCCTTGTATTAGTGGTAGTTGTAGTTGTAGTAGTTGTCGTCGTTGACATTGTAGAGTGAGGTGATTTGGCTGTATGTGACATCATAGTTGTAGTTGTAGTTGTAGTAGTTGTAGTTGTAGTAAGTATATTGAGTATGTTATTGTGATGACAGTTGGCTGGCTGGTGACATGCTTACCTGTTCCTAACTTGCCACTCCACAACAACCCTACCATACCCTTGTCAATGAGACTGATGCACCACCACCAACTTTAAACCTACTTAAACACACTGCCGTCCAACTTCTGTCAAGTGGTGTGTGATCAACCCACCCCATCATGATCTGATCAATCAAATAAATGAGTTTGAGAGTGAAGTAGGTCTATGTATAAGTATAAGTATAGTATTACTAAATAGAGAATGATGGGTAATAATGTCAATCCGACACTGAATTTTAACTATTTATGTGTACAAATTGATTGGATGGATTGATGATGATGATGGATTGATGGATTGGATGGATTGATGGTGGACCTGTTACAATGACCACCTTTTATGGTCTGTCTGATATCTCCAGCTGAGCTGAACACTGTATGTTTCTTATATATTGTTGCCTGTCAAGCCACCTGCGACTCCCTCTACAAAGTGATCCAAGAACTATGAAAGTGATTGATGAGTTAGTACATTACTCGTTGTAGTTGATGATGATGCTTGACATGTCTTACCTTCTTTGTGATTCTAGTGTAGTTGGTGACTTGCTCCTTCCACTTGATAAAGGCTTGGTAGTCGTCCAGCTTCTCAATGTTCTGCTCGTAATAGGTGGACAGTTGATCGGTGTGCTTCTCGAGATCCTCCTGCAAGTACTCAAATAAGTTACGCTCCTGTGACTTCTTGTCCAAATAGAATCCATATACATAAGAGTACTGGAGCACTCTTCGGTTCTGTTGATTGCAAGAATGAATGAATGAGTACATGTGGACTAGACTTGTGTAATGTCTTTTGAACTTGAATACATACTCTCAACAATTGCTCTGTGGCCTCCATCAAGAACTTGGTATCGGCTGATCTGACATCGAACCTGGACAAGATCATCTGCTCCTTCTGGAAAGCATTCTTCCTCTGCTCGTCTGCGATTTTCTGTTTGATTGATTGAATGATTGAGTGTTAGTCCATCACATCATGTTGTTGCGCATCTCCAATCAATCAATCAAGTCGCGACGACTTACCATTGCACCCTTATGTGACTCGTATCTGTGGTAATAAAACATGTATGCCTCCAACTCTGTCTTGGCATCGGCGGCCTTGTCGTCGTCCTCTTTGGCCTTGGACTTGTCGTACTTGTTGCAGTTGTAGTAGCCACCTGTGGCAGATCCGTGCTCGGTCCAGGGACCACGGCACAGCCAGCAGAACTCAAAGCCACAGCCACCGGCGTTCTTGCGACAGGTCATATGCATGCAGCCGCCGTTCTTCTCGATGGGCGACCGACACTCGGGACACTTCTTGGTGTTGGCCAGCATCCACGTGACGTTCTCCGACTCGTCCGACGCCTTTTGCAGCCACTTGTCGACCTGGCTGCACGGGCACGGCATGTGATCGCCAATGTCTGCGTCGCTGCACGAGAAACAGTACTGGAAGCCGCACTTGCACACGACGGCCTCCTTGCGCTCCTTGCGCTCGCAGCGCACCGAGAAGTTGCAGCCGGGCGCCGGACACCACTTGACCTGGGCGTTGTCGTCCACGTAGGACCTGAGCACATAGGTGGAGTACTTGTCAAAGACAGGGCCGTCCACCAGCTTCTTGAATGCCTCCTCATGCACCTTGACCTTGCACTTGGGTGCGGGACACGTGGCCGATATGCACTCGGGTCCCTCACCAATCTTGTTCTCCAAATAGAGCTTCCAGCATGCCAGACAATATCTATGGTCGCAGGACAATGCATATGTCTGTGTTGGCGAGAAATCATCCAAACAAATCAAACAGCTGAACTTCTGCATGGCCTTATCGACCTGTCGTTCCAATCTCAAGTTAGGAATACCAGCCTCAATACACAATCTATCAGGGTTATCCATATATTTCTCGATCAGTCTCTCTTTGTTCCATCTATTGATTGATTGATTGAGTTAGCATCAATGTTTGAATGAATGATTGATTGAATGAATGAATGAATGAGGTGAACATACTTCATGTGTCTTAATAATATTGCAACAGCAGCCTCTGATGTGATGCTGAGTACATCCATGATCTCGCGAATCAGTTTACGTGACTCTGATTGCAACTCTAGTTTGTCGAGCACTTCATAGCTCTTTTGTCGGACCATTCCACTATTTGATCTGTTTGATGCTCTAATGTCATCATAGTCCACCTCTTGAGTATATTCATAGTCCATATCATTGGCAGACTCATTGCCAGACTCTACTGCAGAGTCATCCTCCACATCATAATCATCATAATATTCGTCATCTTGTGACATTCTTTCTTTCTTTCTTTCTTTCTCTTCTTTATCTCTATCTCTATACACACACTCACTCACTCTTTCTTTCTTTCTTTCTTTATGATTATTATTATTGCTATATACACATATAGTTATAGTATGTACAAAAGATATATAATAATGTTATTATTATTATAAGTAAATAGATTAGATAATAAAAGGTTAATAATAACTAATGACGAATAATCTGTTGGTGTTGTGTGTTCGAGAAGTTACAAACATTGACATTGCTTGAGCCCTCAAACTGCCATCCGCTTCACAAACTTCCCAATAAAGAATTTTTAATTAAAAAAATAATCAAGCACTCAATCCTTCCTTCCTTCCTTCCTTCAACCAACCACAATGACAATCATTCAATGGAAAGGATTCCTATCTCATCTATGATCTGTCTTTAAATGTATAAATGAATCATCATCATCGGAGATATATATATAAACAAAACAACTTGTTTTATTATTACAAGGATAGATGATAGGACAATGTCCACCTAATGTACTTACCTTGATTTGATTCCTTCCAACCAACTTGATGGATGGAATAAGTATCAAATTGTTCGATCCTGGAAAATAATGAACTCAATAAAGCAAGTAAGGTTGACAAACACAAACACAAAAGAAGTGAAGTCCAAAAGGTAATGAATTATGGATGTAGTAGGAAGGAAGTAGTAGGTCAGGTAGATAGAGAGAGAGAGAGAGAGGTTGGTTGTTTGTAGTTGTCAATGTAAAGTGATATTTAGTTAGGTCATTGTCAATTGTCATTTGTCATTTGTCAGTGTCATGTCATGTCATGTCATGTGGTCATGTCAGGTCAGAGAGAGAGGGGACAAGACAAAGAGAATAGAGTAAATGTAGTAGTTGGTTGGTAGTAATGTCGGTCTTTTCCATGTGATGATGATGATGATTATGTCGGATAGATTAGAAGGTTTGGAAAGGAAAGAGGGATAGAGGAGGGAAGAGTGTTGAATGGAAAATGTTGGTGAAGAGGAGGCTGTAGGTGAGGCAAACACTGGCATCAGTGTCTGTTGAATAGTTGTTGTTGTTGGATTGATTGATTGAGTACAAGCTAGCTAGCTAGTGTATATACTATAGTTAGTTAGTTAGGTTATATATAAATAGGTTATATAGATATATATAAGATAGATAGAGGGAGGGATAGATTAGAAGAGCGAGATAGAGGGAGGAGAGAGAAGAAGCGGATAGAGGAGGAGAGAAGAGTTGGTGTCGGGTCGGTCATTGTTGTTGTTGTTGGTCATATGTCATGTCATGTCATGTGATGTGTAATGTCATGTGATTGTGATGTGCTTGGTTGGCTGTGATAATGTGTGGATGGATGTTGTTGATTGGATACACGGCGCAGCAGGTGGATATGATATGAATGAGTGATGATAGTGGAGTATGTGCACGGTGGATACAAATGGGGACAAGCAAGCTTGGAGGGCGAGTGATGACATCCAGGTGATTCAAGGGGCTTCAGCCGAGTGTACACGTAAGGCCACCTTAGATGTTAAAGTTGGAGTTGTTGACTCCACCACTTTGGAAGGAGAATGCGTTGCCACCTTGGGTTGTCTCTGGCATGAAGTCTTCGTCGTCCGATTCGTCGTCAAAGAAGCTGTGGCAGATGCGACTGGCCTTCTCAAACGTCTCCCTGTTCTTGTGGTTCTGCAGTTCGACGATCTTCTGGACGCCACCAGTCTCCTCGATGATTTGCAGGTAGTGGTTGCCATTGTCGTGGCGTCCGTTGGTCAGGATGTTCTCGATGCCCTCCAGTGCGACGTTGATGATACGGGCGTCGGTGCAGCTGAGCAGGTCACAGAGGGGCTTGACACAGCCCTGCTTGACAAAGTAGTCAATCTGCTCGAGAGAGCCACCGCTTGTGGCGTTGGAGATGGCCCAGGCGGCCTCCTTTTTGATCTCAAACTCGGCGTTGCTGAGGAGTGACACGAGCGAGGGCACGACATTGGCGTCAATCACCTCTTGAATCTGCTGCTTGCTGCCGGCAGTGATGTTGGAGATGGTCCAACAGGCCTCCTTCTTGATGGCCTTCTTGTTGCTCATCAACAACTTCTGGAGGAAGGGCAGGGCCGACACGTTGAGGATGGCTTGGGTCTGGGTGTCATCACCAGTGACAATGTTGCCGACGGTTCTCAGGGCGGGTGTCTGGACGGCGCACGATGGGTGGTCCAGAAGCTCGACCATGCGACGGGCGACGCCGGCTTCGAGCACGGCCAAGATCTTCTCGTTGGGGCCGTCCGAGAGGTAGCTGAGTGCCCAGCACGCGTCGATCAGGACCTCCTCGTCGTTGTTGTAGATCAGGTTGGCGAGGGCGTTGAGGGAGATGCGCACGACGTCAAATGCGGGGGGTGGCTTGCCACGGCAGAAGTTGGAGAGTGTCCATGTGGCGTTTCTAATCATGCTGAGCTTGGGCTGGCCATAGAACTGGTTGAGCAAGGGTGGGAGTGCGCCGCACGATAGGACCATGTCGCGGCACTCGTGCGAGTCTCCAGCAATGTTGCCGAGCGCCCAGACGGCCTGCTCTCTGACGTCGTCGTTTAGTGAGTTCATCAGCTGCACAAAGACCTGCACGGCGCCATTGTCAATGACGACCTTTGTCTGCTGGGCCGATCCAGATGCAATGTTTGTCAATGCCCACGCCGCTTCAAACTGGAGCTGAGGGAACTCGGCTCTGTGCAGGAACTGAACAAACAGTGGAACGACTCCAGTATCAATCACATCCTGAATTGGTGGTGATCTCTCAATCGACAACAACTTCCTGAACTGAATAGTCGACTGAAGTACCTGTTCATAGTTATTTGATTGTACTCCTCTAACCATCGCAGGTAAGCTCTCAAGCTATAAATATTTGATTGATTGATTGTTTGTTTGTTAGTATCTTGTGATCATTCATTCAAACAATCATATAATGTACAAACATACTCTTTGAACGAGGTTTGCATCAGTCTTGATGTTTCTCTTCTTTGCCAAGTTCTGTTCTCTATTTTGCTTTCTGATTGAGATTGCCAACTCTTCTCTTTTACGACGGGCATCATCAGCATCTATAATCTTCTTGTACTGACTCTTCCTCTGATCTTCTCTCTCTGTCATTGATTTCAACATTCTCTCTATCTATCTATTTATATATTTATATGTGTATCCAATCTAATCTATCTGTTTTGTTTTGTTTTGTTTTGTTTTGTTTTGTTCTGTTATTATGATTATTATTAATGATTGTTCAACAATTGAATATTCATTCATTCAACAACATATGATGTACTTACTTATATTATATTTGTTTGTTTGTTTGTTTCAAGGTGTAGTAATATTGAACTGAGGGGGGTTTGAGCGAATGCGCTTGTCCTTTCTCTCTTCACACTCACACATTCAGTCTCTACACACACCAAACATCATTTTTATTAATTAATTGAATATAATACAAATCGAAGTTCATTCACACACAAACTAGTTTGGTCATTCGTGTTACTCGTCAAAAGACATTCATTCACAAAATCATCATCATCAAACAACAGATATAAAGACACTACTTATATATTTATTAATATATATATAGTCTTGTGTGTGTGTTGAGCTGAGAGATGGGTAACAAGGTTGGCAAGATAGGGGTTGAGGTAAAAGATGATAGCACTACCTCAAACTCGTCCGCCCAATCATCCATCAATGTAGACTCCAATCAATCATTTCATCAAGTACATCAACAACATAAACAAGAGATACAAGATATACAACAACATATAGTTCATCATCAAGTACAACAACTACTACAACATTCTAAAGAACAATATCAAGATCAAGATGAAGATAAAGAAGAAAAAGAACAAGTGGTACAAAATGAGATTAAGGAATGTGAGATAGAGACTGAACATGGTATTATAATGGACACAGAGGAGGATATATGTATACCACCTCAAGACAAAGATCAATCATTCGATTCAATATCTGTTACATTGGATAGCTATAAAGATGAAGAACATGAAGATATAGAAATTGGAAAGCACAGACTCCCCGCCAATGACGATCATACACATACATCCACCAAGTCCAAGACCAAGTCCAAATCAAAGTCAGAGTCCGAGCCAGAGCACAAGCCAGAGGAATCTCACAAAAAGAAACGCAAGTCGAAGTCTGAGCATCAACCAGCAGAACAGCCAGAGATGACAGTGACTTTGACAGAGTACGAGACCGAGCCTGAGCCAGAGCCAGAGCAGGAGCCAGAACCTGAGGTTCAACAAACAGAGGAACGACCAAAGAAAAGGTCAAAGAAGTCAAAGAGGACAGAGAAGGAGAAAACAACAAAACGACAAGGACAACAATACGAGGAGATTGTTATTATGGTGAATGATGATGTCGTAGACTTGGAGGCAATGAATAACAAAGTGATCGATCCAATCACCATTGAAGTTGAGGATGGCGCTTCAGTTGCAAGCTGGGCCAACAAGATCAGTAGTCAACCAATCAACTCAATCGACATTGAACAACTTCAGGACAATCAAAGACGCAAAGCCAAAAAGATAGGTAGGTACATATCGTCAATCACTCTCCATGCCTTGGCCAATCACTCACCTCATGTAATCAATCAATCAAGATCGTCTCGTTGAACAAAGAAAGGACACTTCCAAGTTAAACTCAGTATTGGCCGAATGCTTGAACAACTTTTGCACAGGACAGCTGCTAGAGGAGATTGTAGTGCTGGCCACAATGGGAGAAAACTGTCTAGATTACAGCAAGGAGCAATTGAACTCAGTAGCTACATTCTTTGAAGACATTATCAAAAACAAGTTCTCAATGTAGGTTGATTGATTGATCAAAGGAACATCAGTGACCATCCACATCCTAACAACCAATCACACTCGTGCCTGCCTGTATATTCTCACTCGATCAGCGAGGTACCCCTATGGATCATGTCTCCCATGGCTAGTATCCAAGTCGAATATCTTGCCAAGAAGTATAAAGTATTCTCTGCCCTCCGAAGAAAGAGTAAGCAATTAATGATGATGGCCGACAATCAATCAGTCTTTGGCGTATTAATGAATAACATTCAATCAATCAATCAATCTCCAGAGAGAGTCACCAGAATGCACATTATGGCACAAAGCGGCAGAACACCTGCCAATGCAGCAAAGAAGGAGTTGTTCATCCAGGAAAGTTATAAACCAGAGAGACCAAAATACTCGATCGACACTCAGCCAAAGAAGAAGAAAAACAAGGATACCAAGAGGAAACATCAAGACGACCCATCATCATCAATTACCAAACAACAACAGACAAAGAAGAAGAAAAATGGAATACCTTCGGATGGCATAATGTCTGGCGATATCCAACCTCTAAAGAAACTGAAACATGGAGAAGTTGTCGATTCAAAGGAGCCAATACCTCAATCCAACATCGGTCACATCATGCTCACAAAGATGGGATGGGGCGGTGGAGGTCTTGGTGCCGATGGACAGGGTACAAGTGCTCCGATCCCAGTGGTCATGCGAAGGGATCGTCTGGGGCTTGGTCTCTAAGTGAGTGAAGTGATGCGCACCTTCACTTGAGTATTAGTAAATTGGAGTTGTAAATTTTAATTTGTTAATGCTCTGATCGACCAAAGTTGGTCATTGGACAATTCGGTCAGAGGGATCACGATAATACCTCCTACATCCTTCTTCATCTTCATCATTCCACAATCTCCCATTCACAATGTCAATCAAACAAAGTTCCAACAGTCCCATTGATCAAAGGATTGTCTTGATCAAAGTATCAACAAAGATGTTATGCAATTGGAGGTGGAATTCAGATAGGACGTAATCTAGTCCTAACATCTAGACAATTGGCATATCCAAGTGATTATGAACAAAGTCATAATCAATCATTTTGTTGAATTCCTTTTGGATGTGATAACAATGAACTAATATATGAAGTTGGACTTCATTTTCCTAGGCTTGAATGGTGTCAGGCCAATATATTCCGTATGTCTGATCAGTATAACCTAGCTTTAATTGAAATCTCGGAATATGGAATGGATAAACAACCAATCGATCCTATGGATAGCATTGATGCACTAGATTTGGAAACAAACTTTAGAGGTGCTCATGTTTATTTATCTGGATTTCCCAAAAGGTTTCTTGATACATATTTCAACACCAAGGACATATCAACTACCCAACCATTATTCCCATCAATCTCTCGTAATAGATATGTATCAGCACATCGCCATGAAGAGTTGGAAGTCAACACATTTTTCAAAGTATCACCTGGATATTCATTACCTGGATTCGTATTCAGAAGTGATGGATATCAACTATGTGGTATGGTCACAGAACAAATCAATGATCAAATGTTCATTTGTGAGCCTCATACCCACTTTGTTCCATGGGTCCTAGAAACCTTTGTCGAGGCAGAATTAGTCTATTCTGAACAATATGGAATTGGCCAATAAAGTATCTCAATACTTATCAATTAAATGTCATTGTAAAGCTGAAAGTAATTAACAAAGTAATTGCCAAAGAAGATACCAAAGTGGGCTAAAGTATTCTTTGGAAGCGCCAAAGTAATAGCCATAATATCCCTTGGTGCTGGCGACCTCTGGACCTAAGAAATCACTTTTGGAGGATGACAAGGTAATGTACATATTAAATGTTTATTTCAATAATAAAGTATTATTACTACTGGATTCTCGCTTATGGGCTTCTTGGACGATCGATTGGCTCAATGTCCACGATGAGGAAGTCGGTTCCAACGATGGGCATTAGAGGCGATGGCTTGGTCGACTTGGTCTTGGTGCAGAACACAATGTTGGCCAGCAAGCAGTTTGGCATGCCAGTCTCGAAGCTCTTTTGCAGAGCGGACATTGAGTCGCTCGACACCACCACCAGCAGCTCGCTCTGATGGAAGCCAAAGTAGCGCTCACGCTTCAGCACAAAGAGGCCAAGCTTGCCTGGTCCCAGCTCGTCAAGCGTAACTGGACACGATGTGATAAAGTCTGACAATCTGATGATCTCGTGTGCCTTGACGTTGAGCTCGTTCTCCAGGTCCATGAACGAACGCTTGGTCTGAAGCAGCTCCTCCTCGCAGGCCATCCACTCGGTCACCTTCTCTGAGTAGGACTGCTGCAGCAGCGACGTCAGTTCCTTGTTCTTTGACAGGCCCTTGTCGGTGCCACTGGCGATGTTCTTCTCAATCTCTCCGATCAGGATCTCAAAGTGGTTGACGGTAATGTCGCGCGATGTCCATGTGTTGACATCGCCAAACTCGCCGATGCGTTGCTTGTCAAACTTCTCCTTGGTCAACGCCTTGACCGACTCGGACATGGTCGTGGACGTTGTGGTGGTCAATGCGGAGGCAGCGGCATTGGCATTGTTCTGCAGGTTGAGCTTGGCCAACTGCTGGATCAACTGGTCGGCCAACTCTGCTCTGGCCTTGTCGCCAGCATTCTTCTTGGCTGGTCTGGGTGGTTGTGGAGTTGGGGCGCCAGGCAACAATGCCAAGGTGTCCGACTCTGTACCATCGTCCTCTCCAACAGCGGATTGGTTTGATGACTCGACTCCCTCAACATTGTTGTTGTTGTTGTTGTTGACGAGCTCGGGATTGGCTGCCTCGGCCAGCAGTTCAATCGGTGTCTTGTTGTGTGCGTTGGGGCTGAACATGTCACACTTGCTGTCCAGCAGCAAGTTGGTGATGTCCTTATGATTGCTGACGATCGACTTGAAGATGGGCGACTCACGGTCACCGTCCAACAGGTTGACGTCGGCGCCTGCAGCGATGAGCTTGGAAGCGACGCCGACACGGCCCAGTGCGGCAGCCCAATGTAGTGGACCCATGCCACTGTAGTCCTGCATGTCGAGCAGCTCAGGCTTGGTGCTGGTGTAGTGATCGATGAAGATCTCAGAGATACGTGGATTGCCATCCATCGCGGCGTAGTGGAAGGCTGTCAGTCCGCGGTTGTCCTTGATCTCAATCAACTCCAAGGCAGTCTTGCATAAATATTGAACGAGTCTGACGTGCTTCATCTCAGTGGCAATGTGCAGACCAGTGGCGCCAACTCCATCCTTTGAAAGTATGTCGACTAAAGAGTGGAAAATGTCAGTTAATTGATTGATTGATTGTTTGGTTGATTGATTGACTGATATCTTACCTTCATCAATGACCATCTCAACAATGTCAATGTTTCCAGAGTAGCAAGCCATGTGGAAGAGTGAGTGGCCAGTCTTGTTCTTGGCAGTGAGGTCAGCACCGAGGTCCATCAGCTTCTCGACAAAGTCGTCACGTCCCTCGCGAGCACTCAGCATGATCAGACTGTTGCCCATCTGGTCTCGGTCGTTGATCTCGAACGTGCCATTGTTGAGCAGCTCCTCCAGCTCTTCAATGTCACCATAGAGCACGCACTTCATATAGGTGTTTAGAGGGGGTGATGTGCCGCCATTGTATGGCGAAGGCACGTTGCCGCCCTGAACGCTTGTAGGGCTGTGCATGTCGTCGTCCATCATTGGTGAGCCATTGCCCTTTTCATCGCCGGGTCGCTCGACCTCACGACGTACACGCTTGACACTGCCCGACTCGGGCATCTCGTTGTACGTGAACTTGTATGGCTTGCCGACCTTGGACTTCTTGTCCTTGTCCTTGTCCTTCTTGGTGGAGTTCTTGGTGTAGCGTGTGGAGACGTTGTAGGTTGCTCCCGTCAGGCGGCGTGGTGGCGTAAAGATGAATGAGAACGATGTTTGGTTGGGCATACGCAGCTGCTCCTGCTTGACGGTGTGCTGGGCGTGGCCCTCCTGGCCGGGATACTCGGGCTCAAAGTCCAGGTAGAGCATCTCAGTCCTTCCCTTCTTGAAGTAGTAGCCGTAACAGATCACCTCGGGCTCCTGACCGCAGTAGCACTGGTTGGGAACGAGACGCACAATGTCTGGGGCGGGTAGCAGGTCGGTGTGGTAGTAGAGGTTGATCGATGGCGACATCAGCTCGTTGAAGCAGCTGAACGTGCGGCGATTCAGCAAGCTGAATCTGAGGCGGAAGGCGCTGCATGGATCGTGCTTCTTGCGGTCGACGTGCATGTCGGTGAACTTGAACTCGAATGAGCCATCGGGGCACGTGACGGCTGGCTGCGAGATGATGATGCTGTCGTCGGGCTCGGGATTGGCCACGATCATCAGGTCGTTGGGATCTCCAGTGTAGTTGTTCACCTTGATCACTGGCGACGGGACAAGCACGTGCGTCTTCACCGTGTACACGGGGAAGGGCTGCTGGTAGTTATCAATGATCTCCATGGTTGTCTGGCTTTGAATCTGAAGCTGCAGCTGCATCTGCTGTTGACTGGTCGAGCCATGATGATGATGTTGTTGTTGGCCATGTTGTTGAGGTAGTTGTGGTTGCTGCTGATGCGAAGGATAGTGTTGCTGTTGTTGCATCTGGTGTTGCAACAGTTGGTTGTGGAGTGATTGGGACATCTGAGTGTTGTGGGATGCTGGCTGCAAGTTGATGTGATTGTTCTGGACCATTGATTGGAAGGGGATGGAGTTGTCGTGCTGGGGCGTCGATGGCTCGGACGAGGAGGGCGAGACCGCGGTCAGAATGGGTGGCAGCGTCATGCTTTGTTGGTTGCTGTAGAGGTCGTTGCTACTAATGCTACTGGAAGTACTGCTACTTGGCAATTGATAAGTGCCTCGTGACTGGTACTGTTGTTGCTGAGGCTGTTGTTGTTGTTGTTGCTGCTGCTGGTCCGCGTTGAGTATTTGGGGCACAGACAAGTATGATTGATTGGCGACCGCGTTGCCATTTGCATGATGCATTGATGAGGCGATGGAAGGCGAGTGGGGAACTTGTGCCGTGAACGGATCACTGTTGCCATTGTTGAATTGATTGTTTGCGAATGATTGTTGTTGTTGTTGGTTGATTTGATGATGAGCATGTTGCTGTTGTTGTTGCTGTTGCTGTTGCTGTTGTTGTTGTAACAGTTGTTGAGCGAGATACTTGTTCTCGAGTGATTTGCTCAGGTGATAGTCGGAACTGGTCTGTTGCAGTGGATGAGTGTGCACGACCACTGGCTGCATCGATGCATTCTGGCTCAGTAGCGAGCTGTTGAGCAGCTGCTGTTGCTGTTGCAGCTGTTGCTGGATGCTGGCCAACTGTTGTGATAGACTGGTGATGGTGTGCGATGCATTGGTGATCATACTGGCGTGTGCCACACCCGACGATGCCGTGCTGCCTGCACTACTATTAACCGAGCTGTTGCCACTGACATTGTTATTGTTGTTGTTGTTGGTGTTGCCATTGGTAGTTGCTCCGTGGCTGCCACTGCCACTGCTACTGCTACTACTGTTGCTATTGCTGTGGCTGTGGGTGTGGCCGTGGCCATGTCCAGTGGCAGCTTGATTGAGCAGACTGGACATATTGGTACTTATTGACAGATTGTTGTCAATGCCCAACAGATCATTCTCGGACTCGTTACTCCATGATATGCCATTGTTTGAGCTGGCGCCCAATGCAAAGTCGATCAGCTTAAATGTATCTTGTTGCTGATTCTTAAACTCCTTTGTCACCGAGTCACTCAATCCAATATCATTCAACAATGATTCATTAAAGTTAATAGATGATAATCCACCTCCAGAGAAGCTCATCAATTCATTCGTTTGTCTCTGTTGTTGTTGTTGTTGAGAACTCATTCTTTATATCTGTATTATTATGTTAGTCATTCGTTCATTCACATTGATTGATTGATTGATTAAATGTACATTACAATTATGATGTATCGAGATAATATATACAAGTAATAACTATTACTACTGTCGATCTATGTATTACTATTGTTGTTGTCGTTGTCTATATTGATTGATTGTCAGTTGACAATGTCTGTGTGTTTGAGTATGCGTGAGAATGAATGAATGATTGATTGATTGATTAAAAGAATGAAAGAATAAGTTAATTAATTAATTAAAGAATAAGTAAGTAAGAAGAATGATAGAAGTGTTGTGTTGATTCGAGTTGTAGTTGACAAGGTTTAGATGGTGAGGTAGGTCGTCACACAACATAACACAACACAGCGAGAGAGAGAGAGAGAGAGAGGTACGAGAGAGAAGTCAGTTGACTGAGTTAACTAACACGTCTGTGCCAAAGAGTATATTGGTTATCCGAGAATGGATGAGCTTGACCTGAGAGTGTGTCTTGAACAATAAGGATAGTTACATTGAAAAACAATTGTTTTTTTATTTTGACACACACCTCAATACTCTTCGCAACATTTCTATGACTTTGTCGATCCACGCGTGTGGTCAATTCCAACAAGATAGTCCTGGCAATCAAGAGCACCAATCTATGACTTGTCTTCGTCTCTCATTCTTAAGACTTGTCAAATATTTGTTATTATGTCTTTCAACTTTGGTCTTTTTGCCAAGTTAATTATCACGTTACCAGTTTTAACCAGGTCACTAAAGGTATCCGTCATCTGATTATAACATAACTTTGATTGAGTTTGATTGATTGATTGATTGAGTTTGCTTGTTTTGGTGATTGATTGGGTAGCATGTGTAAATATCAATATTATCCAACTCATAATAATATTAATAATGTATGCTCAGTTTCCTTGTTCAAAATGGAATGAGGTGGACCTCATTTATTTGTTTCGCTCACGCTTGAAGTTTCAAGATTATGAGGGTTTTGGAAGTGAGATTCAACTGACAAGTTAGAGTGGTGTTAGGGTGCGAATTCACAATCTTGTCAATTAGTGTCGTATTATTGTTGTTAAAGTGATAGAGATAGAAAGAAAGATAGTTAGATAGATATTCATACATACATATATTATACATTACATACTACACACATAAACATTACATTAATAGCATTATAATAATAAGGTTATTGTAACAATATATAGAAGACATAGAATGGGCGACGTCAATTTCTTGCAAAAGGCTATACAGATAGTCCAACAAGCAACAGAACAAGATAATGCAAAGAACTATGCAGAGGCTCATAAGTTATATATACAAAGTTTGGAATGGTTTACAACTGCCTTGAAGTGTAATGTATATCCAAACTCAATCATTCATTCAAACTCATTCATTATACTCATACTCATTCAAACATAATAATAGATGAGAAGAGTGAGAGATCAAAGGCAACAATTAAAGCCAAGACAATGGAGTATTTGCAACGTGCAGAGCAGTTGAAGGAGTATTTGGAGAAGACAAAGAATAAGAAGCCAGTGGCTGCTATGAATGGTACTTCAAAACCAGGCTCCACTACAAAGAAGGGAGGCGCAGCTGATGACGACGAGGACATTGATCCAGAGGACAAGAAGAGATCCGATGCACTCGGTGGTGCAATCCTCACAGAGAAGCCCAATGTCAGGTGGGATGACGTTGCCGGTCTCCATCAGGCCAAAGAGTACCTCAAGGAGGCCGTCATCTTCCCCATCAAGTTCCCTCAGATGTTCACCGGTAAAAGAAAGCCCTGGAGAGGTATCCTACTCTATGGTGTATGTTATCATTTGTTTGATTGATCATGGAACTATCCCTCACTCACTGACCTCACTCAATCAATCAAACATATTCAAATGATTAGCCACCAGGTACAGGAAAGTCCTACTTGGCTAAAGCCGTGGCGACTGAGATATCATCGACATTCTATTCGATATCACCTTCGGACATTGTGACGAAATGGCTGGGAGACAGTGAGAAGCTGGTCAAGCAGTTGTTTGAGATGGCAAGACAACAGAAGAACAGTGTAATATTTGTCGACGAGATCGATTCGCTGTGTAGCTCGCGTAACGATACGGAGAGCGAGTCGTCCCGTCGTATCAAGACCGAGTTCCTCATCCAGCTGGACGGTGTGGGCAACGACTCGGATGGCATCCTCATCCTGGCGGCCACCAACATCCCCTGGGGCCTGGATCTGGCCATCCGTCGACGTTTCGAGAAGAGAATCTACATCCCCCTGCCCGACCCCCATGCGCGCATCAAGATGTTCCAGTTGCACATTGGCTCCACGCCCAACAGTCTGAACCAAGGCGACTTCAAGCGTCTGGCCGACATGACCGAGGGCTACTCTGGTGCCGACATCCAGATCGTCTGCAAGGATGCCATCATGCAGCCCATCCGTATGGTCCAAATGGCCACTCACTTCAAGAACATCCGTGCGCCATCTAGAGAGGACCCCAACGTCATTGCCGACTTCATCACACCCTGTTCACCAGGCGACCCTCAAGCCATGGAGATGACCTGGATGGACATTGACGGAGCCAAGCTCAAGGAACCAGACATCACTGCAGTATGTATTAGTAACTCCTCATTCCACTACAACTTCATATCCCTTCTAACACTCGCTTGCACATAAACATAACAGAATGATTGTATTAAGAGTATCAGGAATGTCAAGCCATCAGTAAGCTCAAAGGATTTGGATAAATATATAGAGTTCACTAGGGACTATGGCCAAGAAGGTATCTAATCAAGCCAAGCCAAGGCAAAGCAAAGGCAAGGAAAGGGCAAGGCAAGGGCACTACCAATCTACATCTACTATATCCACTGGTCCTTGCTCACTCGCTCGCTTCTAAACATTGTATGAAATATATACTTGGATATCTATGATACCAATTCACGTGATTCATATTCATGGGATTTTGGGAATGATCAACTTCTGTCAGACCTCATCTTATTTCTGCTTCCATCACCTAGGTGACACCAGAATATTCTTTGGATATTTATTTGTAAGTTTCCCTCATTGTTTGGAATAATTGAATGAATAATCGATTGTTTGAATGATTGAATGATGATCATCAATTAGTAACTCGTGTTTGCAACGAATGAAGTAAATGATCACGTACGTGCAAAGAGTTCTTTGTTTCTTTGTTCGAATGTATTGGCATCATTAATGTTTCTGACACCCCAAACTAATAATAATCATCATTATCATCATTAGGGCGGGCTCAAAGTAGGTGTGGTCGATCACAAGTAGGGGTGGGGGTAAGTGCGAGACATTCAAAAGGGTGTTGGATTCTTCAAAACAAAACAAAGTCAACGTAAAAACGAGGAGTTGTGTGTGGTTGTTGGGTCGTCTTTCAATAACTTTAACATCTTTTTCACTTATTCATTCATACATTCATTCACTCTTATTTCTACACATACATATAATATATATATTTATAATATTACAAGTAATATTGATTGTACAAAATAAAGAAGGACCGAAAGAGAGAGAGAGAGAGAGAGAGACAAGACAATGAACAACGCATTCTCAAATGCAAAAGGATTGTACTTTGGTGATCCTTTGGTAGATGATATAAAGTCAAAGCAACAGGATAATGAACATGATCTGGTGTTGTTGGAGGCGAGGTTGGCAGACGTCGAACATGAGATGTCGGTGATGCTATCTCTCAAACAAGAGTTGGTTGACAATATACAGCGCGTGAAGAAGGACAAGTATGCACTGGACCAGCGCATGGTGCATTGCAAGCACTCGGTGCTGCTCAAGTGGAAGCACCTGGCCGCCAAGTTTGGCTTCTCCGAGTCGGAGGCGCCGTCGATCATCTCACTGCTGCCCACCGAGGTCATGCTCAACATCTTTGGCTTCCTCTCATTCCAGGACATCAGCTTCTCGGTCTCGCGCGTCAGCAAGCTGTGGCATCGTCTGTCAATGTCCGACGTCATCTGGAAGTATCTGTTCCAGTGCAAGTGGAACACATTGGACGTGCATCATCAGAACGAGTCCAAGCCGCTCAAGGTCATTGCGTCGTCGTTCTGGTCCAGTCCCATCCTGCCGCCGTCGCAGCCTCCCAACGCGGAGATACTGCCATCGACCATCTTCTCGACGCAACAGCCACACACGACCAATCCTCAATACTATGATCGATCGGTCACAAGAATGACACCTCACTCTGCGATCCTGCCTCCATCCTCATCGTCATTCAGTTCATTCACAAACAATGTTAACAATAGCATCAACAACAACAACAACATCAATGTGGACGTCAACAACAACAACAACAACAACAACAACATTGTTGATGCCAACAACAACAATAACAGTAACAATCATGTTGGAGGTATACCATTGATACCAATTACAACAACTACGACATCATCAACAACATCAGCCAACAAGAGAGAGTTGGTGGACATGAACAATGACATGCCAACAAGCTCACATATACATGACGACGACCATCATCACGATCATCACAATGGTGGCCCACTCAACAAGTTGAAGAAGCGCGTTAGGATAGATTGGCGCGAGCTCTATCTCAAACGTTTGAAGATCGAGCATAACTGGTGGACGAGCAACTGTCGCTCCAAGAAGTTCCCCGGCCACTCGGACTGGACGACGTGCATGCAGTTCGATGCCAAGATCCTCGTGACGGGCTCGTGGGACTCGTCGCTCAAGCTCTGGAACATCGACACGGGTGACTGCGTCGTGCTGTCCAGTCCGCAGATGGGTGGCCACCAGGCTGGCATCACCTGCATCCAGTTCAAGGGCAACAGACTCATCAGTGGCAGCTCCGATGCAACACTGCGCATCTGGGACCTGTCCACAGGTGACTGTCTGCATGTTCTGCGCGGACATACCGAGGGTGTCAGCTGTCTGACCATCATCGACGACAACACCGTGGCCAGTGGTTCATTGGACAACACCATCAATCTCTGGTCCATTGAGACTGGCAAGCTATTACATTCATTCTCTGTAAGTTATATGACATTGACGACATTGATTGAGTGAGCGCGATACTAACTCCCAACGATCAGACTCATGTCACAGGCATCACTTGTTTGTATTACAAGAACAACTTGCTCATTAGTGGAACGATGGGTGGAGTGCTCAACGTGATTGACTTGCCATCACGCATCGTGGTGCAGACGCTACATGGACACAGCGATCGTGTCACTTCTATACAGTGGTGGGACAATCCCAACGGCGAGTCACACATCGTAAGCTCGTCGTGGGACTATACACTGCGCGTCTGGAACATCCAGACAGGCCGCGCCATCCACGTGCTCTCGGGCCACACATTCCGAGTGCGTTGTACATATATCCGTGGCAACATCCTTGTGTCGGGCTCGTGGGACACTACAGTGCGTGTCTGGGACCTGCTCACAGGCAAGTGCATCCACACACTGATTGGACATAGCTTCAATGTTTGGGGCGTCCAGTTTGAAGGCAAGCGATTGGTCACTGCTGGATGGGATCGCAAGGTCAAGGTCTGGGACATTGAGACTGGCAAGCTACTCTACACCCTGGAGGGCCACACCGAATCAATCATATGTCTCCAATTCAAAGGTAGCAAGCTAGTCACTGCTGCCAAAGAGATAATAGTCTGGGACTTTGATGTCTAGCTCAGCCAACAATCAATCCCATCCATCATTCCAATCACTCCATCCATTCAATCAAACATTCATGATGACAGTACTTCAAGTAATATAGGTGTTGCGCACGAGCGCTCACCTCTCTACCAGGGGCAGCCAGGTCATGCCAGGCCAGTCCCAAACCAGATCAGTACTTCAATCAATCGTCATGTTTATACAAACATAGTAATACATGTTGGACCAACCCATATCCAACCTCCACCTCCTCCCTCCTACTTCCTCCCCATTATCCAATCAATCGCCAAGTTTCCCACCTCCTGGATCAATCAATGGACCCAACAATTGACATTAACCATTCGATTATGTCCCGCACCGCACCGCCCCATCCTTCTAATCGATCCAAACCAAGCAAGTCAAGATTCGACTGAACAATCGTTTGAAGATGGTGGTGCAAGGCTGACCTGGCTGGCTATTTGGCAATGGGATGGGATGGGACGCCCCTCCATCTTCTTGTCCATCTCCCAACGGACACATACACCACCTACATTATCATTATGTGTTATAATTAGCCAAACCAATCCCTTCATTAGCACCTCAACACCTAGTCCAGTCTATGCCGCACCCCAGCTTAGGAACTTGACATGTCCCTGCCTGTCCCTTCCCCTTACTCCTCCTTCCATTACAAGTTGTTGTTACCAACACTTATTCAAACACAATAACACTATCATTGATGTCGCGCACACTACACACTCGTATGACTGAATGACTTGACTTTGGCAACCTCCATTGCTCTTTGTTGGCTGGCAGGAAACAACTTGGGGACCAAATTAAGTCTGGTGTCCTAGTTTGTTTTGTGTTAACATTTATTACCTAATTTGGAAAGGAGTGTGGGAATTTGACCTGATGATCTGAACTCACACACACACACACACACACACACACACGCTTCAATCCATCATCTTGTCTCTAGCAGTTGTTGTTGATGAGATGATGATGAATAAGAATAACAAACCAAGGATGGTTGTTTGAACAAACAACAACATAAAAACTCAACAATCTTTAAATTTCTACAACATTTACTCAACAACTATCAACTAGTCAAGTTACAAATACATAACAACAAACAAAGAAGATGTTAGATACTTGGTTGGCTGTCGGACTGGTCGTGGTCAGTGGACTGCTGGCTTATAGATGGAAACGTCCACATCCATTTGGACAGACTATTGAAATCGGTGAAGCGGCACCAGGTGAGGGCCGTGCAAGAAGGAATGCATCACATCCAGAGTTGGTCTCACACATGGAGGATCAACAAGTTTATACACTCTACGATTCATTGTTGTAAGTATCATTGTTGTTAACATGTTCATTCAATCAATCATGATTCAAAGTTCTCTAACATGTTGTTGAAAAACTCCTAGGACTGCTTGTAAGAAGTACAGTCACAAGGAATGCTTTGGACAAAGGAACATTGGAAAGAATGGAGAGCTTCAGGAACACTTCGAGTTCATCACATACGCAGTGTTCTTGAACAAGTGCGAGACAATCTTCCAAGCCTTGTGCGAGATTGGTATCAAGCCAGTAAGTTGATGATTGATTGATTGAGGTGGAGAGAGGTCTACTGGACGCGACATTCATACTTAACATCTAATCCAATCACAAATAGAAAATGAAGGTTGGCATATTCAGCAGAAACAGATTGGAATGGCTGGTTGTGCAAGGTGCCAGCTTTATGCAATCAAACATTATTGTGTCGTTCTACGAGACGTTGGGCGCAGAGTCTTTGACATTCGTCAGCAAGCACGCTGAGATTGAGATTGCATTCTGCTCCAAGGAGACGCTGGACAAGACAAGGGAGATCGCATTGTCGGTCAAGGGCATCAAGTGCATCGTCTGCTTTGACAATGTCCCCGACGAGACTCGCAAGGATCTCGAGTCGCAGGGCCTCACATTCTACACGTTTGACGAGCTGATGGAGAAGGGCAAGGCTGCCAATGGCACACACAACCACGTGCCACCCAAGCCCGACGACTTGTCCACCATCATGTACACCAGTGGCACCACTGGCGACCCCAAGGGAGTCATGATCACACACAGGAACGTCATCTCGGTCGTCTGCGCCGTCAAGACCCTGGCCGACGTCTATGACAACGACACTCACTACTCCTACCTGCCCTACGCACACATCCTCGAGCGTGTAGTCGTCGCCCTATCCTTCCACTATGGTGCCCGTGTCGGCATCTTCTGTGGCGACACCACCAAGATCCTCACCGAGGTCAAGTCGTTGCGCCCAACGCTGTTCATTGGTGTGCCACGTGTGTTTGAGCGTATCAAGGCTGGCGTGTTCAAGGAGGTCGCCAAGCAATCATCTACCAAGCAGGCCCTGTTCAACCTGGCCTACAAGCTAAAGCACTCATGCATCGTCAACGGCATCCAGCTGCCCCTGATCGAGAGCCTGCTCAACATGGTCGTCTTCAACAAGCTCAAGCAGCAGCTCGGAGGTCAGGTCCGTGTCATCCTCTCTGGAGGCGCACCTCTCTCACACGACACTGAGGCCTTCCTAAAGGTGGCCTTCTCATGTGCCATCGTCCAGGGCTACGGTCTGACCGAGAGCTGTGGAGGCACTGCTGTCAAGCTCCTGCAGGACGAGAGTCTGGGCTCGCTTGGACCACCCTTTGTCTCGTGTGAGATCAAGCTGGTGGACGTGCCCGAGCTCAACTATCTCACCAGCTCCAACCCACCCTGCGGTGAGGTGTGTCTGCGCGGCCCATCCATCTCGATTGGTTACTACAAGGACGAGGCCAAGACCAAGCAGGACTTCAAGGACGGCTGGTTCTCTACTGGAGACATTGGCCGCTGGAACCCAGATGGCTCGCTCAGCATCATCGACAGGAAGAAGAACATATTCAAGCTGTCACAGGGCGAGTACATTGCCGTCGAGAAGATCGAGAACATCCTGAACAAGAGTCTGTGGATTGCTCAGATCTGCGTGTATGGTGACTCGGAGAAGGCCTCCATCATCGCGCTGATCCATCCACACCAGGACAAGGCCGAGGAGTGGGCACGCAGCAAGGGACTGAACATCAGCTTCAAGGAGATCTGCGAGAACAAAGAGTTCAACCAGGTCATCCTGAAGGACATCACCGACGTTGGCAAGAAGTCCAAGCTGTTTGGCTTTGAGATTCCAAGGAAGATCCATGTCTTCCACGACGCATTCAGTGACACCAACGACATGATGACCCCATCATTCAAGCTCAAGAGGCCACAAATCAAGGAGCACTACAAGGCAATCATTGATGAATTGTACCGTGATTTGGAGTAGACTTGGAGCAGATAGAACATTCAATCAATCATATCAATCAATCTCAGAGGGCAGTGTGGAAAGCATCCTTGAAGGATCATGCCCGTCCATCTCTCTCTTTGTCTCATCCTTACTTTACTTTCCATTATTAATTAATTAAACAACAACCCATGAGCGACACTCATCAATCGAGTTTGTCTTTCCCAATCCAAAGTAGAGATGTGACCAATGGTCCACTTCTTAGAAAAAAGTGTTGACACTAATGTTGGTTGGTGTTACTCACGCACACACTTGGCGCGCCATTGTCCAACAATGCTAGTTTGAAGTGAAGTCGGTCAAGTTGTAGTATTAGGTGTAATTGAATGACTGACTGACTAGCTGGCTGAGAATGATGCCATCGTCATTTTCCCTAATGTCCAAAGATCAACAACAACAACAACAACAACCTCTTCTTCGTATCTATAGACCACTACCAACCTTTAAGTTACAACCATTGAGTAGTACAAACAATATCAATAACAGCAATAGTAATAGTAGTAGTAGTAGTAGTAGTACTAATAGCAATAACAATAACAATGGCAGTGTACTTAAGAAGTCACCACAACAGTTACAGTTCAAACCAACAGCATTGAATCTTTCAACAACAGCAACAACAACAACAAGTGTATCTAGACCTACTAACTTAGGTGTTTCATTGGGCGCTCAAAAACTTCGACCTCTACCATCTTTATCACAGATTCAACCTCTACTTCAACAGCAGCAGAGCACCAATATTAATGTAGGGACTGCAACGGCTGCTGGCGCAACTGCATCAACAACAACAACACAGCCCAACAGCAAGAAAACACTGTTTCATCCATACTCCAAACCAACACTTCAACTACATCCACCATTGGCAAAGCCTGTAGCACTATCTTTCACATCGACGACGTCAACTTCATCATCAAACGATACAATAGTTCTGTTGCCAATACCTCATCATCAACCGTCAGCACTTGGACCTCGAACCCCGACTCGACCAAATCCGCTTCAGACCATGCCAAGGCAGGTGTTGCAGCTGACACCGCCACCTCCACCTCCTCAACATCAACCTCAGGCTCCATCATCACCAACACAACTTGTTGTAGATGTTGATAAACAACAACACATTCACGATTCATTCTTTGATGATGAAATACCGATGGAAGAGGAGAAACGGTCACAGACACTGGCATTGACACATGGTATTCAACAACATATTGATCAACAACAATTGGATAGACTTAATTGCCCTATCAATACATTGGTCGATGTTATCGAGATTGAATCATCTCCACCCGCTGGATTGGCAAATCCAACATCAGCTATTCCTATTCCAACCGAAGCGACAACAACTATCCATCTGACTAATGAACATATGCACATTGTCCGCGATTCACCACCTGCACAAACTACTTCGTTGCCATCATCAGATCATCCCATGGCATTGGAGACAACATCACTGCCATTGCCTAATATTGCGCCACTCACAACCACATCTGTTGAACTCCCTCCATCAATAACAACTCCACTTTCAACCGACATGACATCAACCACAACTACGACCGCGTCCACGATGACCATGACCACGGCAACAGGAGCAACCATATCCCCAACAAAGGACCTGGCAATACTATCAAACAAAGAGTCTGTTCCCGACACTCAAGAAAGTCCAACAAAGCCCATCAAAGACCTCACGCCCTATCAACAGACAATATCTAATGGCGATGTATGTTACATTCACTCAAACATTCATTCATTCACTCAATCACTCTCTCACTCACTCAAACACAATCAATCACAACACATTACAGGAAGCCAATTGTGTAATATGTTATGACTACTTTCATCAAACGGGTGAGCATAGGCCAGCCGCTCTCAAGTGTGGACATATCTTTGGAGGCTCATGTATACGCAAATGGTTGGACCAGAAGAAGTCGCATGGAATGTGCCCAAACTGCAAGGAAAAGGCGTCGAAGCGTGATATCCGCGATATCTTCCTGCCCAAGGGACTGTGCGAGGTCGATCCCACCCAAGACGCTCTTGCATGCCGCAGGATCATTGAGTCCAAGGACAGGGATATCCAAAAACTCAAGAAGAAAATAGCCATACTAAAGGCCAAGTTGGAGGCGAAGCATATGATGACCAAGAATTCCGGTGTACCATTCGTCAATAGCAAGCAAGTGCCTGCTTCACTTCCTGGAGCCGCAGCACTGATACAACCGCGATCACTTCAGCCACCCACATTATCGAATTCACATCTGATGCCCAATCATACAAGGCATTCCATCGATCAACCAAAGAGTGAACATCACATTGAACAACAACAGAGCGCAGCGAATGGACCGAATAACTTCCAACCAATATCATATGTTAAGCTAAAGGTAACTAAAGTGATCATTCACTCACTCACTCGATCCAACCAACTAACTAATCGATCGATCAATCTAGGGATCCAACACATTTGATTTCTCGTCAAAGTTGGGAGTTGTCGTTGCCTCTCATTCCCGGTCCAACAGTGACTTTGGGATCGTCAAGATATCCTCCTTGGACTCTTCTAGCACAGACTTTATTTATAACCTTCACAAAGAGTATGTATCCAGTTAGTTCATCACGAATAACTCATACTTACTCACTCTATCCCAGATTCATTCGTGATATCAAGACAAACAATCATATACCGAATATGGCTTGCTCGATATCCCAGGACAAGACTGTCAAGTTGTTCAACATCCACACCAAGAATACAATATTTAAGTATGATCTTGGTGCACCAGGATGGTCATGCGAGTTTGATCATCAAGACGAGAACATATTCTACGCCTCTTCCGTCAAGTCCACCTTTGCATTTGACTTGAGGAATACATTGTAAGTTCATCATTCATTGATCGATTGATGGACAACCCACTAACTACCTGGACCTTAGTTCACCTTTGACATCATTCCATTCACCGAACGAATCACCAGTCTATCGTCTACTGAGTGTGGCACAAACAATCTCACCATCACAGCTGTCTAATAGCAGCCAGATTGGTACGGGTGGATTGTTTGCCGCAAACAACAGTCTAACATTTTGGGAGAAGAGTACACCATCGACAATGACAACATCGATAACATCGACAACGACAACAACCGAACAGACAATACCCGAATCATCATCAATATTATCTCCATTGTGTCCCAAGTTTACGCCATATCCCATTGGACTCGAAGGCAGATGTATCAATATTAGCCACGACCCCACCAGCCAGTACTTTATGGCATCTTTCCACAGCAGCCCGTCATATCCAATGAACAGCCATTGTGTATTCAAACATCTTGGTCGCGGTTACGTCGAAGAGGTGCGATCAATCTATACCAATTCACAACACAAAGAGTTGTCGCGGTCCATTATATTCTCACCGCCACAACAACAACTACCCAACAACAATATGGTGTACGCAGCACTGTGCACTGGCAATCCGACCAAGGGTGTCAACATTTGGAACGTGACAACTGGCATGGACACGCAGACACTGGACACGACCGAGCCCGCGGTCGAGCTCCTACATCTCAACTATCGCCAGGAGGAATACCTTTTGAGTCTTGGCACGCAGTTTATGTACATATTCAAGAACAACGCCACACCGTAATATTAATTAATTATTAATTACTATTTACAAGAAACAACCATTGGGGTTGTTAATAATGTAGAGATCTGTTCTCCCATCTTGAAACACTCACCTTTATTCATTCACTTCACTTCACTTCACTTCACACATATATATATTCACATATATTATACTTAAGTTTGTTATCAATGCTATCCAACAACAACAACAACACTACAACTACAACAACAACTAAGGATGACCAAAACCTATTATCTATTTCGCAATACGACCGGTATGACTACACCAAATCTGTTTGGGTAAAGAATATTGAAAGGACAGATAGAATGTGTTTAATAGAGTTCAATAGAGATTGGGAGTATTATGATCAGTTGAAGAAAGATATTAGAGCAAGAGCATTAGATTTGGGTATCTCTGAACAATCACACTTTACAATACATTTGAAGGACGGTAACAATATAATCCAAGAAGCCAAACAACCAAACGACAAGATCATTTGGGATGGAATAACAGAACTTTATGTCAAAGATGAAGCTGTTCAAAAGGACAATGGTATGCACATTTATTAATGGTTAATAATAACTATTCTATTCTGATGAATCAAACAAACTTTCTACAATTTAGCCAAGAGACCTAATGAATTTGAGATTGTTGATGGTGGTCAAAGACAAAAGAAAGTTAAATTAGATTGTGACTTTGATTTCAACAACATCAGTAACAACAACAATGACCAGGTCAAAGTTGTTAATAGAGATATTACACAGAGATTATGGAAAGTGATCAAAAATAATCAGGGAAAATATAATGGAGTAAATGTCCATGGTCCAAAAGGAATGGGCAAGTCACACTCTCTCCTCCAGATCTCATCGATGCTTCAAAAGGACTTTAACAACCGTGTGATATATATTATGGATTGTCAAAGCTGGAAGGAATCCCCAGATCCCTATAAATTCTTTTTCGATAATCTGGATGATGCATTTAGATATGCTGGCGATCTCTTTGTACAACGTCACTCACATCGTCAATACTTTGACAAAGACAGTTTTCTTGGTCTATTGGACGACGTCGCATGGCATTGCAAAGACAAGAACTTAAATGTATACTTCATTTTCGACCAACACAATGAGTTGTCCGGCACTATTCGAAAGATAATTCCATTCTCAATAGTTGAAGGATATCTGGTTGTCAATCCCATCTGGAAACATTTTACAATTGTCTCGAGTACTTCCAGTAATGATTACCATTTAAATTCATATTGGCCAGTGTTCGAATACAATGAATGTTACACTGAGATGGAATTCAAACATTGGTTGAGGGTTGAGTCGAACAAGATGGCAAGTTTGAATGCTGATGACACTAATTGGATCAAATCAATGACAGACTGGAATCCTATGGAGCTCCAGATGATTTCCAAATTTTGGAACAACAACCAATTATTCTCATTGGACCAAGTGATAAAATGGTATGAGAACACTCGAACTCCCTGGATCATTGAACAAGATGATATGTTATGCAAAGAGATGGAAATACAAATCAACGAATTGAATAGACACGAATATTATAATGCAATTGTATTGATGTCACTTGGTATTCCCTGGACCAAATTCATGAGCTTGGGCTCCTATGCAAAACTCAACAAACAACTTATGTATTCACGACACTCAGAGAATGAGCAACTCATTCTTCCCTATATTCCTCTGGTTCAAAAAGTACTGTCCAACCGTCATAAGGACAATCAATTTTACATTCACCATTCATTGGCAATTTACAAATCAATCTTTTTGGGTTTAGTCAATTTGACCAGTGATGATTTAGAACGATGCATTCAAATGTATATAATAGACACACTTAAGAGGTCTATCAACAAATCACTGAAATTGAATTGGACAATACGTAATGAGACTAGAATTTACAATGGCCAAACAGAAGAGGTCTCAAGAATACCTAGTTATACATTTCAATCCAAACTATCGTTAGTTCAATTCATTGGAGATACAGATTTCTCAAATATCAATTGGACGATCAACTCCATCTTGGTTCCAATCTCTCCAAGGTTTAAACATCATGAGAGTTGGTTCTTCTGGGACCCACAGTACAAGTTGCTAACAATATGCCAAATTTCTTTAAAGAAACAACAATATCAAAGCAATTGGAACGGAATAATACCTTCTAGTCTTCAGGCAAGAGCTATAACCGAATCCAAATGCCTTAAATATCAACTCTTCTGGTTCACACCAAAAGATCTAAAACCAGATGATAATGATTTGGACAATCATTATGTAGTGGAACTTGAGAACTACGACATCATTGAATCATTTCCACTTCTAGAATATATTAGGTTTCCATAGGGTTGATGATTATCATTCAAACTCTATTTAATTAGTAACATTCATTTATAAACTCTAATTCAATTTTGAAATTAAATAAATAAATAAAGATAATAATACTTAAAATTTTTTAATTATTTTTAACTACCCTACCATATGGTAAGGGTATTTTTTAGATCAGTTCGAGTACAATGTACCCCATTGTTAGATCAAAAGGCACTCCCCTAGGAGGGGTCATTCTTGCAAAACAAAGCGATAGAGATAGCCCAAAACCAAAAGACAATCGAGGTGATCACACCCGAAAGATATTTAGGTCAATTCTTTGATCATTCATTCATTCACTTTCCAAGTTAAAAAACATACAATCATATAATAATATTATAATTAATTTCAATCTATCAAATATAAATAATTATGTCTAAATATAACTCATTCTCTAACTTTATATTCACAATATTTATTATATTATTATCTTTATCATCAATTACAAATGCTCTTGACTTACATTATAATGATCATCAATATAATACCAATCCACGTAGCCGTAGCTTAAAGGGTGGAGATGATGGTAGAGTACCAGCATTTGTTGAATATTTACCTTATATATATGCTGCTGCTGGAGTAGTTGGTATTGCCATTATTATAACCATAGTCGTAGTTGTGATTAGAAAGAGACGCCAAAATCGTGCACGTAAGGATGCCGAATCCGGTACCGCTGGTGACAACCTGTTCTCCGAGACCAAACCATCCAATGTATCCCTGAGGACTACCACAACAACATCCGCCTCTGTGATCGCTCAATAAAAATCATGATGTTGTGGATGCCCAGCATCCTGGCGCCAGGTGTCCAAGTGTTGGAACCAGTCGTTCAATGAATCAATCAACCAATCAATGAAAAATAAAGCATCAATCAATGTATCCATCCTCCAATCCAATCCAATCCATCAATTAATCGATCAATGATCATTCTTCATTAGTTTGTTCAGTGCCATTGCCATTGCCAATACCATGGTAATCCAGTGGATTCAACCAGATGTCATCCTTGAATATCTTGTAGATCTCCATCTCTGTCTCCTCCGAATCGAACCATGAGAAGAATGAAGGCTCATCATCTGGATTGTTTCGTCTAGTAATATCACTTCCATTCTTATACTGTAACTTGCAAGAGTTTGCCAGCACCTCACCATCATCTCCAATCCTATACTCCTTCCATATTGACTTGTTCTTGATCAAACTATTGGTCGAGAAGTTCTATGTTTGGGAATGAGAAAGTGAGTGATCGTGCCGCGATATGTCAATGATTGATGACCAAGTTAAGTTACTTACAAACACGAATCGAACTGATAGACATGGTATTTCAGTAGTCTCCACTTTGAATGATGTCATGTGTGCAATGAGTTGACTATCACGGCCTGTGAACAATGATGACAACACTGGATGATTGTTAAACTAGATTGTTTGATTGTTTGAAATTAGTGTCGATCATTGATTGATAGATTGTGTTGAGTTGATGAGTTGATTGATCAATCAACATACAACAGTAATCCAGAATGATGGTATCTTATCAGTGAGTAGATCACGCTTCTTAAAGTGAGGAGTCATCAACTTAAATGTCTCTGTGTCTAGCTTCATCATCTCCTTTGCCATCTTCTTCTCAGTCTCTTCAATACCAAGTTGTACCTCTATAATATCATTCATGTCTACATTATTCGTATCATCATTCTCTGTTTGTGTCGTCTGTGTTGGTGTCTGCTTCTGTGTCGTCTGTGTCTGCTTCTGTGTCTGCTTCTGTGTCTGTGATGTTGTTGTTGATGTTGATGTCGTAGTCTTCTTCGATGATGACTGAGATGGAGTATCTAGCTTTACACGCTTTGTCATCTGAGCTTGAGATTGATGTTGAGGTTGGGTCTTGGTTTGAGCCTTGACTTTCTTGTTCTTTGTATCACTCATATTTATTTATTTGTTTGTATGACGAAAGATGTTGTAAAAGACGAAGTTTCAAAAAAACGAATGTCCACATCATCAGAAGTCACCCTTTTACAAAAGTGATCAATATGACTTGGTCATTCATACAATCAATCAATCAATCGGTATCTGATTCACATATACATACATCATATATATATATAAGATGTTGGGTATCAAAAGATCAACGACAACGTTGATATCTTTGAATAGCTCACATAACTTGGCATTATCAACATCAATACGATCATTTGTTACACAGCATCTACAACATCAATCATGGACGACTACTCATACATCTACATCGACATCGACATCGACCTCGACCTCGACCTCGACAACAACATTGATCAATAACTCACAAACATACTCATATTCACAACTTGTGAGACATTGTACGACGACAACTTCGACGACTCCGCCAACGCCATCAGCACCCACATCGACGACGACACAGCCAACAACATCAACATCAACATCAACATCTGATCTTGACGAGATCAGAAAGCACCTCAATCATCTGCGCCAGGTCGAGAGTATCGCCAAGAAACACACGGACTTCATCACTGAACTACGCGAGGATATTGGACAGCTAATCGAAGCCAATGAGAGACTCTTGGAGAGGCCGCATCTCCATCACCTGGGCAAACTGATACCCGAATTGTTCAGCGAGCAGCAGCTGAAGGAATTGGAGTCCTACATCGAGAACAATCAACAGAAACCCTCCGAGATGTACAGGGAGCTGCGTTCGCAGGGCCATAGAGAGGTCGTTGAAACGGCCAACATTCTTAAGAGGCTCTCCAGCTACTTTAATAAGAAGTTGGTGCTTGTATACCCTGCTGCTGCTGGACAACAGCAACMAACAACAATTGGAGAACAATGATAACGATGGCAACAATGGCAACAATGGCMAATGATGGGGATCACCTGAAATGGCTGGCCGCCACCTACAATCCGCCCAGTTGGATCAAGACACGTATTAAGTACAACCAAACTAAGCTCCTCGAGGATGATCAACAACAACAACTACATCAACATCCAACAACAACACCAACGATACAGCCAACTTCGGATATTCAAGAGAGAGCAGTGAATGAGGTTGTTGTCAAGGATATTGAGTTGCCGACGCAAACAAAGATATATCCTCCCAAGCCTTTGGTGAAGGGTCAGCAGCAGCCAGGTGTCGCCGACACTCCAGAATCAACTACAGATGCCAATCCAGAAGAGACTGAGGAGGCCTCCATTCAATCGCAACAGAGACAACTACAACAACAATTGGTCATGCAACAACAGATGCTACAGAGTCTGTTACAAATCCAACAACCACAGACACAGACACAGACACAGCCACAGACAAAGGATGGAAAGGCACAGTCGTCAATTGAGGACGTAGATGATATTATAAAGAAGGCGAAGCAAAAGTCAGTGCAACAGGAACAGCAACAGCAACAACAACTACAATTACAACAACAACTACAACAACAACAACAACATCTACAACAACAACAACAACAACATCTGCAGAAACAACTGCAACAACAATACCAAGAGATGAAGAAAAAGAAGAAGGTGGAAGAAGTAATAATAATAGAGGATGAAGTGGAAGTGGAAGAGAAAGAGAAAGAGAAGGATGAAGAGGAACAGGAACAGGAACAGCAGGCCGAAGGAACGACATACTCTCCACTGCTGCCAGAGTTTTACCTTCAGAAGCAACAGAAGCTGCAGAAGATGCAGCAGCAGCAGAAGATTCAGAAGCAACAACATATAAATCCTCTACAACAACAACAACAGATCGCGCAGCAACAAGCCCAGCAGCAATATAATCAATCCAAGCAGCAGTCCTCAAGGGCCATCCGCATCGAGAAGCAACAGCAGCCCGATCAGGCGATGTCACAACAACAACAACAGGACAAGCAACAACAGATGGTGCAAAGAATGCATCAGCAACATCAGGAGAAGCAACTACAGCAGCAACAGCAACAGCAACAGCAACAGGATCAGCCGCGTACTCAACGCCCGCCAAGGGAGGCCGCTTACAAGAAGAGTCCAGATCAGCTGCGATACCTGAGCGAGTCAATTACCCTCCCCAAGGTTGGTCATTGGAGATCCATCAAGCTACAGGAGAATACACTGGCCACGCCAATTCCATCGACACCAAATGAGCCCGAGAAGCAGGACACACACTCGCGCTACCAGTCCGAGCAGGCCGGCCAGTCAGCGAGCAGCCTGGCCGACTTGCTGAGCATCCGCAACCTCGCCATCCTTGCATCAATCGCCGGCGCCCTGTTCCTCTACGAGGACTTTGCCAAGATGGTTCGCGACAGCAGTCCGTGGCGTGGACTGCGCGTGATGGTAACAGGCATCAAGGTCACCATCTACTACAAGTACTACCTGTACGGCCTGGAACGCACGGACAAGGCATTCGCCGAACAGCTCAAGATCGCCAACAAGAAGGCATCGGATGCCATCGTTGAGCTGTGCAAGCAGAACAAGGGAGTCTTTATCAAGTTTGCCCAGATCCTCGCTTCACTCGACCACCTGCTGCCACGCGAGTACACTTCGGCCTTGGCCGCCTTCCAAGACCATGCCCCATACGAGCCCTTCGAAGAGGTGGTTCGTCTATTCAAGGAGGAGACTGGCAAGCATCCAGATGAGATGTAAGTGTTGATGTTGTCGTTGTTTTGAATGATATGATATAGTCACTAACATTCAATCCAATCTGATCAACCCAGCTTTGAGGACTTCCACAGAGAACCAATAGCAAGTGCATCATTGGCACAGGTACACAAGGCCAAGTTAAGGCTGCCAAATGGTGAGACAAGGGAGGTGGCCGTCAAGGTTCAATATCCAGACCTGACAAGTCGATTCGAGAAGGACCTCCAATCGATATTCAATGTCATGCTATACATCAACTGGGTATGTTAGTCAATCACGTGATCAATCGCATGACAATCAATCGATCATATGCTGACCATCCAAACAACACAGATATTCCCAAGGTTCGAGTTTGGATGGCTGTTGCCAGAGGCTGAGCTATGCCTGACACAGGAATTGGACTTTGTTAATGAGGGCAGGAACTCGGAGAAGATCGCATCGATGTTCACTCACAATAAGCAACTCCACATACCCAAGGTTTATTGGGAGCAGACAAGCACGAGAATCCTGACGATGGAGTTCATACATGGTGTGCGCATTGACGATAACAAGGGTCTGGCGCGACTTGGCGTCGACGCCAACCAGGTTTACTCGCTGTTCTCCGAGGTGTTTGCCGACCAGATCTTTGTGCATGGATTCCTGCACAGCGATCCACATCCCGGCAACATCCTGGTGCGTCGCATGCCAAACAGCAGCAGCAGCAGGCCCCAGATGGTGCTCCTCGATCACGGCCTTTACAAGCAGATCGACGAGACTGTGCGTCTCAACTTCTGCATGTTCTGGAAGGCACTGTGCACTGGCGATGCCAAGGCCAGCGAGCACTATGCACGCGAGCTTGGCGCTGGCGAGTACTCCAAGTATCTCGGCAATCTACTCAATCTCAGACCAGAGAACTCCAGGGAGAATCTAAGGATCATGAAGCGCGAGCTTGGCGACAATGCAATAGTGGCCATCACAGATATCCTTAAGAATCTACCCAAGGAAATATTACTCGTACTCAAGACAAAGTATGTACCTTTGGAAATTTTAAGTTGATCAGCTGACAATACGGTGATCACGTGACACTGATCAGCTGATATCACTTTGATCACATGACTAACTTAAACAAAACAAACTAAACAGCAACTTGATCAGACAGATAACTACACACTTCAAGATTGAGAATGGATATATGATCATGGCCAGGTCATGCATCAGGGGTATCTACAAGTCGAACAATATCTTCTCCAAGTTGAGCTACTATCTTCATCTTGCATTCTTCAACATTGCCATGCGACTCATGGGCAGGTTGAGAAAGCAAACTGTTGATACTGCTACTGCACAAGCTTCAATGTCTCCACATCATTAAATCACAATTCAATGATGTTGATGTTGATGGATGATGAAACGTTACTTCATTTGTTTGTTTGTGTTTTCCACTCCTTTACATTCATTTCCATTCCTATTCATCCAAGATCAATGGTTTAATTTGATTTCCACTCGAGTTTTCCATTTAACCCTTTTATGGAACAACGTTGGGGTCAAAGTGATGGAAATGAATATGGAAACTACCAATCATATGATCATCTAAAAGTTATAAATAACAAGTCATGACTGATGTTGTTGATATCATCATACAAGCAACTTATTTTCTAACAAATAACTATACTACTACCCTATTAATTAAATTTTAATACTACTATAACTTCTTACAATGTCAAAGTCAGGATCATCAAACTCTCACAATAACAATAGCAATGACAACCGTTCCAATCAAATGAACCCTAATCATTCATCTTCTGGACCCGGACACCATGCTGGATACTCTGGTGCTGGTGATAAAGCTGACCTCAACAATCATTCGAACCAAATGAACCCAAACAACACAAACTATGGAAAGTGATCACATTGACCAATGGCTAATCCATCATCCAATATCCAACATCTTCTACTTCAAATTCATCTTCAACATCAACATTGCCTCTGTTACTGAACAAAGCCCAATTCATTATTGTAATTAAATAAAGATGGATGGTCCAATCTCTTTTTCCGCAAACAATTTTTTGATCTTTTTTCGTTTTTTTTTGAGCCTCCATCACTCTGTTTTGCCCCTTCATCTCAACAAGATCTTATGTACATTTGGTCCACACACCATCAAAAACGCACTCAATTGATCAAAACCATTCATTCCATTTACATCATCTTCAACGATAGTATTAACAACTACAACGAAGCATAGGATACCCTCACTCACTCAATCAATCACTCAATCAATCATTCAATATCGATCTAAGGTTGATCTCATCACTCAATCACTTTTGTTGGTGACAGAACAACAACAACAACAATGGACTTTGTTAGAAAGATGGTGTCCAAGAAGAAGAGGAGGTTCGAATGGGGAAACTTTGACCTGGACCTCACTTATATCACCGATCGCATCATTGCCATGGGTTTCCCAAGCGAGTCCCTCGAAGGACTCTACAGAAACAACATGAAGGATGTTCAACGATTCTTCACGACCCTCCATCCAGGGCGCTACAAAGTGTTCAATCTGTATGTTTGATTGAATGATTGATCACATCTACTCACCAATCAATCACTCACTCACTCACTCACTAACCCATCTTGGAACAATCAATCAATCAGATGCACAGAGCGAAAGTACACTCATGATAAGTTTGGAAATAATGTTAGCGAGTATCCATTTGATGATCATAATCCTCCACCTTTGGAAATGATTGCAGAGTTTTGTGTGGATGTGGAGAGATGGCTGGAGGAACATCCTGAGAATGTGGTGGCCGTACATTGCAAGGCCGGCAAAGGAAGGACAGGAACAATGATCGCCTGTTGGTTGTTGTACAGTCGTCAGTGCCAGACAGGCTCGGAATCGATCAGGATGTTTGGCAACAAGCGAACTCATAATGGCAAGGGCATCACCATACCAAGTCAAGCGCGCTACGTTCGCTACTTTGAAGCGCAACTACAATATGGACGACCGATTGTACCCGTGCCCACCATCACCAAAGTGTTGACAAGCATTGTCATCAATCCAATGCCCAGTGGTGTGGGCACTGGCAGTGGCAACATGGCACCATACCTGGCCATAGGCCAATGCGACAAGAACGTCTTCTACACTAAACCAATCGTATGTCTCACTCAGTCAATCATTGGAACTATTCCAATCACTCACTCACTCACTCAATCAATCACGTTCAAATTTAGAAAGCAAAGAAGGGCACGCACATTGTTGAGGTGGACTGCGGCAACATACTCTTGACCAATGATGTGAAGATACAGTTCTTCAACAACAACTCCAAGGGACATATGTTCAGCTTTTGTTTCCACACAGCGTTTGTCGATGGCGATAGGATGCACATCAGACGCATGGAGATCGACAAGGTGCACAAGGACACGACAAACAAGCATTTCCATCCCAACTTCTCGATCGAGTTGCACTTTGCCGAAGACCTCATCGATGACGAGCTCATTGAGGACTGTGTTGACTCGGCCCATCAATCTGCGGCCGACCAATCCGCACCTGCAGGCGGGGTCACCCGTCCATGGGCCGGCCAATCATCTGGCAACTTCCAAACAGGACTCACCAAGCTGTACACAAGTGCTAGTCGCTCTAAACTCTTTGGAAGCAATTCAAACAATGGCAATAGCAATGATCATGAAAGTGGTGTACATATCAACAACAGAAAGATAACGAATCAGTTGTTTACATGTCCAAAGTGCACCAAACTGATCCTCCCTGGCGAAGTCTCACTCAATGATGGCACCAACAACTATCATTGGAGTTGCATGAAGTGCAACCTATGTCATCGATCTCTTTCAAACGAGAGCGGTAAGCATTCATTCACTCGCTCACTCGACGTCTGGAATCATTCCAATCAATCAATCAATCACTAACAACAACATCAATCAAACACAGACATTTTGTTCCACGAGAGTGGCGATATTATGTGCTCAGACTGTGGCGCCAATAATGGCTTCTTCAAACAATGCTATGGATGCCACAAGGTTATCAAGACGACAGACTTTGAAGAGGTTGGCGAACACACATTCCATTCAACATGCTTCATGTGCTCTCTATGCTTTGTATATCTCACCGGCAAGGAGTTCACGATCAATGGCAACCTGCTAGAGTGTGCCAGATGCATTGAGCGAGAACGTGAGTTGTACAAGATCGAAGCCAAGCCTTTGGGTCAGGCCACAACTCCGCCCTGTCAAGCTGAGGGTCACCACCCCAACATCGTGAACTGCCACAAGTGTTGCCAGGCACTTGGTCTGCGGCCACTGATCCTCGACATTGGCGCATGGCATCGCGGTTGCTTCTCCTGCACATGTTGCGAGAAGCTCATGGACACATCACTCTACTACATCAAAGACGAGCAGCCTGTCTGCAATGACTGTGACAAGAAGTTTAATGTATGTTATATTGACTAGGCCAATCTTGGACCCTGCACTAACACCCCGCCTGGAACCATCCCACCATCATAGTTATTACTCGAGGAATTCTATTGTTTTGCGTGCAAGGAGATCATTGTGGACGAGGAGATGATGGATGCTTTGGGAGAGAAGTGGCATCTGTCATGTCTGGTGTGTACTATATGTAGAAAGAAGATTGATGGTCCATTTGGCGATGACAATGGTGTTGTCTACTGCAAGGAACACTTTGAAGACCTATTTGGAACAAAGTGTCAAGCATGCAACACCATCATTGTTGGTACATTCCTCAAAGTAGTAAGTATTACTCGCGCGCCACAACGTGTTGAGTCGACCCAGCACTAACATCAGTCACTGGAACTATTCCAACAATCAATCACTGGATGTATAGAATGGAAAGAACTTGCATCCACAATGCTTCACTTGTTATCAATGTGATAATGTACTTGAAGGTGGAACATACTTTTGCAAGGGAAACCATGAACTGTGTATGACTTGTAGGAATGTAGACTTGTTGAAACGAAAGACTCAGATACAACTCATTGGTACAAGGAACACATACAGAGCTGGAACAGCACCACTCAGTCCTGACCCATCAATGTCCATTGCGATGACAATCCAACAAGGTCAAGTCCAGGGTCAAGGTCAAGGTCAAAGCTATCAGATGTCATTCGCTCAAACAACCGCATCATCTGCACCATCTACCTCGCCAATCTCAACATTTGCGACATCACCATCCGAGTCGTTGGTGGATCGTCTTTCCACATCATCGTCTTCACCACTACCTCAACAATTCATGTTTGTCAAGAGATTGGATCCGACCAAGCAGTCCAAACGCATCAACATCAGTGAGATCAGGAATGCCAACATCACACCCACATCCACCACCACAGACACAGCTACCGTCTCTGTTTCCAGCCCTGTAGATAACAACAACAACAACATATTAATATGTCCCGAAGACATACCAACTGCCACCACCACGACAACGATCACCAACAACAACAATGGACAACATGGCACTCTTAGACTGCGAGAGAGGTCCATCCAAATTTATCCATCATTCCACAGACAGATGGAACGCAACATACATTCACTCATGTCGACCACAATGTCGCCAATGTCACCAACATCACCAATCTCATCACCACCTACATCACCAACATCTCCATCACCACCGACTTCACCAACATCACCGACTTCTCCAACATCATTGGCCGCGTCCAACTTCAAGTCAGCCAGACCAACCAAATCAATGCACCCCAAGGAGTTCCTGCGATCTTCCATCAATGAGAATACACTGCCACAGCTTTGATGCCTCTTGTCTGAGGCTTTGGCTTGGGGCAATGGTCCATAACACACACGATCACTCAAGGCCGGGCATTTATTTTGACAATTGTTTTTCGTCTTGTGTGAATGATTTTGTATTTTTTTGATTTTTTTTGAATCAATCTAACTCACACATTCGCTAGCGACGACACGCATCCTCTCACTCGGGCACTCACACTCGTCGTACTTAGTGTACATTAAGTTGATATCGCTTATTCACCTACTCTCGTATACGTTTCTATCTCCAAGTGTTATAATATATAGAAAATGGTAGTTATCAATTGGATTCGCATGGATTAGAGAGTATCGCAACACAGTGTAGCAAGCATCATAAGAAGCGAACAGGATGGATGGATAGTTGGATGGATACAGGATGATTGATTGTGATGGATCGCTGCGATAACTGCTACACTGTGTTGCGATGTATGGGTGGATGGATGTAGATACAGGATATTAACACTCAGTCTTGTTCGATATACTATAGACCAAGGGAACATACAGTTTTGGTCGTAGACACACCAAGTCTCACACCCTCTGCAGAAGATGTGGCAACCGTTCGTTCCACATCCAGAAGAAGACATGCTCAGGCTGTGGATACCCATCTGCCAAGACCAGAAGCTGTAGGTTATTCAATCATTATGCGACAGGATAAACAAAAGACAAGAAGACGACAACAACGAATCGTTCACGAACGACGAATGAATGAATCAATGAGCGAGACGAACATGCGACAATAAGCAGACTAGTGAACGAAGGAACGATATAGTTTGATCAACATACTCATTCTCTTTCATTACACGACATTTAGACAACTGGAGTGTTAAGGCCATCAGAAGAAAGACCACCGGCACTGGCAGAACCAGATACTTGAAGGTTGTCCAGAAGAAGTTCAACAGTGGTTTCAAGGAGGGTACGTAATCATTATATATGTTGAAGCAACCTTGTTTAAATTCTAACATCTATCATCATCACTCTAGCTGCTTTGGCTGTCAAGAAGACCAAGACCGCTGCCAAGTAAATATTATAACGACCCACCCATTGGAGATAATAAATAACATGTTCCACCAAACTCTCTCATTCATTGTCTCTATCATTTGTGTTTATGCAATGGCCAATGGCACAAGCCATGGCGTAACGTCATGTTTCCAGACTTGCAGTTAATTAATTAACCATGGTTGGCAATCAATCTAGAAGCACCGATGTTGATCAACGATCAGTGATTGATTCGAAAATGTAGGTCCTTTGTGGATAGTCCCAATCCAACCTTTGGCTTGGACTTCCAAAGGTGGTATTGGTATTTGTTCCTCCCAAAGCCATGAAGAATTGTCACCTCTATGATTGTACGACGAAACTAATCGAATACCATCTGGGTAAAAAGGTTTAGTAGTTGGTGGATAAATGGATGGTGAATGTGTCTGCCCAATGATGGTGGGCCATTACACTCTTAGCTCCTACAACCTAACCAATAAGTATGAGCTCATCATGATTTGAGGGCCTTCCAAAGTTGTGGATGTTGTATCACTCTCTGAAGATAGATGGATTCTACCATTATGTTAATAATGGGTCTGTTCAGGTCAAGGTCTTCATGACTGATTAGACAGGTCGGTGGCCCATTAGCCAAACACCGACCCAAATATCTATCCAATACGGTGATCACCCATCACGATATCCTTCTACGTTTGTCGAGGTGGGGTTTGAGCCATCCGAGCCCACAACTTCCAAGTTTACCTGACTGTAAGGATGACGACGGCACCTTGCTTCGCACCCATCGGCCCATTGTTCTAACCCACCCATCATCCAGATTTATCTATTTGGATGGGTCTGACCATGTGCAAGGTTTTGTTTTTTTTGTTTCTTTTTTTGATCAATCGCCCACCCCCAGGATTGTGCGAAGTATGTGTGAGTGTGAGTGTTTTCTGATTGATCAATCAAAGCTACAAGGCCCTGTCACCTTTGGTTCCATTTGTTTGTTATTGTGTGATTTTTTAATAATAATAATTGTAATTAATTGTAAGTTTGATGTTTTTGATCACACTACCTCCTCTCCTTTCCTCTCTCCTCTCACCCCCAGCCATGTACTTGTTTGGTAGTGCTGTTTGGATTGGTGCGATCCATCATTGACATCTACCCTTACCTACCTTACTACTCACTCATTCATTTACACTTACTTATATTTACTTCTTCATCTTCATCAACAATAATATTTATCCAACAAACACACACAACTTTACAGAACAGGTACATAATGGTTCCCTCTCTCTCACTCTCTCTGCTCTCACTCACAAACAAATAATATTGTCAACAACACTTCACTCACTCCAGCCATCAATTTCCAACACGATCACCCATCATTCACACACACACACACATACATTCACACACACACAACATATAAACAATCATGATCAAAAGACCATAAGAGGAAATAGCTCACATTTGTTTGTGAACCCCTTTAAATTGAAAGGGTAGTGATGTGTGTGTTTATACACTGGAACTCCACCATCCCATCATCCTATCCCATCCATTCCATACCATACCATACCACTGCATACACTCAATCAATCATTTCACTTCCACTGCTACTTCATCCATCATACACATACACACACACACACACACATAAACACACAATCACTCTTACTCTCTCTTAAGTAATGGTATGCACGGCTGAAACCATACTTTGGCGCACCCCTTTGATTCCGATCCAAACACCACTCTTATGATAACGGATCGATCACACCGGCACCGTCACATACCACACAGCCATGCCCGCCGTCGGGAGCATACCTAAAATAACTACCAGTGGCCAGTGATGCCGGTCATCCATCACATATATATTTACTTGCATATTGTGTTGTTGTTGTTGTTGCATTCAACACGCGCACTCCACTCGCGTGCCCCACTCGCGTACACAATACACACACACACAATTACTCAGTCAGTCAGTCAGTCAATCAATCAATCAATCAATCACACTCACTCACTCAGTCCCAGTGTGCTTCCATGCTACCGCTTATCATTGATCAATCATAACAAGTTATTAATAACTAATACGTGCCACTCACTTCTCACTTCTCTCTCTTTCCCTCACTATCTTAGACTATAATACTTTGAAAAGTCTTATTCTAAAGTTATATTTGTTTATATTTATATATATATTTGTATGTGGACAACAATAACAGGCCCAACAACTTATGATCCCAGAACTGACCCAATTCCAATCAATCATTATCATTCTAGTTGGGACAGACAGATAATATTACATTTGATTCAAACTCAAACTCAAAAAAACAAAACATCAAGTTCATTCAAACTCAAAAGGAAACAACAACAAAAGAGCCTTGGCTCACTCACCTGGATAACGCTGCTGTTTATGATTGGACAAAGAAATTAGGATAACATATTTAATATCCCCTTGAATTGATAGTGTCCACATACCTATCTCTATCTCTTACCTAATAACCCTTACCATATCATAATTATCTATTTATTTATTTATTTATTTAATTTATTTATTTATTATTTATTATTATTATTATAAATTACAGCAGCCCAATCAATCAGTCAATCCATAACTTCCAACAACAACCCTTGTGTAACAACAACATCAACAACATTACTACTACTTCACTTCCACTTATTTCGATCATCCAACAACAACAAAGTAACAATGACAGAATTTCATCAGTTGATGTTTGGTAACAACAATAACAACAACTCTGGTTCGCCAAACATTGATCCTTGGACAATGACATCAAAGTCGAATGGCCCCACTTGGACCCCATCCACCTTTGTACATCAACCAAACTTTGATCCCAAGAAGGTGCCATCGTCCATCAAGAACTCGCAGTTTGTCAACATCACAAACCCGTCCAGCAACGAGGACCCATGGGCCTCACCCGTCGTTGTCCCCAATGTCGGCTTCAACAAAGCCGCAATAATGCAGCTCAAGAAGAAAGAAGAAATAGTTCTTCATGTTGTACAGCCACAGGTACAGCCTCAGGCCCCGCCCCAGCCTCAGCCACAGGCTCAGCCACAACAATTCACACAGCAGCAACAACAGCAGCAGCAACAACAACAATCTCAGGATGAGGAGAGTGAAGAGGAAATCAATCAGAGCAGATACAAGACCGAGTTGTGTCGCTCGTTCATTGAGACTGGCTCCTGCAGATATGGCTTCAAGTGCCAGTTTGCTCATGGACGCGATGAGCTTAGATCGGTGGTCCGACATCCAAAGTACAAGACAGAGACATGTAAAACATTCCACACAATAGGCAGCTGTCCCTACGGCTCGCGCTGTCGTTTCATCCACTCGCTCCCTGAGAGCGGCAAGGGTCCTGAGTTGCAAGTGGTTCAGCAACAACCAATGGTTGGCGAACATCCTGCTGCCTCGGTGTCCCCCAAGCAACAGATAATGCAGCATCAGCAGCAGCAACATCTGATGCAACAACAACCATCTCTCCTTCAACAACAACAATTCCAACAACAGTACCATACTCAACAACAACAATATCATCAACAACTTCCAACAAAGCAACAACCAGTACAATTCATTCATCAGCCTGCCGGTGCACCGATCACTTGGACTGATTCATGGGGCGCTCCCGACGAGTCTGCTGCACAGATGCAGATGCACATGAAGCAGATGCAGAAGCCAAAGGAGTTGCAGCAAGTCGCCGCACCACCTGCCGCCATTAGTGAGGAAAACAGCAAAAGAAGACTACAAATCTTCCGCTCGATATGCTCCTCCAACTCCAATACCTGGGAGTAAAGATGACATAAGCCATACGCCTACGCACCGTCCGTCCTCCCCTTCCTCCACCTCCTCTTCCCCTTCCCTTCCTCTTCCTTCTTCCCTTCTACTACCCACTCACTCATCATCACCATACATCCAAACTTCCAACTCATTCTCATTCATCCCCTCTTAAGTTATAGCACCGCTGTTTAGACTCTGTTGCGTGTACCCTTAATACATTAAAATACTAGTACTATATATGTTAATACATTATTCTCTGTCTGTATGACTGTCTTATCTACCTCTAATGATTGAGCTGATTGCACGCGCTAATGGACGAGTGAATGAATGAATGAACCTTGGGTCACTCACATATCATATATTGTACATGTTTCGAATCGCTTCACACCGGACGAGGCTACTCCGAGCGTCCAGGGGATGAAGAATAGGTACCGGTCAATGACCAGCACCGATGTGGTGTAGTAGGAGTTGTATATGATGGGCGCCACACGCTTCCATTCGTTGCTGGACGGACTGAACTGCAGCACGACGTTGAGACCTTCATACTCATTCTCTGAGCCAATAGTGTAGATCCTGCCATCGAGCACTGCACCCGTTGATATTGCGCATCGGCTGTTGGGGTTGCTAATCAGAGACCATGTGTTGGAGTGTGGGTTGTAACGCTCGGCTGTTGACGCGCCTGGCATGCCTCCGCCAATCACATAGATCATGTCATCCAGGACGACTGATGCGAACTCGCTTCGCTTGGTGTTCATAGGCGCAACTTGGCACCATGAGTTGGTCCTCGGGTGATACCTGTCGACAATGTCTGTGGCCGTAGAGCCTTGGTAACCGCCAATGACGTAGAGATACTCATCGATCACTGCCAAGCTGAAGGATGTCTTGCCAGTGGGTAGCTGAGAGTCTGTCATTTTCCAGCGCGCTTCAGAGCGCTCGTAGCAGAAGATCGGTTGTTTGAGTCCTGCATCGGGGATGGCGTATATACAGTCGCCGATTACTGCCGACACGAGGTAGTAAGAGGTCATTGTGTCGAGGATTGGACACTTGACCGTCCAGCTGTTGTACACTGGGTTGTACTCCTCGAACTGGAATTGCGTGGCGCTCGATGAGGGCGACTGACGCTCAGTGATGGCATAGATACGAGAGTCCAGTGCACAGAGTAGTCTGAAGGACTTGATGCCGCCAGAGAAGTCCTTGATCTCCTCCCAATGGCCTTGATGATGGGCCTCCTGGCCCAACGTGAAGTTCTTGACATCGCATACACAACGAGGCGTGATCATCGGGCTGCTGAGACCGAGAGGGGCCAACGGACCTGTAAGGCCATAATAGGAGAACTCTATTTCCAGTCGCTTCCTCAGCTCCTGGTTTCCAGGCGGCACCCACAGAGGACCATCGCGTAGATATGCGAGGATGTGGCCAAACAGTTTTCCATCGCGATCAATGAAGATCCTTCCGTCGTCATCCGTGGGCAGTTCGAATCGAGAGGAGAACATGGCTGCCAGCATGGAGTCGGGATGCTTGGTCAGCGTCGACACGGTGGTCGCGAATATCTTGCCACCGACATCCAACTTTATCTTCTTGCTGCTGGTCGTTGCGAGTGAGGCAGTGTTGGTGGACTGTGTGGTCAGCGTGGACACGTTTGGCGACTTGATCGTCTCCTCGATCCAACGCTTGACCATGGTCGGACTACTACTGGACGAGTTGTAGCTGTTGGGAATGTGTAGCCTGGGCATACTTTTTCGCTTGTGGACGGCAAAGTCGATCTCATTGAGCGAGTGCGAGTTGCTCAGGCGCAGACCAGACAGCGAGAAGTTGTTGGCCGATGATGACGAGCTGGAGGCGGCCGATGAACATGTGGAGTCACCATTACTCAGGATCATTGACAGGGGTCTTGGTGACTGAGTGTTTGGCGAGATATATGATTGTTGTTGTGGCTTGTGTTGTTGTTGATGACGATGTTGTTGTTCCATATCACCAACATGTTGTCTTAGACTCTGTAGTTCTCTCAATATATGTTGTAGACCATTCTCCAACTTTCCAATCTCTTCTTTCAATGCAATATGTTGTTTGATTGTTGATGATGAGGTCGAAGATGAAGACGAAGAGTCATCCCTATGTATCATTGTTCGTTCTTGTGTTATATCTTATTAATATTTATATATATCTATGTTACCGATGTGTAAGTATTACTAATGTGATTGATGGATGGATGCTCATCATTGGTACCATCCAGACTGGACTGAATGTGTTATGTTCTGTTCTGTTCTGTCTTTAGATTAGCACATGATTTGTGATGTGTGTTGAGTTGAGCTGTGTGTGTTTATCACTCCATGATCCTGATCAGGATCACTCATTCAATCACTTAGCTGAGTGTGCTGGGGGGCTGATTAGATGAGAAGTGTTTGATTATGTGTGTGTTTCATCAAACAGCTGGGGTGTTGTGTGTGATCAGCTGATCAAAATGAGCTCTAGCCCAAGGACCTGAGCTGAAACGATCGTTCAAATTAATTTTGGAGATGGCATCAAGGATTGGCAAAAGCAAGTTGGTCCCGATCAATCAATGCTCACTGATACCACCCCCATCCAACTGCCAGACAGGGCCACGTGACGTCCTAACCCAATCAATCAAGCAAAGACGTAATGCGGATACGATTTGATCAATAATGGGATGTTTAGACCCAATCAGTGGGGGTTATGGATGGGCGGAAGGATTGATGGAGATGGATGGATGACCAGCCGACTGAATGATTGAATAAGAATGAACCGAATGAATGAAATGAAATGGATCAACAAAGAGAGCCAGACGATGTATTGACTTTGGACTTTTTGTTCTCGGTTGCCTTGGTGATACATGATTGAATGTGCTGTATCCACATGTCCTTCTCGGCCACGGTCTTGGCGATGAACTTCTTGAAGTCCTGCTGATTGTCCACACTGAACCAACTCTCGGACTTGTTGTGCGAGAGAGTGGTGTCGCACGTCAGACTCTGCTTGAAGATGAACTTGTACTTGGGCTGCTTAGACTTGCGATCGTTGGACGACGTGAACAGGTGCTTGTTGGACAGGAAGTAGCTCTCCTTGCCCTTCTTATATTTACAAATGACCAGCATCTGGTTGAACAGGAACACGTGGAAGATCGTGGCGACGGGCGCGCCCTTCATCTCCTTGTCCTGCGAGCTGCCCGACGACGAGCCGCCCATCATTGAGTTGCCACCCTTGGTGTAGCCGCTGCCCGACGAGGGCATGTAGATCTGCAGGTCGCCCTCCAGGATGTACCGCAGCGACGGGTAGTCCATGATGTTGAAGCCTGTGATCGACTCTTGCAGGATCGACACGTGGATCACGTTCTCAAAGTCGCGCTTCTTCTCGTTGACATAGTCGGCGATCGACTGCACCTTGGCCAGACCCTGGACGAGCTGTGCGCGGTCCGGGTGCGACGCCTCGGTCACCTTGGCCATCTGCTCCAGTAACAGGACGTAACGTGGGATGCGTTGCACGGGGATGATGATCAGGTCGTTCAGGCGTTGGTTGGTGCGCAGCGTCGTCGCTGTGATGTAGTCGCTGAGCGCCGAGTGCTTCATAAACTCGTTGACCGAGTTGAGCGAGCGGTTGTACTGGTTGACGTAGGAGATGTAGCACCTGAGAAGGTCCGACAGCTTGAAGAAGATGTCGCCAAACAGCGTGTGGCAGTGCCACGGCTTGGACTCGATGCGCTGCTTGAACAGGTTGAGAAGACTAGTGTTGATGTTGGTGATGACGGCAATGTTGTCGCTCAGCGACTTGAGGTTGTCCACGTTGGTGGTGATGTTGAGCTGCTCGGACATCTTGCGCAGCGGCGTCAGGTACTCCTGCGCCAGGATCTGAAGGCTGTTGATGTATGATCGCTCGGTGGTCAGCAGTTCCATTGCAACGTCGCGTCTGTTCTTGATGCGTTTGTATTGGCGACGAGCAAGGTAGCCGCGCACCACCGCCTGCACCTTGACAACCTTGCGTTGATCCTCGCGATCCATATGGTGCACCTCCTCGTGGCTGAGAAGACTGCACGATGATGACGACATGGTCAGTGTGGCTGCGCTGCCTAGCATCTCCTTCTCGCGCTTCTTCTCCTCACGATGCTTTCTCCTGCTTCTTCGATGCTCGCGACGTAGCTCGCGCTCTTCCTTTGTCTCGCCATTCCTGTCCTTCTTCTTTGACGCCTTGGGCACCGCTACTGTTGGTGGGGAGGTTGCCGCCGCCGCGGGGCTGGCACCGCTCGACGCAGGTGAGCCAACGACCGCTGACAATGGTGGCGTAGTGATTGGAGTTGGGTTGTTTGTGTTGTTGTTCATGCCCTGCTTGAATGTGATGACCTTCTTCTCGAGCTGCTGCAGCTTCTCGCCCACGACGTTTACACTCTGATCGAGTCGCGACGCAGTCTTGTTGAGCGCTGCTTCGTGGTTGCCAGTGACTCGCAACAGGTCTTGCTTGAGACTGGCCATTACGGACGCGATTGCTGCTGCAGACGATGATGATGAGGAGGATGAAGAAGGAGGTTGTGTGGCTGTAGTCTTTAGACTGCTGATACTACTGTAGTCGCTGCCTGGTGATGTTGGTGGAGTCATGACGCTGTGTGGCAGTAATGAGTTGATATTGTTGTTGTTGGATGAGGGAGAGGTTGGGGGTGAGGCCAGGGTGAAGATGGACATCTTGTCCGACGTGGACGACGTGTCCTGGCGCTTGAGTGGCGGCCTCTTGAATTTGCCATCGCTGGACGCCAGAGTATTGTACATGCCGCCAGAGGGGCTTGTGAAGCTGGCGGCGGAAGATGTCGAAGTGTTGGAGCCAGTGGACGAGGCGCGATTGTGGCCGCGATGGTGTTGGGTCACGGGGCCAGACGGGCCCGTCCTTTGGAAGTTGAGGAAGTAAGCCACGTAGGTCATTATACAGCTCTCGTCAAGCTGGCCATCGATGATTGACTGCGGCTGTAGCATCGAGGGGATGCCCAGCACGCGCTCGGCCACCTCAAAGCACTTCTTGAGGCCGGCGACCTCGTCCAGCTCATTTAGCTCGTTCAGAGTGATGGCAGTTGGCGCCTGATGGTGGACCAACGCGTAGAACACCTGCGGGTTCTGGAAGCACTTGGTAAAGTTGGTGATTGGTGTGTTGAGCGTGTAGCTTTCGAGCTCGCGACGACACCATCGCAGTAGGGCTTCACGCGGTGTCTTGTTCGATGTGCTGGGCATGCCGCGTGTGGTCTTGTAGATGTTCTCGCGAGCACGTGGCGCAGCGTTGCCACCGCTGCCGCCGCCAAAGTCGTCAATGTCTGGCTCGAGATCCTCGTCGCTCATGAACTGCTGTATGTGGAACTTTTGGATGATGCGCCAAATGAGCGACAGGGTCATCTTGTGGCGATCGACGATGTTGTCCGCCGAGAGATTTATCAGACGTATGCCATAGCGTTCGATTGCCGACAATGCCAATTGTACATTGGATATCTTTTGAAACCTGTTTGTTGGCTTTGAACTATGATTGCCTTCACACTTCCTATTCGTCAATATCTCCATCAAATTAATCAATAATATTCCATCCGATAGATCATCCATTATATCATTATGTATTGCTAATGATCTTTGTTTAAGTATATTATTGGCCCATATCTTAAACCTAATTAATTAAGTAAGTATGATTGATTGATGTGATTGATTGAGTGAGTGAGTGAGTTAGTGAGTGAGATTGATTGAGTGAGTGAGTGAGTCAATCACAACATACGCCTTCTTTTGTAAATCTGTTACTAAGTCTTCATTCATTCTTTATATATATTATATGTATAATAATACAGATACAGATAGAGATACACAAGAGAGAGAGATAATTAATAAATCTGTCGATTGTGTGAGTCATGTGAATTGATGCGACATCGATGGTGGGTGGTGGTGTCGAAGAAACAAGCTTTTGGGTGAGGCTCAAACCCTTCACGACCTTTCAAACATCTCCAACCCTTTTTTAAATCAATCAATTCAGATTAACGTCTTTTTTTTTATCAAGATCTAATTTTCATTGAACACCTTTGGCGCCATTTTTACACTCACAAACTCAATCAATCAATAAATTAATAATACAATTAAAAAAATTTTTTAAAAATTATTATTTATTTTAATTATATAATATTTATGAAAGGTCTGTAAACTTTTGAATACCTTGATTTTTTCTTCTTTGTCTCTGGCGATGCATTATTATTACAAAGGTAACACCAATGATGATTCCAACTACAACAAGTGCACCTACAACTATGCCAATTATCTTTAAAACATAGAGGAATCGATTAAGTCCATCCCAATAACTATCATGCTTTGGTTCTTGGCATGTAGACCAACGATTTGAATTTGATCCGGGACTTGTTAAGACTGATATTGTTGTACTGACAGTGCATTGATTACATTGTGTCTTGATGTTGATACCAATTAGTGAAGAGGTCAAAGTTGAGTTGATCATATGATTGAATGTCGGTGTTGTCACTCCATCGGTTAGGGCGGTGGGTTGGAACTTTGCAAATATTTGAGCACCATTAATATCTTGGAAGTTGATCATGTTGCCTATTGAATCATTGCCAATTATGAACTCTGTTCCACATTTGTGATTGTGGAAGTAGGTGTAGTTGGACACTGATGAGCCATTCTTGAAGACCACCACTCTCAAATTGTTGGTGTTTGATTGGTATATCCATCCATCGATGTTGACAAACATGTCAACAGAGGTTGTGATTGCCAAGGATAGGGGATCCAGTTGTTGATTATCTTGAACAAGGACAGATACATTCAAACTTGGATTATCCAATGTGTACAACCTTGATGTAGCCACACCGTAGATATTTGTAAAGTTGGATAATTTCCATTGGTTTGTTAACAACTCCACCACAACATTGTTGTCTTGATCCATCTCTTGAATAGCAACAATATTAATAACATGTGGATATTCATAGTAATAATCAAAGGCGAAAGATGTCAATGGACTGGAATCATTATGAACAATCTTTGCCCAGGTGATCACACTTCCATCACAGTATGGACCATCCTTTAGTTGATCACATAAACAGTATCCATCTACACATTTACCATTACCCGAACAATTACTATTCGCACCACAATCATTAGGTATCGGAGATGGATCTATTTTTTAAGATATATTAGTATGATTATTTGTTTGATTGATCTCATAAAGTAATACATACATATTGCCAGTTGATCTTTGGAGTAGTAGGACATGTTTGAGTTGATTATAATACTAAGGTCGGCATATCCTTGGGATAGAGATGGTACGGAACATGTCAAGGATGACGAGTTGATTGAGTTTACAATACAATCAATACCAGCAATATAAACATTACATTGATTGATTGATGTAGTATCACCAAAGTAACCATTGAATGTAACATTGCCACCAATAGTAGTAACATATGAATATGAAGATATTATAATATTATTGTTATTATTAGTATTATTTCCAGTTAATGAATATACACCATTATTAATATTATTAATACTACAAAGAAGAATTAATAAAATAATAATAGTTGGTGTTGTGATTCTTGTAAAATAATACATTATTATATTGTAATAGTAAGTGTTTAATTATGTTTGATTAATATATGATTGTTTGATCAAACATATTTATAAGCATTAAGATGGAAAATGGGCAAGTCGATTAGATAGATTAAACCTTGAAACCAAAGAATGACAAATATCCGACACAAGGGACATCTTAGCTCGAAAAAGGGGTAAAATCAATCTAATTTGTCTGTCACCTTGAATCACGCTCACAAACACAAGAATACTTATTCAAACACACAACTATAAAAGGGCAAACAGAATCAGATTGATTTTAAGTTTAGGTGTTGATGTATCGATTGATGAAAGAGACTTTATATTGTATTATTAATTTTATTTAAATTATATATTCCCCTTCAATTAAAAAACTAAAGTCATTAATTAATGACCAGGATAAATGGAAAAGATTGAATTTTATATGTGTTGAGATGTTGAAATTCTACTACTACTACTACAACTACATCATATTCACCTATATCAATTATTGTTATTATCCATTCTGCAGAACTTGTTTATTAATTTATTAAATTATTTTTACTTTATGGGAGGTTTGTCATCTTTTGAATACCTAGATTTCTTCTTTGCCTTTTGCGATGCTTGACTATGACTACGGTTGCACCAATGATGAATCCACCTACAATAAGTGCTCCTATAACTATGCCTATTATCTTTAAAACATTTAAGAATCCATCAATTCCATCCAGAAATTTTTCATACTTTGGTTCCTCGCAGGCGGACCATCCATATGAATATGATCCTCGACTTGTTAACATTGAGAATGAGGTACTGATCATGCATTGATTGCATTGTGTCTTAATGTTGATACCCAATAGTGAAGAGTTGGAAGTAGAGTTGATCAAATGATTGAAGGTGGGTGTTGGTATTCCATCTGTTAGGGCAGCGATTGGGAACTTTGCATAGAGTTGATCACCATCAATATCTTGGAAGTATATCAAGTTGCCAATTGAGTCATTGCCCATTATGAACTCTGTTCCACACTTGTGATTGTAGAAGTAGGTGTGGTTGGATACGGTTGAGCCATTCTTGAAGACCACCACTCGTAGACTGTTGGTGTTTGATTGGTATATCCATCCCTCAATGTTGACAAACATGTCAACAGAGGTAGTTATGGGCATGGATACTCCATCCAGTTTTTGATTATCTTGAACAAGGACTGAAACATTAAAACTGGGATCATCCAATGTGAACTTCCTTGTTGTAACCACACCATAGATATTTGTAAAGTTGGACAATATCCATTTGTTTGTTAACAATTCAACGACAACATTGTTGTTTTGATCCATCTCTTGAATTGCCACAATATCAATAATATGTGGATATTCATACAAATCAAAGGCGAATGATGTCATCGGAGTTGTTTCATTATGGACAATCCTTGAATAAGTGAGCACAATTTCATCACAGGTAGGACCATCATATTCCTTATAACATACGCAGTATCCATGTACACATTTACCATGACCTGAACATGTACTATTAACACCACAATTATCGGGTATCGATGATGGATCTAAAATTAATTATTTATAGATATTTATATTAGTATGGTTCATACATTGAGAGTATCATTGGGTCATACTAAAGTAATACTTACAAATTGCCAGTCGATCTTTGGCGTAGTAGGACATGTTTGCATTGATTATAATACTTAGGTCAGCATATCCTTGGGAAAGAGATGGTACGGAGCATGTCAAGGATGACGAGTTGATTGAGTTTACAATACAATCAATACCTGCAATATAAACATTACAATGATTGATTGATGTAGTATTACCAAAGTAACCATTGAAAGTAACATTGCCACCAATTGTTGAAATAGGTGAATAAGATGATATCTTAATATTATTATTTCCAGTTAATGAATAAACTCCATTATAACAACTACAAATAAGTAAAAATAATAATATATTTATCTTTGGTGGGGTTGTGATTGTTGTCATGGTATATTGTAATAATAAAGTAATAGTATAAGTATTTAATTATATGTTTGATTAATATGATTGATCAAATATTAATCATATTTATAAATAGCTTTAGGATGGAGAATGGGGAGTCGGTTAGTTGGTTGTCGCCTTGAAACCTAAGAATGACAAATATCCAAGCCAAAAGGCATCTTTAGTTGAAAACGGGGTAAAGTCGATGCGAATAGTCAAAACACACCCAACTTAATCACAAGAACACACTCACACTCACACTCAACTCAAACACAAACTCATTCCACACCTCATCATCTTAAGGTGTAATTGACCTAAACTGGAAATGGTTTGTGATCGGATATGTTAGTTCAATGTTGAACAACACCACATATCAATCAATTATAATTGATTATTGTTTTATTATTATATTTATACTATATAAGGGCAAACAGATCCAATTTGATTAGTGGTTGAGGTGGTGATTGTGTTGTTGATTGTTAGAGGATTGTGGACACAGACACCTACAATGACAATGACAATGACAATGATGATGATGACAATGATAAAGACATTGACCTTATATTATATTATTCATTCTTTAATTATTTGTTCATTTTATTACCTTTGTTCTTTAAATTATTAATAAATAATTAGAAGAAAACGATAATAATGGAGAGGATTGAAATAGATAGGAGTGGAGAAGTTCCTTCTACAACGACAACGACCACAACAACAACTTCATCATCATCATCTTTATCATCATCTTTATCATCATCTTCACCTTCATCAATTATTGATCAAGACAAACAACCAGAGGTCTATCAACATCAGAACCAATACCAATCACAACAGAACATTAATAACAACATCAACAACAACAAACACCAGAAGGATAGACATCCTTCAAAGTATCATGGAAAGAACTACAAAAACCAAGGGTTCAACAACAACAACAACAACAACAACAACCACCAGAACAACAACCAGAACAACGACAACAATCAATATCGACACAACAACTACCACAACAACAACTACAACCATCACAACAACAACAACAACAACAGTAGTCGTAACTCCTCGAACCACTACTACAAATGGTCCAAAGTGAGCAGACCAGGGGACCAAGAACAAGAGATGACTAAAGGTCATTCGTATCCAATCTCATCGCCTCCATCCTCACCATTCTCTCCCAATTGCCAGACTCCCGAGCCACTTGAGAGCACCAAAGCCACTACACTGTCAACCGATGATACAGCTCCAGAGGTGACCGTTCAGACTACAGAGATAGTGCCAACATCGTGTGATGTTGAGTCCGAAGGTCCTATCACATCATCAACTGAGCCAGACCATGTTGACGCCAAGACATTAGACCAGGTCAAGTTATCCAATGCCACAACCATAGTCGGTATCCAAGATCATGATGAAGTTGAGAGTATGGATATCATTGCCACCACTCCACTTCCACTCCCAGACACGGAAGCCTTGACACAGTCATTGTATGAGGTGACATCTATCTCTACCCCGCCAGCTCCATCAAAGGCACCAAAGTCCAAGGGATCGAAGAAGTCTGGAGTAGCCAAGGTACAGAGCCAGCAGCAGCCTCATCAACAACAGCTGGCCTTGCAGTCCAGTGCCATTCTACAAAGTGCCAACCAGATGGCATACTACCAGACGCCTCCCAACACTACCTACTATGATCCACAGATGTTGATGCAGTACTATCCACAATACCATTGTCCACACTGTGTACCCATGTATATGCCAACACAGACGGTGTATCCTCCACCTCCACCTCCTGCTCCCTACATGACTCCATCTCAACCATACTATGGTTACTACTATGAAAGGTATGTATGTCCACATTTAACCTCTATATATTACTTGACTTGTTATAATATTGGTTCTAATTTCAGACCACCCTTGTTATAACATCAAACAACAATCATTCATTCAATTGAATAGTCCATATATGATACATCAGAGGAGTTATGTGCAGCAGCAGCAACAACTGCCACTACCACTTCCACTTCCTCAACAACCTCAACAACTACCGAACCCAATCCCAATCAAGACTCAGACTCATTCTACTCAAGGAGGAAGGAAAGGAATGATGGATACATAAACAACAACACAAAGTGGTAAACAACCTTGAACAACAACAGCAACACAACACGTGGTGGTGAATGGATGGAATCAGAAGCAGGAACAACAACATCATCATCATCATCACTCACTCACTCACTGACTCCCACAATCACACACAACCTCCAAGAATCAATCAATAAACACCAACAATCACCTATCGACAACGATCCAGGCACATCCAACTAGGAAGGTGTTAAATTTCGCTCATTCGATCAGCTCAGTCGCGTGAGGAAATTTCATTCTTTGTGTTACATATATCGATCAACTGCTGTTTGTTGTTCTTGAGCAAGCTATCTGAACAGATACATATACATATACAGCACATTGTATTGTTTATCTCTATTACATATACTATAACTATATTCTAGATATATATAAACATGTTCTTTGGATACTACGACTCTTGTGATACAATGCACTCAAACTCATCATCTCCGACTTTGATTGATGTTAGCCATGTGTCACACTTCACATCATCATCAACATCATCATCACCGTCATCACCAACATCTTCACCATCATCGACTACTACTACAACAGATACAGTATACACAATGGATGAGGTCAGGAGACATAAATCAGTCGATGATCTGTGGGTCGTTGTACATGATAAGGTCTACGACCTAACACACTTTGTCAAGGATCACCCAGGTGGAATGTCTGTCATCATGGGTGAGGCTGGAAAGGATGCCACACTCTCATTCGAAGGTATGTAGTTGTCGTATGCTCGATGAGATGGGTGTCGAGTCAATCTAACTGTGTCACACAACATTAGACATTGGACATAGTTACACTGCTTATAACTTGTTGGAGAAGTTTAAGATTGGAGTATTGGCACCAAGGTCATTGGGACAACGTTCTACAACATCATCAAGTGCATCTTCATCATCATCGACTACAACTACATCACCATCACAATCATCATCATCAACAACTATTACGTCAACCTATCGAAGGAACGAATAATCATCATAATCATTTTATAACTTTGATTGATTGAGTTGACAAGAGGAATATAACAGTTCTTCTTGGATACCAACTCGTTCAATCAATCAATCAATCAATCTTCAAATGTCACAACACATCAACCTACAATAGACATCTTCCCAAGTTGTCCTAGAAGGAGTGACTCTGTCTGTGCTTTAGCCAAGTTGCCAACCAACCACCACACATGCAAAGCCAGAACCACCCAGGATGGCCTCGCGTTGGGTCTTCCCAACACAACGATATTATTTTGACTTGAATGAAAACAATTTGATGTTGGATGGTCCATGATCCATCACACTCACACTCACAATCATGCATCATAACCTACTACTGAAATGAAGTGTGATGATGGCTTATCTGAATTGCCACGCCTCGCAGTAAACAAGGTTATCATAGTACCAACGTTGCCAGAGAGGGAGAGACCAATGCAATTGCGGGTCTTAATTAATAAACGGCCTTATCTGAGGCCTTCACTCGGTATTCATTCAATCATTCAATCATTCAATCAATCATTTTATAACTACTATTACTACTTTTAAACAAATAATCAATAATGGGAGATAAGAAGACATCTATTCCAGAGAAGTTGTTACAGATTTACATTATATTCTGTGCCATCGCATTAATAGTATGTGATCATGATCATTTGGATCACACAGGCTGGATCATTCAATCATTCTTACTCATTCAATCAACCCGATCAAACAATCAAACATAGTGCCTGACGATTCCATTTTGGATATACATGAAGTATGCTGCTGATGATAGTGCATGGGTTGCATTCGCAATCTACATCATATCGGCCATCATCTTGATCATCTTGGCCATCATCGGTATATTTGGATCAATCAAGAAGAACCAAACTTTGTTGCTCTATGTATGTGTTCAAAGTTGTCCACATGATCGCCCACTACCTGGACTGATGACAGACTTACTAATCCACATTCATACTACATATATAGTTCGCTTTGGTCAACATTGTAATGTTGGCATTTGGTATTGCACAACTGATTGTCACTGCACAGAACCTTAAGAACTGCTCCAATGATGGAAGCAACAACTTTAGCTTCCTCTGTTCAAAAAATACCTCTGGTTACTATGTACCAGTGGCTCTCCTTCTCTTTATCAATGTATGTTCATTTAATCCATCAGTCCATCCAGTCCATCCATTCAATCAATCAATCAATCTAACACCCGATCCTCCACACCCTCCAACCAAATCACTTTTAGTTGACTGGCGCTATTGCATCATTGATTCTCAGATGGCAGCAGGATAAGGACACCCCAGGCAACTACTACTAAGGTGTTATACATGTGTGTGTCTGTTTGTATATGGTCATGGATCATTCATTCATTCATCATTGGTATCATCCGTTGTTGTTTACCTAAAAAACAACGGCATTGCATCAATATTTCAATCAATCACAATCATAATCACCTTTATTGTACAATAGGCCTACCTTGTCATAATCATATAAACATTAAAATCCTATTTATTCTTTACCCTTATCCCTTATCCCTTGACCTTGTCATCAACATCCATTTGCCCTGGCTCACAAACAAACTCACCTATTTTCAGATAAATCATAAAAACAATCACATTTAATTTGAAGATGATGGTGTGAGTGTTGTTGTAAAGTTGGCACTTCACCACCAACACATTAATTGTTAACCATCTAGAGTCAGTCATTCAATCAATCAATCAATCGATACATTCATACATATACATACTTACAGACAAACAAACAAACAAACAGACAAATATACAGATCTTCAAGATCATTCAATCAAACAAGCAATCAAATTAACAAAAGAAGAAGAAGAAAAAGAAGATGAGACAAGAGGCTCAGGTGCCTATTGTACAGAAGACATACTATGATGAGTTGTATATTCTAGCAGACAGTGACAAGGATGGAATGATCGGTTTGAAAGATGCTGGTTTCTTTAGAAAGTCAGCATTACCCGATGAGACATTGCGCGAGGTATGTCATATCATATCATATCATTGTCTCTAAGATGTGACACAATGACCTCTCTAACATTGATCATCATAGATTTGGCAGTTGGCTGATGTAAAGAATGGAGTATTGGACATTGAGGACTTTATCGTTGCACTAAAGTTGATCTCATTGGCACAGCTTGGCGCACCAATTCAACTGGACAGCATTAGAGCCATGCCAGTTGTACCACCTCCCAAGTTACAAGATGTTGCTTCCATTCAATTCGATGTATGTGTACATCCCTGCACTCGCTCACTCATGTGACTGACCCAACCAACCGATCAATCAACCAATCATCATCATAGTGGGTAGTACCTCCCAATGAGAAGAACAACTATATAGATATATTCACAAAGAATGACGAGGATGCAGATGGATTCATTAATGGTGATCAGGCCAAGGTTATATTCAGCGCGTCTAGATTGCCGAGCAAGTTGTTGGGTCATATCTGGTTCCTGTCCGATATGAATGGCGATCAGAAGCTCGATTGCCAAGAGTTCATCATTGCCACCTTCTTGATACGCTCTCTGCTGAAAGGATATGAGTTGCCAACTCGTCTTCCCGACTCACTCATCCAATCATCGCGTTACATCAGCAACGCTGGAGTGCCCTCACCCAAGATACCCGATTGGTTGATCCCGCCCGCCGAGAGGATCATCTATGAGGACGTCTTCAACAAGAATCAACAGAATGGTTCAATCAATGGTATGTCTATGTTGTTCGCTCAATCACTCGATCACTCAATCACTTACTCAATTAATCAATAGCCATGCAAGCAAAGGGATTGTTTGAAAAGTCTGGACTGCCGATGCAGGACTTGAGACAGATCTGGGACCTGGCCGATTACAATCATGATCAACTGTTTGACAAGCAGAAGTTTGTCATTGCCATGTTCCTCATTAGCCAGAGGAAGAAGAAGAAGGAGTTACCAACAACACTCCCTGTTGTACTATTAGAATCATCAAAGTCAACGTTCCAGCCAATGTCAATCGTCGCACAGTCGCCCAATGTTGTAAGTATCTTTGATCCATTTGATCGTTTGCCATGTCCATTCACTCACTCGATCAATCAATCAATATAGGAGTCACAAGTTAGCGACGCTGTCAAGTCTGGAAAGTATAACTTTGACTTGGATGACATTGTTTCAAAGACAACGCCAGTGGCTGGCGCCACTCCAATGAGTAGCCAGTCAGGTTTGGTTGGTGAGGATGATCATTCAAAGTCCGTTACCAAGTCTCCTGTTTCGATGGTGTCAGCAGTCGCGCCACAGGCAACCATGCCTCAGCAGCAGCTGTCAGCAGCAGCTCAATTCCCCATTACTATCCCGCCACCTCAACAGCAACAGCAGCAGCAACTGGCATTGCCACCCCAGCAGCAACAAGCACAGCCACAATCACAACAACTTCAACCAAGTGCTCAACAAGCACAGTTCCAGAACTTTGTAAGTCCATGGACATTCTGTTGATCGATCAGCCGACTAACCTTGACGCGACGAACCATGCAGCAAATCACACAGACAAAGGAATCGATCGAGAGAGTTAGACAACAGACTGCGGAGAAGGATAGATTGTTGAATGATCTTAGGAAACAGTTCATTGAGGAGTCCAATCAATCGATTGAGATGAACAAGGCATTGCAGGTAGAGTCATTGGCGCTTGATGAGACACTGAAGCAGATCCATGAGCACGAGGAGAAGCTGGCCGCACAGAGACAGAGCAACATTCAGATCAAGGAGAGGATATCATCGACGCGTGTCGACATCAAGGCGGCCAACTCGCAGTTGGACCAGATCACAAAGATGCTCAAGGATAAGTCGGCACAGTACGAGGAGGAGAGCGAGAGTCTGGCAATGCTCGAGAGCGACCTGGGCGACAAGCAACAGGAGTTGGTGAGGTATCAGAAGGAGGTGGAGGCGTTGGCCAAGTCGATAGAGGCGCTCAAGCAGCAAAAGGTGGAGAGGCGTCAGGAGATGGTGCAGACCAACAAGGCGGTGGTCGATGCCAAGGCTGATGTTAAGCGTCTGAACGAGGAGTTCAAGCAGTTGAAGGTGCAGCAGACCATCTCGCCACCAACGACCACGACGACCACTACGACCTCGACAACCTCCCCAGCGTCTGTCGTCAAGATGTCGACGGATAGCTTCACTAGCGCGCCCGTCACGGCTCCGGCACAGACAGAGAGCACCGACGATGGATGGTCGTTGTTTGAGACCATCAAGGTCCAGACCGTCACTCCAGTCTCGTCGCCAATCGTGGAGAAGTCTTCGACCACTACTACAACTGCTACCACCACTACCAATCCACTAAAGGCATCGGGTGCCAACAGTGTTCAACAGCCACCAGCAACCGCGACCAGCAGCAACAACAACAACTTCTTCTTCAACGATGACAAGTTCAACTCATTCGACAATGATCAGTTCTCGTTCAGCAGCACGTTGCCCAACCCGTTCAACACGACGGCCAGCGATGACTCTTCCTCACTGTCGCACAAGGCTGATGCGGGCTCAGAGTTGTCGTTCACAGACCACTCCAACCTGTTTGGCAACAGCACATTCGGTCCAGCCAGCAGCAGCTTCGACACATTCGAGGCATTCCAATCGGCCAACGATCCATTCGGCTCATTGATCACCAACCCAGGCTTCTCGAACCAAGACACATTCATCAAGTCCCACTCCCATGTGGCGGCGCCCAGCAACCAGCCAAGTTCATCGAGCACTGCCGCCACGACGACCTCGACCAACAACCTCTTTGCCAGCGAGCCAATCACATCGTCGGTGGTCGTGACGCCCAATTCAAAGAGCGATAGTGTAACAAAGGATAACGTGGCCGACATGTTCACGACGGTTGTCGGCACCGAGACAGTCGGCTTTGAGGACTCGTTCGACGACAACTTCCACGTTGCCGCCGTGGTGCCATCGACCGAGCCAACGCCATTCAACACACCATTCAACAGTGTGACCGCTGACGATCTGTTTGGATCCACACCATTCGGTCCTGTTACCACCACCAGTGGCAATGAACAACCAAACATCTCAGCCATGGCAGCAGCCAATTCCTCCTTCTTCTTTGACGACACATCCTTCACCGAGCGGTTCTCCAGCAACAATGTCTTTGCCACAGCATTCGAAGACACATCATTCAATCCAACAAACTAAACTAATTCCCATTCATTCAAATGATTTAAAGTGTTTGTGTCTGTGTGTCTGCGAGGGTATGCCTGTGTCTGTGAGGGTATGTCTGCGAGGGTATGTCTGCGAGGGTATGTTTCAAAAAGTGAGGTCGGGTGAAAGCTGTCCATTCATGAAAGTGAAGTGTGGGTACCTGTTGAACACAACTTCGCTCATTATCCCTTCAACAATAACTCCAACTCCTACTACTCCTACAACAATAATAACAACAAACATATCAATCACAGTTTGTTCAATCAATCAAACTGATTGACTTTTCCAAAATTCAATCATTCATTCAATCAACAACAACAAACAAACAAACCAAACAAACAATCAACCAATTATTATTTATTTATTTATTTATAGCATTGGACATTTGATACAATCAATCAAACGGACTGACAAGATCTTGGAAGCTTATGGACATTCATTGTTGGACAACGGACCTCTCATTATCATCAATAATATCATCATTATCTCTATCGCACTCTACATCATCATTGACTACACTTCAGTATCAGCATCAACAACAGCAACAGCAACAGACATAGTACTCTGTTCATTCATATATGCTTCGCATGGAGTCGCATACAAGAGTTGTTGGTGCGCATCATCAACATCATCATCATGCTCACCACCAACAACCACAACAACAACCGACACATAACAAACTTATACAACAGCCTCCACCACCATCTCTATCTGCTCCACTATTGTCTTCTCATTTACATCATATCATTAGCAGCAACAGGCCGACGAACCTACCAACCTCCTCATCGTCGTCATTGTCCACCTTGATACAGCCTCCGCACAGCAGTAGCCAAATCAGCAACATAATGAACATGACTCTGAGCAACACGAGTAGCACGAGCAGTCAGTCGGGTGTGTTGGGCTCAAGCTCAGTCTCAAGCTCTGGCTCTGGCTCTKGGCTCACCAAGGATAAGTGGCAGCCAAGATATCGAGCATGTAAATAGCAATCAACTCCCCAGTCTCAGAGGCAACAGACGTATCAGCAACAGCTACAACTACGGCAGTGGTAGTGGGTACAACAACAACAACAAGTCAACATGTATTTATAGTAACAGCAACAGCAGCACAAGCAGTAGCAGCAGTTGTAGTAGTAAGAGCAGCAGCAGCAGCAGCAATAGTAGTAGTAGTAGTAGTAGTACAGGCAAATGCAATGATGATTGCCAACATCAACAACCACACCGTATATATGATCCAAGTAGTATCACAACAACAACTCAACCATCATCTTTATCAACATCATCAACATCATCATCATCATCTTCATCATCTTCGCATCATCATCAACATCATCAACATCACCAACATCATCACCATCATCAGAGCAAGAAGCGATCACGAGACTTCATTGAACCCGAACAACCAAGGGGCGGCCTACCCACACTCTCAACCGTTCAGGACAACACAAACGGCAGCAGACAGGGCCAGCCCCCACTGTCCTTCTCACCAGTGTCTCGCACAATGTTCAGTCGCTCACTCCAGGAGATACCTGGCCTAGCAACTAGCAGTAGCGATGATGACCATATCCTTGATGACTACGATGAACAACTAAGCCAAGATAATGACACGGATGATCAAGTAGGAGACGATGAGGATGATGAAGACGATGACGATATGATACTTCACGATCCATTTGAGCTCGAGGCCCATCCCTCTGAGTCATTGGGTACCATCAACAGATACCTTGACATGATCAGAAATGTAAGTCGTCGTCGGACATGAACAATATCGAACCTGCGACGCGCACATATTAACATTCAATCATTCTCTCTATCAATCAATCAGAAGAATGGTGCACCATCTTTGTATAAACCAGATGTACATATACCTACTAGCGGCAACTTTGGCCGCCCTGACTCTCCATGTTTCGCGACGTCTTCCGCTCCATTGTCCAGTAACGATCACGGCGCATCACACATGGCTCATCCTTCATCACCATTGCCATCTTCACCACCTTTATCATCATCACAACAATCACAACAATCACAACAATCTCAACAATCACTTTACAACAACAGGATTGGTGGCAATGGCGGACAGGACCTGGGCAGAGTAGAGTTCAACTTGGAACAGATGAAGATATTTGATGAGGACGATCCAGAGTTGATTGAACTGAACACGCCTCACTGCAGCGAGTTGGATAATCATGCTCCGATGCCATTGGGCGTCAGATCCTTTGCCAACTCTCAGCGTCAGTCCTATCAGTTGTCGCCCATCGAGTCTGTCATGGTGAGGTCCAAGAACCCAATGGCACCATTCCTTCTTTATGGTCATTCAAACAGTAGCTCATCATTAGCAGACACTAGTTGTGGTGGATTGGATGACACTACTGACCGTGATGACGACAATGATGAAGACAGTGATGATGAGGAGCTAGCCTCCTTTACACCATCATCCATCAACACAATCAAACCATCAATATACAGGGGTATAACCAACTACTGGCGGCCAATCAGTGGCAACAGCACCAACAACAATAACAACAACAACTCTGACAACTCAAGCTCCAACAACTCCAACTCCAACCATATATTCAACCGCGAGTCACCATTCCACAGCACAATCTCAGCGGCTGCAGCAGATAGCAATAACAGTTGGTACCGAGGCAGTAGGTAGCATCACAAAGGGGAAGGTATATTGTAATAAAATGTACACCTTTGGAAAGGACCTATCACATCATCATTCATCTTTCATCATTGCTTCGTCTTCTAGAGACCAAGATGCTGCTCTGCCATGCGTGTGCCATCAATCCTTGCCTTGATCTTGGCAAAGGCAATGTCTCGACTGGTGGACTGGTCGTCGCAGAAGGGGGAGAAGCCACAGTCGTCTGTTGTGCCAATCTGATTAATCGGTATGTATTTGGAAATCTCCAGGATGGTGTCGCACACCTCTTCAGCGGTCTCGACACGAGGGTTGATCACATCGGTGACGCCAAAGAACAAAAGCTGATCGGGCTTCACATTTTCCCTGACGCATTCAAGCACACGCTTCCTATCGATCTCCGAGGCATACTGCAAGTAGAAGCGCTTGACATTGATGTTAAACAACGTTGGTAGTAGACTGAGGTAGTCAATGTCGGCACTGTGAGTGGAATCCATATCACCGCCTGGACAGGTGTGGATGCCCAACTTGGCTCGCTCCTCTGGCGTGAAGCGGTTGAACACTTGGTTGTTGAGATCGACGAATGATCTCAGCAGAGCGCCACTTGGATCAAGCTTGAGCGAGAGTCTCAGCTCGGTGGCGTCAATCTGGACGACATGTGCGCCTCCCTCCAAAGCCTTTCTAATGTCCTTCTCCACCTCGTTGAGCATGTCAGCTATGAATGCAGTCCTGGGATAGCCTGGAATCTCGCGATCCATTGGATAGAGCAGACTCATTGCGCTGGCAGAGATAATTGGCACCTTGATCAAACAGTCTCCCGTAGCGCATTGACGACACTTGTCCAGGTACTCTCGGGCATAGCGGTTGTATTTGAATGGTAGGTTCTGACCAGAGAGCACGGGCAGCTGACGCTTGTGGTTGTCAGCGAAAGGGATCTCGACACCACCGCCCTGCAGCTGATTCGATCCCTGGATGGGATAGGTAAGGAAAGATGGCTTCAGTTGCTCTCCATCTGTGATCACCTTTGAGCCTGTCTCAATGAATCTTTGAACAGTCTCTGCCAAGGCCTTGTCATACATTAGCTCGGGTGGTTGATTGCCACTAAGTATTGGTTCCACCAGGTACACTGGTCTTGGAATGCTTCCAATTGGTTCTGATTCAATAGGCATACTTATATTTACTAATTGTTGTTTATTTGTTTTATTGTATTGTATGTATGTATTGTAGGTTTGATTTGTTGACTTGTCTACAATGATTAATGACTTAGATATGATGTGCACTTCACCATCACCATTATGATGTTAATGGTTTAAACCATCGAATTGATAGACAAGTTGGTAGAGTATGAATGGTATTGTGGTTGAACCTCCTTCCTTGTTGGGTAGGGTTGCCAACCACATTTGGACCATCAACAGGCGAGGGTATTGGGGCTCAAGCTCAAAGTTAGTCTCATGGCCCTGAGGGCTATATTGGGCAAGAGTTTGACACCTGTGTAACCTTTGATTGGGGCTCTCCTGTCACTCAATCAATCAATTCTATTCATTCAACCAGATACCTAACATTGGTAACAAACACTGAGTTGTAATTGTTATTGTTGTTATTATAACCATGCAGCCCAACCATTATACATCTCTGATAGATTCTTAAGATCGGTAGCTTCTTGGATCAAACTTGTAACTTGTCCTTCGATGGACAGAGGAAGACCAATGTTGGCCGGTAGTCCCTGAAGCTCTCTGTCAATGTTGTTAATGATCTCCAAGGCCTTGTCATTCTCGTTGCCACCCTTGCCTTTCCATTCGACCAAAGGATCATAGACGAAGGTCTCTAGCAGACTCATCAGAGCTTCGCGGTTCGCTCGCAGTAGACGGAGAGTATGCTCGCAGACGATCCTGAACGTGCCTTCGACGCCACTGACACCGCATGCGTCCACCATGTTGCGCGTGAGACGGAATGGCACGCGCTCGGGTACCGTAAAGGTCTTGCCCTTCCAAAAGACGCAGTTGATGTCCACGTGCAGACACTCGCCATTAGTCGTGTCAAAGAGGATGTTCTCACCGTGACGGTCGCCCAGGCCGATCATGCTGCCCACCATCGAGCAGACGGCTGTCGTCTTGGTATAGCTGTTCCTCGCGTCGAGCCATGCGGATGGGTCGGGGAACGTCTTGAGGAACCACTTGTAGAAGACAGGGGGGGCGAATGGCAGGATGTGCTTGGTGAGGATGTCGTACTTGGGGATGATGGCAACTTTAGGGTTATCTGTAGCGTAGTACTCGCGGATCTTCTTGTTGTCGGGGAAGTTGGGCACCTGCTTGTAGAGGTCGGTGAGGATGTTGCGCAATCCAGTCAGGTTGGACACCCATTCAATCATACCACACAACTCGTCGAGCGGCACGACTGAGTAGGTACGGATGAGCAGACGACGGCGACGGCAGTGCGGGTCCTTCTTGAGCAGTTTGTTAACCATCAGACTGAACTCCATGATGCGGCTGTCCTTGCGCAGGTCGTCTTTGGGTTTGCAGAGGAAGATGTGGCGCTTGCCCTGTGAGCCGATGATTGTGATCTTCTTGGGCTTCTGCATCGATGGCATGATCTCGATCTGGTCCTCGAAGCCTTGGATCGTCGCCACCTTGGGGTCGAACAGCTGGAAGTTCTCTTCGTACCTACCCGAGGGTGGGAGCACCGGGCGGAGTGATGCCTGAAGGGGCACGATCACCGAAAGGTTCTTCATTGCCCAGAGTTCCTTGAAGTCCGTGGACATCTTGATGATCTTCTTGCCAGCATCATGGTCACAGAGCGCGATGAAGTACTCGGACAGCCTGGATATCTCGTCGTACGATCGCTTGTTCTCGATGTGATCGACGCACGCCTTCTTGAAACAACGCTGGGCACCCTCCATACGTGCCTTCTCCTTGGAGTTGAGCAGCGAGACGATGAACCAATTGGCCTGTGCTGGATACTCTGTCATAACTTTCACAATGATCATCTCGATCACTTCCAAAGTGTCTGGATTCTTATGAACGATCCTTGATATCAACTGAGGTAGGAACATCAACCATAGGTGTGCTGGTATCTGATTGACAAACTCCTTTACCATAGTCTTGAGTGCCTTCACCTGGTTATCAAAGTTGTTGTTGCTGTTGATCTTTGCCTAAAGTATGATTGATTGATTGATTGAGTGAGTATAGTATGTATGAGTTAGTGATTGGACATCCATCCATCAATTGACTTAACATACACTCTGTCTGTTCTTGTTCTTGTAATCCTTAATCAAATCGCTGTTATCGAGTAGGGTTGATCCGTATTCGGTCCAAACGGTGAGGAACCTGGTCATGGAGTGATAGATGTAGTTGTGTCCTTGTACCAATGAGTTGCCATACGACGATAGGATCTTCTTGGTGTACTTGGTCAAAAGGAGAGGGTCCATCATCGACTTGTTGTTGCTCACAAACAAATTGGTTCCATTCTTCTTGATGTTGGACAACACCGAATCGTAGAACTTGCCCAAGTAGAAGTGTCCTTTCTCCCAGCTACACGTTCAGGTCCCAGGGTTAGTATTCAAACATGTTTGATTGAGTGAATGATTGATGGTACATACTTGAAGAGACAGGCTTGCTTGTAATGATTGAGTAGTTCGGCATGTGAGGATCCACATTGTTGTTTCCATTTGGCGAGCAGGAGATGGGTCTTGGCAAGGATTGGATCATTGTGTCTCATGGCTGCTTTGTTTGGTTGGAATTGTGGTTGGCCAGTTGGTCCATTGGGACCGCCCATGGCACATAGTGGACCAAGGATGCTGATGGCCTCGTTGGTCTGACCCTTGGCAAAGGCAAGCTTGGCGCGCTCCATAAAGTATGGACGGTCCTCAATCAAACGTGGTGCCAGCAATGCGTTGGCGGCGTTCTCAAACTTGCCCTCGTGTCTGGAGTACTTGGCTATGCGAAGCCAGCATTGTGTGGTGTCGGCCTGATGATTGAAGATCTCGAGGATCACACGATGCACCGTGAGGATGGGCTCGCGAATGAGTGTCGATGGCTGGATGACCTTGAAGCGCTCATTGAGCTCGGTAATGACGGCCGTCTCTGACGTCTTGTTCGAGAGGTTCCAGCTCAGCTCAATGTCCTTGAGGATGTGCAGCTGTGTGAGGTAGGTGTAGCAGCGGTGATGCGAGTCCAATGACGCGGCGGCCAGGTTCTGTGTGAGGTCGGCGCGCGCCTGGTACAGGTGCGCCACAAACTCCCGCTCATTGCGTCGGTAGAGGTCCAGTAGGATCTGGCCAATCGATACGTCAAAGTTAGGCTCATACGGCTGCTGCAGCTTGGCCTCGACCGTCTCCCACTTGGACAGTCTCCACGCGGCCTCAATGCTGTACGAGTTGTATTGCTGTGCGATTGTGCTGTTTCCATGATGTTGTAGCAGTGTTTGATCCTCTGTGGCCACAGCCTTGAGTCCTTCAGCCATAATAAGTACTGATTCGTGATGGCCCAAATGGAACAAGCTGCGTAGCTGGCCAAGCTTGTACTGCACGTTATTCGGATCATTGTTGCAGGCGGTAGAGTAATAAACGAAGCACTCACTCCATGCGCCCCTGCTCTCAAACTCCATGATCTTCTCATCAAACGATGGATTGGTATTGAGCAATGACAATCCGACCAATCCATCAATGTCATTCAAGTCATGATATATCTTCTGCAATGTGGTCATGTTGTTGTTGATCACCAACTCCCTGCTTTGATTCCTTTGTGTGAATTATGATGCATTAGTGATGCGTTTGGCATGTGACTGATCATTGATTACTGGACTTACTTGGTATCGATCTCCTTCCTGATGTATGACTCCATGTGAAGAAGTGATGAGGATAGGGCACCACAGCGGAGTGAGGCGGAGGATAGCAGGAGCTCGGGGATGCCTCCAAGGAAGGTCTCGATGGTGTTAATGGCGTTGGGGGTGTTGGATGAACTCTTGGGCGACACCTTCTTGGCGTTGGTAACATCCTTCATCTTCTTGTTGCGACCGTCCACCCAGCGTGTGAGTGCCGTTGTAATCTCAAACACTCGCTGTGTGCACATCTGGCCATTCTCCGATGACAGGTCCGTATCATTCTTGAGTACCTCTAGCATCTCCACTTGGATACCCATAATATCGTCTTGCGTGCCAAACTCAAACACGTTCATGATCAAGTATGGCAACAAGTAATGACATATCTTGACGTAGTCCCTTATGATTCCACTGAGTGAGAGAGTGATGGCTGAGGGTTAGTGAGGGTTGGGGAATGAGGGAGAGGGCAATAACATACCGGCATGCATTGAATATTGGCTCGTAGGAACCTTTGGTATGCTTGATGAGGTCGATGACCCAGCTGGACAGCCACTTCTTGTAAAGGACTTTGGGCTTGAAGAATGCACCGTCACGCTCGGCGGTGGGCTTGGCATCGGTCAATGAGTACTCTGATGTGAGGTAGGGCATGAGGATCTCCTTGACCTCATTGTTAAAGTGATTCCACAGGTCCTTGCCCTCTTGTGTTCGGTTCATTGGCTCAGCTACACATCCACATGTCTTGAGAATCTCCTGTATGGCATAGGCTGCACGGTCTTGTGGTGTGGGGTTGCTGGGCGAGCCAACAAAGCGGACAAGATACTCCACGATGAGGTCCTGCGCGATGGTAGATCGGTTCTTCTCCTCGAGCGCTTCGCTGCGCAGTGTAAAGTCAAACTTCTCTGGATCGATGGCGCCCAGCTCGCCCAGACACTCGGTGAAGGCCACTTGCACCTTCTGGAAGGGGTCGCGGCATCCAATCAGCAGTGCCTTGGTCAGCACCGAGATGATGGGAGTGCCAGTGCCGTCCAGTCTGAGATTGTTGACGACCAGGTGATGGAGCTCGCTGCGGTGCTCGCGTAGTATGCTGCGCAGTCTGTTCAAAGTCATGACCTTGACGTCGATGCTCTCATTGTCAAACAGCTGCATGAGCAACGTGATCTGCTGCAGGTAGGGCATGTTTCCAGTCGACTTGTTCAGCACCTCGATCACCTTGTGCAGGGCGGGGTAGTCGCGTGGCAAGAAGGGGATCGTGTGGAAGAATGGCTGCAGGCTGGCGCCCTTGGTGATGATCAGATACTCAAAGATCTCGGCCGCGGCTTCTTGATTGCCAGGGACAAAGGGCAGCACGGAGAATAGGATGAGATTGAGGATGGGGCCGACCGAGTTGATGTCCAGCTTCTTGACAAACTTGGACCAGATCTGGATGGCCTTGAGCTCGAGCGGGGTCTTGAGCGTGAGCTTGAGGAATGCCATGATCTTGGGCCGGAATGAGTTGACCGCGTAGCCAATGAACTCGAGCAGACGCTCAAACGCGCGCAGCATGCCCTCCTTGTCGGCCATAGTCTTTTGGCGATTGGTCATGATTGATGTGAAGAAGTCCATCGTACCCAGGAAGTCTTTGATGAGGCTGTGCTCAAAAGGCATGGCAGAGATGGGCGCGGTCAGTCGCTGTTGGAGGAGATGGGCCGACTTGAGAGCTGAGACCGCCTGGGCTTCGCGTGCTTCATCACCGAGATTGAGTGTGAGTTGGTAGATGAAGCGACGAGGTACCGACTGGATGAGTGCGGTCACATCCCTGTCGACCTTTTCAGCTACATAGGTGATGGTGCTGGTCAGTGTCTCCTGGATGGTGCACGTCATGAAGATGTGTTCAAAGACCGAGCAGATGAGCAGGTCGGACTCGGCCACGCTCTTGAGGTCAAAGTAGCGCTTCAGCTCGTTGAGCACGTCCTCGCACTTGCCCGTGAACAGGCTGGGCAGCACGTAGGGGACGGTGATGTTGATCAGCGCAGACAGATTGGTCTTGAGCACTCGCGAGGCCAGCTCCTCCAGCACCGTCACATTCTTGGCCAGGTGCATAATGATCAGCGGGTAGAGTGTTGGCGCGAGGTAGTTGATCAACTGCTTGGTTGTCATGGTCTTGCTGCGCGTGACCTGCTCCAGCTCGTCAAAGCCCAGACCGCGCAGCAGGGGCGTACGGCCCAGACATTCGATGAGATTGCAAATGATGAGCAAGAAGTACGATGTGTCAATGTCGATCAGCTTGGCGAGCTTTCCAAACAGGCTCACCATTGACGCTATGACGCCCTCGCTCACACCAGAGTCGCTCGGCCACATTGGCCTCAATCGCTGGAATAGCGGCATCAATGTGATGTCCTTGGAAACAGACGTGTCGCGCTTGACCAGTGTGATGATGCATTTGATGATCGCACGACGAATAATCTCATCATTGTCTCTGAGCAACGAGAAGTGATCGTCCAAGAATCTGCCAACAAACTCGCTTTTGACAATGTTTGATTGATGGCCAATGTATGATCGCAATGTGTTGTTGATGTAGTGATACCTGAGAAGCGGAGATGAATTCCCGTCGTCGAGAAGTGTACTAAACAGTGGGCCACCAGCTCCAGCACCCCCAGTGCTGTCACTGCCGTCACTGGGAGACATGGGCTTGGCGACGACAGGCACCGGCTTCAGATGGATCAGCATGAGGTCGTCCTGCTTGCGAAACTGGCAAGGACAGCGCGGGTACCAGATGGTCTTGGTGCAGCCAGAGTTGAGTAGTGGGCTGTTGTCGACCAGACTGTCAAAAGTGAAGGGGCGCTGAGAGATAACGTTGGTCTTGTTGATGACCACTTCGGCAGGGTAGCGCTTGGCAAACTCGGGTGAGATCTGGAAGTTGCAGTGATCACCCTGGATACAGGACAGGTGGCCAGTGATGAGTGCGATCATCTGGAGTATTAGCGGGTCGCTTGTGTTCCTACATTCGCCCACCAACTTGTTGAGCGTGTCGATGGTTGTCGCGATGATAGAGTCGTTGATCGCGCTGTTTGTGCTCGTCAAACTGACCAAGAACAAGGGGATGAGTGCAATAAAGTCCAATGATACGCGAAGACTCTGAGGTGTCTGGGCCGTTGGCAGCAGGGACTTGAGCGCCTGCTCATAGATCAGTCGACGCTCTTCAAAGTAAAAGGTACTTGGGGTCCAGGCCAAAAGGGCCATGCACTGGACTTTGATTGACTCAAAGTCTTTGGGGTCGGCGGCCTTGAATATGAGCGAGTGGTTCCATGGCAAGAATGAGAGATTGAAGATGCAGTCCAACGTGAACTTGAACTGGCTGCCCAGCGATGAGGTCAGGTCGATGTTGGGATGCACGACATCCATCAGCACATGAAGACACAGCGCCAGCATCTGAGACACGACGGCGATCTGCCCGCCCGTCAGTTCCTTCTGCGCGATGACCACCTCGTAGAAGTCGTTGATGTGCTGGATGAACAGTTCGAGTAGGTTGTTGAGGTTCTCGTGGTACTCCTTGCAGATGCGGAACACCGTGCCAAAGCTGCAGACAAACTGCGAGATGCGCGTCAGGCTCGCTGGCGTGGCGTTGGCAAATGTGTCAAAGGGGAAAGACTGCGCCAGCAGCAACAGACGATTGAGGAGCACCGATGAGAACTGGTCGATGGTACCATTGATGGTGACGCGATTGTCGATCGAGTAGTCAAACACCACCTTGAAGCACTTATACAGCTCGCTCTGTATCTGATCATCGTTGAGAAACGGAAGCATATTTACAATTGACAGATGTACTGGCGGTGACAGTGATAGCAGGCGTTGATATAGTTGACAGAAGGTTCGCTATATGATGGTCATTGTTAGTGAGTGTGGCCAAGTCTTGGTCATGGTCATTGATTGTCTTTGGCTTACCTTCAGTGGCGTGGATTTGCTCGTGGATAGGATGTAGGTAATGCGTTGGACAATGAGCTCGGCAAAAGAGCAATAGTCCTTGTCGTTGATTGATTGTGAAAGAGTACGAAGAGATTGAGCAAGCTTGTGTTCGGCATCATGATCATTGGATGTCACTACATATTGTAATGTAAGTAGCAACGATTCGAACAGATCAACATTGACGCCTTCAGGTCGTTCATAAGTATAGAATGCATTGATAGTATTGAGAGAGGTCTGGTGCGAGTAGCGATGTAAGTATGATTGATTGATTGATTGAGTGAGAGTTGGATGGAGACACATACTTTGATGAGATATACATTGTTGTTGTAACACTTGATGTTACGTAGGATGTTCGAGACGATGTACCAGTAGGGCGCGATGACACTTGTGAGCATTTGGGTGTTGGACTCGAATGTTGAACATATCGCGTTGAGCATGCCAGCGAGTATTGATATGAGCATGTCCAATGATGTGATTGGTATGATGATGCCATCATTAGCATTTGTTTGTCTTTGTTGTTGTTGGGTGTTCTGTGGCTGTTGTTGTGTACTGCCTCCATCGATAACAACCAATGACTTGTTGTTGACTAGGTTGTCGAGCAAGAGGAATGACATTGATCGTGTGTTGACGAATGATGATGATAGCTCGCAATAACATTTGAGTAGTACGGGGTAGGTGAGCTGCTGCCTCGACATGCACTCGGCCACCTCTTGTAGATCGTTGAACATCGTGGCAGTCTCTGTAATGAACAGCGACAGCACATGCAGGTGTTGGAACAGAAGATTGATGACGGCGCGTATAGTGCTGACGAGGTTGTCGAGCAGAGATGCGTCGCGTACATGTCCGGCACTCGCCAAGAACGGGATGAGTTTGAAGAGGTAGAAGCAGATGGAGTCGGCGTCGCCGATCCACTGGCCATTGGGCAGCTTCTGTATCATCATGCGAATGAGCTGGACGATCTGGTTGACGTCCTGGATGGAGCCCGTCATCATGAGATGTGTGTTGATGAGCTCGGGCAGCAGCGAGCGTATCTGGGCCACTTGCTCCACATGCTTCTGGCTCTGTTTTGCCGCGTTGCCACTCTGTTGCTGTCCACTCTTTTGACGTGCGCTCGAGTGATGATGTTGTTGATAGATGTCCTGTATCAGTGTGACCAATGTAGCTATAATATGATCTTTATCATTGATGTTTGGTGTAGATTGTGCTGCTGCCATTGTTATTATCTGTATCTGTATCTGTTTGAGTACAGCCAGCCAGTCGTGAACTAAACAATGAAAGAATGAACTTTACTTGTTTTCTTGTCCATTCAATTCTTAGAAAAAATCAAAACTTCGGAAAAGTTGAGTGAGTGGGATAGTTCCAACAAGTAGTTGATTGAATCTCTTTGTCGGTCGTCAATTCTCACCATCATTATAAAGACAAATGACAACTTCACACAATCAATGATAATGAGTGATTGATTGAAGGAATGAAGTTTGAGAAGAGAGAGACTTAACAAACAAGGAAAAGATAAGTAGGTACTATATATATTCATTATTCTTTTCTATCCAACTACAAAATAATGAACGATAATAATAATAGAGGATCAACATCCTCTAGTGGCCAATCGGAATTCTTAGAGGTAGCTAGAATGTTTTGTCAATTCTTTGATACTATGTCTAGATTACAGAGAGAGGAAGATAGAGAACAAAGAAAAGCCGATAGGGAGGAAAGAGAAGCGGAAAGGGAGGAAAGAAAAGCCGATAGAGAGGAAAGAAGAAGTGATCAAGTATGTATATTTCCAAATGATTTCAATGAAGAGCTCTTCCATAAACTAATAATACCATGGTGCCACTAGCTATCATCAGGAGTTCTCACACATGGAGAGGTCCTATGTATTATGTGAGCTATACTGATCTTCTTGAACTTGACCTATATTTCTACCATCTACTTCTTCAGAGATAGGCAATAATATTATTGCCATCAATCAATCACACTACTACCGCCATATTCGCCTACATTCACTACACCCCAATCCATCAATCCATCAATCCATCAATCCATCAATCCATCAAACCATCCAATGGACTTATGCCAGCCACCTACAAAATAAAGCTAGACCTGGATCGATTGATTGAGTGAGTGTAGCTTGTGTTGGTCCTAAACCTGGATCTTCATTTGACGTTATCTTGGCGCGCCTGTCTGTCATCACAATGATCACTACTGTCTTCAAGATGGTTGAGTTGTTGAGGCTGTGGAGTGGCACCCTGCAGCGCTTGGAGGATGTCACTCAACAGCTGGGAGTGTTTGTCCAACTTGTCGTGCAGGAGTCTGGACTCCTTATCGATCCTGTCGTTCAGCTCTTTGGTCTGTCGGTCCAGTCGCTCAGAGATGTCGCACGAGAGTGTGGCCTGCTGCTGCTTGGACCACTTCAAGTCCTTTTGTTGTTGGTTCTGTATGCTTGCGATGACGTCGACAAATGTATCGATGCTGGCCTTGATTGGTGCAATGGCGTCGTACTCTATCACTTGTTGGTAACTTGATGGCATGATTGGCGATGAGTCGCCACTCTGTGGAGACAGTCTAGATGTAGACATTGATGGTGGTGAGTGAATACCTGTTGGCGTTGATGGTATTGGTGATGGTAATGGTGATTGTGATTGTAAATGTGATTGTGAATGTGATGGTGATGATGCGGTCCAAATCGATGATGGTTTGGTTGGTGCTGGTAATTGAATGATTGATTGATGTCGTTGCTGCAACGACATTGACATTGTCGCCTGAGATTGAGGTGATTGTGTTGGTGATGGTATGGTCCAAGTCGATTGCATTGATGATGATGACGATGATGTTGGTGACTTGGTTGTGAAGTTGCTCCTAGGCTTCTTGAAGTGTTGTTGATGTTCTGATAATGATGATGATGGGGATTGGGATGGTGATGATCCCGTTTGATTGTGGCTGAATACATGGCCATCCCTCTTGCCCTTGCCACTTCCAGTACTGCTTCGTTTGTTGTTGTTGTTGTTGAGTCTGTCGTCTGAGTATTCTCCCAACTCCTCATTCTCTTCGATTCGATTAATCTTGAGTTGTCCAGGAGTAGCAGGAGTAGTAGGAAGAGGAGGAGGAGAACTGCCAGCCCTCTGTAATTGTGAGCCAATCGTTTGGAATCTATATAGCATGCTTTGATCTGCTGCGGGAGAGTCGAGTGTGTTCTCCTCGTCACAACTATCAATCCTCTCCTCGCTCTCTGAGTGATCACTGTCGTCGTCCGTCAAGTTTGTGATGGCACCGCCCGTCTCCAATGTAGCTGTGTTCTGCGTCGTCATCTGTCTCTTCCTACTACTACACACATCACAATGACTAAGATACTCTGACACAGACTTGGTCATTCCAAACCAATTGTACCTCTCTTTGATTGAGTGATTGAGTGATCATTAAGTCAGTGTCGTTCATTCATTCGTTCAATCAAATGATCAATCAATCAAACATACCTTTGAGATGCTTTGTCATTGCATCTCTACCTCTATGTCTGCCACCTTCACCAAGGTAGTGAGCATCATGCATCACCTTCTCATAACTAGACATCAACAACACCTCTCTATACTCTCTAGTGCTACTCTGTGTATCCCCATGTTTGGCTATAATGATTGATTGATTGATCGATTGAATGATTGATTGAATGAGTGAGTAAGTGTACATCACTGATATAATGACATAGTATAGACATACCATCTGTTTGTATTGACCTATATAGTTTGTTGTTTACTACTCTGTAGCATTCACTCTTGAAGAACTTGTGATAGTCTGTGCCACGATACTTCTGAGGCAGCACTCTTGCCTCAGGCGGTAGATTGAAGTAATATACAAGTGCTTGGGCTAATTCATCCTCCATCTTGATATACTTGATATATATGAGCCTGTATGTCTATCTCTATCTGTATATATACAAACGGGGATGGAGTGAATGAGTAAAGTCTACAAACAATCAATCATTCATCATCACACTTTCGCGCGACTTTTCAAACTTTGGTAAAGGTCCCATAAATTCAAACTTTCAACACATCTAGATTGACATTCAATCAGATGATGTTCATAATCATTCATTAATTCGTTCATTAATATAATTACATTACATTCATTATATATATATACATATGAACAACACCAATAGGTTGTTGTTGTAGATGAGTTAAAGACAATGAAGGGCGACAGAATGCCAGTTATACAGTCGCCAATTGCACTTGCAATTGGTGAAGACTACACAGATCAATGGTTAGAGTTCTTACTTGATACTTCAAAGTTACAACAACATGTATGTATACATTCAAGTTTGTTTGTTTGAATGATTGAATAAACGATCACTGACTATATCCACAATCAATCAATCAATGTAGCTTGTAGCATTAAAGACGAATACAAGTAATCATCCTAATGATACTTATTTGATAAAGACATTTATGAAACAGTATGATAAGTGCATGGCATCACAACAGAGTGGACGTGCAAAGGCGTTGTTGGCATTGACTGTCATGGTAGTGACATCGCTAGATTATACATTGGAGCAGTTTGAGAATATAGTGCCAAACAAGTATCAACGTTTAGTGTTGGAGGAGTTGAACGAGTCATTCATAAGCGTCACACATCATCATACATCAACATCGGACGCGGAGAGTACGTCACCTCCGACGACGACGACGTCGTACCATCAATCATTCGAACCATATCTACATCGATGGATCATTAGAGGCGTGATCAAGGGCACGCCACTCAAGTATCTATTGCCACAGTCATCGATTGTGGCTGTTGCCAATGGTTCAACGTCTCCGCCACAGCAGCCACCCCCTTCCTCGACAACGACGCCACCGGGCTCTCCATCGTCCCCACCACCAACACCTCCACAGTTCATGGCCAATCAGACTGCGGCAGCCTCGAGCACACAGACGGCGGAACAGGCCAACCTTCAGGCGGGCGCGCCACTCAATGATATGTTGGACAAGTCGACCGAATACCTAATCAACTGGGTCAAGCAATGGCGCACCACTCAACAACTATCAGTCGCTCACATCATGATTGAGCTTGGCGAGTTGTCGTTCTACCGCAACGACTACATTGAAGCGCGTCAATACTTCAACGAAGCGCACACCTACACCAATGATCCCAAGACTATCCCAGAGTATGTGTAATTGATTGATTGATCGATTGTGTGATCACATGGACTGACCCTCATCTCCTCCCTCAGCTTCAAGGACTCTGACAGGATACAAGCATTCCTTATTGCATGTGACTCGATGGATATGTATAAGAAGGCGACACCAGCATCAACACCTCATATACGAGCGTCGTCAACACCTCAGAGTAGGTTGGAGATTGCACTGGCAGAGGGCGATCACAAGTCAATACTTCAAATATTGTTCATCGATATATATGACCAATCCTCAACCATTGACAATCAGTTGAGGGCCAACCTGTTACATGACCCACTGCTCCCCGTATCCATTCAACGCAAATTACGATGCTACAACTTCTTAAAGCTGACTGTACATGGAGAACTGGATAATGCAAGGACTTGTGTGGACTGCGATGTTGAAAGCATTGACTTCTTATTTATGACGGTGGTGGCATTGTTGGAGACGACAATGGATAACATTGGCCGTTCAAGATTGGAGTTTATGTTGAATTGGCTAGGACTTGATCTGGTCAACAATGGCACCTACTACTGGGACACATTCAAATCCAAAGGTATGATCCACATTGATGACACCTCGGTATCCCTCAATCAATCACTGACTCTGTCGCAACGTTTCCACCACTCAGTACCATCACTCAAACTTTATAACAAAGATATTGCCCCTGTTGTATCAATTAGACACGACATTTCACATACCAATGGACAACATGTTAGCATGGATGAGGACGACGACAAGGAACAACACACCAACAACAACAGCCTGATGTATCATTATAGCCAATTCATGATGGAGAGACGAGTCGATCGATTGAAGACCTTGCTCCAAGCACTTGTAAATAGACATGCATTCACCAGCCTGCAAGTGGATACGCTTATATCCCGACGAGGCAACGCAGCCCTGGCCGCAGGCGACATTGAACTGGCCAACAGCCTGAGCAGTCTGCGGCCTCAGCAAACAGCGACGACGACGCACCTCGAGTTCCACCAGCTGCTCACCAAGCTCAGCGCCAACGATCACCAAGTGGGTGACAACGAACTGTCGACACTGTTGCAAAAGATTGGACAGGTGCCAAGTTATGCTCATCTGTTGGCCATCCTCTCGACGCTGTGCAACCAACGCCAATGGCAACATGTGTTGTCGGCCTGCGAGCAACTCAAGATTGCCCAAGCTTCAGTTGCTCCACAACACACTGATGTACAACTCATTGATACTGCGGCGTCTTTGGCAACGTTGGCATCAAAGTTGACTGAAGCCGGGTTCATCAATGACTCAGACTCCTCCTCGATGGACATGGACATTGATCATGATCGTGATCAGAACACAGTGATTGGTGAGGTTGGAGATTCACTACAATCATTCATTACAAAGGCACAACGAGCCAAACAGTGGAGTTATCATGCCGACTATCTTGATGGCTGCCATCTGACCACAGAGACCAACAAGTACAGTCTACTGGACTGCATCACAGACGTTTCATTGTTAGAGGTCATCGTCCAATTGCTCATTGGCTCATTGGTTAGGATACAGAGAGTGAACAATGTATGTGGTGTCCTGCCTGCTCCTTAATGACTCGTTCACTAACATCAACCTGTCACAATACAGAACCAGAATGAGATCAACATTGACTATTATGGCAAGGCCGCGATGGCCATGTCCCGTGCATTTGTCATTCCACAAACATCCAATGGGTATGTATCTCATGATCCTCCCTCCCTGGAATCCCTATCAATCACTCACTCACTCAAACATCAACCTTAGGGATAACCTGGAGTTCATCATTATCGAACTACTAATGAACACTTTGATGAAGCTCAGTGTGCGATCGCTGCAGCTTCAACAACCATCTAGCCCGAACAATAAGGTCCGCGACTCGTATAATGGCCACAGCTTCTGCGCATTGGGCGAGGTATACTTTGAAGCCAAACGATTCGGGGATGCACTGCGCTTCTATCTATTGGGAATGGCAGTCGAGACATCATTCTTTGCAAACAATACGCGCACGACAGAGTTGACACCAGAGATCGAGAAGCTAATACCAAGGATGATGCAGTGTCTTCAATCATTACATTGTCCAGCGCAAGCCGTGGTACTGAGCCAGTTCATGCCGACCAATAGCCAGACCTACAGCAACGTGTTCCGAATCATTCAAGAAGAGTTCAACAAGCTTGACACCATCTACTTCCAATACGTCTGGGACACTGCCATCCTAGAGATACTGATCAACATATCACATCGTGTGAAGGATCACAAGAAGTCATCAATGCTTGTAAGTTGTATATATTCAATCATATGACAACGTGACCAGATCACTCACTCGATCATTCAACTCATTCAACAGACACAACTGATATCGACTCCAATGTTGAATGAGTTCAATCCAATTGAGATCAAGTCAACATTCATCAAGAATACCAAGAACAACTTCTGGAAGATGCTGTCTAAAGAGTTCTTGTTGTCATGATCGTAGTCATCAAACACTCAATGAATGAAATACGCGTGATGATGGCCTTTGCTTAGACTTGTCTCGGGTGAAGTAATGGACCCAGTCTACGCGCCCTTCTAATAATAGATGAGTGTCGAGTCGAATGTCCTTCCATACATGAGACCCATTGGTTTTGATTGATTGCCCACTCGCGGTGACACATGTGACCTCAGACACGCGAGTTCCTTTGGAACTTAACAAAATATCTGACGAAGGTGTGGCGCGTGATTGACTGATGGACGGGTGGATGGACTGGCGGACAGACGGGTATACCGCCTACGAACACTTTAAGTTCACATTCACTTCATTCATTCATTACATACATCACATCGCATCAAATAACAAATAATGGAAAGACAATACTTTACATTTGTATCATCATTATTGCTCGCTTTGGCAGTTGTTGCAGCTTTTGCAAGTGTTGGAGAGGCTGCTGGAACACCCAACATCATTGTTGACTTCACCGTAAAGTCATTCAATGTCACAAACATGTCGATTGGATCGACTGTGTCTACTTATGGCTCAACTAACTTGATCAAAGGAGGTGCTGCCTCGACAAACTGGAGAACTCTGCTTGGCAAACTCGGACCCCTAGTCTGGCGGATACCCCTTCGCTACTTCAATGGCAACGTCGGATCGTCTGCTGGAGGCAACTTTGGCGACACCAACGGCGCCGCCTACATCCAGGCCATCCGCAACATTAGCGGAATCCCCTTTGTCGTAATTGGTGGTTCCACCAACGACAATGACATCACCACGTCGGATGCCGCCTCGCTTGTCCACTACTTTAACGACAATGGCGGTAAGAATGGCGGCCCAGTCGACTACTACGTCATTGGCAACGAGCCCGACAATGGCTTTGGAATGGACAACTACATCTTTGGAGGCGCCGGCAATGCAGGCTACCACAACATTGCTGTTGCTATGCGTGCTGCCACTACACGCCGTCTGTACCTCGCCGGTCCCTCGTTAGTCACATGGGCCGACTACAAGTACGGCGACTTCAACAACTTCATGAGCAACTGCAATGCCGACACCGACATCATCGACTTCCACAAGTATGGCGACGGCAAGGTGTTGGGCAACATCAACGCCACATACCAGTACCGCGATGCCCTCAACTGGCTGCGCCAACAGATCAATGTGTACTTTGGCGCACGTGCCAATCAAATCAACATTCAGCTTGGTGAGTTCAACTACAACTCATGGTACGATGGCTCGTGGGCCCAGGCCTTCTACACCTCGCGCAATCTCGTCCACACCGTGTCTACCATCGGCCAGGTGCTCAGCCGCGGCGGTCGCGCTTACAACTATGCAGACAACAATGGCGCCCTCGGTCTCATTACCGACGGTACCTCCAACAATGACGCACCAGCCGGCAAGTACGTCCCACTGCCATCCTACTGGGGCATTGCCGCATGGACTGGCGGTAGCTACCTGCGTAAGCTGGGCACTGTGATGGTGAGCGCCACATCGCTAGTCGACGGCGTCGAGGTTTACGCCACCGACAACAAGGCCAAGATTGTGCTGATCAACAAGTCCGAGACCCAGGACCAAGCACTCGTCATTCAGATGAATGGCAAGACAACTGGCATCTACTCGCTTTACTCGTTCCGTCGTGGAATGACCGCCACAGACTTCACCAACGGCCTCCAATTCAAGGCTCCACTCAAGACAGTCTCTAGCGCCACATACCAAAATGGTATCATCTCAGTTACCATTCCATGGATGAGTGTTATTGTTGCCATTGTTGATTGATTGATTGATTAAATAGGTCTCGTTAAGAATGATTGTTGGTGATTACTTCTGGCTATGATTCGTTATAATGTAGTTCCAAAGATGGTATTGAATTGATCAATGACATTACCTCGTCAGTGATGGTACAACGATATGTAGTTAATGATCGGAGTCGTCCGCCTTTGCTTGAGCTTGCGAGCAGTCCTTTGGCAACTTTATCTAGCTGCCAATCATCGAGATCCAAATCCAGTGACATCAAAGATGTGTTGTTTGCGAAGCTATTGATAATGGTTGTGGCAACCACCTCATCATCAGCATTATCTGGTTCTGGAAATGGTATAATCTTCAACTTGTGGACAGTCTGGACATTGCTTCCAATAAACTTAAACAACTGATCGGTAACTATTTGATTGATTGAGTTAATGAATGATCAACAACCAACCAATCATTCCATTCAATACTTACGCTGGTAGTTAACTTCGTCCATTCTCAATTTCAATGATTGAATGGTGATGTTTGATCGATTAATCAATCCTTCGAGTATTGTGCCAAAGTTAACATCATTGTAGAGGCCCAGGTGTGTGATGCTCTGGTTGGCGAGCAGTGCATTGAAGAACAGCTGAGTGTATTGTAGTTTAGCATCATCATTAAAAATCCCAGGTATCATGATGTCCAAACTGGTGAGTGTCTGATTGGCCTTGAGTGCCACCAATGATGAATGGGGCTCTGCCAACCTGGACAATCCATTGTGCCCTTCCAGATGGCTGAATGCCCTCCAAAACTCATCCGTATGTCCGTATCGTCCTCCTATCCAAAGATTGGTCAATGATTGTGATTGGAAGAGTGAGCCAATTGCACGATCCTTGAGCGTGAGGCACTCGCCACCGATGCTCGTGTCCAACGTGATGAGTTGATTGCTGATGCTCACGATCCTGTTCCAAAGCTTGTCAAAGCGGCCATATAGAAAGCCTTCTTGAAGGCTATAGAAGTCAAACGAGGAATCTAATTCCAAGTGTCGAAGATGTTTGAGTCTTGTTATCCATTTGGTGCTGATGTACCAACATTCTCCATTAACGGATATAGTGGATAAGTTGGCAAAGTATGGTAAGCTTAGAATATCCATCATACTACTTCTCTTGTTGATACAATTAAGTCTGAATGATATCGATTGAATGTTGTTGGTCGCGACTGTCACTGCTTCTTGCTCCTCTTCCATCCCCACCTCCTTGCGCCATTGTCTGTAGAACTTCTTCAAGTTTGGATATCGAAATATCTTTCTTTGGTCAACCAGCTTGCGAGTCCAATATTCTTGCTCGTCCTTTGCTCCTTCGTCCACATTGGTGATTGGCAGGTACACTCTCATCTCCTCTGGCTCATCCCTGCGCCACCATATCCTGCGCTCAGCCACATATTCATCTTCTTCAGTCTCGTTCATTAACGACGAGTCGTAGTTGCCATTTTCAAGTTGATCTTGGACATCTAGCTCTCGTCTTTGTCTCTCCTCCTCGCTGTCATACATCTCGTCATCATCGTATAGTGGTGAGGAGGATGTTGTTGATGACGGTGTATCATCTTCAAACAATGATGTAGGCTCGAACTTTGACTTCTCAATCATATTGAGATCGATGTACCTGATGTGTTTGAAAAGTGACCATTGCGAAGGTGTGCCTCGCAGGATGTTGCCCAGTGTATCATGAGGCATGTATTCGAGCTCGTCTCCAGCTGACCCAATTGCCATCGTCACCAATGTGAACCAACGTCTATTTACCAATGCCAGATTCCACATCCATTGTTCGAAGCATAGATTACTATCTTCATTCATACATCCCTCTCTCTTTATGTATTCTACATCATTTAGAAGAAGAGATAAAATTGAACATTGTAATAATACTGGTAATGATACATTATCATCCATTGATTGGGTTAATATATATTTATATGAATGAATGAATGAAGAATGTACAAATGAATTAGTTTTTTTTAGTTTCCCTCATCAACTTGAAGCCTTTCCAATTGGAATTGCTCCAGTGTGGGGATAGACTTGGCAATGGCCAACATCTCGGCTGTAAGTCGTGGATAGTTATAAAGAGTGAGTGATCGAAGTCGTCCACCATTGATAGAACTTGCCACCAATCCTTTCAGTGTAGGTTCAATCTGCGACTTGTTTGAGAAATACAAGTACAATGACTCCAAAGTTGTGTTGCTCGCAAAGCAATTGTGGATTGATGTTGCCAACGCCTCCTTATCAACCTCTCCATCATCAATATCAGTGAAATTCATTATCCTCATCTTCTTTATTGTCGGTATATTACTTCCAATCAACCTATATACCTGACTGGCAAATCTTGTTGGAGCTATTGATTGATAGAGTATTTGGGTTAGTAAATGATTGATTGATCGATTGATTGATTGAATGAATGATCGTGGACTTACAATAATTAAATATTAACTCCAATGATTGAATGGTGGTGTTTGATCGGTTGACCAATCCATCTAGAAGTGTGCCAAGGTTGACTCCATTATTGATGGACAAGTGAGTGATGCTCTTGTTTGCGAGCAACGCTTTGAAGAATAATTGAACATATTGTCCACGATGATTAATCGATTCATCAGTCTTGGGGAAAATGATTTCCAAGAAAGTGAGCGTCTGGTTGGCGACTAGTGCATCCAAGAGTACCCTTCCATTTGATGATGAACCACGATCAGAATTGTCATTCTCTATATCACTGAATGTGGGCCAGAAGTGTTCAAGTGATCCGCTTATAGACAGACTGGTCAATGTAGGCGATTGGAACAGAATTCCAATAGCTTGGTCTTTGAGAGTGTGGCATTCACCGTTCACAGACGCATCCAATGTGATCAGTCGATGACTAATGCTGGCAATGCGGTTCCACAACTTGTCAAAATCTGGTTCGGCTTCATTGTCGCGGGTATGTATAAAGAGATATATCTTCAGATGTTGAAGATGCGGTAACCTTGTTAACCATTTGGAACCAAGGTCGTAGATTTCTCCATGGACCTCCACGCTGGTCAAGTTGGCAAAGTAGTAGGGAATCAATTCGATCATTCTCCTGCCACTATCATTACAATACTTCTTCTTGTTCTTGTAAGTTATCGATTGGATCTTGTTACTTGATAGATTAGAGGCGTCCCCAAGCACTCCTCCATTCCAACCTCCATTCTCCACTTTTTGTAGAACTTTTTAACATCTAGAAAGTAATACCCGAATCGGTGAAAATACCAATGATCACCTTGCTCCTCCGTAGGCTCCAGGTCCTTTTGCCACCATGATCTTCTCTCCGCCACATATTCATTCTCCTCAGACTCGTTGTTGTCCAAAGGTTCCTCTTCTACCTCATCTTCATCTTCATCATATTCTTCATCGGTATGCTCATCATCATCATCAATGGGCTCTTCAATTATCTCCAAACAATCTTTTTGATAGTATTCCAATTTGTTTAGATCGATATGTTTGATATGTTTGAATAGTGACCAATGAAGATTGTGTTCAAGTCCTTTCAATATACTTTGCAATGTATGTCTAGGCATTGATGATAAATGATGACCAATATAATCTATTCTCAATGTGACCATATCGAACCAATATCTGTTGACCAAAGCTAAGTTCCACATCCACTTATCGAAACAAATATATTCTACACCATTTAGATTCCTCTCACCATTCTTCTTTATATTACTCTTCATAAGTAATGTTATAATAAAACATTGTAATGTTCTTGGCAATACATTATTGTTATTATTATTATTATTATTTGTACATGTATCCATTATTATTTGTTTGAAAGAATGACAAAGAAACGAATGAAGCCAAAGAATTTTCAAAGGGAAGGGAGCCCTTTGACATTTCTTCAAGTTTCGTTGAGGCCAACAGACTTGACACACATCATTGCATCGCCGACCAAAAGTTCATTCATTCTTTCAATCATTCAATCAATCATATATATATAGATATTTAGATGTTGAAGAAACAATCACTAAAAGAGAAGCAAAGACGAAAGTCATACTATCTATCAACTTGGATCTTCCTCAAGACTCTATCAATCGTATTCTTTGTTGCCTTCTTCTCATCATAGTATGTTTGATCGTATGATTGATCTTATGATTTGAATGATAATCACTCACTTACTTCATATGTATGAATAGTATTCAAATCAATGGACTTGTAGGAGATGATGGTATACTACCGATAACAGCCATTGTTGGATACAAAGGTTGAGAATAATGTAGAGATCAATTCGATATGGATGTTGTTGATACATCCTACAAAGGGTTTGGGCATGCCAGTCAATACAATGTTACAATCGATATGTATACTTGGTTTGATCTCAAGCTCACTGTCCATCTTTACAATGTCACACTCAATCTATCTCGGCTTCACATGGTTCTTCTACTTCCTCATCGTTGACGTTGGTCAGATCTTCTATACATATCAAGTATGTTGTTATTGTTGCTGTCACGTGACAATGATTGATCACCTCTCGCTAACCATCAAACACGATGATCATCATCATAAAGTGGGATCACCTGTTGCTAGAATGTGCATTCCTTGCCATCTTCATATCACCATTTGGCTCAGAATATGATGAGAAGCCATCACAACCAATCAGATACCTCTTCAAGTATGTTGGACTCACTCGCTCGGTCACTCAATCACTCAATCCCATCTCACTCACACACCTTCAAACATAATCAGATGGCTTGTCTTTAGATTGATCTTTGGAAGTGGACTGGTTAAGCTTACACCAATATGGTCTTCATTACAAGCTATGAGCTATCATTACGAGACCCAATGTATACCCAATGTATTTGTATGTACATCATTGATCAGTCCCATTGGGGCTGGGGCTTGGGCTTGGGCTGAGGCAAAGCCCCACATCCAGGTCATCCAGACTAACCAACATCAATCAATCAATCACTCTAGAGTTATTACTTTCACCAACTTCCACAGATGTTCCACAAGGTACATTACATTGATTGATTGAATGATCGTCACGCTGGACACTCACTTACTCACAACATACCTCCACACATCCAACCATATTAGTTTGAAACAATGATGACACTGGTAGTGGAGATACTCATTCCTCCTTTGTTCTTTGCACCACGTACATTTAGGATTGGAGCATGCTTGGTTAATGTTGGACTGCAGCTGATGATCATACTCACTGGCAACTACAACTTTTTCAATTACCTAACGATTGCATTGTTGATATTACTGCTGGACGACTCGTTCCTCATTTCAATCATGCTACCCTTCCGCCAGAAGCTGCTGGAGCTCGAGTCGCTCAAGAACAGGATCTACCACTTCAAGCGACCCGACTTTGGCCTGTCGAACCTCAACTCCAAGAACCTGCTGGTGCCATTCGTGTTCATCCTGATCGGCACGTCGTCGCTGTTCTCAATGACGCGCTACCTGCAGCGCAGCAGTGTGCCCGTGCTGATACAGCGCGTCAACTCGGCCGTCAGCCTCTACCACCTGACGGCCGTGTACGGCCTGTTCTCGCACATGACCACTGAGCGCTTTGAAATCTCGATTGAGGGCAGCGACGATGGGCAGCTGTGGCAAGAGTACGAATTCTATTACAAACCTGGCAATCTGTCGAGGATGCCGCCGTTCATCTTCCCTGGCCACAAGCCGCGTCTGGACTGGCAGATGTGGTTCGCGGCACTCTCTGCCGACGCTCGTGGACAAGGCTGGATCGTCCACTTCATGGCCAAGCTGTTGGAGGGCTCGCACGAGGTGCTCAGTCTTATTGAATACTCGCCGTTTCCATCGGAGCAGCCGCCAAAGTACATCAGGGCGCAGCGTTATCTCTACCGATTCACTGATTGGCGAGCCAGTGGGCACAGCGTGGCGGACGATGCCAACAACGACAATTGGTGGGAGCGTCAATTCGTCGGCCAATACATTCGACCATTCTCATTGGCAGACTATCGTCATACCACCAGCAACAACAGCAACAAATAAAAGATGTATCATAAATGTCGCGATCGATTGACCAATCTGATCAAGTCAGTGAACTTCAATCACCCCCAGGCGCCACCACGCACTCATCTTGATCATCAACCCGATCGGGAAGACATACTTTCATTTAATTTCAATCAACTAATCAATCATTCAATCATATAATTACATTATTACAAAGGATGGATGGATCATCATCATCATTGAGACATATATTGTTAGGAACTATACAGGGACACATCTGGGTTGGAGTTGCCATCGCAACCTTGTTGGCTTTACATGGTCTGCGCAAGAAGTCGTTGAACATGTCAGGTGCGATCGCTGCTTGGTTCACAGGCTTGATCACATTCACAGCAGGTCACACCTTTGCCGCGATCCTCATCGCCTTCTACCTATCATCGTCTTATCTGACCAAATACAAAGCGTCCATCAAGAAGAAGCTTGAGGAAGATCACAAAGTTGGTAGGTGTCTGAGAATGAATGAATGAGTGTGTCTGAGATGGATGTGAATATTGACGCGACTACTCACTCATTCACAGGTGGCCAGAGGAACTATATACAGGTGTTCTCAAACAGTCTGGTGGGCACTGTACTGGCACTGGCGCATATGTTGGTGAGCAACAGTCGATGGAACACATATATTGACTCGAGATACCCTTTGGACGTGTTCTTGTTATGTGCATTTGTAGGACAGTATGCATGCTGCAATGGTGACACATGGGCTTCAGAATTGGGCATACTTAATAAGACACAGCCGATCTTGATCACAAAGCTTAGACGTGTGCCACCTGGTACTAACGGCGCAATCAGTCCCCTTGGCACATTCGCATCACTCATGGGTGGTCTCTTCATTGGAGTATGCTACTACGTACTCTCCATCCTATTCGCACCAGCCAACGTCACCGCTCACCAACCCCAATATCCAATCATACTCTTGGCGTCATTCTCTGGCATATGTGGATCGATGGTATGTTGTTGTTGGACCATGTTGAACAAGATGCAACTCTAACACCTCATTCATTCATTGTTTTAGATTGATTCACTACTTGGAGCTACTGTTCAATACTCTGGATGGGACATCAAGAATAACAAGGTCACAAACATCCAACCAAAGTCAAAGAATAATCTGATTGCACATCTTAGTGGAGCGGACATATTGGACAATCATCAAGTCAACTTCCTGTCATGTCTATCAATGTCCATCATCAGTGGCTGCATTGGATATTGTTTACTATGAAATTACAATATATCCAAAATACATGTACTCTTCATTCATTGATCATTTGACAAGTCTTGGACTTCTTGGATGTGTCATCACCAAAGGGTTGGTGATGAGGCAACATGTTGGACATCGACATCCTTAGTTAATGTGTTGTGTGTGTGTGTCGGGTGGACCCGAAACGTCAACAACCTTATGATGGAAATTAAACACACATAATTAAGGTGTGTGTGTCATGTGATTGATCATCTGATGAAAGTGTGTGTGTGTGTGTGTATCTTGAGATTGATCATCAGAGAGTGTCTATAATTAACTATCAATCATAGTTTTAAAAGACCACGACCTAACACTACCACTACCACTAGTTCGTTGGTAGGCTGTTGCCACCTCTACCTATACCTCAATGTTTTAAACACACATGATTGATGCAATCACATGATTGTTTCGTTAACAAACACTGGACACTAATCCATCCCATCAAACAAACATCGCCGTTGATGCCAATGGCGTGGTTGATCCACATCCATTCCAGTCTGTCAGTCAATCAATCAATACCCTCACTTAGTTCACATAAAGGAACTATTATTTAACTTTAAAGTTATAATTATTACCAAGTTTAACTGTTGTTGTATCATTATTATATCTGTATCAAATTTAAAATATATAATACATATAATCAATCAATCGATCAAACATGGACTTGAACCAAAGGTTCATATACATCAATGATGAGTTGGAGAACAGAGAGTTCAATTTCCCCAACAACAAGATACACATTCATACCTACTCGGTACTTCATTTCCTCAAGAGGTTCCTCTGGCACAACACATTTAGACTTGGATATATATATCTGTTGCTGATCACTATTCTCCAGGTATGTTTGAATATTCAATATATTGATTGATTGATTGAATGACCATACTAATATTAATGATTATTCTCCAGCTAATCCCATCACTTAGTACTATTGGTACTTTTACGACTTTGGGACCATTGTTGGTAATGGTTGTGGCAACATTTGTGTTGCAATTGTTGACTACTATTCAGCAACAGCGTCATTTGGATAGGGATGTGAATTTGAAGAAGGTGTCGATTCTGCGTGGTGCAGTCTTCAATGATGTTGCCTCCTACAAGTTGAAGCCTGGCGATGTTATAAAGGTGTCGAACAATGAATACATACCTGCAGATTTAATGTTGTTGGCCACTAGTGATATGGACAACGTGTGCATGGTCGAGCAGTACGAGACGGCCGATGGAGAAGTCAAGTTGTCGAGCAAGTCCGCACTAGAGTTCACCTCCACTCTTAAGGACCCAAGATCTCTAGCAGAACTCGATGCCAAGATATCATGTAGCGAGCCTGGTACCTTGCCATCAAACTTTAGAGGCCAGATGCTCCATGATCGTGTTACAGAGAACATAGGTTTCCAACACTTTGTTACTCGTGGCGCAAAGATCACCAACACCAAGTGGGTCTACGGCTGTGTCATCTACACTGGCCACCACTCGCTTGTGCCTGCCCTCGAGATTGAAGGCCTGTCCACCAACAAAAAGACCAAGCTCGGACGTGTGGAGCGCATGACCAACTACTTCTTGTTCTCGCTGTTGTCAATCTCTGTGCTGTTGGCCGCCATTTCGACCATCGTGTACCGCACCAAGATGGACTATGATACCTGGTACTTGGACCTATCCAGCATGACCGTCGCCACCATGTTCTTCACCTTTATCATCCTCTACAATGGTCTGATTGCCATCACACTCTATTTCACCATCGACATCATCAAGCTCATCAACATGACCTTTGTCAATGAGGATATTGCCGGCTCTCGTCAGTTCCCCAAGTCGTCGACACTGATTGATGAGTTGGGACAAGTGGCCTACTTGTTCTCAGACAAGACTGGAACACTTACACAGAACCAGATGGTGTTGAAGAAGTGTTCGATAGGAGGTACCGTGCATCTAGTTGACAATTTGGCTGCCCCTGGACATCAAATGGAGCCAATGAGCAACAATAATGGAGAGACCACAATGAAGTTGTTCCCAGTTGACGAGGCTTTGTACCAATCCAACCAGACTCGAATGGACTACTTCATGGCTATCATGACTTGCCACACCGTTTGCACTGAAGATGGCGACCAAGGAGAGGTGTTCTACAAGGGTTCCTCGATGGATGAGTTGGCTTTGCTCAAGGGTGCCCTGTCCAATGGCTACAAGTTGCACAAGCGTGTCAACAACTTCCTCTCTATCTCTATCCAGGGACAATCCTACGAGTTCCAGGTAGTAGAGATTATTGGTTTCACATCGTCCAGAAGAAGAATGTCCGTCATCGTTCGCAATCCAATCAACAACCAGGTGATGCTCTACATGAAAGGCGCTGATGAGGAGATCTTCCTGCGTCTGGCACCCAAGCAGCCATTCGCCGACAAGACCATCACCGACCTTGAGAACTTTGGCAAAGAGGGCCTTAGGACATTGTGTGTTGCTCAAAAGATACTAAAGGAAGAGACCGTTGTGCGATGGGTCAACGATTACCGTGCAGCCAAGTCCACTTCAAACGCCGATGCCATCCGTGCACTTGAGGCCGAGATGGAGAGCAATCTCACACTGTTGGGCGCCACAGCAGTTGATGATAAACTGCAAGAGGGAGTACCAGAGACCATCCACACTCTCCGCTCGAGTGGAATCAAGATGTGGGTGCTCACCGGAGACAAGTTGTTGACTGCCATGAACGTCGGTGCTAGCTGTCGTCTGATCGACGAATCAACCATGGAGATCCTTGTGCTGGCCGAGAACTCGGAGAATGAATGTGTCTCGATGTTGAACGAATACCTAGCAACCGCCACTGAGAAGAGGAACAAGAAGGACATTGCCCTGGTCTTCTCGGGCACCAACCTCGAGTACTTGCTGTCCAACCCTACCACCAAGTTGCAGTTCCTCAAGCTTGCAGAGAACTGTAATGTAGCCATTGGTTTCCGTCTTTCCCCCAACCAGAAGTCATCTGTGATCAACTTGGTCAAGAACAACATCCAGGATGTCACACTCGCAATTGGTGATGGTTCCAATGATATTGGAATGATTGACAATGCAGACATTGGTGTCGGTATCATTGGTCACGAGGGTATCCAAGCTGCACAGACTGCCGACTACTCTCTTTCTGAGTTCCGTTTGCTCGAGCGCCTACTACTGTTGCATGGCCGCAATGCATACCAACGTGTCACCTCGTTCATCTTGTACATCATGAACAAGTCGGCAACACTTGTCTTTACGCAGTTCTGGTACACCATCTACACACTGTCGTCTGGCTCGACGTTGTACGATCCAACAACCATCGTTCTGTACAGCTTCCTGTTCACACTGTTCCCAGCTATTGCTCTTGGAGTCTTTAACCGAGCTGTGGGCACTGGTAACACCAACACATTCCCAGAGCTCTACCAGGATGGACCGATGCTGGCGCACTTCAACTTCCGCATGTTCTTCTTCACCATCCTCTCGGCGTTGTACCAATCGCTGTGCATCTTCTTTGTGCCGGTGCTGAGCATGAATCGCGGAATCATCTATGGCGACGGTCACAACATTGACGAGTTCTACATGGGAGTTCTGGTATTCACCTGTCTGGTATTCACTGTCAACTTCAAGGTGGCACTGGAGACTCTAACATGGACATGGGTCAGCATTGTTGCATTCTTGGGATCACTTATACTATACTTTGGATGGACTCTAATTGCATGTTCCTTTGGAATTGGAGGTGATTGGTATAACATCGACCTTCTCTCATCATTATACTCAAGCGGATACTTCTATCTCAATGTCATTTTAGTTGTAATTGTAGCATTGTATCCAGAATATGTTATCAAATAGTAAGTTACCTATATTGTTAGTTTAGTTTGTTAGTTATACATATGTACTTACTCATTCATTCATTCATTCAATCAATCACAATAGTGTACACCGAAGTTATTATCCAAATATGAAGGATGTTGTACAAGAGATGGAGAGAAAGAAGAGGGATTAATTAAGTACACTCTCTTCTTTATAAATAATGTATATGTTTACCATCTATGTACATCAATACTATAAATAAACAAACTCAAATCACTTTATACTATTATGTATATGTTTCTCTCTATTTATCTCTTCATTTCATTAGTGCGGTTGAGCGAAGATTGAATGAAATCTGTGGGAGAGTTCATTTCAGAAGTGTGTTCTTTTGCCACTTTCGTTCGTTTTCCTTGTTTAGCTCTTTGGGGTCAAGTTGACTCCTTTATTCATTCATTCACTCTATCATTGAGACAGAAGTAATAATAATAAGATAATAACAAGATGGGAAAGAGTATTGCAATTGATGATATAGATCAATGGGTATTGGAATATAATGTTGAAAAGATAACATCGTTGCTTGATGCTGGTTATGATGATGTTGAGTTGGACGTAATCAAACTTGCACATAACATTGTCACTGGTAACCTGTGGCAATCAATACAGACATCACCATTCATAACTGCACTGTTCAACTATGACAAGTTGGAGAAAGACGATACAACTGCTGAAGGTATGTGTACCATTCATTCATTCAATCACTCAATCAATCTCATTCAAACAATCAAACATACAAACTAACCTTACTTACTTGCCACCCTCCAGACTACTTCTTCAATCTAAACCAAGCTATTGAGGATTTAGATGAGTCATCAGAGAATCAACTTGCACTTCTGTTGACAGGTATCACATTCTTGAACGTCTACATTCAAATCAACTGGACTGGACCAGGTCCAAAGGAGGTGCCTCAGTTCAATGTGAGTGAGCTACTCAATCAATCACTCAATCACGACAAACATACATACTAACTAACCAAGTTACACAATGAATGAATAGAATACACAAAGATATAAAGAGATTAAGAGCTTGTTGGAGGTCGATGGAGAGCCTATTTATACAAAGGTTGTTCATCCAGAGTTCTTGTACTTGGCTAGATTGTGCTTGGTGGACAACTATGCAAAGTTGGACAGTTGTCGCTCAAGTTGTTGGTGGAGTTGTCGCGCAATGATGTATCATCAACGCTCGCTACCCAACCCAACACCATCACTAAAGTCGGCAATGGCCGAGCGTTTCCAGATTGTAAACAGATTCTTTGTCGATGTCGACCCTGAGACTGACCGCGCGATCGATCTGGCGGCCAGCGCAGCGATCGAGAGCTCATTGACATACTTGCTATTCAAACAGAAGGCCAAGGTCGCCGAGACCCTGGAGCAGGCGACCAAGGTCTCTGGCCTGATCGCCACATTGACGGGCGCGCTCGGTCGTCGTACCCGTTTCCAAACCTTTGACACGGCTCAACTCGTGTTGGATGTGACAAAGTCAAGAGCAAGCGATGCTCCAGCGACCAAAGCAAATATCGACAGTGACAGCATGGACACTGAGGCCGATCCCGAGCCAGAACAAGACATGGATCACGAGGACTTCAAGTACAAGCGCGAGATTACCAACGATGACCCAACACTACTCTCGCGACCAAAGTTAAAGGATATGAAGCTGGCAACGACCAATCTGCGAATTGTCGACCAGGCAATCATACTGATGCAAGCCCTGCTCCTCAAGATGCAGAGTGGCGCCAGCGGTGCCAACGAGGAGATGTTCCCATATGTGCGCAAGACGTTGGAGTACTCCAACTCGTGGATCGTGCATTCGATGGGTCTGCTGATGAAGAGTCGTCTGGAGTCGACATCGTCCAAGACTGCTGACCGTGCTGCACTTCAGATCCAAGCCCTGGTTGAGCAATACGATGACGAGACTTCGCTGGCGGCCGACCGTCTGCGCTACATCTTCATTGTGGACTATCCCCCACGCTGGGATATGGAGCGCGAAGTTGGCGAGCGTCTTGTGTCCATCGGTGCGGCATCAAGTGCCTACGACATCYTTTGAGCGATTGGAGATGTGGATTGACGCCATCAAGTGTCTTCAGGCCATGGGCAGGAACGCGAGATTCAGAAGACCTGGTACGCAAGCGTCTGGAGATTGAGCCCACGCCCGAACTGTGGTGCATGCTTGGCGACGTCCTGGACGACCCACAACACTACATCACTGGCTGGGAGCTGTCGCGCAAGAGATACTCTCGTGCCCAGCGATCACTTGGACACTATTACATTCAGAGAGCCAAGTGGGCTGAAGCGATCGAGTGCTACGAGGTGGCCTTGTCCATCAACCCATTGTTCCCAAGCAGCTGGTTCTCATGCGGATGCGCTGCGATGCGTATCGAGAAGTGGGATGCGGCCACAAACGCTTTCAGTCGTTGCATTTCACTCGAGCCCGAGGAGGGTGAGGCCTACGGCAACCTGGCCGCCGTCTACATGATCCAGGGCAAGCTGGACAAGGCTCACTCGGCCATGCAGATCGGCCTGAAGCACAAGCGCGAGAACTGGAAGCTGTGGGAGAACTACCAACACGTATGCATGGCGTTGCGCGACTTCCAAAGTGTGATTCAGACGGTACTGCAGATCTTTGATCTGAACGACAAGAAGGTGGACATCAAGGTGCTGCAGGTGCTCGCGGACTTTGTCGTTAAAGACGACACGGACAAGTCTGGCATCAACGGTCGTCGCATTGAGAAGCCCGTCAGCGAGATGTTCGGCAAGATCACATCTAGATTGACCAACAATCCCGACGTCTGGAGGGTCTACTCAAGCTACCATCACAGTCTGGGAAACTTGGACAAGGCAATAGATTTGCAACAGCGTGCCTGTCGTGCCATCGAGGCCACTCAGGGCTGGGACACAGACAAGGAGTCGTTTGAGCGTGTCGTGTCATTCATCGCGACGCTCGTCAACCTGTACCTGGAACAGACACCAACCAACTCGACAAACATACATTCTGCCAAACTCAAAGTTAACAGCATCATCAAGAAGACTGAGCTCTCATTCAAAGAGCTGGACACATTCAAGAGCCTGTCGACACTTCTGGCCAACCTCGATGCCAAGCTAAGCAATCCAAATACAGTATCAGAAGCGATGCAGGAGGTGCCGTCATCATAATGACTCACTCACTCAATAATTGATCATTTATTGTTGTCTTTGTTTGATTTGTTCTAGCCTGGATGAACAGGCACTGCAAACATGGGATGGCTGTTCACTGGTATGACGCCAGCAGCGTGGACACTTGTGGCACGAGCTCTTCTCGACAACCACCCTCATCTTGCCTATCTCGGCACCGTTTGGAGTGGCAGTGATTACGCTGTGTGTATAATCTGGGTCCACCTGTCTGTAGATGTCACTTGGATGAGCCTTGCTCTGAGCCTGAGACTCGTTGTCGGTGGCACGCACGACAGTCACCTTGGAAACACAGAAGATGTCGTCGAGCTGGCCTTCATTCGACTGGATCAACTCGTACAGAGGGCTGGTCAGGGTGAGGGTGATGGTTGTTTCGTCGGGTCTACCAATATGTCCGGCGTCTCTCACTTGTTGTAGCATGCGATTGACTGAATCACGCACGGCAATTATCTGTGTCCACTTGTCGTGCAGCTCAGGGTTGTTCCATTCGGGTTGCGTCCTTGTCCAGCCCTGTGTAAAGACAGACTCGGTCGGTTGACGATACTTGTACTGATGGTTGTAGATGTCCTCACAAGTGTGCACAGCTATGGGTGCAATGATCTTGTTGACAACGTCCAACATTTCGAAAAGGACTGTTTGAGAGCTGCGTCTGTGTATGTTGTCTGGCGCCTCGACATATAGTCTTTGTTTGATGATGTCAAAGTAGAATGCCGATGTCTCATTGCAGAAGTTGAGCAAGTCCTGAGTCACCTTCTGGAAGTGGAACTGATCATAATTGCGCGTGGCAGACTCACTCAACGCGTATACCTTGTGCAGAGCATACTTATCGAGCTACATTGGTTGATTGAGTGTGAGTGATTGGAATCATTCCAGACTGGTGATCAATCATCATACATACCTCGGATAGTTGCGAGTATGGAACAGAGTGTTGATCTGGGTTGAAGTCAAAGTTGGCTCCAAGCATGTATCGGACTGTGTTCCTGATCTTCTTGACATTGTCCAATATCTTTGCCAAGATTGATGGGCCGACTGAGATATCCTTTGAGTAATCAGATGATGCCACCCACATCCTCATCATATCCACTCCATAAGCAGGGTTCTCAACTTTGTTCTAAATGATCCAAAAATAATTAATTGAAGAGATCCAAGTGTTTCCAGGATGAATGATTGATATTTGAGTGATCGGACGTTAGTTTGATTAATCGAGTTGCGTAGGTATCACTCCCAAACTTACCTGACCTCCTTGTACGATCAACTTGGGCGATACTGTGTTGCCAAGGGACTTGGACTGCTTGAAACCCTTCTCGTCCAGGAGGAATCCGTGTGTCACGACGTTCTTGTATGGTGCCATTCCTCTTGTGCAGACTGATGTCAAAAGAGAGGATTGGAACCATCCACGGTGTTGATCACTTCCCTCCAGGTAGATGTCTGCGCTGTCCTCCAAGGACATGACTCCACGAGACACCAACACACCACGCCACGACGTACCTGAGTCGAACCAGACATCCATCGTGTCCGTACCCTTGATGTACTTGTCGGCCTGGTTGCGCATCTCTGCCGGCAGCAACTGTGCCGTTTCCATGTTGAACCAGCAGTCTGAGCCATGCTTCTGGAACAGCTGGAGAATGTGATTGAAAGTGTTGTCGTTGAGCAATGCCTCGCCCGTCTCCTTGTCGTAGAACACGGGGATGGGCACGCCCCAGTAGCGCTGACGAGAGATGCACCAGTCTGTGCGACGGCCCACCATGCTTGACAGGCGATTGGTGCCAGTGGGTGGTACAAAGTTGACGGCCTTGACACAGTCGACTGCTGTTGACTGGACGTTGCTCAGGTCGACGAACCATTGTTTGGTCGTCCTGATGATGATGGGCTTCTTTGTGCGCCAGTCATAGGGATACTTGTGTGTGTATGCTTCTTGGAAGACCAGCGCACCAATCTTCTTGAGCTCCTCGATGGACGCGTCATTGCCCGCGCCGAGTACCTCCATTCCCGCAAGCGTGGTGCCTACGTCACTTGTGAACTTGCCAAGATCGTCAACGGGCGACAACACGGGAATGTTGTGCTTCTGGCAGATGGCAAAGTCGTCCAGTCCGTGACCGGGTGCAGTGTGCACGAGTCCCGTTCCCGAGCCAGGTACGACGTGCTCGCCAACCAGAACGGGCGAGTCACGTGGGTACATTGGATGTTGGGCGATGGTGCCGACCAGGTCGGTGCCCTTGATGCTGCCCAACACTGGCAGCGCCAGCTTGAAGTTCTCGCGCAGGGTAGCCAGACGCTCAGCCGACACAATATAGCGTTCATTGTTATCCGCTTCGACCACGACGTACTCGAGTTCGCCGCTCACACAGATGGCCTGGTTGGCGGGGATGGTCCATGGGGTGGTCGTCCAAATGATTGCGTACAGCTTGCCATTGTCCAATCCTGCAAGTGATGTTTTGGCGTTGCCATGGCGAGCCACCTTGAACTTGACAAAGATGGACTTGCTCACGTGATTGTCATTGTACTCGAGCTCGGCCTCGGCCAGCGCCGTCTTTGAAGAGGGCGACCAGTATACGGGCTTGATGCCGCGGTATACGTAGCCCTTCTGGTACATCTCGTAGAAGCTCTCGAGTTGGGCCGACTCGTAGCCTGGTTCCATCGTGCGGTAGTGATTCTCCCAGTCGCCAATCACACCCCATGACTTAAACGACTCCAACTGCTTCTTGATCTCCTTCTTTGCAAAGTCCGTCGCGACCTGTCTCACCTCGCTAGGCTTGAGCGCGCTCCTATCCTTCTTGAACGATTCGAATGCCTTCATCTCAATAGGCAGTCCATGGCAGTCCCATCCAGGGATGTAACTAGTTGTGAGTGTGAGAGTGAGTGTGAGGCCGAGGCTTGAGATTGGGCTAGGTCTGGGATCATCCCACCAACTTACTTGACCTTATGTCCACGAAGTAGCTTGTAACGATTGATTATGTCTTTGAGGATCTTGTTGAGTGCGTGACCGAGGTGAAGGTCACCATTGGCGTAGGGTGGTCCATCGTGAAAGATCCATGGCGTGCCCTTGTTGTTGGCCTCCTGCCATTTGTACAGTTGATAGACATCCTTCAGAAGTGTTGGCTCGCGTATTGCTGCATTAGCCTTCATTGAGAATGATGTCTTTGGTAGATTGAGTGTGTTTGCATATGAATGATTCTCGTCGCCTCCTGTCGTCTTTGTCGTCGTCGTCGAATATGATCTATGATTGATGATTGAGTTGCTGCAACGCAACAGCCTGTTGCCAATGCTGCCACTGATACTGCTGCCACTGCGGCACAGTGATGTGGCTGTGTACTGCAACAGTGAGTTCATATTGTATTGAAGTAATACAATGAATGTAAGTAAGTACTTTGAAGACGAATGATTGATTGAGTGATCAAAAGTGTGTGTGGCGGCTCACACCCAACACGAGGACCTTCGCCATTTTGGGACATCAAACAAGTCATGCGTGATTGAGTGGCATTGAAGTACAATCAAAATATCTTTATCCCATCTTAACTAATGTCGCTCTCCCATGGGTCCTCCCATCCTCGATCGCCACATGTGCGTCTAAACTGTTGCGTTTCAAACAATATGGTTTATATTACAAGTTTAGATCAATCAGACTGACTCGTCTAGATGTCATTCTGATCAATGGATATGAGGAATGCTGATGGGTTCTGTGATCGCTGTTGCTGTGACTGAGGTGCCACTTGGACAGGGACGGGTACAGGTGCCACCTGGATTGGTTGGAAGCTGACATCATTGCGTAGTAGTGGAGTATTTTGATTATACTGTTGTTGTTGCTGTTGTTGGACATAAAGATTGTACTGTTGTTGCATCTGTTGTTGTTGTTGTTGCTCTTGCAATCTATCTTGTACTTGTTGTGGTACGTAAGGACGAGGTACACCATACTCGAACGATGGTCTATTTGCTTGTTGCTGTTGATATGACAATGGATTGTTGTTCTGTTCAATGGTGGCCACATACTGCAATGGCATCACCGGTTGATCAGGTATAGTTATCTTCAACTAAATGAATGGGGAGATGGAGTGTGAGAGAGTCATCGATTGATTGATTGAATGAATGAATGATCACAACATACTCTGAATCTAAACTTCTTGCCAGAGCATGAGAAGTACTTGGCATGAATATCGAATGAGATACCCTTGTTGTGATATTGACAGGTGTACTTCATTGCGGTATCCCGCATCTTTGCAGTCATCCTGGTGGAGCGTGCAAACATTCCAATGATCAAGAGGAATGAGTTGGCCATGAGTATACCAGCCATGATAAACACCAATGTAGTATTCTGTTTAGATACACCGACGAACATTGCAACCAGTAGTCCAAAGTCCATCATTAGAATGATTGCTACTAATGCCATTGGCCTTGTATAATTGCGATTGAAATCCTTTATCACACGTTCGTACTCCTCAATTGTGAAGTATCCCCATAGTGCATCAGGAAGAGTTGTAGAGAATCCATTGAATCCTCCATTACAAGCATATTCATTAGGTACCTTTACTGTGCTTGGCATCTTATATCTCTTACTTATATATAAATATATATTATATATACATGTAATATATGTTATAACAATGAATAAGTGATTGATTGAATTGAAGAATGAATGGATTTGGGAAAGTTCTAAGTCGAAAGAGACTTGTGTCTTTTCAAAGTTTGTCGAAAGACCCAAGGGTGGGTATCACGTTTTGTAAATATCTGAATCAATCTTGAACATTCAAGAGATACAATTAACAATCAATTAAAGAGATAATTCAACAAACATGGTATGATAGTACTTATTATCTTAATTCCTTGTATATCCCATCAGTGTAAACTCTAAATCCACCAAATGTTACCCAAAGACTCATTCCCAAATGACCCTATTGACACATGTTTAATAATATTATTATGATTCCGAACCCTCGCGAATGATGTTTATTCATTGATTGATTGATCAATCGCGGTAAGCTAATTAGTAGTGAGCTGGTTGTTGTGGTTGTAGTTGAATGAATGAGGTTGACTAACTAAGCTTCAACTCTTGAAGCCACAAGCATGCATCTTCCATCAACTGTGGTGTACTTGATGCCGCTCGTGTAGACGTAGGATGTCTTGACATGTTTGGACTGCTGACGGGCCTTGATGATGGCCAGCACACCCTCGCCTCCAATCCTATTCTTTGACAAGTCGATCTTGACACGCGACTTGTTCTGCGCGCCAAACACCTTTGTGATCTCAATCGCACCTTGATTGCCGATCTGATTGTTTGAGAGATTGATCACTCCGATGGTCTTGCTTGGCTCCAATGACTTGGCGATGGCCAGTGCACCCGTGGGACCGATGTGGTTGTGCGACAGATCGATTGTGGACAGGGTCTTGTTGACGGCCAGTCCGTCGGCCAGCTCCTCGGCCGCCGCATCATCCATGGCACTGCCATTTAGACTGAGATGTTTGAGCGAGGTTGACCGCGCCACGCCCTCGCCAATGATCCTCGCGCGAGCACTGTCGATCTCTGAGTTGGACAAGTCGACGTTGGTGATGGTCGTGCTGTTGACCATCAGGTTGGTGATTGATTGAAGCGCACTGTCTAGTACCCATGGCTTGTAGGGCATGAGTAGGTGTTGCATGTGTTGTGGTACAAGTTGGATATCGGTCACTGAGAATATCGCAAATACACGCCATTGTTTACAGACTGTACTCAATGTGATGTAGTCCTTTGATGGCAGACGTCCTTGGAAACAATGATAGAACACCTTGAGCACCACCATCACTGGCAGATCCTTTATGTCCAATGGTTTGGCTTCAGCCTGTTCCATAGCCTCGTCCACAAAGTCGCTCTTTGAATTCTTGGCTCCCATTTATTATTATTATTAAATGTTTTCCAAGACTTCCCCTCTTTGGAATTATTAATATTATAATAATTATGATAGATATATAATAATTTGTTTGATTGATTGATTGAATCACACAACTACAACATCAAGATCAACTTCCATCAACTTCCATCATGTTTCAATCATGTAGTATGTCACTTGACTGTTTTGTGATTGATCACAATCAAAGTCACCAACAAACACAACATAATAGGATCAACAACAATAATAACAATTACCTACTTGTGTGTGTGTTACTACCACCTCCACTCACTACCTCACTCACTCACTTCATTGACAATATATAAGTGATATATCTCATACACTCACTCTTTAAAGTAGCAGTGCACTGAAGGTGGCAGTATGTGTTTGATGGGTGATTGAATGTGTGAGTGGGTGACTGATCAAACAAAGTTAGTGCGAATCAAATGTTCATAAATGGTATGGACTTGTTGTAATATGACAATATTGTCATTTAAATATATATACATTTATTACTATACATGTAATATGTTTGATTGATGGTTGATTGATTGATTGTGGTACATTTATGTGTGTGATCCACATTGACAACCAGATCATGATGGTCCATCTTTGTGTGAATTGTTTGAAAGGGGAGGGTAGGAGTCGACTCTTGTCTTGAATCATTAGAATATAATATTGATTGATTGATAATATTTAATAAATATATATATTACTGGATAGAAATATTGACCATGCCAGTTCATATTTCTCGAGAGCGGTCCTCATTCTAGACTCCCTCTTTATCTTCCTTTCATTATTAACATTATCATTCTTAATTATTAATTGTGTTTCCGACATTATTATTATTATATAAATATTATATTATTTGTTTATATTGTTTGGATTGATTGATTGAATGATAAAAAACTACTACTTAAGTAGGTCATTGTTAAGTGGATCATATCCATACACTCAAACGATCAATACTCAATCATGCTCACCAATAGGTTTATCTTTGAATTGTTTCTTACCCTTCAAGGTTCAAAAGACACCTCTCCTTGCATTACCTCATTGTAGTTGCCTACCTTCCTACCTACCAACCTTAATACCTCATTGGTACCCACTACTACTTACTACATTAAATGATCAATCACCATCACATACTTGTGTTTGGTTGGATTGATCCACACAACCCACAGGTCGATCAACATTCTCATCTCACTGGTCCATTGGGGCATGGGGGTAATATAATAATAATAATAACCTAGGTTGATTGATTGAGTTAGTGTGTGACCCCAACCTTGCCTCTTTGCCTCCTTCTCCCACTTGCAGTTTGAGTACTGTGATCACTTTTGTGTTGATGATTGTGTGTGTTTGAGATAAAGTCTTTGAAACTGATCATGTAAGACGAATGAATCCACCCCCACTGTTTGTAAGTTTATCCGATTGATCGTCCTAATTCTTGATTGACGGATGTAATATATACATTTTGGAACTAATTTATTCATCATTGTTGGAAGAAGATATTGAATGTTGATTGGAGCTGGAGACTGGAGTTGTGTCCATGTCCTCGTGTCCAAGTCAGCCACAGCCTATCGATTGTGTTTGTTTATGTGTGTGGCCGATGATGTTTGATTGATTGGAGTATGATATGTGTACGTGAGCGAGTGATTGAGTGAACTGATCCATTGATTACTTCTTCAGTCTGATCGAGGCAGCCTCAGCAGACTTGACAATGTTGATGATTGCCGAGGACAGGCCACGAGCACAGGTGACCAGCTGCTCCTCAGAGGTGGAGGCGTCGTCAGAGGCAGCCTTGACAGCGCATAGGATCTTGAGTTGGGTGGAGAAGTTGGAGCCACAGTCCAGTTGGGTGAGGACGGCCTGCTTCAAACGTGGGTCTGTGCAGTTGTCGGCGATCTGGCGAGCGTTCATGTTGACGGCCTTGATGGCGTCGGCGATGCTACGAGCAGCGCTGATCATGCCCTTGATGTCACCCTTGGCGGCGTACGATGACAACAGAGCCATCTGTGCGGCAATGTCATCACCGAACGACACGAGCTTGCCCAGTGGGGTGTCGTCACGCTTCTTCTTCTCGAGTGCGTTGGCGACCTCCTCGGCGGCGACGTAGACGGCCTTGTTGACGGGTCCCTCGATCTTGAACTTGGAGGGTGCTGGCTTGACCTCGACTGGCTTGGGTGGCTGGGTGACCTTGGCCATGGACATCTCGCGGTTGAGACGCTGCATCTTGAGCTCCTCACCGGTTGGCTGTGTGGCGATCGCCAGGTTGGTGCTGGCGTCCTTGACCTGGCGAACGAGGTCCTCGAGACGCTGGCGGGCGGCGCGGTCGTTGGGATTGGCCAAGACGTCCTTGATGGCCTCGAGCAGCTGTGGAGTAAGCTTCTTGAGCTGGTTGACGGCGTCGAGGATCTGCTGGCGGTGGTGTGGGTCCTTGATGGAGTTGGCGTAAGCCTCGGCCTCCTCGATCTGCTTCTTGATGTCTGCTGCGATGTCCTTGGCGTGCTGCACGCCCTTGTACTGCATGTCCGGGCCACCGGCGTTGATGGTGTTGAGCAGCGAGTCGAGGTCGTTGTGCAGCTTGTTGTTGAGAGCAGCCACAACCTCGTATGGCTGAGAGATGTCGGCGATGGCACCCTTGGCCTCCTTGATGAGCTGACCCAGCTGGCGCTTAGCCTCCTCGTCGCGTGGGTTGCGGATGCAGCGCTGTGCAGTGTCGAGGATCTTTGGCTTGAGGGCAATGAGCTTCTCGATCGACTTTTGGACCTGGTAGCGCAGTGATGGGTCCTGGATGGTGTCGAGCAGGGCGGTGGCCAGCTCGATGTGGCGGTCGATGGCAGCGCCAAGGTTGCTGGCGATGGTCTCTGCGCGCTTGACGTCACCCTTGTGGATGGCATCCTCGAGGGTCTCAAACTCGCGAGCCAACGATGCGCCGTGAGCGGCGACGATCTCGGATGGAGTCGAGATGACTGATGTGGCCAGGTTCTCCGAGGCCTTTTGCGTGGCGTAGATGAGGTTGTCGAGGTGCTGGCGAGCCTTGAGGTCGTTGGGGTTCTCCAACACTGGCTTCATGGCGGCGATCAGCTGTGGAGTGAGCTTCTTGAGCTCCTCGATGTTCTTGAGGATCATGCGCTTCTTGATTGGGTCCTCGCAGCGATTGGCGACGATCTGTGCGTTGGAGATCTGGTTGTTTGCGTTGTTGACGATCTCGCGTGCGGCGGCTGGGCCTTGGCCAGTCTCCATGCGACGTGGCAGCGCATGCAGGTTGCTGATGAGCTGGGCCGACTGTGCGGTGACCTCGTCCTCAGCCATTGTGCGCACTGGCTTCCACTTGAAGGCCAAGTCGACAAACTTGGTGTTGGCGGCAAAGATCAGCTTGATCGTTTCGATCATGTCGTCGATGGCACCGAGCAGGCGGTGGCTGAGCTCGCCACGGCGCTGGCGTGCGCCCTGGTCGCTGGGGTTGGAGCAGACAGAGCGGGCAGCCTGCTGATGCTGCTGGCTGACGGTGCTGACCACGCTGGCCAGGTCCTCAAGACGCTGGCGGAACTCGGCGTTGTGCGAGCCCTCTGAGCGACGCTGCGAGCGACGCACCAACTCGTCCTCGAGCGAGATGACGTCGTTGATCATCACGTTGAGCTGGTTGACGTTCTCAATCTCGTCAATGCGGCGCACACCCTCGGCGGCCTTCTTGGCAATGTTGACCAGGGTCTTGATGTTGGACTGCTCCTCAATGAGCACCAGCAACACGACCTGCTGCAGGATCAGCTTGGCAGCCTTGATGGCGTCCTTCTGTGGTGCACGGTTCCATGGGTCGTCACGAGCGCGCACTGCATGTCTAAACAGCTCATTAGCTGCGCCTCTCAATGAATTATTCGTGTCGCTCAGCTGTGGTCTGAATTCATCATCAATCGATGCCGATGTCTCATCAGCTGCCTCACACATTCCAAACACTGCCTGTTGGATTAGTTCCACACCTGGTACCATGTCCTATTATTATTATATTTTTTGATCATCATTCATTATGTGTGTGAGTGGGTTAGTGATCAATCAATCAAAATAGTGTGTGAACGATCACACTTTGGCACAAGCAACATTGATCAATTAATGTGTGTGACAGAGCGAAGTTCATCACTTTGATGATATATGAGACATACGCCAAACAATGTGTTCTTCTCCTCAGAGTCTGTGATGGCAACAACAAGCGATGACACTGCATCGGCAATCATTTCTAGTACTTCATCCATGATTCTGTGTGTTTGTTATCTGTAATATAATATTATAATATAAATAAAGTATGCGTTGGATATATATTTGGATTGATTGATTGAGACTGGATTGTTGAGAGATCGATTGGTCTGTCTTGTCCTAGTTTGATTGAGAGATACTATTGATACAATTAAAAGGGGTTGTTCCTGTTAACACCTGTTATTCTGTCTAAATAAAATAAATAAATAAATAAATAATATAATAGTTATACAGATTATAAGATTGAGATATATGTTATACAGTTGTTCTGAATGAATGGAATGAATGAATGAATGAAAGGGTCTTGAAAAAGGAACAGGAGGAGGAGGTAGCAAGACAGGGGTGTCACGATGGATGACAGTTGGAGGGAGGGAGGCAAGGCAGGGACCACCACAGTTAGCCAATGTTACCAACAAAGTCAAGTCATTCAATGATGGATGAATGTTGGATTAATTGTTGGATGGCCTACCCCCTATGTGTGACTTCACCTACTTCTAGTCCTACCACACAGGACCAAACTAAGTTGCCTAATATCTTATTTTTGGATGTTTGGGGGTTTCTTTGCGCGCCCCAACCATTGGACTTGATTTGACAAACAAAAACATCAAAAAAATGATTATAAAATTGGACAAACCCATTCTTTTTGGCAACTAGGCCATACCAACTATCAAACGGCTTATCCCATTCATTTAATTTAATTTATTAGAACAAAATAATCGTGTTGTAAGAAGTGTGATTGATGGATGTCTTTGTTTGTCTATGCATAGGGGTGAGGTGAGTGTTGGTGCCTGTGTCTGGTGGTGGCTTGGGGCGTGGACTCGGTACCGACACCAACAAAGATATTATCTCTTTTAAGTCATAACTCTTTATCCAAGTGTCTGTCTTGTCCAAACATCATCAGTATTGTCGTGTCAATCAATCAATCAATCATGGTAATGAGATCTTTGCTTGTGTTAATATAACAAGGTAATGATAATGAATGATGAACAAAAGTGATCGACTGGCTGATTGATTGATTGGTTGGGTTCGAGTATGACGTTCTGGAACCAACTAAACAACTAGTCACTACTTCGAGTACACAAGGAGGAAGAATAATAGTATTAGAGGTCGCAATATTTATGACTTTTGATCAGCTGATATCAATTGATCACGTGACTGATCATATGACCGATCAGCTGACATCAGTAAAGTCATATGACTTGTCAACATCTTAAAGAAAGATGCAAGAGGTGTGTATCTGTATCATATCCAGATAGATATTTGTTACATGTTTGTTCGCGAATGATCGAATGAACATTTCGAATGCGTTCCAGCCACCTTGGAAATCCTAAGATTGTTAGTTTTGGACAACTTCATCATCAATTAAAAGGGAAGAATGATCGATCAACCATTCAATCAATCATATACATCATAACATAATATAATATAACATAAACAAACATACCATGGTATTAATACTTACTGAAGCTGATGTTGAACTGTTAGCCAACAAGACTGATTGGTTGGTGGGCATTGATGTGAATGAAGCTGTGTTTAGGGAGGAGTCACTGCAACATACATTATGCCCACAGCGTCAGATCATCGATACGATGAATGAAGCTGCCACAGAGAAGACTATGACAACTTACTTCAAGTACGCCTCGGTCAAGGGTCTGGGCATCGGCACCAAGGTCGTCAGTGTGGTGCCCGGTAACGCGCGTCTCAACAAGCCCACCGTACCCGCCACCGTACTGCTGATCGACCCAGTGGACGGATCATCTCTGGCCCTAATCGGTGGCACCTACCTCACTGGATACCGCACGGCAGCCGGCAGTGCTGTGGCCGCTCGCTACCTGGCACCTAAAGACAGCTCTGTGCTCTCTGTGTTTGGCGCGGGTCTCCAGGCCCGATGCCACATCGAGGCCTTGCTGGCCGTCATGAAGGGCATCACCGTGATCAACATACACAACAGGACTGTGGCCACTGCCGTTGCATTGGTGGACTCCCTCAGGTTAAAGTATAGCAACGTTCGATTCGTTGTTGTGTCCGCGGAGGAGGCCGTGTCCTCAATTGTCAGCGAGTCGGACATCATCGTTGCCGCTACCAACTCATCGAAACCTCTCTTTGATGGTCGATGGGTCAAGCCAAACTCAATGGTCATTGCCGTGGGCAGCAGTAGACCAGACTCACGCGAGCTTGACAGCGCAACTGTATGTTCATCGACGGCCACCATCATTGTGGATGACCCTGGCTCATGTCTTGTGTCGGGCGACATCCACTCGCCACTCCAAGAAGGTGTCATCACGCAGGGTGACCTCGTGCGACTGAGCAGCGTCGTTGCAGCCAAAGGACTGCCTGCTGGCACTACCAAGAAGTCCATCATTGTGTACAAATCTGTAAGTATCTCATGTATCGATCGCGAGATGGTCTGTATATCTCACTAAAATCAATCCATGCACATCATCCATCACAGGCTGGTACCGCCATCCAAGACATCGGTACTGGTAAGATGTTCTATGATCTGGCAATAAAGTCCAATACGGGCGTCAAGGTTGACCTTTGATTGATTGATTGAATGATTGATAGGAGTTGTTTAATTGGAAGCACGGGGAACGACAAAGTCTGAGACGATGGGAGGTCCGACACGCACGCCGTTCAGGATGTTCTTGAACTCCTGGTGAGTGGCATGAGCGTCGTAGACAGGGAGATCAGCTGGGTCGCGGAGCAATACTCTGAAACCATAGTTGTAGCCTTTTGATGTGTTAGTTAGGTGTCATGATTGAATGATATGAGGAGACTTACCTCCGTTTCTATCTTTGTTAAGGTTCTTGCCAAAGTTGATGACCAAGACGCCTGGGATGGAGTTCTTCATCTTCTCGATCTGATCGAGCAATGATTGATGCTCCTGTTGGTTCATGTCCTCGCGGAGGTTCATAAAGAGAATGTGTTCAAGTGAGTTGGACATCTTCCTATTACTGCTAAAGTATCTTATATTATTAAAGTTATAATGATGATTGTTTAGTTTTAGTTTAGTTAATAAAGATGGTATACCTCTGGCGACTGTATTCATCTATCTATCTCAAGTGTATAAGAACAAACTAATTATCAAGTATCAATCAATGAATGATTGAAGGTTGGTCATCTCGGAGTAACTTCGAAGTGTGCTTGAACATTCAATTTATGGGACAAGCTGGTGCATTTGAACTTCACTCGCGCTCACGCACTAACTTCATTCTGGCCTTGTTATCTCTATCTCTATCTCTATCTCTTGGACTGCCTCATGATGGCAATACTCTTGTGTATTCTTTATAAAAGTATTGCTTGTCGATTGCTAGTTGGTAGTGAGTGGACTTGGACGACGACACAATGGTTGCTAGGATGTCATCGCTGATGCGTAGCACTCGGATCGATTGGTTGGTCTCCAGGTATGATAGGATATTCGACCCGAATCTTTTGTTTGTAGGTCCATTGATCTCTAGTCGCTCAATCGATTGGTTGTGAGATAGACTGCCAAACAGCTTGGTGCAGCACTTGGCATTGAGCTCCTCGCAGTGCTCCAGAACAAACTCTTTGATCGTCGTGCTGTTGGCCAGCCAGTCGAGCGACTGTCCAATATCCAGGCATGTCTCAGTCTCAATATGCAGTTTGACCAGTGCCCGACAGTACTTGGTTGGGTCATGCGCAAGCGATGATGGATACATAGTGTTGAGCAACAGATGTTTGAGTGTTGTGTTGACGAAGGGGATGTCGCTTGATGAAGGGACGCAGGCAGACGACGACGATGATGATGATGGGAATGGCGTCGTCCAGAGCTCCCTCTCTGCATCCGTGATCTGGTCGTCATTGTATCGATACAGACTGCCCATCGACAGGTGTCGCAGTGCCGGCTTGGTCAACAGGTGTTCCATAACGAATTGTTCGTTGAGAGGTGTGCCCATGACGAGCGATGTGATCGTTTGGTTGTCAATGAGATACTCCAAGAATGAGCGATAGTTGTCGGCGAACAATACTGGCATCTCGCTGCATGTGATCTGGTCCTGGATGACCAGCTCGCGTAGGTTCAGACAGCCGCGCAAGAAGACAACCAGTGAGTCGCGATGCGGGAAGTCAAACAGACTGCATTGGAATGTGAACGAGGTAAGCGCGGGCAGATGCAGGCTAGTGAACAGCGGGTCGATACTGGGCGCGTAGCGAACTGATAGCGAGCGCAGACAGCGGCCCATGGCATTGATCTCGCCAATGTGTGTGAGTGCGACGGTGTCGAGAGGCGGCAGCGCGAGAACGTCGACGTTTGTTAACGACGTGACAAAGCCGAGTAGCTCGGCAGGCAGACTGGGCGTGTTGACGAATGACACGCTCGTGATATGCTCGTTGATGATCGGTATAAGTTTGTCGAGCGACCATCTCATTAGACTGTTGTTGAGCGACATCCTCAGATGTAGATGCTTGATGGTGCCGCGCGCCAACAAGTCGCGCAGCACTTCGGGGCAATGTATGGGACAGTCCATCAGTTGGTACTTGACATTGACAGTTAGTCGCATGCTGTATGAGAGTAGGCATCGACTGTTATTGGTGTTTATGATGTGAGTAGCGTCCTCCTTGAAGTGTGTTGGGTCGAACCAGAAGTCGCCGTCATCGCTGTCTCGCTCGATCATTCTGGCCACACAGTTGAACCAGTGATTGGACACAAGACCCAGTGCCAGTCTCCACTTGAACGAGCAATACTGATCGCCATAAGCGAATTGTACTATTCTTTGTTGCACGTATATTGGTAACATCACCAAATCAATCAACACAAACAGATAAAGTTGAAAGTTGCAAAAATGGTAAGTGTGTGAGGCTGGGGCTTGGGCCTTGAGGCTTTATGATTGATCGTGTGGTGGAGTATGGTTGGTGGACTAGGAAGCCTCTCTCCATAGCCATCCTCTGCACTTAGATGATCCACACATGCATAGGATATCATTCCTTCCTTTCTTCTTCCTGCCTTTCTTCTTGGCGCCAGCATCGTTTGGTATCTGATATTGGTAGTCGATGGAGAGCTCCTCGCCCTTCATTATCGGTCTATTGCTAAAGAACATGATCTTGACGAACCTTCTATCGCTGGAGTCAATCATTGTCTAATGATTGATTGAGTGTGAGTAAGTGGATGATGACTGTGATCAATCAAACTACTTACAACAGTTGATAGGTTTGGATCACATGAATGATTGATGAACCTGGATTCGTTGCCGTGCTCGGTGGCGTCAATGGTGTGCATCGCGTCGGGTAGGTCAAAGAGGTAGGACAGTCCACGACTGTCATAGTCTTGTCCACGTTCATTGGCGAGATCAGTGGTGATGATCTCGCCAGTGTACTCGGTGACGAATGTCTTTTCTGGAATGTCCACACATGAGCGCACGCCCCAGCCCTTGGTGCTGGTCTTGTACAGCTCCAAGAAGTACTGCTGTCCCCTCTCCACGACCTTGTTGTGACAGGTGGCTGCGCAGGCGCACTTGTCATTGCACTCTTCCAGCGGCTCGGCGCCAAATGTGATCAGTTGGCCATTTTCGGTGTAGTAGGGGCCGCCGTTCTCGGCCAGACACGAACACTTGCCAATGTTCTCTGGCGCGTGGCAGTCGCCAATGCACTCGCAGCCAAACTCAAACTCCTCCTTGTTGACGGGCACCTCGATGTTGGTGAAGCATCGGAATGTCCAGTCGAACGACTGCAGGGGTATGCCGTCCACCTCGTTCTTTGCCGGCAGGGGGAATGATAGTCGGCCCTTAGCCACATCCTTGTCCTGCCACAGCACAACCCTCCTGTCGTGGCTACTCTTTATCGCAGTCTCCTTCAGTCTCTTCAAAGGTGGATGAGGCACTGTGATTGTGAAGCTGTCCACGCTTGGATGTTCCTTTGTCCTCTTGTTGTTGTTGTTGATATCGTTATATACATTGGTGGAGGAGGAGGTGGTGGTGGTGGTGGTGGTTGTCGTTGGGAGTGATGATGGCGTAGCTGGAGGCTTTGATGTTTGAGTTGGTTGTGTCGTTGTCTTTGGCTGTGGCTGTGTCGGTGGTGTTGGTTGTGGCGCAGGTTGTGTCGCAGGTTGTGGCGCAGCAAGTGTTATAGTAGCAGCAGCACCATGTTTGGATGAGGGAGAAGAAGATGTGGTCTTCTTGGGCTTGGACTCATCATCAAAGTGTGATTGCTCAATCTTGTGCAAACTCTTTCTGAAGTATTTGGATACTCTCGGGAGTGATCTCGGTGAACTTGGTGAGCTTCTTCAATGCGCGCAGGACATGCTTGCAGTCTCGTTCGCGTTCAATGTTGTAGGGCTCCTTCTGAAATATCGATTTGAAGTGCACCTCAATGATGGAGATGTCGCGGCCAATGATCGCAGACAATGCCAGACAGAGAGTGTAGTCGTATTCGTTGGGTGTATCAGGGTCCTTCTTGGAGAGGTCAAAGTAGCGGTCGACCAGCGCCAGCTCCCGACTGGTGAGCGGTTGGGTCGGGTTGGTGGTGTTCTGGTTGAGGTCGCGCACCAGTCGCCACTTGGGGTCGTTGTAGTCCGAGTCAATGATGTCCTTCAGTCGTCTGTTTCGAATGACCGTTAGTACCTTTGAAATGATGATGTCGTCCTGGCTCAGTCGTCGTTTGCGCAGTGCCTCGACATCCATGATCGTGTCCATGATGTCGTCATAATCGTTGACCTCCAGTATCTTTGTTGTTGTATTGTTCTTTAACTTGTCGCCACTTCTATTCAGTGAGGGAGGACTGTCCTTTGTCGATGCAGTTGATGTAGTCGATGTCGTCGATGTTGTTGATGTCGCTGGCTTGGTCGTCTGCTGAGGAATGTCGAATGGTTCTTGTGAAATGTCTATAGTTGCCCTCTTTGGTGAGGTCATTTTGGCAGGGGATGATGATGTTGTTGTTGATGTTGTTGATGATGGTGTAGGCTTTGGTGGTGTGGCGGGTGCAGATGGTGTTGTGGAGGTTGAGGTTGTTGATGTTGTTGGAGTGGATGGCATGTTTGGCTTGGCTGTCGAAGCTGGTGTCGTTGATGTCTTGGGAGGGGCAACATGTTTCTTTGATGCTGATGGTGTTGGCTTCGATGTCGATGAAGCCCTTGTATTGGATGCGTGTGTTGGTGTTGCAGTTGTTGACGTTGTCGATGTCCTTGCCATTTCTTGTTGGAATAGCGCTTGAGTATTTGGAGATGGTAATGCAGATGTCTTTGAAGTTGTCGCTGGAGATGGCCTTGCTAAAGGTTGTGTAGATGACTTTGCTGTTGATGGTAATGGTGATGGTGATGGTGATGGTGAGGGGGTCGTCCTTGGTATTGATGTTGCTGGTGATGGTGATGCTAATGGTGCCGTCGTCGGCATTGATTGTGCGTGTATATTCGAAGTTGATGGTGATGATGAAGCCAATGTTGGAGATGAAGTTGCTGGTGATATCTTCTTCTTGTAACTCAGTGGTTTCTCGACAGTAAGGTCTATTATAACATTGTTATTATTATTATTATTATTATTATTATTGTTGTTATTGTTGATGGGTGGTCTGTTGAGGTTGATGGCGTTGTTGATGTTGTTTGGTTTGTTGATGTTGCTGGCGGGTTTGTTGACTGGTTTGTTGACGGGTTTGTTGATGGGTTTGTTGACATTGTTGTTGTTGTTATTGCTGAGGGAGAAGTTAGGTGGTCTTGTTGATTGGGATTGAGATTGAGATTGATAAGGTTGCCAGTATAAGTTATTGTTATTGTTATTGTTATTGTTATTGCTATTGTTTGTATTGGTTGGATCTGTTCTAAACTTATTCAATAGTTGAACAGTTGATGATATCTTGGCCATTACTTCTTCATCATCCAGATCAACCATATCAATTGGTTCCTTCATATTGATTGTTATTGTTATATATATATATGTATGTTTGTAAATTGGATAGAGATAATGAATGAAATGAGTTTGAAAATGCGCGCACTTTAGTGTCTCCGTTCACTTTCCCACAAACCACAATTGTTATTGACAACTTGGTCAATCATTTTATTGACTATCATAGACTTATCATCATAAATAAACACCTCACTGGAATCCATTAATCTATCAATCAATCAAAAAGAATGTGGGAATGAAAGAATTTGAACCAAGTGAACAAATATAGAATCTAAGAATATTATAATGAGGTCCTAACATCACATTATCATGGAAACAAAGAATTTTGTTAATCTTTTATTATTAACCAAACAAGTCCGACGAAGAACCCTCGGACGATCATTAATAAATCGAAGCGATAGTTTGTTTGATTGAGTTGGTTGCTGCTAAGGTTCTGCAGGGGATAGTCAAGGTTACGCAGAGAATTCATTTTTCAGCGGTCTCAATCCTTGGGTTCGAGCTGGTTCGACCCTGGACAACCCTTGGAACAGCAAGGGGAACCCTTTCAAACCTTATCTGATGTTAATTAAATATTTATATTTTTATTGTTGTTGTTGTAGTTGTTGTTGTGGTTGTTGTTGTTGTTGTATGATAAATTAGACCTTAAAGAAATCGTCGTCTCGTCCAAAGGAGTGGAACATATTGGTCAAATATGCGATAATTGTCCAGAGTGCGTTGTGTCGTTGAATGTTGTCAGAAAGGTCGCCAAGTGATCTGATTGTGTCTGACAATATGTTCCATTTCTTCATCTCTCCAAAGACATTCTCAATGATGATCCTCACCTTCTTGATTCGATTGCTCTCATCTTTCTCTCTCAGGATACGCTCGGCATCGAATCCTTCTTTGGTGACCTTGGCTTCCAATGCCTTCAACTTCTTAGATACCTTGGTCGCCTCCTTTCCTTGACGCAGGCGATGCTCATCGAGCGTGCGTTTTCTGATCATCTTGTCTGTGTACTCCATATGATCGATCAATGAAGCCGACTTGATCTTGGGGGTGATGGTGTTGGTGTAGTACTTCTGACCTCCTTTGAATCCTTTGTCACCGAGAATGACAATATCTTCATCGAACAGAGCCTGTAGTCTAGGTGCAGCATCCTTGTAGAGCGAGACGTCAGGCTGGGCGCCTCCCTCTGTCTTACCTACATACACGATCTTGCCACGTATATCGCAAATGACCAACACTGCCAAAGAATACATTGATTTCTTGCCAGAATAAACAAGATCCTTGATCGTCTTGTGTGGCGGCACTTGAATCCTCTGCTCTGACCCGTCCACAATGAGATGAACATTGTGCTTAATACCATCTTTCCATATTTCTGCATGATTGTCTCGAAGCTCTCCATTGTGAACCACATCCTGGAAGTACCCATGGCAGTACGACTTCAATCTATCGAACACCTTGGTGAATGAGTACCTGAGCTGAGCGATTGTCAATTGATATAGGAACACACGCTCCATCATGTACCAGGGAAGGTTGTGGCGGCACCTCATGAGGAAGACGAGCATGTCCTTGTGTTCAAAAGAGTGCTTCTCACAGAGCTGAGACACTTGACTATGGGAGAGCTTGAAGTAACTTGTGTACTCTTCATCTTGGTTGAACCATTGATCTGTAAGTGCAGAGTTGAGGGTATGGCATTTGTCAGTTAATGGACTTAGCTTGCTGGCAGCATATTTATTCTTCACCTTCTTCAAGGGTATTGTTCTTCCTCTTATTGTTCCTCCTTGTTGTTGTTGTTGTTGTTGTTGTTGTTGTTGGTGTTGGTGTTGCAGCTGCTTTCTTGGCCTTTGATTTAGACACTGGTTTGGTTATTGCTGGGCTTGGTGCTGCTGGGCTGGGTGCTGGGATGGGTGGTGATGTAGTTGTTGACATCGCATTATCGTCGATATCTATCGTTGCCCTGCTGGAGATACCGGTGTTCGCTTCGCACCATTGAGTCCATTTCTCTCGTTTGTTGGTTAGATACTCGACAAGGCAGTTCCATCGACAGAAGTATACAAAGACGCCAAACGTGCTGTCTGGATGGCAACACTTCAAGATGCGAGAACAACCCTTTGAACAGTTCTGGCAATGTTGGACAGAATCTCCAATGATAGGCTTCTCTGGATCGTGTTCTCCAATCGCAGGTACAGCAAGCTTCAAATAGGGCATTGACCTGGTATGGTTTGTAATATGTCCAACACTGCACATCATCATTTTTTGGTCGCCATAGTAGACAATGATCTTCTTCTCGATCTTGTTCTCTGGTGAATTGCAAGTCGCCTCTACTATAATCCGGTTGGGATTGGTTGGGTCTCGAACGTTGGAATGCAGGAAGCACTTGGTTTGTTTGCTAGTCTCTCCATCCATCAACTTCTTGGTATGTGTGATATTCATCAGCTCTCTATTGTTCTCTGCCGCACCTTGTTTGGTTGGCGTCTTCATTTGCTGAAGCGTGAGTGTTGATGACAACGATGTTGGTTGTGGCTGTTGTTGTTGTGGCTGTTGTTGTTGTGGCTGTGGTTGTTGTTGTTGTTGTTGCGATAATGACTTGATGATTCCCTCTAACTCCTCTATACGCAGCCTCAACGTGTGAGTCTCCTCCTGTGATTCTTTAGTCTGGAACATATCAATGATGATATTGTAACACAGTTTGGCGCACACGGGCAGGTGTTTGCCCAAGACCCAGATATCCAACTCAGTACCGCAGAAGAAGCATTTGACACCTGCTTGCTTAACTCTGGTGACTATTAACTGGGTTAGCTCCTCAGACATCAGATGTTGTATTATATATATGTATTAATTGGTCGCTATTACTATGTTGGAGGTTGCAAAGGGTCATCACGGGTCGGACCTTGGATTCCAAAACAAATATTTGAAGAATCCACCCACAACACCCGTTGAACCCTGCAGAACCCAAGCTAACCTTAGCAGCAATCAAGTGGTTGGGGGGGGGTTTGCACCATGATGCAACCGAATTTTTGTTGAAGTAGTGAGTTGTTTGTGTGTGAACGAATGACAAGAATGACTGTTTAGGACTCCAACCTTTTGAAGATGTGTTTGTAGATAAAGTGGGCTAACTAAGTCTCATTCATTCATTCATTAATCTCAACAACTAATATAACTACATAATAACTACATCATAACTACATTATAACTACATAAATATATATAAAGTTGAATGAAAACAGCAGCAGGTAAACTGGCGACGGCTGTTTGGATATCAAGTGCAGGCTTGGTGATTGCACTGTTGGTGTTCAATATAACACCGTCGCTACTCAATGGTCTACCATGGTTTCACATCACACTTGGCTTCAACAGCTTCATCTTCTTCCTAGAACTCTATCTCGACATCCGCCAATCATTCACAATCCGACAGTACAGGAACCCCAAGGCAAGCTGGACGACTGCTTCCTTTCACATCGTGAGTGTCAAGATGATGTGATGTTGTACTCAACAACACGACGCTAACGATCAATCAATCAAACAGGAGAACATACTAGGACTGCTCAACTTTAGAAGGACAGAGTCAACGATTGGCTTTGTCTTGGAGTGTTGTATATTGAACTTTGGAGCATTGGTATACTTGTACTCGTTGAATAATACAATGTGGGAGTACTATGGCTTTGGCGAGCAGTATGAGGTGACACGCGGCATTTCATATCTGCTGATGGTGAGCATGTTTAGTTCACTGATACGTCTGCCCTTTGAATTGTACCGCGTATTCCTGGTGGACAAGCGGCCTGACTCACCTGGGCATGCCGACGACGAGTTCTGGCTGAGGCAGATCGTTCTCGACCAAGTCAAGATGTTCCTCGTCTCCCTCATCATTGGCACGCCACTCCTGGCTTTCACCATTGCTCTATTCACTTGGCAATTCCCCTATCAATGGTTATGTATGTGATCGTTCACGTCGTCCATCATTCATTCATTCATTCGTTGGATGATTGAACTATTCCAATCGCTCAATCACCCAATCACTGGAGCTATTCCATAATCAATGGAGCTATTCCAATCAATCATTCAAACAAACCTTCGCTCAAACACTCAATCACTCAATCGCTCAAACACTCAATAACTGGAACTATTCCATAACTCAATCAATCAATCACTCAATCACTAACTCTGACTGGCACTCATTCATTCATTCAATCATCAAACAGATATTATAATCTTTGCATCAACAGTATCATTGTTCTTCTCGGATATGTACCCGACATTCGCCATAATGTTCAATAGCTTTGCAGTTGTTGGACAGGGCGAACTACGCGACGAGATTGTCAATCTATCAAAGAAGTTATCATTCCCCGTCAAACAAATATACACAATGGATGGATCGAAGCGAGTCTCTCATTCCAATGCCTTCCTCCTTGGCTTCTGGAACAACAGCATCGTGCTCTACGACACGCTCCTCAAGCAACTCACCACCCAAGAGATCCTGGCCATCATAGGCCACGAGATAGGTCACTACCGATACAAGCGTGAGTATCAATCATTCGTGCACGCGCGACGCGATGGACTGGATTGGACTGGCACGTGGACTAACCTCATACCCTCGCCCGCCCACCCGACAATCAGACTCTTGGAAACATCTATTTGTTCAATTGATGTTCTTGGGCAACTTCATATTCTTGTTCTCAAGGGTGGTCAACTTGGACATGTTTTATAGCTCGTTTGGCTTCCCCAAGGTCGACGTGACAGTCGGCCTGGTGCTGTTCTCCTACCTGTACAGCACGTTTGCAAACTTGTTGCGATTCGTCACCAACCTAATACGCCGAGAGTTTGAGTATGCGGCCGACCGCTACGCACTGGGCAACGGATTGGACATGAAGAACGCACTGCTCTCCATGCATGGCAAGGGCAGATACATCAAGCCAGATATTTATTTCTCGCTCTATTACTACTCGCATCCAACACTGATGGAGCGATTGGACTCGATCGAGGCCATCACCAACGATCTGAATGTTCAGCATAAAAAGGATACATAGGATTGATAGATAGATTGGTACACAAACACAACGATCATCATCGGCATCAACTGTACTCAATCATGCAGTGTGGCGGCACTGCCAGGTCGGACTGGTGCTTGTAGGTTGTGCGTAGGTGGAGCGTGCGCAAAGACTCGGGTAGCGCACCAGGCTGTGAGAATGGATGATCGTAGTACTCATCGAGACTGAGATGTGTCAAGGAGAGTGGCAGCACACCAGGTTGCGATAGACATTGATTGAAGTTGAGCCCAAAGGTCAGAGATGTAAGGCTCTCAGGCAGGGTGTCTGGCAACACAATCTGATTGAACTTTGAACCAAATCGAAGTGTGGCGAGGCAGGGCGGCAGGCTACAGGCCACGATGGCCTGGTTGAAGAGGTCGCCCAACACAAGGCTGGTGAGGCCATAGGGCAGCGCACCATTGATGAATGGTTGATTGAAGTTCCAGTCAAAGGTGAGTGATGTCAACGAGTCAGGAAGCACACCTGGAGTGAGTGGCTGGTTGAACTGACGGCCAAACTTGAGTTCAGTGATGGATGGAGGCAGCTCACCATACTGTATCGCCTGGTTGAAGCACTCGCCAAACGTCAAACACTCGAGGGATGCTGGGAGGAAGTCTTCAGGGAGTGGTTGATTGAACTGTTGACCAAACTCAAAGCTCCATGTTCCTTTTGGCAATGTGAAATGGATGGTTGGATGGTTGAAATAGTCCTTTAGTCGCCATGCGTGGACACGGTCCTCCATTGAAGGTACCAAAGGGTAATCCAACATCTTTAACAACTTATAATGATCACCTTTCTTTGATGCCAACAACAACTTTACAAACTCCCTCAACTCACTTGAATACCTCTCTGGTGACATCACAAAGTTGTTATCGCTCAGTTCATTTGCTCGGATGTCATCTGGATGGCTATCAATGATTGATTGAATAAGTGTCAATGTCAGGGCCAGGGTCGGGGAGAACGATTGATTCAGGTGGATAGTTACCAAAGTAGTAGTTGCTTGATTGTTTGGCCGAGTGAGTTCATATCGAAAGTGTTCATGTGTCCATCCAGTGCTGTTGGTCCTTCAATCTCTTGGTTCAACTACATCCGGTTGTTAGTATACTCCCTCTTTGTTGGTCAAGTCAAGTTCATAACTTACCATTGCAATATAATCAATGTTATCTTCATCATCACTTGTATCCTTGGAGGATGATTGTCCATCATGGTTGTTGGAGTCCTCATCGGAGTTATCATCATTCTCCTGGTCATCATTATATCTTCCTGGTGACTATTGTTGCCAAACCAAATCCACCTAGCTTGATACCCAGGTCACCCTTTATATACAAGTTTGAGGGTTTGATATCTCTGTGAGCAATTCCATTCTGTTCCATTATCCTCAACATATTCAACATCGTTGTCAAGTATGTCCATATCTCTCCCTCCTTGATGTAATGTGGAATATCCTCTCTTCTATTCCTAATGTTATTGAATGTTTGAGTGAGTGATTGAGTTATTGAATGAATGAGTTGGTCTAACTTACAATCTCTCAATCTGGTCTATCTTGTCTTGGAGACTACCTCCATCACAATACTCCTCGAGTATCTGAATGGTTTGAGTATCCTTGTTATCATAGTATGTGTAAAAGTCGACAAACTCTCCTTGTCCCTTCAAGCAATCCATCACCTTGATCTCACTCATTATCCTCTTATATCTCTTGCTACTTGTATTGCTATAATTGATCTCCCTGCACAGTATCTACATGTCATTGATTGATTGAATGAGTGAGGTTGGAATTATTCCAAGGTTTATCAATGGTACATACCAACACCTTGGTGTCATCGTCCTTCATGAGAAGGTAGGTCTGGCCGGATGTATTGACAGGTGTACTAGATGATGGGTCCGACTCGGTATACTTCTTCACGACATAGTAACGTTGATTGTTGATGTGTACAGTGTTGAAGCCTTGTGGTCTGGGCGACTCTGGAGATGAGGCCTGTTGACGTGTAACAGTGGCACCATAGACCTTATCACCACCATGTATCAATTGGTACTGTATGATCTTGAATCTTGAACCTTGTTGTAGATTGACATTGCCAACAATCTGTTTATAATCTCCATTGGAACATCTCTCAAACACTGTGAGTGTGCATCTATCATCTTTGAGCAGCTCAAAGCCCTCGGGCTTGAGGACTAGTACCTGGTTGGCCGCTGGCGAGAAGGCTTCGTGCTGGACAATGCACAAACAGTGACGCGATGAAATGTTGGACACCTTGATGGACTTGAACTCGCCGCCAGACTCATCGGCCTCCACCATGTGGTCCAAAATGATCGTGGAGTATGTACCTTTAGTCACGCGGATGTTCTTGAATTCCTGGCGTCTGTTGAGCCTGAGGAAGTACAGCGATGTTGGTAGCGCACCAGCCTTGAACTCTCGTGTGAAGTGCTCCCCAAAGACAAGGAACTTGATGGAGTGAGGCAGAGATCCAGGGGCCAGTATCTGGTTGAAGCGCTCTCCAAACGTCAACTTTTGGAGAGAGCCTGGCAGGACACTAGGTGTCAATGGTTGATTATAATCTCGACCAAAGCGCAATGTGATGAGAGTGAGTGGCATGATACCACCCGATAATGTTTGATTAAAGTCTCGACCAAAAGTAAGATGTATGAGTGCAGTTGGTAGTGAATCAGGTGTTAACACCTGGTTGAACTTGGTGCCGAATACCAAATGTGTAATAGTTCGTGGAACCAATGTAAGAGTGATTGGATGATCATAATACCACATTAACTTGTGGATTGATTCGTCCTCGTTTCCAGAGTTGTCCGAGTCAGAATCCATCACAACAGTCTTGTGTAATTTCATCATTTTTGATTAATTAATTGAGTGATTGGTATAGTTCCACTGATTGATTGATTTAGTGATTGATGGAGTGATAGAGTGATTGAGTGATTAATAAATTATATTTGTTGTTGTTATTACAACAGTTGTTGATGTATTACATCTAAAGTAGAACAGGATGTGAACACTTTCCAAGTGATGTAAGTTGATGATGCCTTGAGTCCTCAATACTTGATTGATCATCAAGCCACACTCATAAGGTACACACAACACCTATACACACACATACTCTAACAATCAATCAAATAAGAAGGGGGTCCACATGTTACCATTCACCAAACTGGCCTTCAGAAAGGCCCACAAACACACATAATGGTGGCCTCTATGATCACATTAATATAAATGTTGTTGATGATGATACAACGAGCGAGTGAATGGAACGGGGGTAACCAATTCATACCTTTGTATGGGTATGAATATAATATTTCATCGATGACAGATCAAGCAAATGACGGAAGTTGGCTTGGTTGGGCACAGCCCCGACCCTTCCACTTGTGATGTGGAGTAGTGAAGTGATTGAGCGTGATGGGGTTGGGTGTGTTTGTCGGGCGTGGGTTGGAAAGAATCGGGGTTGATGAAAACAGTGAGGAATCTTCTTTAATGATCAGTACTCCTTTACTTGAAGTGACACGAGACAAAGACCAACTTACTCATAGAAATGGGAACAACAACAAAATATCCACTTGACCAATCATTCAATCATTCAATCAATCAAACAATCATTAACACATGATTACACGAAAGTCAACTCTTTATGGTAACCCGCGTATTGCGAATGTTGTCGTGTTGTGTTGTTACTTGGTTTGGTCCAGGACAAGACAAGAGTATAACTTGAGAACTTTTATTACATTACAGGCCAAATCTGGATGGCGTCCTGCGAGGTGTTGCCCCGCCAGGTGTGTTGCCACGTACGCTTCCTGGCATCGCTATGGGTGCGGCAGCCTTGGGCGTCGTCTTTTGCTCCTCGAATGTCAATCGTTGATACTTGGATGATCTTCTCTGTTGTGTAGGCTTTCCAGACACCAACTTCTCAAGTTGATCAGTATCGTCACTTTGTTCCGCTTCATCATCATCGTCTTCTTCGTCGTCTTCGCCTCCCTCACCCATCTCTTTCTGTCTCTTCTTCCTGGCGGCACGCTGTTTGAATGACTCTTTGATTGTAAAGAACATGGGACCTAGCTCGGCCAGCCACTTGGGGTCGACGGCCGTCACAATCTGCATGTACTCCTTGGTGGTCATCACGAGCTCGTGGTAGACAATGTAGTCGGGTGCGTAGCCCAGACCATAGAGCGCGCTGGTTGGATGCAGGAAGCACGGCATGCCAGTTCTCATGTTGACGTACTCGCCAATGCCCTTGATCTTGGCTGAGTGGTGGAAGTATGATGAACAGATGGCCTTGCGCACCACGTCCCAGTCGGTACCACAGGACTCCACTGGCAGCTTCTGGGTCTCCATGATCTCCATCAACTGGCCACGCACCTCGCGCACCTTTCTCATCGCCTTCACATGTATAAAGTGCTCGTTGCACCATTGGGCGCTATAGTTGTTGATCTTCCACTGTTGATAGACGTGCAGCAGGGTGAGATGGTCACTCTCGGGCACAAAGAACTTCTCGCGTGCAGCGTCACTCTCCTCCTCGGCACCCTTGGGCCTGAAGAACACGGTGGGGATGGACAGCATCGAGACGATTGTGACGATCTCTTGTGCGCAGCCCTTGGTCACGGAGAACAGGACCATCTTGGAGAGAGGCGGGTCGAGTGGGAACTCGACCATCTTGCGGCCAAGCGAGGTGATGCCGCCGTCGTCGGCCAGGGCGCCAAGCACCCAAAGCTGGAACATTGAATTGAGGATGTTGTCCGCAGGTGGCGGGTCCATGAAGTCAAAGTCCAGCAAGTCCTTCACACCGATCGACTTTAGATTGAGCACGACGTTGCCCAAGTTGGTACGCTGGATCTCGGGTATGTTGTTGTCCAGCATCTCATTCTTGAAAGCAGACTCTGTGTACATGCGGTACGCGCGACCTGGTCCGGTACGTCCAGCGCGACCCGATCGCTGGTTGGCGTTGGCCTTGCTGATGGGCGTCACTTGGAGCGCGTCCATACCAACACGTGGATTGTACACCTTGAGCTTACTGTAGCCTGTGTCGATCACGTACTTGATGCCATCCACAGTCAAACTGGTCTCGGCAATGTTGGTGGCGACGATGCACTTGCGTGTGCCCTTCTCGGCGGCGTCAAAGATCTTGGCCTGTAGGTCGGACGGCAGCTGAGAGTAGATGGGCAGTAGCAGTAGGGGCGGTGCGTCCGTGCCCAACTGCTTCATGCGCTCCTCTATTGTGGCGCATGTACACTCAATGTCCTCTTGACCGGTCATAAAGATAAGGATGTCACCTTCAGGATGTGTGACGTGGATGGACAGCGCCTGCTTGACGGCAGCGTCGACAAAGTCCTCGCACGGCGTCTTGCTCCACAGTACATCGACGGGGAAAGTTCGACCAGGGATGTTGAAGATGGGAACGTCGCCAAAGAACATGGCGAACTTCTTGGCGTCCATTGTTGCCGACGTGACGATCAGTTTGAGGTCATGGCGACGCGTCAGCACCTTGCGTAGGATTCCAAACAGCACGTCAGTGTTGAGCGAGCGCTCGTGCGCCTCGTCCATGATTATTGCTGAGTACTTGTCCAGGTTGGCGTCGTTCAGAGACTCCTTGAGCAGCACACCGTCCGTCATGTATTTGATGGCCGTGTCCTTGGTCGTGCAGTCTTCGAAACGGATCGCGTATCCGACCTGCTCGCCCAGAGTCACGCCCATCTCTTCAGCCACACGCTTCGCCACGGACATGGCAGCGACACGACGGGGCTGCGTGCAGCCAATCTTGCCAAAGGCGGCGTAGCCCTCCTCGTACAGGTATTGGGTGAGCTGCGTGGTCTTGCCCGAGCCAGTCTCTCCCACAATGATTACCACGTTGTTCTCAGCGATGATTCGCATCAGCTCATTGCGGCAGCCATAGACGGGGAGGTACTCGCGCTGCTGCTTGATTGTTTTGGTGCGGCCAAACTCGCTGGTAGCCTCAGCCTTCTTCAAGTGAGAGGCATACTGCGAGTTGCTCTTGTAGTTGACCACGTCGCCCGTCTTGTCGTCGACGACTTCTGCCTCGCCTTGTTTGATCTCGGGGTTGTCGTCATCGCTCTCCTTCTTCATGCCCATGATGTTGCCAAGGGCAGTGCCGCCCAGCTCCCACACCTTCTTCTGACCTTTGATCCTGTCCTTCTTGTCGCGGTAGTCGCGCAGCAATATGCTGCCCTTCTTTGAGATGATGGCCAAGTCCGAGGTGGCGTCCTTCACGGTCATGACCGCGCGCTGGGACGAGGCGGCAGCTGCAGCTGTACCCTCAAGGAACTTGGGCACCGAGTTGGACACGATCAAGTTGATACGGTCCTCTTCCTCCTCGGTGAAGTCCAGGTCGAGTTCCTTCTGCACCATGATACCCGATTGCATCATTCGATTGGCCTCCCATCGAGAGTTGTCCTCGTTCTTCTGCTTGGCTTTGGTGCTCATTCGTCGCGACTGTCGCTTCTGCATCTCCTCCTCCATCTTTTTGAACTTGGCTTCGTCGCCGAGGAATGGACCGCCGTCCCTCTGGTCGTGCACTGCGCCCTCGCCCTCGTCTGCGTCATAGTAGTCACGATCAAACTCCTCATCATCCTCGTCATACTTTCGTCTGTTGCTGTTGTCTTGGACACCGCCAGTGCCCTTGAAGTCATCGCGGTCATCATCATTCTGACCTCGTCGTTGTGGGGTCTCATATTTTGATCGAGGATATGGCTTGGAGCTGCTGTCTCTGTGGACGCCTCCATGTCGCTGAGGAGTTGCATTGGGGTTTGTGTTGTTGTTGTTGGGATAGTCCCCGCCGCCTCTTCTTGAAGGCGTGTCATGTTCGCGCCTTGAAGGGGTGTCAAACTGGCGACTGGAGTCATTCCTTCCGCCATCTCTCCTCACACTGCCATCTCTATCGTTGCGGCCATCTCTATAAGGTGTTGATGAGGATGATGACTCATTCCTCCTGCTTGGCGTGTATCCACCACGATCATCTCTTGGTCTACTCCTCTCACTCTGTTCTCTATTGTCTCTGTATCTATCACGATCACGGTCGTTGCGGTCGCGGTCATTGTGGTCGCGTTCGCGGTCGTTGCGATCACGATCACGATCACGATCCCAATCTCTGTTGTTATCTCGTCGATCATCATTGCGATGGTAGTTGTTGTTGTCACGTGATGAGTATGTGATGCCACGTCTGTCACGGTCTCTATCTCGGTCTCTGTTGCGCTCCTCAATCCTGTCCAACGCATCACGATTGACTCCACCAGAGTGTGTTGGTGTCTGAGCATGTATCTCTCTATAATGTTTCTTGACCTTGTGGAATGATGTATTCGAGTCTCCATTGTTGTCCTTGTCATTGCCATTGCCATTATCATCATCTTGTTGTTGTTGTTGTAGTCTTAGTGCGTTCTCACGCTCCTTTGCCTCACGCTCAATGCGTTTCTCCATCGCCAGCTTGTCCAGACCCAATACTGATGCGCGTGCCTGAGGCACAGCGAATGTGTGACCACCTTCACCTGGCTTCTTATTAAGTCCTCCTTGTAATACGAGTCCATCTGCTCCCACTGCCACATCAGTGACAGTATGTGAATCACCATCTAGTTGTTGTTGTTTAAAGTTCAATGTACTCCTCTGTTGTCCTTGTCCCTGTTGTTCATTCTGATACATCTTTACATTCTGTACCTTATTATATATCTCCTTATTCACTATATTATCCTTCATTCCATATTCCAAGCATTCTACACATTCATTCAAGTTGAGGTGAGGTATCAATGTTAGCATGTTGTCAATGATTGATCGATTGATTGATTGAATGAATGATCACAACAACAATAACAACAACATAACGTACATACTCTCGTTAAATATATCTAATGACTTTGATGCATAGGCTTCATTCATAATACGTAGACCTAACTTGTTATTACGCATATCAAGTTGTAAAGCCTTTGTCACAAGTCCTGTGATCTCTGCTGATAGTTCTGGATTATTCATTGTCGTATATGTAAATATTATATGTACATGTATGTCATTGCATGTATGAATGTAAGTTGATTGATTGATTGAATATGAACAGAGAATGAAGTTGAGCTCATTCAAACAAAGTTTCCACAATGCATTGTTCGCGCGAACAAGTGTGAAGTGCATTCTTAGACAAGGACACAAGTTGCATTCATTCAATCTAACTAAAATACATAGTAATATAGATAGAGAGAGAAGAGATGTCTGATAAGATATGGGTATCGGATAATATAAGTGATATATTGGGATATACAGAGAAGACTTTGGTCGACTATGTGATGGCCATGGCAAAGAAGGCTGGATCAGTCGATAAATTGGTACAGTCATTACAAGATAATGACTTCCCATCAGGTGCCAAGACACAAGCATTTGCCAAAGGTCTAATAGATAGACTACCATCAAAGACTGGTGTCTCATCATCATCATCAAGTTCATCAAGTGCAACAAATGCAACATCATCAAGACAACGTGATAAAGAGAAAGTGGACTTGTTAAAGAAGAATGCATCATATCAACTAATCAAGGATATCAATGATGATGACGACCAAGATGACAGCGATAAAGAAGAGAGAAGGAGACGAAAGAAGGAGAGGAAGAAGGAGAAGGAGAGGGAGAAGGAGAGGTTGAGGGAGGGCAAGGACAAAGAGACCACGACAACAACATCAACATCAACAACGACAACAACAAAGAATGTTAGAAAGACAGACAAGGATGGATGGGACAATGATGATACTGTCATTGTCACAGGAGAGGACAAGAGAAGACAACAACAACAACAAGCAATGGCCGCCGAGCAAGAACAAGAACAAGAACCAGAGGACGATGAGGATGAATACGCACGCGAACAAAGAGAGATAGCAGAGTTCAATCTGAGATTGAAGAAACGTGATGAGGACAAGACAAAGAAGTTGGCACAGGATAAGGGAGGCAAGGACCAGGAGCGCGAGTCGGACAGGAGGAAGAAGAAGAGTGGCGATGAGGACTCATTGGACAAGGACAGAGTTCTGTCAAGACGAAAGTTCTTGGTGGGCGAGGAGCAGAAGCGACTGGTTCTGCTGAAGCGCGAGCTGGACGACGAGGAGGAGCTGTTCAAGAGCGCCAAGCTCTCGGCGGATGAGGTGCGCGAGTACCAAAAGAAGAAGCGACTGTACGAGCTGGCCAGCCAGCGCATCAACGACGTGGTCGAGGACGACTACTACCGACTGCCGTCGTCCACCAATGACGACGCCAAGTCCCGACGCCAACAGCATGCCGACCTCCTCAAACCTCACTTTGATCGCGGCGGTGCAAACAAGAAAGAGGAACAGATGTCATTCAACCCGGAGCAACGCGAGTGGGAGCGCAACAGAATGCTCATGGCGGCGCAGGAGGCAGGACAGACGCACGGCCCACAGGCTGGAGACGAGTACGAATACGTGTTTGAGGACCAGATCACATTCATCAAGGAGCAGCTGATCACTGGCAAGAAGGACGAGGCGGTCGAGACGATGCAGGTTGGCGACGACCTCAAACAGGCCAAGGCCATGTCGATACAGGAGACGCGAAAGTCGCTGCCAATGTTCCCGTACCGCCAGCAGCTGCTGGACGCCGTGCGCGACCACCAGATCCTGATCATCGTCGGTGAGACGGGCTCGGGCAAGACCACGCAGATTCCGCAGTACCTGCACGAGGAGGGCTACACGAAACGCGGCAAGATCGGCTGCACACAACCACGTCGTGTCGCCGCTATGAGTGTGGCGGCTCGTGTCGCCGAAGAGATGGGCTGCAAGCTTGGCAATGAAGTTGGCTACTCAATCCGTTTCGAAGACTGCACTAGCCAGAAGACCATCCTGCAGTACATGACTGATGGTATGCTGGTCCGCGAGTTCCTGACCAAGCCTGATCTGGCAGACTACAGTGTACTGATCATTGACGAGGCGCACGAGAGGACCCTGCACACTGACATCCTGTTTGGCCTGGTAAAGGATGTTGCGCGCTTCCGACCCGACCTCAAACTGCTCATCTCGTCGGCCACACTGGATGCCGAGAAATTCTCTGCGTACTTTGACGACGCGCCAACCTTTTACATTCCTGGCCGCAGGTACGAGGTGGCCACTCATTATACACAAGCGCCTGAGGCAGACTACTTGGACGCCACCATCGTTACAGTGCTCCAGATTCACGTCACAGAACCATTGGGTGACATCTTGGTCTTCCTCACGGGTCAGGAGGAAGTGGACGCCGCAGCAGAGATACTGATGCAGCGCACACGAGGCCTGGGCTCCAAGATCAAGGAGCTGATCATCACGCGAATCTACTCCACATTGCCCACCGACCTCCAGGCCAAGATCTTTGAGCCGACGCCACCCAATGCGCGCAAGGTCGTCCTGGCCACAAACATTGCCGAGACCTCACTAACCATTGATGGCATCATCTACGTCATTGATCCAGGCTTTTGCAAGCAAAAGAACTATAACCCGCGCACTGGAATGGAGTCCCTGGTGGTGACGCCCGTGTCCAAGGCTTCGGCCAATCAGCGCAAGGGTCGTGCGGGCCGTGTGGCGCCAGGCAAGTGTTTCCGTCTCTTCACAGCATGGGCCTTTGAGAACGAGTTGGACGAGAATACCATTCCAGAGATACAACGAACGAACCTTGGCAATGTTGTGCTGATGCTAAAGAGCATGGGCATCAACGACCTGATACACTTTGACTTCATGGATCCGCCCCCTGCCGAGACCCTGATCAAGGCGCTCGAGCAACTCTACGCGCTGGGCGCGCTCAACGACCGTGGACAACTCACCAAACTTGGCCGACGAATGGCCGAGTTCCCACTGGACCCCCAGCTCTCCAAGATGGTCATCGCCTCGGAGAAGTATAAAGTCACCGAAGAGGTATGTCTGGGATCACTCGATCACCCGCTCAATCTCAATCAATCAATTACTAACGCACTCCAATCAATCAAACACATTAGATACTCAGCATTTGTGCAATGCTATCTGTAAATAATACTATATTCTATCGACCTAAAGACAAGGCATTTGCGGCGGACGCTGCGAGGAAGAACTTCCACCATCCACAGGGCGACCACTTGACACTGCTCAACGTTTGGAACCAATGGCGCGAGTCTGGCTTCTCAATACAGTGGTGCTTTGAGAACTTTATCCAACACCGATCGATGAAGCGAGCACAGGATGTGCGCGAGCAGCTGGAAAGCCTGATGGAGCGAGTCGAGATCCAGGTCGAGTCGAACCCCGACGACACTGACTCCATCCGCAAGTCAATCGCCGCAGGCTTCTTCTATCACACGGCCAAACTGGAAAAGAGTGGACAATACCGAACGACCAAGCATCATCAGACCGTGCAGATACATCCATCCTCGTGTCTATTCCAGAACGCACCCAAATGGGTCATCTACCATGAGTTGGTCGAGACGACCAAAGAGTTCATGCGTCAAGTCATCGAGATCCAGCCATCATGGCTTGTAGAGATAGCCCCGCACTTCTACAAGGAGAAGGACATCATAGAGACCCAGAAGTTGCCCAAGAACAGGGGTAGAGCTCAAATGAACTAACTCGATTGATTGGACTGGTACATGATGGGACTATCCCACACACTTGTGATTGGTCAACACCATTTTTTTGATCATGATCAGTGTTGGGGTTAGATCTGCGCCTTTTTTGATTGTAGTTGTGACTTTACAAGCCTATTAGGTACCTCCCCATAATTGGGGAAAAGATATTTTGTTTCGCGCATTGTACAACAAGAGGTCTTGTTGTTCGCATTGTGCATCGCTTTGACCGTTTGCCTCATGATTGATCAAAGTAATCGCAACTTCTCGCTCTATAATTCGTTCATTCATACAATACCCATTCATTAAATATATATAAAGAGATGCAGGTACAAAGCTTGATGTTTGCTGTTGTCTTGGTGTTGATGTTGGCAACAACAACATTGACCAATGCATATAACTTAAATGAACACATAGAGGTGTTCTACGTTGAGGCCCCACTGATGAAGGCTCAATTTGGTAGTTTGCTTGGTAATCTCAAGGCATATCATTCTGGATTATACTTCTATGCTACGTATGTTATATTTGATTGATTGATCGGGTGAGCACATGACTGACCAACTCCACCCAATCACATGGAATCGTTCCACCCCACCCCACCCCACAATCACTTAATCACATCAATCATAATAGTGAATCCAACGAGAATTATACAGCCCAATATGTGGCGTATCCTCAGATCTTGAATGCCATATTTCCAAGTGTTAATCAGACTGATGAAACGATCAGTTGGGGTAACCTGGGCATCATCGAGTTTGATAATGAGTTCAATGGAACGTACTGGTCAACGAGTCAACAATATGTGATGTCCATCACTGGTGCTCAATTCCTTAGTTATATTTGTTGGATGGAAGGATACAATGTGACCAACTATTATTACAACCTATATGATGTTCGCGACTATAACACTGGCGAACTGTACATGGGTAGCAGCACATGTGATGACTTTGCCTGGAACTCATTCACCGCGCTCTACAACCTTGGCGGCACATTCACCCTGGCGCCAACCTCGCCACCACCTCGCGACTTCATCACACTGCTGGTGGTGCAGCCACCCGTCATTGTCAACAACATCAACGACCCGGCCACATGGGGCCAGATCATGAACTTCTACGAGAAGATGGTGTTCATGCCCAATGAGACCGCAGTCGAGATCATCCAGAACCTGGTCAATCTATTCTCTGGCGAGTTCTACTATCATTATAACAATGATTACTACAACCTCACGCTAATCTCACAGCAGAACACCGTTCCCCTGTCCATCCTTTACAAGCCGGCGCCACTGCCATCCGGACCTCGCGACCCCAACTCCGTGCGTCTCCCCAGCAACTGTGCCACACCTTCCAGCTACAAGAAACCCGGTATTGGTGGAGGATGGATCTTCATCATAATGTAAGTTCAAGCCAAGAGTCCATGGACCCACCCATCCTTGTCTAACATCGCTCCCATCCATCCATCCTAGTGTGTGCTCGGCTTCAGTTGTATATATTGTTGCAGGACTGATATTCAATGTCAAGCAGAGAGGCATGCCCTTGAATGCTCAGGCGATGCCCAACCACGATGGTTGGGTCGAGTTTGGAAACTTGATAAAGGTATGATTGATTGGATTGATTGATCCGATTGGATGGACATGGATTGATGACTAACATAACATTGATTCAATCAATATAGGATGGAGCATTATTCATCAAGTCCAAGGTAACTGGAACACCATCGTACTCAAGTTTGTAACTTGTGGCGAGGACTACTGCTTGGACATTGGATCAATAAAGATACCCTTTGGATGGTGGTCAACTTGACGACATGTGGACCCATCCATGAATCACCAATAACCAGATAACGTTGCGCTACAGGTACTCTTTAATACTGAGTGGCGAGTTGACTATTTTGACAGGTGTTCTAGACTTGGAGAAGGAGGTGTTGGATGGGTTTGGCGAGACGGGGGCGGATGTCGAGGCATACTGTCTGGGCAGTCCACCAGGACTACCAAGCAATTGACGCCACAGCTGGTCTTGTTGACTCCACAACTCCATAAAGTTGTCGATCTTGGCTCTGTAGGCTTGGACGTTGCGCTCGTCTAACGAGCACTGTTGTTGTAACTCTTCGTTCTCGATTGTCAAACGATTGAGTTGGTTGATCATCTCTGTTGCCAGAGTCTTGCACGTGGATATATCAGCTCTGAACTTGTCCAATTGTTGTTGTGTAATGTTGGCATCGTCCTCCAGGCTATTTCTCTCTTGTCCAAGTTCATCCAGTTGCTCTTGTAGCAATGTGATACGATCCGACTTAACTTGAAGTTGTTGTTTGAGCTCAATTGTTGATGATTCGGATGCAGATAGTTGTTGCGCCAGAGTTCTCAATCCTTGTAACTCGTCCTCCTTTGATGCCAAACTATTCTCCAGCACCTTGATCATCTTGTCATTGTCATTCTTTGCTTCAACCTTGTCTCGCCTCAGTGCTTGGCTCTCCTCCACCTGCACTCCAATCATCTTTTCCAACTGTTCTATTCTATTCTTTAACAATTGAACATCATCATGCTGTTCAGGATCTGTGGACTGAGTCTGTGTCTGAGGATGGACCGTGACATTGCTACTACCTCCACGTGGAGTTGACAATAGAGTGGTTACAGTAGTGCTGACATCTCCATGACCTCCACTATGATGTTGATACTTTAGTGCCTCTATCTCTTTGAAGAAACATCCAGACTTGTTGTTTGATTTATCCATGTTTACTACTTTATATTTAAGTATATGTATATATGTATAAGTATGAAATGAACATGAAGTAGTTGTCATAGACTAGATACATGGTATTGTCAAGGTAATGGATAGCTGGCGGTGTGGTAGTACTTGTGGAGACTGTGTTGGTTGGCAGTGTGGTAACAACTTCGCGCGCCAAACACAAATGCAAAGATCGATGAAGGAAGATGGGTTGGTTGTTGTTCAAGGTCTTTGAGTGTTGAAGAAACGGTTGAACGATCAATCATTCAATCATACATTCGAGAACTCAACAACAATGAGACATATATCACTTGTAGATAGAATAGTGTTCAATTGGAAAGGCAACGTGTTTAGACGTGCGATCACTCTAGCCGATGTTGACAATGATGGTGTAAGTCAAGTCTAACACGATGACTTAACAATGATCATTGATTAACTTTCAAGTACCCATGTATAATAGGATAATGAACTGATCGTTGGTAGTCTTGAAGGCAACCTCACTATATTCAAGGGCATTGATAAGCATCCTTGGAAGGTTGCCAACAACATTGGTTCAGTATGTATGCGAGACATAAGGGTCGTTCATTCGAATGTTAACATCATCACTCAATCATTCTAGATCACTTGTGTAGCAGTTGGTGACCTGTTAGATAGTCACAGGGTATGAATGAGCGTGCGAACGAGAGCGAGGAGGAGTGAGGGAGTGAGTGAGAGATGGAGGAAAAGGTGAAGCGAGCACAAGACCTAATCAACTCAATCAAACATATATAGAACTTGTTGGTAGTGATATCATCAGAGGGAATATGTAATATATATAATGTTGCTGCTAATGGAGTCGATCAAACAACAACATCCGAACACTTGGTACCAATGCTCTCACAGCGACTGCCACCAAACGCCTCGGCAATACTCATTGGCGACGTGGACAATGATGGAAAGAATGAGCTGGTCATTGGCACATACGATCACACGCTCTACTCATTCAGTCTGCAGAAGCAGTCGCAGCAGCAGCAACAACAGCAGATGATCATGGAGGACGGCAGCGGCGCTGGCGATCAGAAGGAGTGGACATTGGTTTGCAAGAACAAGTGGCAACTGCCCGGACAGATTGGCACGCTCGTGATGGCCAAGGAGTCGGGCGGCAACGAGATATTGATCGTGGGACTGTGCGAGGGCACCAACTACATCATACTGGACAACAAGGGACAGCTGTACAAGGAGGAGCGATCATCGACCCACCCCAACATCATGTCATCGTCATACTCCCCGCCCTACATGGCTGGCTCGCACTCGTCCGCGGGTATGGGCATGGGCATGGGCATTGGCAGCGACTTCTCCAATTCAACTGGCGGCGCGGGCGAGATCATGTCCAACAACGAGACATTCATATCGATCGACCACCTGAGGAAGCGCAAGACAGACATCATCACCAACATTAGCGCGCCGCTCAATCTGCGCGCCGGCACTTGCTTGGTCAACGAGGATGGCGTGGAGGAGCGCATCGACGATTCCGATACTGCCTCCATCATCGCGACGGCCACGTTGGACGGCGTGCTCAAGCTGAAGCGTGTCGGCAAGGGCATCGTGTGGAAGATGGAGATCGAGGAGATGGGCAGCGGCCAGCTGGTCGCACTCTATGCCGCGCCCCTGTCGCGTGACACCCACGGCAACGACTACATAGTGGCATGTGGCTGGGATGGCTTGACCGTGGTGGTGGACAGCGAGCGCAACATCGTCTCGTTCAAGTTTGGCGACCGCGTCTGCGCCTTTACCACTGGCAACTACACAATGTGTCGTGGCGCCGCCAGCACGCCCTGCTTTGTTTACGTCACGTTCTTTGGCGAGATCTACCTGTACCATAACCTAAACATCCAGCTCAAGCCGACGCACAGTCTGAAATGGACGACCAAGCAGCAGATGGACGAACTGGTGGCGCTGGCTGCCACTGGCCTGGCGGGCGGCCAGGCCCTGGGGACTGTAGACGAGTTCTACTCAACACTCCTTTCGCCACAATTCGACAAACAGTTACTTGGACAATATTTAGATCGGCTCAAACAAGATCGTCGTCGTCGTGGTCAGTCGTCAGAAGTTGTAGACGGACAGGACAATCTGGCGTAGTCATCGATCAAACAATGCATGATGGGCATTCATTCATTCATCCATTCAGTGATCTTCGTCCAACCCGGCGCCCACTCCTTATTGATCTTCATTCTTTCAGTCAATGGCCAACAATGTACATAAACAAACATCATCGCCAGCACCAGCCTACAATGATCAACGTGCAAAGCAAAGACAAGTTGTGGGCTGCAATCATTCGTTTATTCATTCATTCAATAATCAATCGATGGAGCAGCTCGCATCCAAAGGTGGACATGGACTAATTCGATTAAAAGAACCCCTCTGCAGAGCCCTGACACTGTACTGATCAATTGTGGTGATTGATTTTCGCACTGATCAACACAAGATGGGGGCTGTGTTTTGGTTCTTTGGAGCACCATGGGGCGCAAAACACCCAACCAATCTTGTTTGAAACCCTCTAAGGTTGTAGTGAGGTTCCCCTAACTAGCTTTGGTGTTTGTGTGAATACCTTGGCAAGGGGTGCGATGGTTCAAGCTGGTTATTTGCGAAGAGACAGCTGTCAGAAAGGGCTGCATTCAGCGTGATGAGGTAATGACTGATTGGTCCAATCCTTTGTTATGTTATTGTTTTATTATTGTACGTCTGGATGACTGACTGACTGAATGAATGATCATTTGACAACTCATACTCCAATCAATCAATCGATCAATCACTTGCCAACTCACGCATTCAATCAATCACATACTCAATCAATCACTCCAAACCAATCCCCCATGCTATAACAATGACTGAATCAACACTTGATGACTCGCCCAAGGTGGACGCGTCCATCGATCATCCAATAATCACAATTACTCCAATTGCCACTGAACCAACATCCATGGATGTGGACAAGGACATGGAAGTTGACAAAAAACAAGAAGAACCACAACAACAACAGGATACTCTGAGGACCAGCTTGTTTAAACCACGCAGCAGGACACTTAGTACAAGTCACCACCCTACAACTAAGAGAGCATTCCAAATACCAGTTCCAGGATTTGTGGAGAATAGTACAAGACTGCGATCATATGCCGAGAAGTTGGTACCAACATTCCCAAGTGCACTACGTGGCCGTATCAATCCATTCACATTGGTATTCAAACATTTGGCCAAACCAACCGAGGCCGACCTCGAGGAAGGATGCACGCGCACCTCCACCAAAGCCAGTGCGCGTCGCACTCGCCAATACCTAGTGGCCCAGCGAAAGAAGTCCAACATGACCGGGCGCTACATGTCCATCTCGACCCAAGATCCAATACTCAATGAGTTGGTAACAGGTATGTTTGATTGATTGAGCGAGGGCGAGGAAGTGGCGAGTCGAACTAAACTAACACTGTCGCGCGCATGTCTAGAGGGCGAGTTCGAGAGATACTTCAATATGATATGTACAAAGAAGGTTAGGATATTGGTGTTGGTAGCGTTGTTGATGGAGATTGCAATGTCTGTGTTCACATTCCTCAAGCATGGAAACTACGAGTTCACAAGAGACGCGGTCTACACAGTGGAGCTGGCACTCACTTTTGTCGTCGCATGTATAGTCATTCCATTCCCACGTACTACATCATACGTAGAAGTAGTATATCTTCAGATAATGCTATTAACCAACAATATTACAAGGATATGGTATTATGATGTTGTAAGTACTTCCTGCTCACGACTGAGTAGCCACACTCGTCGCCACGCATCCGCCACACGCTCGCCACTCACACTCGCCAAACAATCCAATTCCATCCAATCCAGTACCCTCCATACGAACCAACATATCAGATATACTTGTGGATCAACTTTGCACTGCCTACCGCCAAGTTCTGGCGAGCCTCGATCACGGGCACATTTGGAATCGTGGCCTTGGTGACGGTCCGCCTGATACAGGGCTACAGCAATGCGACTGATGTTGTGTTGTCACAGGGTGGTTCATACTTGGTCTACCTCGTAGCCGTTGCCTTTGGTTCACGATTATGCGAGATCATCAATCGTGCGCTGTTCACTGAGTTGATCCAGGTGTGCCCTCACCTGCCAGCCCAAAAGACATACGCGATCTTTGAGCGCCACTACAACAAGACCACGCACACAATCACTCAGCGCTTCAAGGATCCACACACTGAGGAAGAGTTCCTGCGATACTATGCATCCGAGTCGATCATTGAGCTTGGACTGGTGATGGCCACTCTGGCAACCACCATCTACTACGTGCTGCAGGACCACCTCTACGCAAAGCCAGGCACTCTCTACATCTTCCTGCTGCTGCGCATCTGTGTGATGGTGCCCGTCACGCTATCACTGCTGTACTTCTCGATCATGCGCCGTAAGCACCCGTACCGCGCCGACCTGATGTCGCTCGCGGCCTTTGCCGTGTTGATTGGCGTGCAGTGCTACATGTTCAAGTCGGTGACGTCGTGGGAGGGCAGTCTCTACTACTTTGGCGGTGTGATGCGCGTGCTTACATTGGGCGCGTCACAACTGTTCTTCCTGCCCATGCTCATTCTGCTGCCCATCAGCTTTGCCATCCTGCCCCTGGCCATCATCGAGTCGCAGAGCATGTACACCAACTACATCCTATTCCTCGTCATCCTGGTTGTTGTCCTTGGCTGCTACTCCTTGTTGCGTGAGAAGAATCAGCGTCTTCGCTTCCTCGTCCAGAGACATGCACGCGATATCCTGACGCCAGAGCTAGCACTCGAGTTGTCAGAGACTGCGACAGAGACCGCAACAACAACTGGTGTGGTGACAGCAGGCGCTACTACAGACAAGGATGAGGTCGGTGCGATAGAGATGACGATGATCCAGGATGCAGCGACCAAGATTGATGTGGTAGTGGACCATAATGATGACTCGCATGATCCCCAGTTGATCGTTAACATCATGCCAGATGGCACGCCAATCAAGGAGTCGACATTGTATGAGGAGCTGATCCATTCATCCACGCCACATACACAGTCCAATCCATCAACGCCACGAGGCAAGAAGAACCTGTTGGAGTATCCAAACAACCTAAGGTCGAGCAAGGGATGTGAATAGTGCAGTCCACTCATCCATCCTTGAGTCGACAAGGATGAAGATGAACAGTTTATTCGATCGCGAGTAATGACATTTACATGAAGTCAATCAACTCAATCTCGAATACCAATGTGGAGTTGGCTGGTATACCAGGCAAGCTCTTGGCACCATAGCCAAGGTCTAAAGTTGCAACAACATCAAAGGCAAGGCAAGGTTGTTAGCGAGAGCCAATGACACGTGTCTTCAACAACACCAACAACACAACAACAATAACATACCAGGTGTGATAGTGAATGTAGCTATCTCGCCAGGCTTCATTGTGGGAATGGCTTCTTCCCAACCTAGATTACATTACATTAAAGTCGTAGTAGTATTAGCATGAATGATTGACCGTTTGATTGATTGAATGAATGAATGAACGAGAGATACCATTGATAACTCTACCTTGACCAACAGTGAATTGGAATGGCTTGCCTCTTTGACGCGAGCTATCAAAGATTGTACCATTGAGTAGTGAGCCTACATAGTGCACATTGACCATGCTTCCACTTGATGGAGAGTCTTCATCTTGATCACCCTCTTGTTTGATCGTCTTCTCAATGCCCTAAACATCATCAGTCAGCATATCATCCTTCATTCTATATCTTTTCATCATGTATATCATTCATTCATACCATTGATCGATGTTGCTTATCACTTGTTGAATGATAGAATGCATGAGATTAGTCTTGGTTTGACCTGAACCCTGCCCTCAACCCTCGCCCTCAACCCTCATTCACTCATTCATTCACAACACTTCTCTTTCTTTTCATGTTGTAGTATCTGTAGATAGATAGATAGAGATAGATTGTTAAAGGGATAGGCCCATACAACGTTCCAATTTGATGACAAGATCAAATGGGTAATGGGCATAAATGATGACACCTCTATCTACACTTGCGCAATATCGCTTCATTCGAGCCCTCCAACTCATTCAGATATTTTGGCTCTTCAGCTTGTTGCGAAGTACCTCATGAGAATACTTCACGCGCGGACCAAAGCCAAACAAATATCCGATTGATTGAGGGCCACGATCCACATCGTGCACCCGCATTGGGATTGCAGGTCTGGCTTGCGCCGGAACTGGCCTTGGAACTGACTGAACTGAATAAGTTCAAAGCAATTTCAAAGTGTTGTTGCTTGTTGCTGTTGTAGATAGCAACAACTGTCAACAGCAGGACTAACAAACAATACAATAAGCAGCATGGTCAATCATTCAATCAAGTTGTTATTAATAACAAACACATAACTTAACTTAATCAATCAATCAATCAAAGAGAGATGTATAGACAAGTTGTTACAACATTGTGTCTTGTTGCCTTGGTATTGTGTTCGACCACATCGGCATTCACATTCCTCGCACAGGAGAATGGACTGACCGAGATGACCATCCGTAAATACTCACCATCCGCTGTGGACTCCAATCCATTGCCTGGCAAGGTAGTGTCCAGGATCAAGGGTGCCTCAACACTAAACAACGAGGGATTCTCCTGGGGTGTCACCTGTGTTGCCGGAAGCACCTACTTTGCCCTGCTAACCAACAACATCGAGTACTACATGTACGGAATCGACCTCACTACCAACCAGTTGGTGATCAATGGTTACTCACCCGTAAGTCATTCAATCAATCATGGACTGGAACTATCCCAATCACAAACTCACACTCATTCAATCAACAGGATAGCTCTGAGATGTATGTCCAAGCATTGGCTTATGATAGCACTATTGACGCACTGTTTGGAATTGCACCAAATGATATTGTACCATCATGGTATGATGTGGTCGAGTTGGACCAGAGCAAGGGCTCGATCAAGAAGAAGATCGGATCGCTCAAGTTGGGCGAGTACGAGTACACCGGCCTGTATACATACGATCAGAGCACATCGTCCATGTTCATCGTGTTCAAGCAGTTCACCAACGACTCGTCCACCACCCAGGAGGGCATGATGGTGATCAACACCCAATCCGGCGACGTCAGCGACGCCATCATGTTCACCGGCTACCACGCATCCGACACCAACCTCTGGAACATCGCCTTTGACCCCGAGTCCAAGGCGCTGTACGGCACCACCTCCAAGTACATTGGTACCGAGCGCGCCTTTGTCCGCATCGACCCTACCTCTGGCGAGATCACATCCATCAACAACTCGACCGAGGTGTGTTCTGGCAATGGACCCGTCATCCAAGACGGCTACTTCATCTCGCCTGGCCACGACAGTGTAAGCTCCAGCACCATCTACTACGTCAACATCACCACTGGACACATTGACAAGAAGTACAGCAACTCTGATGCCCTGTCCCTCATCTCTTTCCTCAGCGTCTACGACGACTCCTCTGATCAGTAATGAGGTAGTCATTATCATCATTGTTATCTCTATCTGTCCAGCCTGTCAAGTCTGTACATGTGCCACTGCCACTAGCACGTGATGGTGTGATGGCGAGAGTGTTCAAAGGAAGTGGGCCTTTTTTGGGTTCACGATGAGTAAATTTCAATCAAAAAGGAGAAACGAAACGAAGTTACGTTTGTTTGGAACTGTGTTGTTGGGCGAGGGTGTCAAAGGGAGGACTTGCCAGGTACACCATCATCTCCCAACATGAGTGTGTTGATAGTGATAGTGCTATTAGTGTGATCTTAAAAGATAATATCAGGGTCAATACATATCCCTTAAGGAAGTCAATTCTTCTTCCACATCATAATAACGAGTGGTCGAGTCAACTTCAAACACCCCTTCACTCACTCATTCATTCACTCATTTACCCACTTTGATCAATCACTCACTCACTCCATCAATCACCCAATCACACTAGTTATAACATAACCACAATCACTTATTCACATCCATTCATTCATTAACTCATTCACTCATTCATTCATTCATTATCTCTCAATTCAATCATATAAATATTCATTCAATCAAACAATAAGTCATGAAGTTCTCCAAATACTTGACGACAGTCACTGTTTGGAATCATGACTATATTCCATATCAGAGACTCAAACGAAGGATTCGATCATTATACTCTCCAGTGATGACTCGTAGTTTGGTTGAGTCAATCACAGCCACAGGCACAACATCATCCTCCTCTGCACAAGCCCAGCCACAGCCACAAACTCAAACTCAAACTCAAACACCAACCCCAACACCAAGCGACTTCTTATCACAACTGGAATCAGAGGTGCTCAAGGTGGACCAGTTCATGCAGGAGAAGGAGAGCGAGCTGTACAATCGATACCTGTACCTGCTGTCCCGCTTCCGCGCCACAGACTTCTCGTCGCCATTCTCCTCGTTCCTGTTGCCAATCGACGCTCAGCTGCTGGATGCCGCCGGAATCGCTGGCTACAAGGAGATCAATCCGATGTGGGCCTTCCAAAAGGCCTACGAAGACGTGATCAATCAGTTGGCTCAGTTGGAGAAGTATGCCAAGATCAATGTGTGGGCCGTGCAGAAGCTGATCAGCTCATGCACCAAGAAGAAGACGAGAATTGAGACTCGTCGACGCAACTCAATCGGTGAGCACCTGCCCAACCAGTTCACCTCTTCTCCGCTGCCTCACAAGAAGGTCCTCTATCAATCACCCAACGTGCCTTCAGTCATCTCGGATACAGTGTCGCCAACAACAACATCAGTTGCCAACAACAACGATAAGACTAATGGCAATGGCAACAACAATGCAGAGGATGTGATGGATTCATTCTTTGAGCGCATTGTTAGCCACACAGAGATTGGAAACTGCAACAGACTCAAACAACTATTGCAAGAGGTGGAGCGCGAGTATCAGATCATCACTCAGAATGGTGCAGTCTATCTGAACAATCAATACATCAACTTGTTAAGTGTAGGTTGATCGATGAGTGGGTTGGGGCTGGAATCATTCCATCCCATAAACTAACACACATACATTCAGCCAAAGGAACAGGAACTATCACAGAGAGTGGCCAATCTTAACAACTTGGTGATCACAAACAATGTTGTAGCATTACGAGAGTAAGTGATCAAAGTGATCAATCATGATTGAGGCCAGGGCCTTGGCCCCCTGGACCTTTCTAATCATGGTCCACCCACCCACCCCTCCAACCTCTTGCAATAGGAGCATTGTGTTCATCAAACAGACTATGCAAGAGTTGAACATTGCGAACGATGTAGCGATGTGGCGCGAAGCCATTCATTCATGCATTCACAAGGCGGCCTCATTGGGCGCCGTAGAAGTGGCCAAGGTGATCTTTGACATACTTGGCTCAATAGTGGACATTGACTACCTGGACGAGGTCGACAAGAAGTTCATTCACATCGCGTCTGGCCGTGGACATCCCCAGTTTGTCGAGTTCCTCATTGAGCGCGGCGCGCGACTCGACAGCCAGGATTTCCTCAAGCGCACACCCCTTCACACAGCAGCGCAGTACGCTCACTACGACATTGTCAAGCTGCTGCTGGCCAAAGGCGCACCCATCGACGTCAAGGACCGTGATGGCTGCACGCCATTAAATCTTGCGAGCAGACACACGGGCGACAGCTCGCGTGTCATTGAGCTGCTGCTCAACAGCGGCTCGCCTCTGTCGCCAGGACCCTATGGCCGTCATCTCATCCACGAGGCGGCCATCCAGGCCAATGTAGCCAATGTTGCGGCCATCTTGGCTCACGCCAAGACCGACGTCAACCAGCTCGACTCATTCGGACGCACCGCCCTGTTTGAGGCAGCCAAGAACGGCAGCACGGATACACTCCTCCTGCTGCTTGCCAAGAACGCGCTGATTGACATCATCGACGAGGACAAGCGCACGCCCATGCATGTGGCTGCGTCACGCGGACACACCAACGTGCTAAACACACTCATTGAGCACATGCTCAAGGACAGCCCAGCCAGCGAACTCACACGTCTGATCAACTCGCAGGACTATGATGGATGGACTGCGCTACACGAGTCAGCTTACTTCAACTTCATCGAGTGCACCAAGACCCTGATGACACACGGCGCCAACCCATTCGTTCAAGATAATGATGAGTGGTCACCCGTGGTCCATTCATTGTACCGCGGCAACATGACCACTGCGCACTCAATCTGGGAGCACGTCAAGAAGACTCCCGAGCTGCTCGAGATGATCACCTCGCAGCCATCGACACCTTCACTACGCGACTCCAAGGGCCTCCCCCTGCCCAACCCTAGCCCGCGCATTGACCTTTTGCGCTCTGACACTGAGGTGCGCAACAGCACGTCGGGTGCATCAACACCAAGCCGCACTCCGGCAATCACCGTCGCTACCGCCTCCACAAGCAATGGCGGCGCCGCTGACGGATACACACGCAAGATAACCAAGGGATCGATGTCTAACGTCACCTTTAGGATAACAGCGCGAGTCAAGCCTGGATACCGTGTGGGCGTCATTGGCAACCGTAAGGCATTGGGCAAATGGAACCCGGGCAAGGCCCTGTTCCTCACACAGGACGATACTGCGATCAACGCCAACGCTGGAGAGTCGACATGGGTGGGCAAGGCGACGCTACCCACTGATGTCCAGGTCGAGTACAAGTACATCATATGCCAGGGCAATCGTCTGGACATGTGGGAGGCACTGCCTGAAAACCGCAAGTTCCTGCCCGAAGAGGAGGTAGAGCTCCTCGACGACGGCACCTTTGGATCGGTGCCCATGCTCGACGACCTGGCCCTCCCGCCCCAGATCTCCTCCCAGTCCGAGTCTCCACTTTCACCATTGCTGTCACAATCACAGCAGTTGTCCCAGCCCAAACAGCTGCAACCTTTAACTCAAACTCCATCACAGACCCAGCTCCTGCCACAACAGCAGCCACAAAAGACTGTGTTTGTGGAGAAGGGATGGCTGGTGCAGGACTATCAGATACGCTTGAGATTCGGTGAGACCTCTCCAAAGGACCCACAACGCAAACTCATTCAGCCGATCAAGATCTTTGGCCAGGTCGAGGTTGGTAGGATTGTCGTTACGCTCAAGGACCGCCAGTCACAGACCCTGGCTGGCACCTTGCCCACCCAGTTCACCTCACCCCTGTCCGTGGACCAGTACGTCTGGTTCCAGTTCCACGAGATTGATCGTGTGGCCACCGTCCAGTTTGACATGTATCGTGCAGGTATGTCCAGCGTCCTGGTCGGACGCGCTGTCCTGCTCGCATCAGACCTGCTCAACAAGTCGCCATACAAGTGCACGCTCCCAATCATGAGCGCCACGCTCATGACCATTGGTGAGTTCACCGTGTTCCCACTGGTCGTGTCACCATTCACACATCCACGCATCAGTGATGTGCTCTCCAACACATACTGGAAGTCGACCATGCTGATTGGCCATCGCGGCGGTGGTGCCGAGTATGCCCGTAACGTCGGCAAATACAAGCGCACGCACATCAAGGAGAACACCATCCTGTCGTTCGTGACCGCCGCGTCGCTCGGCGCACAGTACATCGAGTTTGACGTGCAGCTGTCGCGTGACAACGTGCCCATCATTTTCCACGACTATGAGATCAAGTGCACGGGCGCCGGCAATGTCAAGGTGCCCATCAACAAGATCCGCGCCGACCAGATCCACAACCTGCAGCCAAAGCCACCCGCTAAAACCAAGTCTTCGCGCGAGCCCCATCACCAACAACTTCAACGACAGTCGCGCTCGCGCTCCATGGAAGACCTGCTCGTGGATGTCAATGGCGGCGGAAACACCCAGGCCGGCAGTGGCGACAAGTCCGACGAGGAGGAAGAGGAGGAGGTTGAGATGGTGTCGGACTCGATGACCTCGCTCGAGGAGACGTTCAAGAAAGTACCCATCCAGACTGGCTTCAATATCGAGATCAAGTATCCCAACGAGGAGAAAGAGAACGCGCTCAAGCTTCACTATCTCGATCGCAACAGCTATGTGGAGCGCATTCTGGCCGTGGTGTTTGAGCACGCCGGCGATCGCCAGGTCATGTTCTCATCATTTGACGCGGACATTTGCATCATCTGTTCGCTGAAGCAGCCGCGCTACCCCGTCTTCTTCCTGAACAATGCGGGATTCTCGCAGCATTCTGACCCGCGCGCCAACTCCATTTGCGAGGCCATTCGCTTCTCCAAGTCTGCGCATCTGTTGGGCATCGTCACCAACTCCAAGATCTTAACAGAGGGCACGCCAATCATTCGCGAGGTCAAGCAAGCTGGACTGATGCTATGCTCCTGGGGTGAGGAAAACAATGACCCAGTGCTAGTCGACCTCCAAGAGACCCTCGGAGTCGATGCCGTCATTGTTGATCACGTGGCTCACATCTCAAGGCATTATAACAAGTAATAATAATAATAATAATTAATAATAACATTCATACATTTCCATGCTGGAATGGAAATATTCCAATCAATCAGATCTGATCAGTCAGTGCACTCATATATATCTTGATTATATATCTTGATCAAATATCTTAATGATATCCAATTGGTTAAACATTTATTTCCGAACTGTAGTTCATTGTTTCTTCCCATTTCCTCTTTTGGGTTCCAAAATAAACTGATGGGGTCAAAACGATAAAGTTAACTTCACACACTCATAGAGTGATCATTCATTCTTACATTCATCGTCAATCAATCAATCAATTAACTAACTAGTGTGTGTGTGTTTGTGTGTTTATTGATGTTGTTGCAAAAGCATCGTCTCATAACAATCATCACTCATTCTTCATCATCATTATTCAAACAATTATCAACAAATAATTATCATAATCTTATAACTTCATTATCATCTATATCATTGTTTAGTAGTACAAGTACATCAAGAACAAGAATGTCAAACCCATCAACTCCACCCAACAAGGAAGTAAACATTAGAGCTGGCGTCGAAGATCTGATGAAGCGTCGTTTCTTCATTACACCAGCATTCCAGATCTATGGTGGTGTGGCCGGTCTCTACGACTACGGTCCCCCCGGTTGCGCCATCAAGGCCAACCTCATCAGCTACTGGCGTCAACACTTTGCCAACTACGAGGACATGCTCGAGATTGACTGCACAGCCTTGACTCCAGAGATCGTCCTAAAGTATGTTTGTTCAGTCGGTCGAGCGAACGAATGATTGATTGATTGAACGCGACTAACCTTGACTCCAACTCAACTTGTAGGACATCAGGTCACGTTGCCAAGTTTGCAGACTTTGTCGTGAAGGACACAGTGACTGGCGCTTGCTATCGCGCTGATCACTTGCTCGAGGGCCACATTGAGAAGTTGCTCGTCGATAAGACATTGTCGGAGGAGAAGATCAAGGAATACAAGCACATCTTGTCACGTGCTGGCGACGCCCCACAGGATGAGTTGGCCGAGATGCTGACCAAGTACGCCGTCAAGGCACCGGACAATGGCAACCCAATCAGCGCGCCAGTGCCCTTCAACCTGATGTTCCAGACCCAGATTGGTCCAACTGGCCAACTGCAGGGCTACCTCCGTCCCGAGACTGCCCAGGGTATCTTTGTCAACTTCAAGCGTCTCCTTGACTTCAACGGCGGTCGTCTTCCATTCGCCGCTGCACAGATTGGCAACTCGTTCAGAAACGAGATCGCCCCACGTTCTGGTCTGCTGCGTGTGCGTGAGTTCACGATGGCCGAGATCGAGCACTTTGTGCACCCAGATCGCAAGAACCATCCAAGCTTCCCCGAGGTCGCCAACATCAAGACCTACCTGCTGACGGCCAAGTCGCAGGGCACCACCAAGGAGGTCGTCGAGATGACCTTTGGCGATGCCGTCGCACAGAAGGTGATCAACAACGAGACTCTCGCCTACTTCATGTGCCGTACTCAGCTTTTCCTGCACACTGTCGGCATCAAGCCCGAGCGCATGAGATTCCGTCAGCATCAGTCCAACGAGATGGCTCATTATGCCACCGACTGCTGGGACGCTGAGATCCACACATCGTACGGCTGGGTCGAGTGTGTTGGTCACGCCGATCGTTCGTGCTACGATCTCAAGGTACACTCTGACAAGTCACAGGTGCCCCTCGTCGCCTTTGAGGAGTTCAAGGATGGTCCCAAGACCGTCGATGTCTTTGACGTCAAGGTCGAGAAGGGTCTCATTGGCAAGACCTTCAAGGGCAACGCCAAGGAGCCATTGGACTTCCTCGCCGAGCTCTCCAACAACTTTGACAAGGCACTCAACTTCAACAAGGAGTTGGAGGCCAACGGGTAAGTCTTGACAGCATGCATGTATCTATCATCAACATCAACTAACATCGCTCACCAACCCAACAACAGCAAGGTGACTATCAAGCCATCAAACACTGACTATGTGATCACAAAGGACATGGTCACCCTGAAGCAGGCTCAGAAGAAGATCAGCGGTGAGAACTTCCAGCCACATGTTATTGAGCCATCATTCGGTCTTGGCAGAATCATCTACTCTTTGCTCGAGCACTCCTATTATGTTAGAGACGGTGACGAGCAGAGATGCGTGCTGGCCCTGCCACCAATCATCGCTCCAGTCAAGACATCGTTGCTGCCACTGACCGGCAGCGAGAAGCTGGCTCCATTCGTCGCTCGTATCAACCGTCTCCTGAAGGACGCCGGTATCTCTGCCAAGGTGGACGAGACTGGTTCGGCCATTGGTCGTCGTTATGCCAGAACCGACGAGATCGGTATCCCATTCGCCATCACTGTCGACTTTGACACTGTTGAGAACCAAACCGTCACTCTGCGTGAGCGTGACACCACCAAGCAGGTGCGTGTGCCAATCACCGAAGTTGCCCAGCTCCTCAAGCAGCTCTGTGAGAACATGCTCGAGTGGAAGGATGTTCTTGCCAAGTACCCAGCCTACGTCCCAACCAGCGAGAACTAAACTATAATACATGTTCTGTTGTGTCTTTCAATCATTCAATCCATCTAACTAAGTTGGTGTTTCCGCGTGGTAGTTACTGTTTCCGCGCGACAATGCGTCGAGAGTCGCAACCTTCATTGATGTTTATTCCTGATGAGAGATAGTTCGCATTCATGCCTTCTCTGCTTGTTGAGTTACATATATGCGCTGCGCTTAGTTGAGGGGAGATGTACACCAATCATAAATAGGGTTAGGGTAGGGTTGGGTTGGGAGGGGAAGGAGGAAGATAGAGTACAGGTGTTGTTGTTGATGCTGTTGTTTGTTCGTGTGATCACATGACATTGATAGTCAGTGTGATACACTCCGAGGTGATATCAAGTAATGCTATATGTCCAATGAATGAATGAAGTTGAGTGAGGTTACTGAAGCTTGGAGAGGATGAGCTTGGTGGCATCGGCAGAGTTGATGAAGCCGTCATTGTCTGTGTCACACTCGCGAACTAGATCGCCAGCCTCTTGTCCGTTCATGGCGTCGCCCATTGACATGAGGATCTGCTTCAGGTAGTCGCATGAGACAAATCCATTGCCCTCCTGATCGAAACAGTTGAATGCGCGTCTCAGCTCGTCCTCTGGGTCAGTGATCTGCAGCTTCTTGACGACGATGGCCAAGAATCCATTGATATCAACGCCCGAGGCGACATCATTCTCATTGAGATTGACACCGACTGACTTGAGTGCCATGAGTGCCTCCTTTGAGTTTAGTCTACCATCATTGTCCTTATCGAACATCTGGAAACAAGTGTTGAACTCCTGTCGCTGATCGTCTGTCAATTGTTCCTGTTTTGTTTGATTGATTGAGTTTGATTGAATGAGTGGGAGTGAGTGAGTGAGTGAGTTAGTTAGTGGATAGATTGTCTTCTTACCATTATATATCTTTGTTTGTTTATGTATTTATGTAGGATTAAGATGTAGTATGAATGATTTTGATCATCTACTTTGTGGACTCATCAAAACTAACTTTACCTCAGTGCAAAAATTAAAATCCAAACCTTGGACCCAATTTATTTGAATCTGATCACTTGGGTCCACCCAATCAAATCCCTATCCTAAAAAAAACAGACTACTTTATGAACAGTTATTAACTGTTTGCATCGGATAACAACTATACCTACTTCTACTCAATCACTCACTTCCGGGGACTCGGATATATTGGATTGAGTAGACTTGACTTCCAGCCATCCGACCAAACAAACAAACAAACAAACTCTTAACATTCACTTTCTCAATCTCAGGTAGTTCCACAAGTGTGCATTCATTCACTCATTGTCATTCCAATTATGTAGCCAGAGTGTTTCGTCATTACCACACACACATAATAGGGGTCTAGACCTTTCCACTTCCACCCACTCACCACTACACTACACTTTGGATCTTGAACAAAGGACAAAGATCCCACCCTCAACTTGAGAATTGGACCTCAGTCGACAAGACAGCGGACTACAGTGGATCGGCATGTTCCAGACTGGAACGATGAGATGGACCACTAGAGCAGCATGCTACTCTACAACTTTCTAAAGTCTTTGGACTCACTCTCTCCAAGACTATGACAAGTAAGTGGAGGTCAAGCCAAGTCCAACACTACAACATATAAGTCTAACCCAACCTACTTCAAACACATAAACATAAATAGTAGTAGACATACTATATTAATCAGATAAATGTCAAGTACAAAGGCCCAACAGTCAACAATGAAGGAAGGTATGAATGTCACACATCAACCAAACAACGCCGGGATGACATGTAAATAATTAACAAATACGTGAAGGAGTATTCAAGAGCATTGGTTCCAAGTCAAAGGTTGCATTCTTTAAGGCATACAATACAATGCAACCAAAGATGGAGAATGGTTTGGGTAAGACAAAGATGATGGGCGAGAAGGCAAAGGGTAAGCTACAGGATGGTCTGCACACATCCAAGATCAAAGCCGACAAGTTCATATGCAAGGCCAGAGGTCAGGCATTCGTCAGTGATGGTTACGAGCCATTGTTGGACAACCAATACTTATAGACATGTCCAAGGATAGGACAAACAACCTGTAAATATAATACTTTATTTATTCTACACATACTAGACTATTCACTTGTTCTTGATTGATTCGGTTAGTCTTGCACGTCTGGATGATTGATTGAGCAAGTCCTTCTCAGAGAGACATTGCTCGAGTGAGTAGCGAGTTGCGACTACACTTGATTGAGTGGTGGCCGCATCTCCAAGGAGTGCAAGCGAGCCAATGACAGACTCTGTTGGGCTTGCACACAATGGGAATAAGGATGCAGTCCAAAGTGAATGGTCGTCAGTCTTCCAAACACTCTCGGTCGCCAGACTATGCTTGGTGAGTAGCTGTTGAAGTGGCGCACCCAAGAATGTTGGGTTGGAGGTTGCCTTCAATGCATCGTCCACGCCAAACAACACAGTGACATAACCTTTGTTATTGATGCACAGGGTTTGAATGAATGTGTTGGAGGGGATTGTGAGCGAGGCTCCTTTGCCATCGCCCTTGTACTCAATGTCTGAGACGATGCATCGTTGTCCAATTGATGCATTCACATTGATCAGTTGACAGTACTCCAACACAGATGATGATTGGATTGAAATACGTCCTTGATCAAACAGACAGTGGATTAGGACAGAGTTGGCGTCGATCAGTTTGCTATCGTCCAGCCTGGAGTAGACCACATTGACCGAGCCAATCTTTGGGAAGTTGAGCGTGAAGTGTTCAATGTACTCATGACATGTTCCAATATGAATGAATGATGATGGATTGAGTGGTAATGCTGTCAACTGAGTATGATTGTTGTTGAGCAGATCAAAGAGTTTCCTGGATTGTTTGTTTGAATGAGTGTCAGTCAGTCAATTGCACAGCCCTAACCCGCCAGTGATCGCGATCAAACATACTTTCGTTCCTGTGCTATCAGAGGAGTGTACACAGTGACATTGTTCTTGTTCTCAAAGTAGTCACCTTTGGCGCATGATCCCAGTGGCTGCAGGAAGTCGCTGTAGGCATCGATCTCGCATTGGATAGGACTGTTGGCATTGTAGTATGCCAGCAACAGTTTGGTGGTGTCGCTGTCAAAGAAGTAGCAACTGTCGAGCAACACCTGGTTGTTGGGGAGGATGGCGCCCTCCTGCTCCATCTTGGCCTTGGATGGCTTGTGAAGGTAGCGTACACACTTGTTTGGCTGGTTTGGTGTGTACTTGTCATTGTGCTCCAGGATGAAGATGCCATGGCCGAGTCCGACGTCAATGGTGCCGGGATGCGCCAGCGCTGTGAAGCCTGGCGCGGTCATAGTCATACCTTTCGACTCAAACAGTTCAATATCATCTGAGCAAGCCAAGAAGATGCCAGGTTTCATGCTGATGGGGAAGTCGATCAAGATAATGATCTTCATCTCCAACATTGTGATGGCGACTCCATTCGGTTCCAACTGGAATGGCAATGATGCAAAGATCTTGCCAGAGGTTGAGTGATTGGGCAATCTCTTTGAGTATCCACCAGCATGTAACAGTAGTACTTTAGCTGTTTGTTTGATTGATTGATGATTGATTGAGGAAATCGGGCATTAGTACATGGACTGCCTGGGACATATAGAGATTGTTTTTGACATTACTGTTTGAGAGTACATCTGGTGTTAAGAGTTGGCTGAGACATGCCAGAGTATAGAGTGTCGATCCTCCGCATCCTATCTTGGCTCCAACAGGGTCTGCAATGACAAAGTACTTTACAAAGGAGGGAATGAGACGTTGTTCAATCTTTTGTTTGATCATTCGTTCATAATGAGCCTTTTGTTCCTCATCGATTGCAGTGATAACAATCACATCAAAGAATGATTGTCTGAGCTCTATATGTGATTGATTGTTAGTTGTTTGGTTGGTTATCGACACTTAAGCCGTTCATGATCATTCATACCTTGCATTACGGAATCACCAAGTAGTTGCTTATATCTTGCTATCTTCCTGTCTTGAATCGATCGATACACAGACAGTGTGTCCACATCATTACTGAATCCTAACTCCATTATCTTGTTGTAGTTGTTATTACAAGATTGGTGAACATGCAAGTCTTGTGAAAGAATGAATGGGTGGGTTCGAGGCTTCTGTTAAATTTGATGTTGAAAGAGGCACATGATCATCAGTTTATTTACATTTCAAAGATAGAGATAGAGATAGAGATACATGTACATATAAACATGTATAACAAATAGTTAATCAAAGCTTGGTAGTGCCAAGCATTGCATACTTTCTAATGTTGTTGGTGATGGCTGCTACTAGTTTATCGGATTCCTCTTCGGTTATGGCACCCTTTTGATAGCCCATCGTACCGGTGAAGTGCTCGAGTGACTCACCGCCAATGAAGGAGATGAGCAATGCGCCTCCAGTGACAATGGCCGTCTGTGCTACCGATAGCTCCTTACAGGTCCACTCACCGCCCTGCTCAATGTGCATCTGGCCCATGTCGTTCAGGATGAATGACGAGCTCCTGCCCATTGGATAGACCTCCAGGTTCTTGGACCAGAGGTTGAGCAATCGGTTGGGGAAGTTGTCCGAGATGTAGTTCAGCATGTTGGAGAGCTTGAGCGACTCAAGGTAGTGAGTCCTCAGGTACATCTTGTACTTGGCACTCTCATCCCAGAAGTTCTTGGTGTCCTCCAAAGCGTGGGGCTTGACCACCGTGTCCCTGGTCACGGGCGTCACAAAGATGCCAGTCTCTTCGTCGGGTACCTTGCATGCTCGACGCACATTGACCATGGTCGAAGAACGCAGGGTGAGTGGCTGGCCATTACTAAACACATCAGAGATGGATTGGATGATCACCGTGTATAGGCCGGCGTGTGGCGTCACCTTGTTCTGCATGCACGTCCCGATGAACGACATCATGTCACCAGTTGGCACGGACATGACACGGATTCGACAGTTGCAAGCCTCCCACTCTTGTCGCTTGGTGCCCGCCCAGAATCTGTTGCGGTGTCTCTTGATGGACGCGGGCATGTAGTTTAGATGCGCAATGATGGGCAGCTTCTCCATCAAGCTCAGAGACGTCGGGTTCATACGTTCAATTGTGTCGTTACAATGGTAGCCACCCTCTAGGTAGTCAAAGTGTAGGATGCTGGACTCGAGGTGACCCGTAGAGAACTTTTCGTTGTGGATCGAGCGCAGGAGTGTCTCGACGATCAGTCTCGCGCCATTACCATCGGAAAGAACATGGTTGAAGTTTAGGATCATCAGGAACTCGTTGAGACGAGAGTGATGCCAGAAACAGGTGATTCTCATCAATGGCGAGATCTCGTCCAGGGGCATCTCAGTGTGCAACACCTCTTCAAGGCGTCGCTCCATGTCTTTTCGGGTCCAGAATGGCGTCTCCTCGTAGATGTGCACGACTTGCGATAGGTCCACAGACTTGAAGCGAGTGAAGCATGGGTTTTCCGACGAGGCATTGGCCACACCCATCTGGATGAAGTGGTTCTCGAGGAATAGTTGAGAGGCAATGAAGTAGCATCGTTGTGTAAGGTATTCATTGGACAATGTTATTCCATCGGCCACCTCAAACTTCATACTGAATCCTGGAAATCCATAGATTCCCGCCAACTGTTTGGAAAGTTGGTATTTCTCCGCCACGCCAAGAGGTCTCAAAATTTCATATTGATCATTATTAATATTATTATTATTGGTGGTTGTCATTTCTTTCTTTTTTTTTCTATTAATATTATTATTAATAAACTTGTTGACTTTGGTTGAAACAAATATTAATATTTGAGCTTATAATTGATTATGGATGGATGGATGGTTGGGTTGGATGGATGAAAGGATGGAAGGATGGATGGATGGTTGGAAGGATGGATGGATGGTTGGAAGGTCAAGATTGAAGGATTTACGGGGAAACGTATGGCGCTTGGAAGCAGGCGAGCTTGGGAGTTAAGGATCATTCATTGATCAATGAGACGTCACAAAGCAATGATAAGTCTTATCACATGCCTTTAATGGGTATGTAAGATTCATTGTTATTGTGGTCTCGTCTGGTTGGATAGCCATAAGTGTGTGAGTGAGTGTACAATCGATTGTACCCCCTGACTCTCGCTCACTATCAATAACACCTTTCACTCACTCACTTACAGTCGTTCTTCATTACCACACCTGTCGTTTTCCGTGCTCGACCACTGCATTCAACAATCGATTGAGTACATACAAATTGTGTGTGGTTATATGTCTGAGTAGGAATTAAGATGACGATTAGTACTTAGCGAGTGTAGAGGGGTGTGGATTTATGTATCTCAACATTCAGATCCTTTTTTCGCAAACTTGGCTCAGTGGCTACAATGAACCAAGAGGTATCACATCATCTTTCGAATGGATATCATCCAGAGTGGTAGAATAGGCAGTACGGGTACACCTTAACTCTTGACTTTTGACTCGGTCAAGACTTGAACAAAAGTCCAATGGTTCGACCAGTCGAATCCCCTTTTAGGGTAACGACTTTCCTATTTTAATATTCAAGGATCTTAATTATCCTTGAACAATATTATTTATATATATATATGGTATTTTAGGGAATAATAATATTAATGTCGATCTTTCTCAACATCTCTTCGTAGACTTGGGACGAGTCCTTTTCAAATCTATTTCCTAGGAAGTAATACCTGTCTATAGATGATAGTTGAACTGAAGATCTTTATTTGTTGGGATGTCAATTCTCACAACATCTTTAAAGTTTTGAGATAAGATTACTTGGTGTTGTTGAGTACTTGTGTATATTCTTGATGAATGCTTGAACTAGATGCTCGCCCTCTGCCTCGGTGATCGCTCCTCTCTGATAACTCATTGTTCCAATGAATGACTCATGTGTATCACTGCCAACTAAAGAGAACATTAATGTGCCTCCAGTGACTATTGCCGTCTGACTTGCCATCAATGCTTTGCAAGTCCATTCACCTTCTTGTGATATCTTGTACAGACCCATATCGCTGAGTAAGAAGCTGGATGAACGACCCATTGGATAGTCACTAATGTTCTTTGACCAATACTCCAGTGCACGATTTGGGAAGTCGTTGGTGATGTACTCCATCATGTTTGAGTATCTGACGGAGTTGGTGAACATATTCCTCAGGTGGTTCTTGTACTTGGACGTCTCATCCCAGAAGTTCCTGGGTTCCTCTAATGCCTTGGGTGGGACAACAGTGTCCCTGTTTATCGTTGACAAGTATAGACCAGGGTCAGAGTCAGCCAACTTGCAAGGTTTGCGTAAGTTGACAATGGTCGATGAACGCAAGGAGAGTGCACGTTCATTACCAAACACTTCTGAGAGACATTTCAAGATGATGGTGTAGATTCCAGAGTGGGGAGTAACCTTGTTCTTCCAACAATTATCCACGAATGACATGAATGAGTCCATTGGTACGGTCAATAATCTGATACGACTGTTACATCTGTCCCATTCTTGACGTTGTGATCCGGCCCAGAAGGTATTCAGTTGTCTCTTGATGATCGATGGAAGGTAGTGGTGGTGGACTATGACAGGCAACTTTTCCATGATGGTCATCTTTGATGGATTATGGTTGTCAAGTGTACCGGTCATCTTGAATGTGCCCTCATCAACCAATGATATAATGTTATCCAATTGACCAAGATCCTCAACCTCAGTCAATGAGTTGGACATTGTTAACAAGTCCTCCACAACAGCCTTTGTTCCAAGCCCATCCGAGACCACATGATTGAAGTTTATCACCAAGAAGAATTGGTGTGTTCGCTCTTGATGCCAGAAACATGTAATTCGCATCAGTGGGGAAGTCTCATCCATGTGTATCTCCTGATGAAGTACTGTTTCCAAGGCAGTCTCCAAGTTCTTGGTATGCCAGAACTCATAGTCGTCAACAATCTCAATAACTCGATTCAGGTCAACTGATGTGAATCTAGTGAAGTGTGGTTCGGTATCAACCTTGCAAACTCCCATCTGAAGGAAATGATGTTTGTTGAATAGTTGAGCGGCTATATAGTTGAACTTCTTCAAGAGGTATTCATTTGATATCACAGTTCCAGGTGCAACATCGATAATCAATCCATAACCAGCAGTACCGTACAATCCTCCAAGTTGTTTGGATAATTGATATTTCTCTGATCCTCCAAGAGGTCTAAGTATTGTATAAGGTTTGTCTCTTATTTTTGGTATATTTATTATATCATTATGTATTTGAATATCTGACATTATAAATTAATTAAATAAAAAAATATTTATCTTATTAAATTTATAATAATTATTTATTAACTTAAGTTACCAAACCTACCTATGTGACAATTGTACATGTTACCATTTGGTCAGGTCATGTCTCTCCAATCATTCATTCATTCGTATAGTCAGGTCAATCGTTAATTCAATAATTCTTTCAATTAGGTCAACTAGGTGAGTGAGCCAGTCTGCCCGCAAGTTTAAAACTCGTTGTGAATGATGACACCATGTAAGATGAGTTCCACATTAACTAGTTACGAATTATCCTCACTTCATACATTCAATCATACACACTCATTATAATCCAACTTAATTCATTCAATTGATGGAGAGAATGAGTGAATGATTGACCGGCACAGATATGGATTTAGATCAGGTGGTTGTTGGGTGATCCAGATGAAATGCGCATCTGACTTTCTTTCGTTTCCTGTGTCAGGTGATTGAGGGGTGGGTTGATCAGAAGTCAACACATTAGTGTGTGATAGAATGAATGAGGGTGGGTGATAGGATGCATCTCTGTTTATTATTCAAAGAGATGGACGAAGTAGATCTACACCCTCGGGTTTGAAATTGAATGAATACTTCCTGATCTTCTTGGCCATTGTATCCAAAAGTAGTGTCGCTTCACGTTCGGACACGGCTCCCTTTTGATAGGACATGGAGCCGATGAACTCGGCCAACGATTCATTGCCCAGCAAGGAGAATATTAGTGGCGCACCGGTCACACTGGATGTTTGGCCGACCGACAGTTTCTGAATGCTCCATTCACCGCCTGGTGGGGGCATGTTGAACCAACCCAAGTCGCTTATGATGAAGCTGGAAGTTCGGCCCATGGGATAGTCATCGATTTGTGTGGCCCAGTAGTTGACAATGCGGCAGGGGAAGTCGGAGGTCATGTAGCCCAGCATGTCGACCACCTTGGAGGCAGACTGGAAGTGATTCCTCAAGTGTATCTTGTAGTCGTTGCATTGTTCCCAGAAGTACTTCTCATTCTTCATCATCAACTTGGGTGGGAGGATTGTATCGCGATTGATTGTTGTGATGAATATTCCTGGTGCGGTATCGTTCACCTTACATTGTTTGCGCAGGTTGACAACGGTGGATGAGCGCACCTTGAGTGGTTCGTTGCGTCCAAACACCTCTGCCAGCGACTCGAGGATCACCGAGTACAGACCAGCATGTAGACTAGATCCATGACTCTTGCAACACAGTCCAAATAATCTAAATTCATTCATTGGGATTCTGAACTCGCGTATGCGACTGTTGCATACCTCCCATTGCTGGCGAACGCTGCCGGCCCAGAACGAGTTGAACTTACGCTTGATGAATGAGGGCACTGTGTAGTACATCATAATCGTTGCCAACTTGCGCAGATTGCTCATCTTCTCTGGGTTTGATTGTTCCATTAGGTCCATCACCTTGAACTCTGACTTGTCTATGAGGTCTACAATGTTGGAGTCGTAGTGTATGTCTGGTGCTTCGGCCTCGTTTGAAATGTCCACGAGTTGTTCAATCAAGTCGCGCATGCCAACTCCATCGGACATCAAATGATTGAATGAGAATATTAAGATGAACTTGTCAGGTACGTCACAATGCCAGTAACTGGTGAACCGGAATAGAGGAGTGTTGGGGTCGAGGCTAAACTCGCGATGTAACAGGAACTCGGTGTTTCGATCCATGTGAGCGTCATCCCATATTGGACAATGGTCGACGATCTCCACGATCTTGGACAAGTCCAATGACTTGAGACGAGTGAATAAGGGCTGGTCAGAGTTGGCATTGCTTATTGATAATTGTAAATGCTGGAATCTGTTTGCCAAACTAACTGCCAGGTGACATGTCTTCTTGTAGAGGTAGTCATGTGTGAGAGTGATTCCTGGACGCACCTTTAAATGATACTTGAAGCATGGATTTCCATAAGTTCCAGCTATCTGTTTACTAAGATGATATTTCTCCGATTGACCAAGTGGTCTTAATATATAATTATTATTATTATTATTATTAATATTAATATTATCTAATATTGTTGACATTTTGGAAATATTATTAAATTTGATTGATTGATTAATTAATTAATTAACAATTTATATTATAATATATTTATACTACTACTACTAAGGTAAGTTGTAATGTAAGTTGGACTTGTTATACATGTCAACTCACTTTACTCCAAGATATAACTTAATGAGATGACGAGTCATAAGTTATAAGTATTTCTGGACTAACTCCATTGAGTATCTATCTATATGTGTGTAGTGGGCAGACACACTGACTTAAGTTATTATCTGAACGATTATGGGCAGGTGTATCTTGGTACCTATCATAGTATAGGTACCGGTATGATAAACATCGACCGGGTTTCAACTTAAGTCAGAGTGTTACGTGTTGTTGTCATTGCTTGCTTGAGTGAATGTGTGTATCTTTATGTAGTGTGTTAGTGGGTAAGTGTGAGTGTGTGTGTGAGTGATACAGATAGTATTACTTTGAATCTGAATGAGAATGGGTCCAATGAATGAGTTTCACGAATGAACCTTCTTAACTAGTCAACTTGTGCTGAACAAAACAGATATTATTATTGATTGATTAATATACCTATGATCAAGATATACGATCAAGATATACGATCAAGATATATGATCTAACATATGATTTATTTATAACTTGGTACTTCCAATGGTGACATACTTCTTCAATAGTCTTGGGAATGCTTCAACTAAACGATCAGCCTCTGCTTCGGTAATAGCACCTCTTTGATATGCCATACTACATGAGTAGTCATCTAATGTATCAGATCCTGCAACAGTGAATAGTAATGTACCAGAGGTGACAATCGATGTTTGAGCGAGTGTCAATGACTTTACGGTCCACTCTGCACCAGGCGGCACTTCGAGTATACCCAAGTCACTCATGATGAAACTCGATGTTCGACCCATTGGATAGTCATCAACATTCTTGGACCAGTACTTGAGCATGTTGTTGGGGAAGTCTGCCGCCAAGTACTCAATACAATTGGACAGCACCAATGATGTTGGCGCCATGGTGCGGATGTAGTCCTTGTACTTGACCGTCTCCTCCCAGAAGTTCTTTGACTCGACAATGTCTTTGGGCTTGACCACTGTGTCGCGATGGATCGATCCAAGGAAGATACCAGGTGCCTCATCAACAATCTTGCAGAATCTACGAAGATTGACAACGGTCGATGTACGCAACTTGAGCGCGTCTTCATTTTTGCCAAACTCTTGGGACAATGCCGACAGGATCACAGTGTAGAGACCGGCATGTGACGTGACCTTGTTCTTCTTGCACACCTCCATGAATTGGCGGAAGTCGGACATGGGGAAGGAGAACAGTCTGATGCGACTATCACACTTCTCCCATTGTTGTCGCTGACTGCCCGCCCAGAACATGTTGAGCTGTCTCTTGATGAATGATGGAACAAAGTGATATTGGAGGACCATTGCAAGTTGGTTGAGAAAGTTCAACTTTGTTGGATTCTTCTCCTCGAGCACATCCATGCATTTGAAGTCATCATAGGTGGCGACGGGCACGATGTAGTCGTCTGGGATGTGGATATTCTTGATGTCCAAAGGTCCTCTGTTCACAAGGTCAACAGCACGTGACTCCAAGAACTTGTAGCCAACTCCATCCGACACCAAGTGTCCTGGTATGACATGGAGTAGGAACTGGTCTGGCACACTGGCGTCCCAAGCAATGTCGACAAACACATGTGGAGTGGTCTCATCCATGACGACAGGGAGATGCATGAACTGTTCCACCAATGCTTCACGATCTCGGATGTCAATGAATGGTCGATTATCCCATACTTTAACAATGTTGGAAACATTGTAATGTCGGAAACGCGTGAATGATGGATTGTTTGTGTGGACGTTGGTCACACCGACTTGAAGTTGTTTGAGTTCATTGACCAATCCCATTGCCAGATAACATCCCTTCTTGAAAAGATATTCATGGGTCAATTTAATTCCTGGACTAACCTGGACCAATGAGATCACTCCTGGATTTCCATAAACTCCTGCCAACACCTTGGACAAATGGAATTTCTCTGAATATCCTAGCGGCCTAATAATTTCATATTCTAAATTATTATTATTATTATTATTATTTATTGCTGTTGGCATAAAGTATTATTATATTATTAAATATTTCTGGCTCTTTGAATGAAAGGATAAATAACAAGGAATGCTGAGGCATCAATAAGGTAAAGTATGTTACCTAACAAGGGCGACACGATAGGTTAAAGGATGGAGGGTATCAATAATACACTACCCAAGATAAGGGCAGGGATACCATTTTATCGATCTATTTACTTATACCCATTCCATCTTGCTTAATTCATAATTATTGAACATTCTTGAGTTTGTACTTGTGTGTGTGTGTGTGTGTGTGAATGAGTGTGTGATTAGATTCCATTGTATCGTCTGACGTCAATCATTCATTCACACACACTCACATGTATAAGGAATGCTCATCCATAAGTTGTTACAGATTATTCGATATTCCGACCTAGGTAAGTCATAACATAGGCATTCATTCTTCATACAGTGCTCATCCAACTTGATTGAATGAATGTATGAGTGTAACCTTGAACATCACCTATTTAACAACAAAGTTCAATCAAACATACCCGCCACTCAATACGCTAGTCATTGAAATCATTCAACAGCAATGATAGATGTACTGCACTTGAGTGTGCGGGGTGTGTTTGGACAATAACTTCAAGACTGTACTTGTGATGCTTTATTTGCTGGCCTTCTTGGGTCTGCCTCTGCCCTTACCCTTCTTGGAGGCAATAGCCTTCTCCTCAACCTTCTCTGCGGCCTCGGCAATGTCATCCTTGACCTCATCCATCTTGGCATCGATCTTCTCTTGTAGACCGGCAGCATCCTTCTTCATCTCGCAAGCCTTTTCGTCCATCTTCTCCTTGAGACACTCTCCATCCTTCTGAGCCTTGTCCTTGAGCTCAGCTGCCTTGCTGTCGATCTTCTCCTTGAGACACTCTCCGTCCTTCTGGGCCTTGTCCTTGAGCTCACCCGCCTTGGCCTTCAATGCCTCACCATCCTTTTGGATCTCCTCCTTGGCCTCCTCGGACTTCTTCTGGAGACTGTCCATGAACTCCTTGGACTTTGTCTCAATCTGCTCCTTGAACTCAGCAGTCTTCCTGCACGTAGCATTATAGGCATCGAGCATCACCTTCTCGGCTTGCTCCAACATCTCCTTGCCCTTATCCATTGCTGGTTGCATCATCTCCTTGCCCTTCTCCATGGCACTCTCAAATCCGGCTTGCATCTCGGTCTTGGTCTTCTTCAACTCCTCACCAGCCTTCTCCATTTGCTCTCCAGCTCTCTTCATTCCTTTTTTTGTTTACAAAAATTAATACAACTTTACAAGTAGTTTGTAGGACACAGACTGTGTTTGGTTTACTTACCGACTTCCACATTGGATGAGATTGAGGTTGGTCCCTCTGGCTTGTCTCCTGGATGTGACATGATTTATTATTATTAATTACAAAGTTGACTATAAAATATTTATAATATTCTTATTATTTGTTTGATGTTGTTGTTGTAGAGGTTGAATAAATATAATATGTTTGTTTGTGTAGTGCAGGGATATAAGATTGTGGATTGAGGATTGTGGTCTTGGTAGTCCAGACCAATGCCTCTTCAACTTCCAAGTATGTCCTGTCCTGTCCTTCCCAAACCATATACAACCCTAACCCTAACTGAATTACCCTAACCATCCTTGCCATCTCAAACACTACCATGCATGTTCAGCAATTTAGCCCCAGACTACAACCTTGAACATCTATAACAGTTGTTGTGTGTATTTAGTTAGTCTAAGCCAGGCCACTACAACAACAATGTGTGTATGCGAGAGACCTAGGACATCTAGTCCATCTCAGTTTGGAAAAGTGTGTTGGTGTTGTTCACACACACACAAACAAACATTGAGATACAACACAACTCTCTCTAGAGAGTGTCATACACACTAACTACATATATTATTATTATAATAAGAAAGAATAAAAGGTGTAGATCTGGAAAGGATTGGGGGTTAACCACTACTACAACATAATAATATTATATTTAGTAGCGACGCGCGAACTCCCCATCCTGTTGGCTGAGGAAGGGGAAGTTCTCTAGCCATGTTGGCATCTGGGAGAAGGGAACTACATTGCGAGAGGCACAGACGCGTGGATGTGTCTGGTCGAATTGGACACAGGACAACTTGGGTCCGCATAATGTCTCGTCGCATTTGGCAAACTCACAAAGGTTCTTGCTGTTACATGTCTGGCCACTCAAACATTCTGACTGGCTATCTTTACACCTTGCCCTAGTCGTATTATCACTCCACTCTGTACACATAATGCCCCAAGCGAACCTGTCGCACAAGAACCCAGCAGGGCAGTCCATGCATGTAACATTCTTCTCTGTAATAGTAATTGATTGAATGTTAGATTCAATGATTGATTGAGTGAATGAGTGATTGATCGAACTACACATACCTGAAACATCATTGAATACTGGGATACAATCATAATCTGATATTAGACCTTTGCCACAGGTGAATCCAGGTGGACATGAATCTCCAACTGATGGGTCACATTGAATACTGACATCAAAGTGATCGACCTTTAGGAAACATGCTGCCATGTTGATCTCTTGCATCTCTATACACTCTTCATCGGCCTCACATATCAGTTGCTCACAGGTCTTTGGTACGCACTGTGGCTCACTTCCCATTAGCTTGCAAGTGAATCCTTCGGCACAGTTTGAATTGCATGTTCCACCATTCCTCCTCCAATCATTATTGATACCCTCCGTCTCTGGTTCACTCCTAAGTATACACCTAGCCTCTGGCTTACAACATACCATGTCAGTCCTTGAACAAGGATTAGAAGGTAACAGCGTGCAATCCAAGTTCAAAGCTTCACAGTTCTTGTTTGCACATGTCTCTGTGTTTGATTGATTGATTGAATGTTAATGATTGATCAAACTTTGATTGATATGATATGATACATACCATCTGAAGGTAGGAATTTGTGATAACCAGGTATGTCGGGTATGTTGTAGGATAGTTGGAAGACTTGTTCGAATGCGATGTGTCGGAGACAGATGGTGGAGTTGGGATCTTTAGTCCGCAGGTCTATCACTGTTAGGTATGATGAACTGACACATATTGATCCTATACCTGAACAACATGATAGTACAGGTATGATCAAACAATCTGGATAGGCTGTCAAACATGCATCAGGTCCAAGTGTTTCACATTGCCCCAGTGCATCAACCAATGTTGTGATGTTGTTGATCATGATCATGCAAATCAATCCAAGAATTAAAATATTCCTTTCCAGTCCATGTTTGGCAATCTTGGTCACCATCATCATTAGTTGTATTTATATATATATATGTATGTATAAGTATAAGTATGTGTTAACAATGACTTACTCCCACTGTATTAAAGTGGTATCAAGTTGATTGCCAGCTCACCAACAGTTGTGTGTGTGTGTGAACCAAGATATATGATCAAGATATATGAGTGCACTGAATGATCATGATCGTATATAAAGGGTGTTTTGTTATTTGAGTTGTAGTCTTGGGGACTGAATCCAGAACCCTTGAACTTAGGCGCTCTCGGTTTGAGAGACTGGTGGACTTCCATCGGTGGAGTACGCGCCCAAGTAACCAGTGGGATGGTTGGGATACTTCTCCTTCAGCTTGAGTGGAACTCTTGCGCGCTTTGGCACAAAGTCAAACTTCTCTGGCTTGAGCAAGAATCGCAGACCGACACGGTCGTAATACACATTGGTGGCGCTACCTCCCAGAGACTCAATCGACTTCTTTGCTTCCTCTGAGAAGTCGCTCAACTCGATGTTGATCTTGTGTCTAAATGACTCCTTTCCCTGTTGTGTTATATGATTGATTGTATGGATGGATGTCAGTCATTGGTCGATCCAATGTAATCGCAAGAGTGTGTAGCATTGTGATCACTTACACTGGCCAACAGTTTGATTCCAAACTTGACTCTGCCGACAGCATTAGCATCGTATAAGTGTTTCATGGTGATTGTTTCGTTCGGGTTGATGAGACCATCGTCGATCAACTTTGACAGACGAGCGAGGTTCAATGGATTGAGCACTCTCGTGAATGTTGCGTTCGAGAAACCATACTTCCTCATTCTTTTGTACAATGGTGTCTGTCCTCCTTCGAATGCTCTTGGTATATCTATTCGTTTGTTTGATTGATTTAGTCAGTCACTGTCATCACTGTAATCTCCAACTTGATCAAGTTGGTCATCGTCCATTCTTTCAATCAACACATACTGTGACCTGCTCTAGCCTTCTGACCGCCATGACCTCTTCCAGAGGTCTTTCCTCTTCCTGAACCGATACCTCTTCCAACTCTAACTTTCTGTTTGATGTTAACAAAAGTATTATAAGTTAGTCCAACCTGTATGTACTGTTTGTGTCTCGCGAGACACTCGCTCTATCATCACAACGAATGAAACGAACGAATGATTGACTGKTATGTACCTTTTTGTTGGCACCTGGGTTATCCCTTAGGTTGTTTAGTGATATATCATGAGGAGCTGCAACGATGGTTCTAACAAACTGAGTGTTGATACTTGGCATCTTTGTAAATAGACTGCTGTTGCTGACATTGCTGATGTTGCTGCTGCTAATCGACAATGATGTGAATGGGCTATGGCTTGCACGAATAACCTGTTTCGATATGCACAGGCTGCTTGCCAATCTATTTGTGAGTGACAACATGACTGTCTTTATCTTTATATAAATATATGTATGTATGTATGATTGATTAAGAGTGTGTTTGTGACTTGTGATCGAGTCGAGTCCAATCCATCCATCAAAGGATTGCGAAAACGAACATCGGGTCCAAACTTGGGCATTTTGAATGAAAAAAATAAGGTGCAGTGTGTGTGATAAAGGACTTGGGCAACTAGAAGTTCAAGTCTATTGTATACTTTGGCTCATTGACCATTCTCTCATTCATTCAATCATTCATTCAGTGATGGCAACTAGTACGACACATGTATCATTCGAGAACACTATAATTTGTCAGGACTGTGTAGTAGGAGACAATGTTACAATAGGCAAGGGAACTGTTTTGCATCCACGTGCAACAATCATATCAAAGAATGGAGCACCAATCATCATAGGCGACAACAATATAATCGAAGAGTTGGTCACCATCACCAATACATCAGATCAACCAATGACCATTGGTTCACGTAATTTATTTGAAGTTGGATCTGGTATGTTGTCCTCTCTATCTCTTCATTGCATTCATTCAATCACATACTTACTCATTCATTCATTCAATGATCTTGTAGTTATTGAAGCAAAGAGTATTGGTAATGATAATGTAGTAGAGACAAAGGCAAAGGTTAGCGCTGGCACTGTTATAGATAATGGATGTGTAGTTGGTGCATGTTGTATTACACCAGAGAATGAACATTTGAAAGACTGCGAAGGATTGTACGGACCGACTCTAGCTCGTACCAAGTCCACCATACCAAGAGATGTGAGTGTTCTACTATGACAACGACCACAGACGACAGGCAGGCAGACAGAAGTACTAACATCCACCCATCCCCATCCACATCCACATCCACATCCATTGCCAACACAGATGCACAACTCGACCCATGACCGCCACCTTGAGCTACTTCACAAGACATTGCCCAACTTCCACCAAATGAAGAGGTGAGGGGGATGATGTCGACTTGGCTTGATCAGGAAGCTTGGAATGATATGTACATGTATAAATATGGTAGTGATTACCTCTTTCGGAAACAGTTGGATTGTCAATGGCTAAGCCATCACTGTAATCAATCAATAAAATCAGAGGGGTGTGGGTGATGATGGTAGTACTGATCATAACCATATATAGTAATGAAGGACTTATCAGGAAGGAGGGTAATGGGTAGGACATCCTAGATTGGACATGAACATGACTGTCCGTCCACTATAAATACCATGACTTTAGACAGACTATCCATCATTCAATCATACAATCAATCAATCAAAGCAACAAACAATTGTAATTATCTACATTCAATACTTGTCAATACTATTATTCCAATCCAATCAATCATCCAAGAATGACTATCTTAAGTATGTATTCATCATGTTGTGTTGTGTGCCCATGGCCGACAACTGTCACTGTGCTATACTGACTTGCTCCCTTCCACTCTCTTTCTCTCTCTCTTCCATTCCAACAGAGAACTTGACATCAATGGGAGGCCAATCCATCAACACCCGATCAATGGAGACTGTGGCTGGCGTCACTGGTACTTCTGGCGCCGAGTCCAACAATGACCTTGCATGCTGCTGGAGAAGAAGGGCCAACATCAACATCTTTGTGCTCCGTCGTCGTTGCTGTGGTGGATGTGGAGGCTTTGGAGGCTTCGGTGATGGAGACGGAGACATCTTCTGAGCAAGCACAGTGTCCTCCTGGGTCCGAGTCCGGGTCCAATGCTCCAAGTCCAATGTCCAATGTCCATGTCCTTGTCCACGACCATGCCAGCAGGGCCCTCACGCTCCACTTCACTTCACATCTCACCTTCAACCAACCATACATGTCTGTGTTGAATAAACATTGATCTGTAACAATGCCTATTGTAGGCCATCCCAATCCACCAATCCATCCATTCATCCATTCATTGATATTTATGTTTGAGTGCAGAGCGTGATCATTCATTCATTCTTTTCATATTGGCTCGCCTTGAATGGTGACGACTATCTTGCGCGAGCCTCCACGTGTGCGATGTTCTCCAAGCCATATACCTTGCCATGTGCCCAGTTGCAATTGACCATGACTGATTGGCAATGATAGTGATGTGCCCAACATTGAGGACTTGATGTGAGCGGGCATGTCATCTAGACCCTCGTCATCATGCTCATAGGCAGTCTCGCTCTCTGGCACAGTACGCATAAAGTATTGTTCCATATCACGTCTTACTGAGGGGTCTGCATTCTCATTCAATGTCAATGATGCACTTGTATGTTGTAACAACAAGTGTACCAAACCAACCTTAACATTCTTCAACTGTGGTTGTATCTTATTAACAACTTCATTTGTAACTAAATGGAATCCTCTTGATTTCTCTGTTAGTGTTATTATACATTGTTGCCACATTGTATGTTATGATATGTATCTCTATCTCAAAATCTTACTCCAATGAGTTGGGACTCGTTTGTCTTCAATGCATCATTGAGAAGTGAAGTCGCCAAACTCCAACATCTTTTGTGAACTTGGGGTTTTGTTTATTTAATTTTTAATTTATTTCTTCAAAACACATGATCATGAGGGGTTGAGTCTTCATCACCATTCTCTGTCTATTCCAAGTCTTGTCAAACAAACAAACAAATACACACACGTGTCTCTATCTCTCATATCTCTCTCTTTATCAATTGATCAGAGTATACCCAACTCAATCTCAACCCAACTCAACTCTTTATTATAAGTCTTTTGAGAGTGACATATTCATTACACATTCAATCAATCTTGCAACTTCTTTCATTCATCCAATCATTCAATCATTCAACCATTCAATCAAGTGTGATAGTTATTAATAATATATATTAGTTTGAAATGGATCCCGATCTTCTATTGGCCATTGCTTTGTCAGAGAGTCTAATGGTACATGGTGGCGGCGGATCAGAGGTAAGAGACCAAGACCAAGACCATGACCCAGCATGATCATATTGAATGATTCATCGAATGAGTACCCTAACAAACAAACAATCATAATACACACATAGTCTGCCAATCCAGATAACCAAGACAATGATGACACTGCCAATAACAATAACAACAACAACAACAAGGACTCTGAGATGGATACTTCATCAGAGAGTCCAAAACCAACAGACAAGTTCAAGCTTTACTTTGTCGAGCTCACAAAGTCTTTGAAAGCAGATGTGTTGATTGATCACATGCCACTATTCAATTTGCTTCGAAGCCATAACTTGAACATGCTGTCGCCCACACAAATCTTCTACCTCTCCCAAGTCGTCGAGTACATGTCATTCCTAATCATCGATGGAAAGTTGAAGAGTATGTTATACCATCACTCACATGATTGATTGATTGAGTCATCAATCATATACTTACACTCAATCACTCAATCAACCTCCACATCAGATGTCGACCGTAGCATCATCAATGAGTTTTGTAAATGCTCTTTGGACTTTTGTTTGATGACATTGGAGAGATGGTGCGACAGCGTTGAACATAACAGTGCAGAGAAGAAGATGATGGGCTCGACACCGACTCATTTGCTCGAGATCATCGACATGCTCTGCTGTATAGAGTTCCCGCCCTCTGATCTCAACAAGCTCAGCTTTGATCAATGCCCATCATTCCTCGACTTTGAAGTGGACGTTGACGCCTTCTTTAGCAGCGGCAAGAGTACTGCCGCTGCCACAGCAGCAGGTAGCGAGCCAAAGTCAGATCAGCAAGAGCAGACACAGCAACCAAACATAACAACAACGACGGACACTCCTTCCAAACCGACGTCAACCAATGTATACAGCCAATTCCTCAAGGTTGGCATGAAGGAGGCCCCGGCGCCCCCAGCGGGCGCACCTGCCGCGTCGACCGCCAAGTACAAGGAGGTGGCGTCGACCGCCAGGAACGACGCTGACGCCAACGAGGAGCTGGTCAAGATCAACTCGCACTACTTCAAGTCGATCAAGGGTCCCTCGCGCATGATTGCCATCTGCTCCAGTCTGCTGCTTCCCTACTCGCCTGACCTGGAGGTGTCGGAGCGCTTCCAGGAGTTCAAGGATCGCGAGGAATACACCGGCTACTTCATCAACAATGTGCACGACATCCTCTTCACCGAGGGCTTCGAGACACTGGACATTGCCTCGATACCTTGGACCATCGACTTTATCAGCCGACTGATTGGCACGCTCAGGTCCTACCAGGCCTACAACATCAAGCATCAAATACCCATTCTCAAGTCCAACCTGTTCACTCAACAGCTCTTTGAGAACCTATTCCAATTGCTTGGCAACAAGCTCAGTTGTCCAGATTTGAAAGCAAAGGCAGAGGTATGTTACATCATGGGAATCAAGACTGGATCTCACTCACTCATTCGCTCACTCACTCAATCCATCAATCGTTTAGATATTCGTCTCACTCTGTATTTTAACTGATATTGAACGAATGAATATCAGGATCGAAGACATCATATCGAACGATAGGCTGGTGCAGAAGGAGTATCTCTGTTGGCGTCCTCAGTTGGTCATCATGGCGATAAACCTTGTGTTTGAGCATTTGGAGAACAACTCCAATCTTGAGGAGCATCTTCTCAAGACACTGGCCGTCAACCCAGCTGCCATGGCGGGCGGCGGCGCGATCGCCAGGCGCGAGCCCGAAACCAAATTTATCAACTACGCGACATCATCAACATCCACAATCTCATCACCATCATCAACAACAACAACGGAGAAGCAGTCGATTTGGTTCGACTACTTCACTCCAAAGCAATTCACTCAACAGGAGCTCTGCCAAACGTTCGCCACCAATGCATTGCTCGATTCAATCTTCACCATTCTCTACATATCTTGCTGCAGGATCAAGGAGACTTCATCCCTGGTATCTGGCAATGTACATTCATCAGGCGCACCCGCCTCGGCTGGGGCCAAGGACACCCCCACGGCCAAGGACGCGAACAATACCAGCAGCAGTGGCGACGAAGAGAACATGTTTGGCGGCCTGTTCCACGATGACGGCGCCAGTGACAGTGGTAGCAGCAGCAGCAGCGACACGTCCCTATCATCGTCATCCAACATCCTCTTTAAGACGCCGACCAAGGGAGATCAGAGCGGCGCCACGTTGATCGAGTCCATCTACTCCTTATCCAAGGATGATGGAGACTCGGAGCTCTCCTACATCAAGTTTGTCAACGAGCTGTTTGCCAAGGCCACCGCCTCCCAGTCGGCACCGCTGCTCCACCTGCTCAAGAGCAGCCTGTCACTGGTGCACCTGCGGGTGTTGGCACAGCTGCTCTACTTCCAGTCTCCGGGTGTTCGCATCGACGGCGAGCGCGTCGGCCCCCTCATCCACGCGCCCGCCCTGACCAGCCTCTTGCAGACCGTCTGCTTCAACATCACGAGGAACGACTGCGTCTCTGACGATCTGACCCACCAGCTGATACGCACCATACTTATGAACAAGGACAAGGACGGTGCGTTTGCTGTGCCTAGCGTGATCCCGCGCGAGCAGCTTACATGGCTCGCATGGATGTTTGTCAAACTGCAGAGCACCAGAGGTGCACAGGATAACGATGAAACGGCCACCTTTTTGTGGGACGAGTTCACCTCGCGGACGATGCAATGCGCCAAGTCTGACAATGCCAACGACAACAACGAGCTCAAGGAGGTGTACGACATTGACTACATCATCTTCCTGTTGTTCACCTTCCACTCAATGGACGATCAACATCGTCTGGACATCATCAAGCGCGCTCATGACATCATCCAAACAGTGGTCTCACGTAACAGAGACACTCAATTTGTACCAAAGTCTTTAATATTCTCAAGGTTCTTGCTTGTTGTACAATGTAAGTAGCCCTAGGGACTCCTTCCCTCCTCCTACACTCTCCTCCTAACACAACCAACTTGCAGATGTTATCTTTAACTTTGACACCATGTCTTCCAAGCTCTCGACGTTGTTCTACAGCAGCATCTTGACATCCAATGTCAAGCCGTCTGCATCAACCGAGATCAATCAGTCGATCATTAACAAGTCCTATCAGTACATGTTGAATGATGCCCAGCAGCTTAAGTCGCTGCTGTACGAGTTCAACTTGGGCGATGCCAAGTGTGGTTGGGTCGAACCCGCTGCCAGCCAGCTGCTTTCATCTGTCACCCAGTTGTTTGAGCGCTGTCACGTGTCCTACCAGGAGTTCCACCAGCTTGTCCAGTTTGGCCTATGCGGACTGGTACAGCCGTCACCCACCGTCGAGGCCAGCCTACAGCCAACTCAATCAGTGCTGTTTGATTACATCGTGTCCACTAGCTGTGTGCTAGTCTACTCGCTGCCACTGCCACCATCATTCATGCAAGCAATCAAAGACAAGTCACTCTTTGCTACCTCAGTATGTAGTTCATTCAATCAATCAATCGAATGTTGCTAACACTCCTCGCTCGCACTATCAGATAACCAATGAATCAATCATCTATTTGACGTACTTGACGAACCTACTACATTGCCCTACGTCGCAGCAGCAAAGCGAGTTGATGCTGGAGATACCTTGGAACTGCATTGCAAAGAATGTGATTGGAAACATTGGAAAGGTGAATCAACAGGGCAAGGCATTGAGATCACAGAGCCTTGTCGATGCGTCGCTCAGCCTCCTGATAGCAATATTTGACAAGCAGGAGATCAGCAGCAGCAACAATAGCACGAGCAACAACAACAACAACAACAACAAAACCGACAGCGAGGATATGGAGGGATGGTCACACGGACTATTTGACTCTGGCGATGACAGCAAGCCATCTTCGACCACAACCACGACCGAAGACACAAAGATGGATACCGAGCCGAGCATAGCCGCTCCACCCGTCTCACCCAACGCGATCACACCAAAGTCTCTAGGCGAGATGCTGCCAGCCGTCTACGAGTGCCTCATTGGTCTGTTTGTACACTACAAGAAGGTTCACAAGCAGGCATTGACGAACCAGCTGATCAGCACCAACGTCGACCACATCGAGCTGGTCAAGGAGTGCTTTAGCTTCTCCAACAAGTCGGATGTGTCCTCGCTGATGGAGTCTCTTACCTTCCCCAAAGAGGATCGCGAAGTCGTCGACCGTTGGACCAAGCTGATCAAGACCGATGTGCCACAGCTGTCCAAGACCCAGGAGGTCACCTTTGACTGGATGATCCATCGCTTCCATTCGCTCACATCGCCTCCCGCCAGCAAAATTGGCAAATCGCCGCTGCAATATCTGGACATCATCTCAAGCCAGCACATCTTCAGCCTGCTAGTCGATCTGGCGTTTGTTATCATCGGAATCGAAGGCACGAGCGACAGGATTCCATCACTCAAACTGGAGCTGTCCTACGAGCACATGTCGCTCAATATCGACCAGATGCTGTCGTTCTCCAAGGAGTCGCAGTACCTGGAGCTGTCGACCAACCAGCTGACCTACCTCATCAACCTGGCCAAGATCCACTCTTTCGAGCGCATCATCAAGTCGCTGGTGCTGCTGACGCCCACGCAGCGCCAGTGTCCCGCACTCGAGACCATCATCACCACCAACCTGGACAACATCATGCTAGTGGCCAAGAGCTACCCGAGCCACCTTTACTGCTACTACATCTCGCCGTCAGTCAGTAGCTCGCCCATGGGCGACAAGTTCGATGTGAAGCTGCACACAGGTGACATCATCAGTCTGCTATGGTTGGCCATGAACAATCAGAGCTTTACAATCAATCGCAAGGCTATCTCTACTCTCATCCAGGTCATGGCTATCCCCATGCCCGTTGACTTCCTCACCTCATTGCGCTCGCATGCCATCACAGCACTCTCTGGAGTGGCTTTCAACGATCTCCAGGCATGGTTCGAGCAGAAGTTGTTGGGAGTTATCACTCCATATGATGATCCAATGATAACTGATGACAACAACAACAACGCCAGTGGTAGCAGCAGCACGAGCACAACAATCTCCACATCCCCATTGAAGCCCACAAACACTCAAACACAAGAGCTTGTCATTCGTCTCATTGGACTGCTGATTGGCGTCAAGGAGTTCTACAACTTCACGTCGGTTCAGCCAACCGTGGAGGATAAGGAGAGTGATGAGGAGGATATCGACATCAAGCCCAAGTCAAAGGCTGCCAAGAAGCTGTTTGCCCCCAAGAAAGCTGCTTCCCCGACCCTGGCGCCTGCCTCACCCCTGCCCATCGTGGACATTGACTGGGACGAGTCGGTCAAGGACATTGCACCACTTCTCTTTGATCTCTTACTTGGATGCTTCAATACGGCATTCAATCAATGGGTCGATTACCCTCATCTGCTCAAGGGCTACTTCAGTCTGCTACAGATCGTGGCGCTCAAGCAGAATCAACTTCTCAAGCTGTTCGACGTGATCTCCAACTTTACTTCGCCAATCATTGCCAAGCCATCGCAGAAGCACATTGACTCACTCAATCTCATTCTTCAGTTTGTTGAGAATCTGCTTGAGATCATCAAGCTGGACCAGCCTCAGGTCCACCACGCCCGCCACGCTCAATCACACGCTCGCGAGCAGGCGACTGCAGCTGCCGCATCGGCACCAGTGCCCATGGTCACAGACGACGACAACTCATTGGTCGACAACGATGAGGAGGAGGAAGAGGACGACCTGGACGAGGAGCGCGAGTGGAAGGCGCCCAACAATCTCAACAACGTCACAAGCGAGCTAAGTCATGGCGACAACATATACTACATCGAACCAGAGGAGACAGCGGAAGCCAAGCTTGCTTCGATGCTGTGCACGTACACCACCACCAAGGACGAGTACATGGACCAACATTGGTACTCGTGCTACACGTGCAACCTCAAGGACTCGGAGGGTTGCTGTGGCGTCTGCGTCAGGGTTTGCCACAAGGGCCACAACGTCAGCTACAGTCGCTACACAAGATTCTTTTGTGATTGTGGAGCTGGCGTCTGCAAGACACCCTGCAAGTCGATGAAGACGCGCACCTACCAGCCCAAGAAGCAACAGCAGAATGGCAACAGCGGACAATCATCATCGCAGGCATCTGGCTCATCCAACAGCTCCTCATCACAACAGTCCGAGGGCAACTCGCTGTTTGCCAGCTTCGTCACGCAACAAGACAAAGACAAGCTGCTGGCCACCATTCGCAGCAGCACTGGCTCAGACATTGTCTCCAAGATCAATGACCTCTATCCCCAGCTCATCCAGATGTACATGCTCGTGTCCAAGCCTCACGTCGACGTGCAGAAGGCGCCCAAGTTCAACATCTTCCCCGCGCCATCTGAGGCCAAGGCCAAGGAGATTGTCGCCGACTCTGACCTGTTCGCTCTGAAGAAGTCAGCCAAGTACAACACATTCGACGCCAAGATCAAGTATGAGGGCACAGAGGGCAACCAGATGAAGAACCTAATCGCCTCTGGCCACATCCAGCGCCGTGCCATTACGTCCAACTCCAAGGGCATCGTGGCATTGGCCGAGGGCGAGACCGTCAGCATCATCAACGTGTCCAAGCTACTAGATGACGACGCGGCCATCGACAAGTCGTCATTCAAGGTGCTGTCCAAGTCAGCCGTGCAGTTCCCCATCGTGTCAATGTCGTTCAACCCCGCCAACGAGCGATACCTGGCAGTTGCCGGCTATAAGGACTGCAAGATCCTTACAATCAACCACCGTGACGAGATTGTAGACCAGTTGCTCGTCGACCTTTCACTGTACGCACTTGGTGAGAACATCTATATCATCAAGGTGGAGTGGGTTGTCGGTTCGCAAGTTGAGCTGGCTGTCGTCACCAACGAGTTCATCAAGATCTACAACCTGGCTCAGGACAACCTGTCGCCCATCCATTTCTACACTCTGGTCGAGGACTACATCCGCGACATGACAATCGTGCGTCGCAACAACACCAACTACATCGTGGCGCTTGCAGAGTCTGGCATGCTATACTTCCAGGCAATCCAGGAGAGCATAGACGACGAATCGTGTATCATGATCGAGACGATCCAGGTGCCCACAGCCAAGGTGTCCAGTGGCGTCTCTGTGTTCAGCGCTCCAGACCTCGAGATGCTGATCTGCACATACACCAATGGAGAGGTGCATGCGCTGAAGCTGGACGAGAACATGTCCGTCGCCGGAACGTTCACGATCAACGACCCCAACCTCAAGACGTCGATGCCATCGATGAACTTCCTGCAGCTCACTCCTAACTTCTCAAACATCTTCACATGCTTGGCGTCACGAGGTGGCTTCTTGCTCACAGTGCGTCTACAGATGAGTGAGATCGCTATTCAGGCAATCAAGATGACGCTCAAGGTAGAGGGCATGACTTGGGTCAACAAGTCTGCTCCCAAGTTGTTGGTTCTCCTCGACGATGGATCACTGAGCCGCTACGACTACAACATTGACTCGCCACTCACTGTCGCACCCAAGGACACCAAGCCCAAGGAGAAGATTGATTTGGGCATCGACTTGCTGTCCACAATCAGGAACAAGCTGCCCACAGTCAAGCAAGCTGACGCTGACTCGGCCCCAGCCACACCAGCAGTCAAGACTGTCGCTAAGAGCGATCCGGTGTTCCCCATTGACTTCTTTGAGCGTGTCGAGTGCATCACACCCTCAACCAAATATGGCGGCGATCCACTACAGGCCTACTCAAAGGAGGAGATCAAGAGGAAGCTCGAAGCTGCTGGAGAGTACATTGCTGGCCAGAACCTCGACTCGCTCAACATTGTGCTACTCAACGAAGACCCCGACATTGTGATCTGCGGTGTGCGAGTACTCGTTGGCGAGGCGTCCACCAAGCACATCCCCACAAGCCTCAAGGTGCACAATCGCGTCATCAGCTGCACAGAGGGGATGAAGAGATGGTACGACATTCCTCTCACACAGGCCGAGTCTCTCAAGTCGAGCAAGAAGTTGACGTTGACTGCTACGGCCACGTTCAACATGACCAACCCACCAATCATCGACTCACTCGAGGTATATGGCGTGGACAAGGACCTCATCGGATGGAATGATTCTGACGACCATAAGAAGGACGAGGCGTTCGAGACTCACAACCCAACAGAGTCCGCCCTGCACTACTCTGTCACCCTACTCAAGTACTTCTTCTCGTTAGCCAATGGCAACAGCACATCGACAGACTCAGGAAACTACATTGAACGCATGAGACAGAACGCTCTGCAGTACTTGCCATCGATCCTGTCCGACCCGCAGCTGGCCTTCCTTCAGACCAGCGTCAAGTCCCTGCTCAAGATCCTCAACCCCTCACACGAAGCCTATCTATCGCTCAAGCATACAACTCTCCTGCAGAGCGCCAGCGACGCGATCACCAGGATACTCAAGAGCACTGCACATGGCGCATCGCCCATGCTCACCAGCAACAACAGCAACATCGCGTTGGCCGATGGCGACGTTGAGCGTCTTGAGCACATCATCCGCGTGCTAAAGAAGATCAGCTGCAGCCGTCCAAACAACCTCACCAACAACCTCTTTGCCACGCGCCCCACCTTCCTTGCCGATCTCATGGCGGTGTACCGTGCGGCCACCAACCAATCGTCTCCGCCCGCCGTTATCAACGCGCTGGCAAACGAGCAGGTCGTCTCCAACATCACCCACTTCCTCTGGAACTGCATGCAGACACAGGCGTTCCCAACATCGCAGATCTTTGATCTCTTCAAGTCCCTGCTCACACATAGCTCCGAAGCGGTCAAGACACGCTCGGCCACCGCCCTCTGCTCGCTGATCAACAAGTCTGGCGCTGCCAACTTGTCCACTGGTGCTGCCAGCCAGACCAATGCCTCCAAGAAGCGCAGTGGACAAGACGATTCGAACGACATGGTGATCGATGAGATTGTATTTAGCTGTGACCGTTGCTCGACCAAGCCCATACTCAACAAGAGATGGCACTGCGAAGCCTGCGAGGACTTTGACTTGTGCGACAACTGCTATCAAACCATTCGTCAGAGCAACGAACATCCAAGCGACCACACATTCACTGAGCACATCCTTGACGAGCCCATGAAGATTGACTCGGCTGAGCCGAGTGCTCCAGAGCAGCCCAACAAGCCTGCCCCCCCAACCACAGAGGAGGACGAGGATCTCCAAGCTGCGATCGCGATGAGCTTGGACTTGCCAGAGGCTTCAGCATCCACCTCCGAGCAACCAGCAACCGCCGCTCAAGAAGGCAACAAGGAGGACTCCACACTCTTGTTGTTCCGTTTCTTCCTCGATGAGACGGTTAGCCTTTATGAGAAGGGTGTCCAAACGATCTTGCCATTTGCGCAAGTGTTCCACGCGCTCTTTGTACAGCTCAGCCCCAAGGTACTGGCATCAGAGCACGTCAATCGTTTCGTGGACGTGGCAATCAAACAACTGACAAGCCACGACGCCACACTGGAGAAGCACCTGTCCAACAAGACCAACTCATTGGATGGCGACATCATGATCATACTCTTGCTCTCCATTCTACTGGATACAGACGAACACAAGCATCTGCAACAACAGCAGCAGCAACAGAGCAGCAAGACATCGACATTGCCAATGTCGCCCCTGCTCATGTCAACGAGTCAAGGCTCCTCCACCCCCATCCTCTCTCAGCAGGTCATCTACGCAGTCAGTGAGATGCTCGTAAAGAAGGGCTTTGTCGGCATCCTGAAGCACTGGCTCACTCAGCTCTTTGTCGTCGTGTCCAACCAGATGAACTACTCGGGCGAGTCAGCCAGCACGTCGCCATTTGGCGCACTCCTGGTCAACAGTCATCAGGACGACCAGTCGCTGCCCAAGAACAGGTACACCCCATTCTTTAGCAAGGCCTTGCCTCAGAGCATCAACAACTATCACCAGATCATCGCCAAGGGTCTGTTCAAGATCGCCATCACATTCTTCCGTTGTGAGCGCCGCAAGAAGAAGCTTGAGCCCACATCGGCAGGCGACATAGCTGCTCCACTCTTTAACAATGTCGAGTGGACACCATTGGTATGCGGCTACATCCACTCCAAGAAGACTGCGCAGTACGTCAAGTATCCAAAGAAGCTTCTGTTGCTCATCTGCACGACCAAGCCCGCGTACTATAGTGTGCGCGATGAGTACCTGCTCAAGAAGAAGTACGACAAGATCCTGGCGTTGCAGAAGCAGTCCGGTGGCTTCAGCGAGGACATCCACTACGATCAATTGATCAAGTTGATCAACTATCTCACAAGCATGGTTGAAGTCGCCTCCAACAGACCACACAGCTGGCAGTACTTCTCTTCGAACAACAATGGTATGTTGTTGTTAACATTATCAATCATTCATTCAATCAAATACTAACACCTCGCATGCGCACCAAATATGTAGACGTCCTGTTGCGCCTGTTTAACAACCTCTTATACCTTCCTGAGGACTCATCGTCGCTCATTCTTGAGTTGTTGACGTATGCCTTTGTCAACGAAGAGACCACTGGAAAGGAGGATGAGAAGTCTGGTGAAGAGGCATCATCATCAAGCAAGGACGTCAAGGACAAGGACAAGGATGTAGAGATGACTGACACATCTATCGCTGCAAAGAACATACCAATGTTCTTGCAGGGTAACATGCTGGACACACTGGTCAACACAATGCTCCTTGAGCCCAACTCATCCAACCTTCGTACCAACACCAGTAACTTCCTGTACTACCTCTGGAAGGTAAGTATAAACTTAATAATTAGTGTTGGTCGTTCTCTCACTTTCTCACTCAATCAACAATCAAACAATAGTCATCCAATGACGAACAGAAGGTATTCATCAACAGAATCCTTTGGAGTAAACTGGATCAGGTTGTGTCATACGGCAAGAACGCCAATGAGTTCATGGAGTTGTTGACCTACTTCATCAATGGTGTCGATCCAAGCACATGGAAGCACCAGTTCAATGGTATGTTGTGGCCATTTACTTGCCCCTGACACCCATACTTACCCAATCAATCAATCCAACACTTTATAGAATTCGCGGATATATTCCTCAAGAGCTTCAGAGAGCAGAACCAGGTGATTTACAATCATCCAAACTCCCAAATATACAGCAGCCTTGGAACGATCTTGGATCTTGAGGGATACTACCTCGAGTCGGAGCCATGCCTCGTGTGCAACAATCCAGAGGTTCAATATCAGACCTACCGCCTGGACACACTGAAGCAGGAGGCCAAATTCACAGAGTCAGCCCAACTGATCAAGTTCAATGGTGCCTACAACATCCAGAAGTTGACAATCAACATCAGCGACATCAAGAAGGCACGCATGATCAAGACAATCAACCTCTACTACAACAACAAGATCATCACAGACATTGGCGAACTCAAGGGCAAGTTCCAACAGTGGAAGAAGCTCAAGCAGGTGCACTTCACCGCCAATCAGAACGAGAAGACCGTGCGCTTCCAGATCCCCATCACCGCTACCAACTTCATGATCGAGTACTTTGACTTCCACGACAACCTGCAAGCCCTGGCCACCGAGAAGCTTCAATGTCCACGCTGTAGCCGCACTGTCACCGACAAGCACGGCCTGTGCAAGACGTGCCACGAGAACGCCCTGCAATGCAAGCAGTGCCGCAACATCAACTACGACCACCTCGAGGCATTCCTGTGCAATGAGTGTGGCTACTGCAAGCACGCTCGCTTCGACTACTCGTTCACGTGCAAGCCCACTGTGTCTATCGAGAAGATCGAGAACCAGGAGGACTACAAGCGCGCCTTTGTCAACATTGAGAAGGAGTCAGAGAATGCGCACAAGAAGTATCAGCGTCTGATCAGCTTCAAGAAGATTATCGCCAACCTGATCACATCATTCCAGACTCAGGAGCCATGGCCCAAGGAAGAGATGTACAATGCGGCCACTGGCACCACCGCCGCCACGACAGCCGCCACAACACAGGCCGCGGGCGGCGCCCAGCCCGCCGCTGCCACGGCCGCCTCGGCATCCAACGTGCTTCAGCAGCTCAAGATCAATCGCAAGATTGGCTACCTGTCGCGTCTCTATGAGAAGGAGTGCAAGGTCATCTTTGAGGGCTTGAGCAAGAGTGTGCAGATACTGATCAGCACTCGAATGGAGATCATCAAGTACATGAACACCATTGCCAAGAAGCCAAAGACACGCGAGGGTACTCTTCGCGCGTCCAACAACTGCTTTGGCTGCTCGTGCTCCTTTGCCGAACAGTCGCTGTCCTTCCTCAATCACCTATCGCGCAATGCCAACCTTACCGAGCTGCGCGACCTCCTCATCAACAAGGGCCTCACCAAGGAGTTGTTCAGGAACAACATCCACCAGGGCAAGAGCGAGTCGCGCAACCACGCCCGTCTGGCCATCTCCTACCTTACCAAGAACAATCAGGAGGCCACCACTCAGCTCAATCAATGGATCAAGACAAAGATCGACTACGTCATGGACAACTACACGTCACTGGATCTGCCCACGATGATCACCAGCGAGATGATGCTCACTCGCGACTGCTGCCAGCTCTCCGACCCATACTGGCAGACACGCCTCAAGTTCGTCATGGAGGTGTTCTTCAGGTCGATCGAGATCGGCTCGGAGAACCCTGTGATCTCAGAGTATATCATCCTGCCATGCCTCAAGATCGTGCTGGCCATGTGCACACCCGATCGATCTGATCTGAACGTAGGTGCCAAGGACCACGACAGCGAGGACACCCAGAAGAACCTGCAGTCCAAGTTTGAGCGATTCAAGCTGCGCAAGAGTCCTCTGTCCTCACCTGTGGCCACCACAGACGCGGCCGCCAGCGGTGCCGCCGCAACATCGGCATCTTCATCGTCGAGCAGCAGCAGCGCATCCTCATCACGCGCTGTCTCCACGTCACAGGACGGCTCTTCCATGTCCTACTTTGAGCAGGCGGAGCCCAGCGTCAAGTATGACGAGTGGCTCAACTCATTCACATTCGACTCGTGGTCACAGAGGTACCAGTCATCAATCCTAGCCAATGGCGAAGAGTCTGGCGGCAGGACCTCGTTCACCGACCTTCCCACCGACCTCTCCCAAGTCGACAAAGAGCAGAGACGTCGCGAGATTCGCGCGCGATTCCTGGCCACCAAGTACGCTGCCAAGTGGAAAGCGAGGATCTCATCCAGGAAGGCCAGCAGCGCTGGCCCCAACCCACTGGACGGCATGTTCCAAGATGTCTGGGTCAAGAAGCTCCTGTTCAACTCGACCTCCTCGATCCGTGTCGAGACAATCAATCTCATGAACATCCTCTCAAGGAGCAGCCCAACTCGCACACTCAAGTTCCTGGACCTCTTTGTCAAGATGATCCCCAACGCCTCCAAGGTTGGCGAGTACAGTGCAGAGTTCTTTGCCCTGTTCAACAAGCTCATTCAGAGCAACGAGCGCAAAGTCTACCTCACACTGCACAAGTTCATCCCATACCTGTGCGACATGATCATCAGCGAGATCGACCGCATCAACTCGATGGAGTCATCGTTCAACACCGACGTGTCTGAGGGCTTCGTGCTCAAGACGCTCGTGTCGATCCTCAGCAGCTTTGTCGAGGTGCCCACAATCAAGCTCAAGATGAAGCGCGACAACATGTTGGACAAGGTTCTGGACGCGTTCCTCTCGCTGCGTGGCATCATCATCCAGAAGAACAAGCTCACAGAGGACTCGGTCAAGCAGCTGCAAGACATCATGAAGTCGCTCAACTCTGAGACCAATGAGGACAACAAGAAGTTCATCGCAGCCAACATCAAGGCGCTCAACAAGCACATCAACAATGGTCGCACGCCAATCTTCATCTTTGAGCAGATCTGCAACATTGTCTGCCCCGTCAAGCCTGAGCCCGTCTACAACATGATCCTGACCAAGGCCTCGACACAGGAAGACTACATCAGAGGCTCGATGAACAAGAACCCATACCCATCCAATGTGGTTGGCCCCCTGATGCGCGACGTAAAGAACAAGATCTGCAAAACCCTGGACCTTGGCTCATTCCTCGAGGACGACAATGGCATGGAACTCCTGGTCGACAACAAGATCATCAAGCTCGATCTACCCATCCGCAAGGTGTACGAACAGGTGTGGAAGCGCAGCGCACAGGCGCAGCGCGTGCAGGACGCCAACATCCCCATGATGGTTATCTACCGTCTGCAAGGTCTGGACGGCGAGGCCACCGAGGAGATCATCGAGAACCTCAACGACACCAACAACGAGGAGCGTGACCCAGAGGAGGAGTTTGAGATCACCACCATCATGTCGCAATGTGGTGGCATGGAGGCCATGCTCAGCATCATTGAGCGCATCAACGACTTCTCCGTGGAGAAGGAGCTTGCCCAGCTAGTTATCAAGCTGCTCTCTGTCTGTGTCAGGATCAAGGTCAACAGACAACAGCTGATCACACAGAATGGTGTCAGTCGCCTACTGGAGAAGTTGAAGCAGGCATTCCATCAGCCCGAGCTTGCCGAGTCGCTGCTGTTGATCACCGAGGAGATCGTTTCCGAGGCCAACCGCACATATTTGAGCAACTCCAACTCCAAGATCGCCACACTCTCACATCACAAGAGTAGTGCCGAGGCACAAGAGCAGATGGCCATGTTCCTGGACAAGCTGACCAGCCCTCTGGTCAAGTCCAACTCCAAACTCATCCAGGCAATGACTCGAGTCATCCCCTTCCTCACCTATGGCTACCGCGAGGTGATGCAGTCGCTCGTCGACTTCTTTGCCCCATCTCTCCAGTTTGAGGAGTTGGACGCCAAGCAGCTACCCAAGGACAGCCCCATCACCACACACATGGACTACTTCACCAAGATCGCCGACTCTACCCGCGCCGACGAGAACGGCTACACTCTCAGGACACTGATCCTCGAGCACGGTATCACCGAGAAGCTGTTCAAGTATATCGACGATCACTTCCCCGAAGGTAAGGACAAGGCATCCAAGGAGTGGACCGACTCACTCGAGTTGCCCGCTCTCCCCTACGTTCTCGTCCTCCTCAAGGGTCTAGCCAATGGACACGAGCCAACACAGCGAATGGCAATGGACAAGGGCATCCTCAAGAGGATCCATATGATGGAGCAAATTACAACTGGTGCCAGTCTGGGCACACTTGCCGAGAACCTATTGGAGTCGCTCAAGGAGGGCAACAGTCAGGTGGCACAGGAAATCAACGCGATCCGTGTCGAGTCACGAACAGAGAAGATGAAGCAAGCAGAGAAGCACAGAATGGAAGTTTTGAAGGAGCTTGGTCTCTCCCAGCAAGGCAAGCACATCACAGCCTCCTTTGTACCTGGCAGCATTGAAGACCTGGAGGACGAGGAAGGATTCACATGCATGGTGTGCCGCGAAGGCTACAGCTTCAAGCCAGACGAATGTTCTTGGAGTGTACACCTACACCAAGAAGGTTCCCTTGCTTACCAATGAATGAGACCACCACTACCACCACTACTGGATCAGCCAGCGGCACATCGTACGGCTTCACAAGCGTCACTCACTTCAACATCATCCATTACTTCTGCCACAGAGATGCCACCAAGGCGGACAAGGGCATGAAGGTGCCAAAGGAGGAGTGGGAAGGAGCAGCGTTGAGGAATCAGCAGACCAAGTGCAACAACATCTTCCCACTGCAAGGCCCCAAGATCACCAACGATGCATTCGCACCATACAACGACAAGTACTGGAGCAACCTCAACAACATTTGCCGCGTGGACGGACCTCGCTTCCGCCTGCTTGCTCATGACCTCAAGCTGATGCTCGTTCGCTTTGCCAAGGATGAATCCTTCAGCCAGGACTCAAAGGGTGGTGGCAAGGAGAGCAACATCCGTCTCATTCCATTCTTTATTCAGTTTGGAACATTCCTGCTGGATCAAAAGGTCACTGGAAACGCATCATCTGTCAATCAATTGCGTAGACCTCACTTTGACAAGCTGTTCGCCACATTCCTCAGCACACCATTCGACGCAACTCAATGCACTCAAGCCGACAACGTTCCATTTTATGTTGTGTTGACTCTCTACCTCCAGACACTCAAGGACTGGAAGGTCAACCGCTTCAAGGTTCTCTCCAAGCTGCTGGCTTACGCATTCACCGAATACCTCTCATCGCCCGCAGCTGCCATACTTGCGGCCACAACCATTGACGCCACATCAACAGCACAACTGTTCCCAATCATGCGTCCATGGCTGCTGTTCTTTGCACTGATCGACAAGTTCCAGGAGCTATTGAAGCCCTCTCCCGATGCCCCACTCTCTGAACTGAACCAGCACTTGGCTGCTCACTACCTCAAGGTCCAGAACGAATGCAAGACACTGTTGGCCACATTTGAGGAGGAGCTAAAGATGTTTGAAGACGAGTCAGAGTTCTTTGACGACCTCGGTCTACTCAAGGAGGTACTATCCCAACATAAGAGCTGTTCAGAATACGTCTACAGTCTATACTCATCAGTGAGCACTGTAATCAAGAAGTAATAATAACAACAATAAACAACAACAAACAATCTATTATACATGTTTAAACAATGCCTCTTCCATCTTTACTATTATGTTTGATTGATCGCGATTTGATTTGATTTGATTGATTGATCGATTGGACTCTGTCCTGATATGATCGTGGCATGTCATGTCTACTTGATGAGACGACTTTGGAGCCTTGTTTGTTTGTTTGATTGATCGATAGATTGATTGATTGATTGGTTGGCTTCCATGTGATTGATCTCGGCATGATGTGAGAATGTACCAGTCTGATAATGTTTGAGAATGTCTATTGATTCTGGAACAATGAGTAGTCCACGATCTTGATTGATGATAGCAGTCGAATGAAAAGTTGCTCAGCATCATGTTCGCTTGTGGATGGGACTGTGCCTCCAACTGCATTGACACTGCTGCTGTTTGGTGCCAAAAGTACTGGCTCGTTGTATGTGATGAGGAGATCAGTCTTGCATCTCTCTAGTCTTATAATTGCCATATATACATTGACCTAAAGATTGAGTATTAGTAACTTGCAAGTAATAAAAATATCTTGACAGTGCGCTGTTGTATATACATACTGTGTTCTCTGCTGTCTCGTTGAACTTGGCAACCATTTGTCTTGCTTTCAGTATGTACTTGGGTACAGAGTTGGCGAAATGAGGCATGTCGGCGGAGGTCAGTTGCCGCTGATTGAGTATCAGTCTCTTGTCTGGAGCAACGTCTGATTCATCAGCGACGACATTGAAGTGGAATTGAATGCTTTGGTCATCTGGTACGTGTTCCTGTCTCTCCAATAGCTCTATGATAATACTTTGGTCGGTCTTATCATCTACCAATAACTCTTGGTGGTCTGGTATCCTTCTGATTTGTGCGACGTCAATGAATCTAATTGGAACTGTGGCATGTATAGCACCACCATACAGCTCTCTTTGATCTGATGTAGCTTGTTGGAATATCATTATATTATAATTGATTGATTAATTGATTGATTATATGTGTATATGTTTGTGCAAGTGAGAAGTAGTTTGATTGAATGAATGTTTCAAGATTGTTAGTTTATGAAGGGGTTCATTCGGTCGTTTTTCACACTAAAACTGAACTGATTCACAAGTTCACGTAGTACCACGTCGGTCAGACCTGTCATTAACTAGGCTTATTATTGTTGGTCTAAGCGTTGCAATAGATACTAATCGTAATCATTAATCATCGATCAACTTATGTTTTACGAACTTATTATTGACATACATCTAAGAAAATTGTTGATATTATCGTTGTATTATTAATGTATTATTATTACTATTATTACCAACCATTATATAATGTTGAAGTTATATAAGTCAGATATCGACGATGTTGATGAGGTATTGATAACACTCGTCGACAGTATTCTTTGTGTTGATGATGTCAACTAGGAAGTTATTTGATGCATTGTCAACTCCAAGACTCCTAAGTTTCGTTGAACCAAACTTGAAAAGTGTGAAACCAACACACATTTTGAATGACATCACCAATCTGCCCCTTCACTTTGATTATTAATAGAGTAGACTACTTAGTCATCAGTCTGAATTCTGACTAGATAGAATACCCTTACAAAGAGATAAATTATAATACAGATAATAGACATACATGGATCCAGATCATATTTCTTTCTCACCAAAGATATACACATATCCAAACTTTCCAAATCTGGATTCACAACCATCCAAGAATAATAATAATAATAATAATAATAAGATTAAACAATTAATATGGATACCAATGATAGAGATAAGATGTAATATACATAGATTTGAAGTGGCGGTAGAGCTACCAGGTGTATTATCAAAAGATATATTAGTTGGATTGGTTGACAATATGTTGACGATAAAGGGTACAAAGAAAAGAAGATGTAGTACAAGTGAATCAAATAGACATTGCAAGACACTCTCAGAGATACATTATGGAGTATTTAGAAGAACAATAGAACTGCCGCCACATCTCGACCTCGATTCAATAAGTGCCGAACACATTGATGGAGTATTATACATAGCAATTTCCAGGTTGATGGAATAAATAATAATAATACACTTTATTTATGGGAACAACTTAATCCCATTCCAACTTCTTATTCCTCTCATCCTCGGTCATTGTTATAAAGTATTCGACGTAGAGTGATAGTTGAATCATGTCTTTCTTGCGCAGGGTGTTGGCCTTGGCCTCAAGACCTTTGACGGATGTCTGTCTGCCAATGAACCAGAGGTCAGACTCGAGGACGACTCGTGTGTCAAACTCGGCCTTGGAGTAGGCACACAGATGATAGGTCTCGCGATCATAAGTGTAGTAGACGCGGCCATCTGAACCAGTGTACCATACGACACACTCTTGTGAGTCACTGTAATATGATTGCAACACTGTTGATCCTATCTCTAATGTGTGCATCTGATCAATGTTCTTGATCATGTAGCAACCTGTTGGTGAACGTACTTCTGACAAGTCACGCTCTACTGGGTTGGCAATGGGTGGTGCATAGTCCCATCGTTCATAAGTCGAACTTGATGGTCTACAAGATGGTATACCAAACATTACCCATGTGAACTTATTATTGATACTAGGAGGTAATGATATCTCTTCCATTCATACATCTATATCTTTATCTCTATCTAAATTATCTCAACATGTAATTGAACTTGACAAAATGTATCAAGTCTCTGGAGATTCTTGAATTTTTCATGTTTCCGAAGTCAGTCTGGCATGGTTGATCAGATGGAATATTTATCTTGATCTAATATTTCGAGATATATTAATCCTAATTATATTAATTTGTACAATGATATAGTTAATTATTTATTTGGAATACTTGTTTACAAAGTTTAAGAAGACAAAGTTCTTCTCCCTCTGTGTCTTGGTTTGGAACACAGGTGCTTGTCTTAGTGATGCTGATCCATTGATCACTAAACAAATAAGGATGGAGGTTAGTACATATATTATTAATTTGGAGTCTGGGACTGGCCAAAGTATAATACTTACACTTCTCAAGAATGAACTCTCTGAATCTGTTGTCTCTGTTGAATATGGGTGGATCGGGAATGGGTGGATCGAATTGAGGAACGTCCTCCTTGGTGGCAATGGACATTGAGTATTGCTTGGCGTTGAACTCATCCTTGTATTTCTCTTGGCATTTCTCCAACTCATTCTGATCGACAGCATTCCTACGAATGGTGTTCTCGATGAACTTTGATGTCGAGTCACGATGTGGTTGGACCAAGAATACAGACTCTGAAGTATGTTAATGATTGTCAAGTTAGTATTCGGTTGATTGATCCTAGTTAGGGAGAATGAACTTACGGGTTTGTTTGGACTTGATACTGTTTGGTGCATAGGCACCTGCATCCGAGAAAACAATGACAATCCTGTCATTGCCAAGATGCTTCTTCCTCTCAATTTGTTTGGGATCCTTTGGATAGAATGGTAGCATGGTGGATACATGGAACATGATTTCAACATCTCCATATCTGGTATATATTGAATGGCTTCCAGAATGGCCATGAACAGTATCTAAACCTCCATTATATCCTTGGAATCCTTTAAGTTCCACCTTATCTCCCAACAAGTTAAGGAACTCATTGTATGCAACACTAGTGTTGTTGGAGTCTATATTTGTTGGTTGCGTGATTGAGTATGTATTAGTTATTGATCAACACCTATATATTAATAATTATTAACTTACTATTGAATAACATCTCTGACTCGGTTGTCTGTCCCTCCTTACAATACAATACACCAACCTTCATCACCTTGGAGAACTGGAAATGTTTGGTATATGGGTCAATTTTAAATTGAAGAGTTTTAAATTGGTCAATCAAAATATTTGAACTTACACTTGGCTCATAGATCTTCATCAACTCATCTTCTAGGTTGGGAATACGTAGCATTGGCAATTTGAAGTCGCGTAGTTCGGGCTTGATCTGGCACATGATGTGGTAGAATGATGGATCCTTGTTGGACACCCATCGCCAGAAGCTGCGGTAGACGCTCCATTTGGGCACTTCGATCAGCTCCACACCCTTCTCGGTGTAGACCAGACATTTGTAAATTTCGTCGTCGAGTTTGATTGTGATGGCAACGGGTCCCAATGGAGAGTAGTAGCTGACGAATGTCTTGTACTTGTCACCATAGAACACTTGTCTAAATATAGACGGATTGATGACGACCTTGGCCTCATTGCCAACTTGCTTCCTTCCTCCACTGCTCGAGGATGATTGCTTCCACTGTGGATCTGTGGCATCAGTGACACCCTCCACTCTGTATCCTTCACAATAGCTAAACATAGTATAGTGTAATGGTAATGATTGATGGTTGATGATGATAAAGGTTGATTGATTGATTATCCTAACTCTAACTTTTTAGGAAACTAGTTTACTCGACTGGATGAATGGGAAACACAACAATGGGTATGATAGTATTACATTAATATAATGATACCAAACTTAACATTATGTTGAATAGATGGATGGAAGGGATGGACGAGAGAGTATCCTCAAACATTCATCCTATCCATCCAATCCATCCAATCCCTCTATCAATCAATCATCCAGTAGTCCAGTAGTCACGACGCTCTCTCCCACTTGTTGCCGTGGAAGTAGTGAGGGAGGGTAGCATTATAATGAGTTGGTAACAACAGATTGATTGACGTCAATCAATCATTCAAATTAACCATCATATATCTGTTTAGCTACGTCCCATCATCCAACTACCCATCGTCCAATGTCCATCCAACACGTTTATCTTTCCAAATGTTTAGATGTTGCAACAGCAACACCAAAGTTAGCGGGCACCTTCCTTCTAGGTAGGTGTCATACTGCCAATGGCACCAGTCCAACCCGTTGTTTACCCTCTCCTCCTCTCCCTCACTTCACTTGTTTAGAGATACATTACCCTTATACTGCTGTTGCGTATTGGACTACTATTCGTAACTACCAAGCAGCACATCATCAACGAACATAGCATGAGCATTACTTAGAGGTGTACATTTGTGTGTGTATGAGTAGTGTGTATGTTTGATTAGTTATATCTCTAAACATTTATCTCTTAAGTGAGTGGTGAGTGATTGATGGATGGATGGATGAGGTGGGTGGGTGTGGGTTAAGTGGTTGATATTCCGTTGGAGGTAGGTTGATGATGATGCTGTTTAAGTGTGTCGTTCTTTATCATCATCAGCTGATGGTGATGACCTGATTATCCTATTAAGACTAGTGTAGGCTCTTATCAAAGGTAAGTAAAGTAACTTGCTTACTTTCTTGCATTCATTCATTCATTCATTGATTCATTCATTAATCTTTTCCAAGTGGTGAGCTTCATGATGGATACAGATGCTTGCTATACTTGCATTGGGGAGAGAGATACAAAACTATATAACTATAAGTCATATCATTAAAACATAAACCTCGACTCTTTACAGTTGGCCTGGAAACAACTGACAGTCCATGTCCCAACGTTATATGATGGATGAAGGAGTGTGAATGGATGGGTGTAAGTTGGATGCATCTGGGGGTGATCATATGATTGATTGGGTGTGGGGTTGGAATTGATTGATTGATTGATTGATTGATTGAATGATTGTATGTTCATTTTAAAGTCATATTCAATAGAATAGTTATTACATTACATGTACATCCAAACAAAGTGAAGATGTACTTACAAAGACAACTATATCCAATATTACTTTTGGTTATGATGGCCATTATAGGCCCATCATTTATCAATTCACAATCACTCATTCAATCACAACTACAACCATCCACTATTAAGAATGTCAATGATGTATCAGTCGTACAAGGATTGATTGGAAGAATACTTGGCTCAGAGTTCATACCAGTGTTCCAGTTGACATTGGCCAACAACTCAAACAATGAAGAGTACTTTAGTGTGAGCAGCACCACTGCCAACACCATCCAACTGACCGCCAACACCCCTGTCAACTTGGCTTCGGCACTCAACTACTATCTCAAGTACTATGCCATGTGCACATTCTCATGGACCGGTGACCAATGCTCGTTGAAGACATCATCTATTCCATCAGTCCCAACTGCAGTGACAATCAACGTTCTGTCACAGTGGCGATACTACATGAATGTATGTACCTTTGGCTACAGCACAGTGTGGTGGGACTGGCCGAGATGGGAGCGTGAGATCGACTGGATGGCGTTGAATGGATACAACCTACCATTGGCATTCGTTGGCCAAGAGTATGTTTGGTACGAGATCTTCAAGCAGATGGGCTTGTCCGAGGCCCAGCTCATGGATTGGTTCACAGGACCCGCTTTTCTCCCATGGAACAGGATGGGCAACGTCAATCAATGGGCTGGCAACTTGACCATGGGTTGGATGTCCGATCAGATGTCCCTCCAAATACAGATCCTCGGTAGAATGAGACAGTATGGTATGAAGGCAGTGCTGCCAGGTTTTGCTGGTCACGTTCCCCAGGCCCTCTCCGAGGTGTATCCCAAAGCCAACATTGTACAGCTGGGCGGCTGGGGGACATTCAATGGCACCTACTACCTCGATCCATCTGACCCCCTATTCTCCAAGATCGCTCAAACGTTCATCTTCACCCAAGACCAGCTATATGGAACTGATCACTACTACAACTTTGATCCATTCAATGAGTTGGAGCCTCCAAGTAACGACACCACCTACCTCCACAACTGCAGCAAGTTGATGTTCAGCAATCTGTTGGCGGCTGACCCCAACGCCATCTGGGTGCTTCAGGGATGGTTCCTGGTCGATGATCCAGAATTTTGGCAACCCGCTCAAACTGAAGCCTTCCTCTCGGGTGTCCCAATTGGCAAACTGCTCGTGCTTGACCTCTGGGCCGATGTAATCCCCGCCTGGAACATCACCAAGTACTTCTATGGCCACAATTGGATATGGTGCATGCTGCACAACTTTGGCGGTCGCACTGGCATGTATGGAAAGATACCAACGATCAGCACTGCGCCCATCATTGCTAGGGGCCTTTCTCCGGGCATGGTCGGAACTGGTCTCACTCCAGAGGCCATCGAACAGAATGTAATAGTTTATGATCTGATGAATGAGATGGCTTGGCGTGCGACTCCGCCCAACCTTCAACAATGGGTTGAGAACTATGTCTCGCGCCGCTATGGAAAGCCAAACAACGACCTGTCCCAGGTCTGGTACGACATGGTCCTAACAGTTTTCAACTGTACCGAGTTCCTCTATGGCACCGTGGACAGCTTGATTGGTCTGCGTCCTCATCTCAACTGGACCAGCACATTGTACTACAACCCCGACGTGGTCAACCGCGCATGGTCAACAATGGTGGCGATCACTGACCCCGACATATTGGCGACCTCCACCTTCCAGTTTGATATCGCAGAGGTCACGACTCAAGCACTAAGCAACATCTTCTTGCAGGATGAGTTGATCATGAACTCAGCATTCCTCGATGGTGACCTGACAGTGTTCTTGAAACAATCAGAGGCATTGCTCAACTTGATTGCAGATGTAGATACAATAGTCTCCACTCAACAGATGCTACTGATTGGCAATTGGACTGCTCGCGCTCGTGCCCTCACCCCAGCAGGCGAGTCTACAGACCTCTACGAGTTTAACGCGAGGAATCAGGTCACTCTCTGGGGACCCTACTACTCTGATGTACATGACTATGCCTACAAGCTATGGGGCGGTCTGACTGAGGACTATTACCTAATGCGTTGGACACTCTTTACCAAGTATCTGGCTCAGTCTTTGACCACTCATCAACCATTTGACTACAACAAGTTTGTCCAGGACGATGAGTACTTGGAGAGCTACTGGGGAACACAGACCAACAAGTATCCTACCGAGCCCACTGGCAACGCCATTGATATCTCGAGGATACTGGCCAAGCAACATCTTGGAGCATTGGCAATGTAATAAAGTGATGTGATGTATGTATAATGTGACAAAGTTTGTTTATTTACTTTGGTACGAATTAAGTGAGTGAGTGATGGATTGACGGATGATTGAGTCACGCTCCAATCATTTAGAAAGGAGTGGTGGTGGAACGGGCGGCAAAGTAGGCAGTGAGCTGTGGGAGCTGGAGGAACTCCTTGTGGAAGGCAACACAGGCTGGGAAGTTGTCCATGATCGAACCCTCCTTCAGGTAGAAGACGTAGTCGATGGCGTTGAAGATGGCAAAGTCGGCCCAGGTGAGGGTGTTGCCCCAGAGGTGCTTGCCTCCGTTCTCCTTGAGCAACTTCTCCCAGACCTTGATGTAGCGTGGTGCCATCTCAGTGCGGAACTTGAGCTTGCTCTCTTCGGTGGCACGCGAGGTGAAGTAGGCCTGGAAGACATCGTTGGTGGACAGGACGATCGAGTGGATCTGGGCAGTCTCGACTGGGTTCTTGCCGACAATGTGGTGCTTGGTGGCGAGGTAGAGCTCGATGGCCATTGTCTGGGAGACCTTGACGTCGGCATCCTCAAAGTGTGGGAGTTGACCAAAAGTAGTTCTGGACTTATCCTCCTCAGTAAACTTGCCCATCTCATAACGAGTGTCAGTGAACTTGACGCCAAAGTATGTGAGCATAACACGGATGCACTCGGCTCTTCCTCTTCCGTTGAACTAAGTATGATTCATTGAATTAGTTAGTTAGTTAGTGATCATCTTGATCAATAGATGAACATACATAGTAGACAGTGGTCATTGTTGATGTAGGTTGTTGTTGTTATTGGTTAAGGTAAAGTTGTTGGAACTTGTTTGATTTGATGATGATTGTTGTTGACAGGTGTATTTATCTCTTTGTTTGGAGACTGGTCGTAAGTTGTAAACAAGGATACACTGAGTCCACTTCCAGGAAAGAGGACCTCTCCAACCCCAGCAAGATGTTCCATTCCATTTCATTTACAAACGTACGAAATTTATAAATTAAATATCCTACTATGGTAGCTGCGGGTGAGTGATTGATTGGTCAGTGAACTTCTCCAACACCCCACCCACACACACAATCACTGATTGATAATGATCACTCATCATACACACAAGTACCCATATGATTATGGGCAACACCTGTACACAGGTACACAGACACAAATAGAGAGAGTCTCTCTTTATCATAATGATTGTGTTCCATCGGCGAATAGAAGGAAGGACTCGATGTAAATGACGCAGCCTACTATTTTTAATCTTAGAGAGATGACTCTCTGATCATTCGTTCGTTTTCAGACCACTGGAACTGGAGTTCCAGCAACTGGAACTATGCCCAGGGCCAACTCTACACCAATGTCATTTGGCAACACTGGAACAATAGGTGGCTGTTGATGATGCTGCTCGAACAGACTGCCAAGGTTATCTCTCGTCGAAGCACGCTGTAAGTATCGCCGTGATGGAAGGTCCATGCTCGGATTGTATGTGTCGAGAAGCTGTTCGGTTGGCGAACCGGGTGTTGCGATCGTGTTATACATCTTGGTTGCAGCGGGATGTGGATGGGGCTGTGCGCCCAACATAGGGGTAGATGGTGCAGCAATGGCCATTGCTTCGCGGGCGCGATTGAATGAGAAGGACGTTGCCAACTGTTGTCTGTTGAGAAAGTTTGAGATCATCTCGGACACCTTGATGTGGAGGTTCGGAGCATCCTCTGCTCGGAACATGTATACATTGCCACTGGTCGTGTAGAGCGACCAGTTGACTTGGTTGTCGTCCAGATAGTACTCATTGATATGTCGTACATGTACTGTTGTAGTGCGGGTGCCGGCACTCTTTAACCAGTCTATGATGAACAACGAGTCGGATTCAATGAGTATGTGTCGCGGCTGATAAGTACTTGACATATCGCATGGTTGGTCGTAGTCGTGGAGCTCCATCATTAGCTATAGACGTTTATATGGGAACCGTAATGTCAGCTGACACCATACAAACAGTTATCACGTGATCAGACTTTACACTTACCTCCACCTTGAAATAAGTATCTTTATGTACATATGCGTAAGGAAGTATGTCGCGAACCTGTAATGGATGATTATCCTTCCTTCTAAACTCCACAATCGAGTTCTTCCTTCGCACCTTTGACAATGACATAAATATATTCAGCCTCCTCAATGCTTTAGTCACTTTCTTCTTTAATGTTGACATATCTCGATTATAAATAATTATATATATCTAAGTTAATAGATCTATATTAATGACAATGAATATAGATGATGGTGATGATGATTGGAGATATGTGGAAGTGGGATAAGGAAATAAATGAGTTGTGACATCCATGGATGAGTTGGCATGGCAGGCACAAAGTAATGTTGGCAACACCATCAAGGAATATACCTTTATCCAACAACCCCAATACTTTACAGATAGGTGGCACCTTGGTTGATTAATCAACGCTGGGCAAAGCAGTTCAGATATCCAACAGACATACATCTAACAACACAGCACTGAACAGAGTGAGGTGTGAGTATTATGTACTTGTAGTTTGTGTGATCAGGTGCAACAGGCTACTGTCTGTCTATGAGTGTGTTGGAGGTAGATCTAACCCTCGATCAAAGGGTCAAGCATCATCAAACTTATAAGTACCACTAACACCAAGCCTCAGCCGCCATCTATCTTATTATTTATTTGATGGAAGGTAATCACACACACACACAATCATACATACACACATATCAATCGTCTTTATTCATAATGGTGGTATGATGTGAGAGGGTGTGTTGGTAGTTGATTTGGATGATGTATATTTGTATACAGCTGATGTTAACTTCAGATAACAAAGTATTTTATTTGTTGGATGTTATTATAACTGTTTTCCAGACAACCTGGAATCATTAAAATCCTGAACTTCGAATATTTATTAATAAAGTTTATTCTTGATTGGAAACTGCACAAACAAACATCATCTCCTCCACTGTTATTTGTTGATAATAGAGCATGATGATTACATGTTTGAGTGTGTATGTGTTGAGGACCACACCTACCTTAGTTGAGCCCTCAATAACTAAGGGTTACCAACCTACACTAATACCCTAGACGAGAAGAGGGGTATAGGTATGTGTTGTGTTCTTCCAGTCCCCAAACCAACCAATGTTGGCTGGCTGTATCAATCACATGACCATGACCCCGAACCCAGAAGACCCACCATCATCATCGCCAACCAAGCTACCACTCTAACATCCCTCACCCACCATTCACTAACTCATTCTCTCATTCACTTACTCATTCACTCACACGTTTTAAGATAGATACGCACGCCATTGGTGCGGCAATGGCGATGGCCTTGACAACAGCACGTTGTTGCTGATCCTCATCTACCGCTGGCTGTGAGAGTAATAACAACAGCAGACCTAATACTGCTGGGATCACTACTACAACTACTATTAATGCTTGTAAGCTACCTGCTGCTCTACACCTGCAGGGCGACCTTCTCTACAACAGCCTTGCAATCAAAGTTGAGGAGGTATCCTAGGGTACATGATATGTTGATAGAGATGTTATATGAGCGAGTGAGTGAGTTAGTGATAGAGCTCTGTACTACTACTCCATTGTTTCATACATACAACGCACTTTCCTCTCTGATATCATTACCATCATATTGGATCATATCTAAACTACTTCCTTCCTTTCTCCTCAAGACATCTTCTCTCAATCTCAATCTCTGATTTCAAATGGACCCAAGTATGTCAATGTCAATTACTTGGGCAACTGACAAGACACTCATATTAACAACCAATATCATACTTTAGAATTCATTGAAGCCAGTCTAGGTAATGTTGGTGGATTATTAGGTGAGGCCAACACTTATAGCGAATGGGTTGAAGCCAACAAGACTCCAACACCTCAAGGGTCTGGCTTCAACAAACGTCTAATCGTACTAGGCAAATACAAACTACTCTCATTGAAGAAGGGTACATTTGGCAACTCTGTAAGTTAGTTACATCAACATCCAAGAGTCATGTCATTGGCAAGACACTCATCAATCAATCCAAATAATCAAACTACTTGTAGGTCGAACTCAACTTCCACCTCCTCAACATCACTGAGATCAACTACTTGGACAATGATGAGACTTTGGTGATCAAATATAAGGAGCTGGTTAATGACCTGCCCGTGCATGGTGGTTTGACCATCCGTGCTACGTTCGAGAGGATCCAGCACTTGTTGCGCGCAATCCGCAAGAACATCCGTTTGATCACCCATGGTATCACAGAGAGCCATGCACTTAAGCTCAACTACCCAGAGGATAAATTGCTGGCCTTTGACGAGCCGCTTCCAATGTCCTCAGCCAACGGCTATGTCGACACGTACATCGCCAACTCCTGGCTCTACAAGACGGTCGCCACCGTCGACTACGTGAGATATATCGAGGGTCTGGCTCAGAATGGCTTGGACGAGCTGGACTTCACCCAAAGTGCTGGCAATGATCCAAACTCTGAATACAGCTTCAACCTCTTCACAGCCCTCGTGGCCCTTGCTCACAACACATTTTTCAAGTCCGTCAACCTCTCGGCACTTCCACATGCAAACAGTAAGTGATCACTCATTCAATCAATCAATCACTCGATCAATCACTGACTCAATCACTCATAGTTGTCAACGCATTGGCATTGGCATTGGAAACGAACCAAACGTTGACCAAGCTAAACTTGTCAGACCTTCGCATTGAACAATCATTCCAACCAATTGCCAATGCATTGGTAAAGAACACACAAAACGCTGTACACTCACTTGACTTGTCAAAGAACAACATAGCCTACCCCGCCATGATGTCACTCTGTACCTTCTTCTCAAAGATGCAACATGGCCTTGTCAGCCTGGACCTGTCCAACTGCGACCTCAAGCCTAGATGCGTGGTCATCCTCTTCCAAGCATTCGAGCGCAACTTTGGCATGTCGCTGGCCATCAAGTCCCTCAACCTATCAAACAACAAACCGGGGGACAGCGGTCAACAAGCCATCGCCAGCTGGATGAGCAAGATCAAGGGCTGCAACAAGCTGAGCTATCTCAATCTGAGCAACTGTGGCATCAACTTCTCAATAATGGGTCCCGCGTTGGGACATGTGGACGTGGCCCATCTTTGCCTTTCGGGCAACAAGATCGACAAGAATGCCGCCAAACTACTTGCAGAGAATGTGCTCAACTCCACAGAGAACCTGCTGCACCTGGACTTGAGCAACTGCTGGCTTGGATACTACCCGCTCGAGCATATCTTCAGCTCGCTCAACCTAAACAAGCGTCCAGCAAGATTGAACATCAACCTGTCCAACAATGGCCTGTCCGCCAGCGAGGCCTCTGTCATTGGAAAGTATGTTGGCGGCATCCAAAACCTATCCGGCCTGGACCTCTCCCACAACAAGCTTCCATGTCGTGCGCTTATCGACATCCTGGGCTCGATCAGAATCATGAGCAACTGCAACTTACATCAGCTCAACCTGTCCAACAACTACTTTGCCGAGGGTGCCGAAGGCGAGCACCTATGCAACCTGATCGCCAAGATCATCAACAGTGTGGAGTCACTCAAAGCAGTTAACTTGAGTGGCGGCAAGTATCCCTTGGGCAAGGCGTTGGTGCCACTGTTTGGCGAGCTGGCCAAGAGCATCACCCTCAAGGAGATCGACCTCTCAGACAACGCACTGGGAGACTGGGCCGCATCCAGCCTGGGCGAGGTGCTTCGACATAACTCGGCACTCAACTATATCAACCTGGACAACAATCAATTCTCCCTTCAGGGCTGGACCAGCATTGCCCAACCCCTATTGTTCGATGTCAATCGCTCGCTCAATCATTTGGAGATCTCCAGGACAATCGCATCGGTCCATACCTCTAGCCTTGTGAGCAACTTCAAGGCCAGTCCAGTGATTGGTGGACTGTCAAGCCAGAAGAAGTGCCAGCTCGTAGGTATCTTCATCAAGATTCAGAACAAGGTTGCAGAGAATCGCTTTGAGTCTTCGATGAATGCCAACGCGTACGTGTCAGAGTATGCTGGTGGCGAGGTGGTCAACCGCGGTGTTGAGCATGTTGTCGAAGCCGTGCCACTTGTTGCCGTGCCCGTCCACCTGGCCGCACTGCCATTGCCCATGTCTCCACGTACCGATGCAACAACACCAGAGTTGTTGAATGCGAAGGATGTGGCTGCTCAAGCCACCCTCCAGGATGGCGCACAGGTCGACCAGACCCTAGAGAAACCAGACGTGTCCAATGACTCGCTGAGAATCAGCCAGACAAGATCCCTGCCCACAATAGAGAACTCGGATTGGCAACCTGATGACACGAGTGAGTTTGAGCACGTCGATCATGATGAAGCCTATTTCTACGAGCTAAACAGTGATGGCGAATCAACAAGCTCACGTCGCCAAATTGCCAAAGAGCATCCAGCTGAGCCAGCCTCATCGTCAGAGGAGAAGCAACAAGATCAAACATTGCTCATCGCTGCTCCACCCGTCGAGGCACTCTAGAATGAGTAGCGCAAGTCACAAACAAACACCCCAAGGCACTAACTAAACATCCAACTTCCAACTTCCAACTTCCAATATCCAAACTTCCAAACTTCCAAACTTCCAATCACACACAATCAAGACAAGTGTATATAATATATGATGATGTTGTTGTCGCTAGCAATAAATAAAGGATTTCTTAAGTGTTATTGGCTATATACATATTGGTTCGCCCTGCGTCGGGATGTTGACTTGAATGCCAACTGGATTGTAGTCGGTCAGCTCCTTGTAGATGATCTGGCGTATGTTGAGTCGCTTGTTGGCGGATGGCGTCTGGTTCACCAGTGGCTTGATATGCTGGACGATCAGCTTCACATGGCTGAGACTCTTCATCCTTGGCGTGGGCTGGACACCGAGGTCCAGCAAAGATACCAACAAAGGCATAATATCCTTTGGTCTCAAATGACCAAACAACTGGCTCTCAGATTGATTATTAGGATAAGAGCATTCCAAGAATATTGCCTTTAACTTGTCGATTCGTACATTCTTCCAGACATTCTATAATAGTTGATAAATTGAGTCAGTGTTAGTGAGTGTGGATGGGGTGATTCCAGTTGATCAATAACTAAACTTTGAATAACTTACATAAATCTTTTGTTGATAATCACAATTGTAGTTTCCACTTGGTATACCAGTGTCAGAGAAGAAGACGACTTGCTCCGCTGTGATCTGATCGTTATATATGAATGCAGTTGATTGAATATCGTTATGACATGTTGAGTAGGCAGTCAACTGTGCATTATTTGGGAATGTATTGACCAATGATTGTCTCTGTGTATCGTTTAGGAATATAACATCCGTCAAGTTATAACCTCTACCCTCAATCATTGTGAAGTAGTCGTATCTACCAAACTATAAATGAATCAAAGTGTTAGTACATTGTTGATTGAATGATCACGAATTGATGACTTACTCCTGGAAGGTTTGGCCAAAGAACATTGTTAAAGATGTGATTTTGGATAGAGTTGATTGTGAATGGGAGACCGACGATGGCCTTTTTGGTGAGGATTGATGTGCCAAGAATGGGATTGAGAAGATCTTTGAGGAGACCGATCAGTCCATTGTCAATCTTCATGTCCAAGGCATTGGAGGGGAGGTAGTCCTCCGGACTGGCTTGTACCATGCCTTGAATATGATCCATATGTGGATGTCCAATGACATAGCCCAATACGTGATTCCTGATGAACCAGGCCACTTGTTGATCGATCTGGGTGGCCCATGGTGGGAATGTGATATTGAAGTATGTTGCATAGTTTGTGTCTCTGAGGAATGACTGTGCACCAGTCCACAATGTACCGGCATCGAATGCAATAAATACACTTGAGCCTCTCTTTGTGAATAGGAATGCTGACAGGTTACTCTCATCCAATCCACCACCAGTACCCAATGGTATTGTTATAAATGATGATCGTTTACATGCTATGTAATTTCCAAGATCATTATAATTCATATAATATGAGCTGGATGAGTCCTGTTTTGGTTATTGATGCTGGGTGTAAGTGATCAATCAATCATGGGACCATGGATACATGATCCACTTACCATTGAATCTGATGTGCATACCGTGAAGCATGTTGACGCCAGTATTAATATTAAAATAATAAATAAACCTGATGGATGCCTGCTGCTATATTGATTGATTGATTGGATTAGTGAGTGAGTGATTGAATGAGTGAGTGAGTTCCACAGGACATACCTTGATGATGCCATTGATCGATGGCAATGGCTATTGCCTTATGTGATTGATTAAGTGATTGAGTGATTGAGTGATTGAGTGTTGGGGTGAGGGTGAGGGTTGGTAAGGCCTGTAGTTAACTCTACACTTTCCAAGATGATTGATTGATTGTATGGAAAATTATAAATAAAATCTGACGTCAGATCGACAGTGAATGTATAAATGTTGTTTGATTGAATATGAAGGATGTTGTTGATTATTATTTTGATTGATGTGATGTGATTGATTGATTGAATGAATGAAAGGATGGATGACGTTTCCGTTAAGAATGGTTAAAGGAATGTGATAATATATAATTAATAATATCGCTTAATTGTTTTTTTTTTTTTCCTGCTTCTCCTCCTAACTTGGTCGACTGAATGGATGGATGGATGACTGTGTCTGTTTGGTTGGTTGGTTGTTGCCTCACACAAAGTAAGTAAGGTTGGTTGGAGATGGAGATTAGTTCAACTGTTGGGAGATCATTTAAAATATGAAGTGAAGTGGCTGTTTCAATCAACAAGATATAGTGCTGTCTCCGCGTCCGGCGACTGTGGAACATGGATTGGATGTGGTGGTGATGTGGATGGATGTATGGACGGACGAGCGAGAGATTGAATGAGTGATGGAGGGGAGTGAGGGAGTGAGGGTAGGGAGTGAGGGTGTACCGTCATATGTGTAGCACCACCTCATCATCATTAAATTCATTCATTCAATCAATCAATCAATCAATCAATC